ATTGCTTCGATAAGTTACTTATATGCGGCGCAAATGAAGCTTATGGTTACGGTGCGATTGTTTTGTATTTTTAATGAAGTGAAGTCAAAGTAAAGTACAAGAGTTAACAATGCATTTCAAAATAGGTTTAAAAGAAAAAAGTACAAGAATTAAGAATGTATTTCAATGTGTATAACACGTATAATCATGAGGCAACAAGCAAGCACCTCGTACTTCCGTAGAGTACATCTGAAATCGCAATTGAAGCAAATATTCAGATAAACAGATATTAACTATTTATCTCAAGCCTTTTTTGTATAAAGAGTCGAAATGCTACAGCTTGTCTAGCCGAAACCGTCCAATATAAAAAACGCTAAGAAAAATGAAGTTCAGTTCTAAAACGCAATTTCCGCAGTTAACCGCGGTAACAAACAAACAAACAAACAGTAGCTGTACAATATTACGGCAACGATTCATAATTATTCACTTAAACGTTCTTCAAAGAAACGATTAAGTCAAATAGAGAACAATAACTTATCGACAAACGATGTGGTCGTAAAGCAGTTGTTAAGCCGTTGGTCTCTTTACCCCAAAGGTTTGAATATTAGATTAGTGCATTTTATATTCGACGAACCGGCTAGACGAAGCAGCTACAAACAGTATTGAAATAAATATTCAATATCTCTTTAACTGGATATTTGCTTATTTGCAATTTCAGATGTAATGCTTGTTGCCTCATGACTATACGAGACGGGAACTCATCGAAGACGGAAAACTCGTCTGAAAGAGAAGCTCGTCTTAAATTCGCATTAAGACGGATCAGTAAATCAGACGAGTTTGAGAAATATCAGCACGGTCGAGGACGGATACGGAAGAAGGCTACGGAAAATAAACACAATTATTAACGTAATGATTACGCATTACCCCAATTCACATTCAGACAGGTTTTTACGGCTATCAACTTTCCATTCTCAGTAACATGAGTATTTGGCTTTTCTTAATTCTTGTACTTTACTTTGAATCTACTTAATTAAAAATACAAAACAATCGCACCGTAACCATTAGCTTCACTTGGGCCGCATATAACAACTAACTTATGGAAACAATAGTGCTTTAAGGCACTTCATACCTTGTATGTGATACTATAGCGAGAACACAAATGGCTACTATGAGGTTACAAGCCTCGAATAAGATACAGTTGTGTGCGTGTTTTAGACGAGAAAATAAATCATGAGCGTTAAAAAGAACTCCTTTAATTTGTTATTTCATTTGAGATCCTACCCGTAAGGTATTCAGTAAAATAAAAAAGTACAGCCTTTCATCGCATGATCGTGCGGTCTACTGGTAAAGGCAGTGCTCTGTGAGTTCAAAGGCGGGGGTTCGGGTCCGAGATGGGAAAGTTTTTTTCTTCCATTTCATCAAAAATACATCCAAAAAGGATTAAGTAAAATAAAAAAACTGTAGGCTTTCACCACAAGAACTGGTGGTGTAATGGTGACGACGATGATCTGCCAAGTATACAGTCGATGGTTCAAGCCCTGCACAAACCGAGAAAGAACAAGGTAATAAAGTGAGAATTTGTGAGTGTGAGAGGAGTAGAGCGAGAGGGCGAATATGCCCTCGCCTTGGGCGAGGAGTAGACTGAGGGGGGTTCTCTTTCCCCCGGCTTTCCTGACTTTCAAAGCAAGCTTTCTTCAAACATTTAATTGTGTTAGGGGATAGTTGGGGGTATGTGAGGATAGGAAAAAGTAGGGATAGATAGGAGTAAATAGGAGGATAAATAGGGGTAAAGAGGTGTAAATGAGTACAAAAAGACTTAAACACTTTATATACTGTTTTCTCACCTATACCCTTTTCCTTCCCCCAGGAGCCGAGGCCGCCCAATTACTAAGTCTTTTTGTACTCATATACCCCTCATTCACCCTATCTATCCCCTGATTTCCCTAAAGATTAACTTTGATTTGCAAAGATTAATCGAGTACAAACCTCCTCCGGGCAACATACCTACAACTTTTTTTTCTTCCTTTTTCTTTTTTTTTCCACCGCCATGAGGAACGTACCATACTGTTCTTGATACCACGATCTTGTACTTGATAGTCCACGACTTTACCACAAGGCTAACTGGTGACTGTTGGAAACCTACACTAATTTATTGACCATAACCTTACCACGTTTTATAAATAACGAAAATTTTCATCCAAAATGAGATTCGAACCTTTGACTCTCAACACATGAGACTATCATCTTGACCACAACACTACAAGATCTTGCGCTGAACGGTTATAGTTATTTAATTAGTTTATACTTTTCACGAAGTTCATAATAAAAAACGGGTATGGTAGGATTCGAACCGTCGATTTACCACTTGGGAGACCACTTCTTCGCCACAACACTTTAGGGTCTTGTGCTGAACGGTTTTGGTTATTTAATTTACTTTATCCTGTTCACGAAGTTCATAATGAAAAACAGTTATGGTAGGTTCGAAATATCGATTTACCACTTGGGACAACATTGTCTTCGCCACAACACTACAAGATCTTGGCCTTGGGCTGAACGGCTTTGGTTATTTAATTTACCTTATCCTGTTCACGAAGTTCATAATGAAAAACAGTTATGGTAGGATTCTAACCATCGATTTACTGGTTGGGAGATCGTTGTCCTCGCCACTAGACTACAAGATCTTGTGCTGAACGGATATGCTCAATTAATTTACTTTATCCTTTTCACGAAGTTCATAATGAAAACAGTTACATATGGTAGGATTCGAACCACCTATTTACCACTTGTGAGACCATTGTTTTCACCACTAGACTACGAGATCTTGTGCTGAACGGCTGTGGTTCTTTGATTTACTTTTTCCTTTTCTCGAAAGACATAATGAAAAACGGACATGCTTGGACTCAAACCCCCAGTTTGAAACATGGGAGGGCATTGCCTTCACCGCAGGAACATCAGAACTTCTGGCAAATTACGACACTATTTTATTTTACTCACACTTTTTTCGAAGGGTTTTACATAAAATTATATATGTTCAATTTGATGATGATTAATTTTCTTGTCTAAAACGCACAGAACTGAATCTTAGTCGTAGCTTTAACCTATTAATATCAATATTTCTGATGACGCTAAAATATCACAGGAGCATTGCCGCGCAATAAGCTCAGTTACATGCGGTCTAGATGAAGCTAATGGTTACGGTGCGATTTTTTTGTATTTTTAATGAAGTCAAGTCTGATTTCACAGGTCACAAATTAAAATTTAAGGAAAATGGTAATTCAGATTCATTAGAATATTTCAACATTTGCCACTTACTTCACAGCTGAAATTGTACTCCAAGTCTCCAACATAACCCAAAAGATATTAAATAATTCTACTGCGTTTACACGGTACCATCCGCTCGTCACAACATATTCGTTTCCATTAAATATTATATTTTTTGATTTTTTTATTTCTCCAAAATAAATATTTTTTGGAGGAATGAAAGTAGGTAAAATGGGGGCGATTATTATTTTTTCTTTGAAATTTCCGCGTCGGCGGCCTGGATCATACTTACAAGGAAGGCTTCATGACCCGAAGGTGTTTTTCAACTAGTCGAATACACTTGTCTAACAAAACCGTTCGTAATAATGGCGCTTGAGCATTCTTTCTAGAGTGCATTTTATGGGACAACATTGCCATACTTCCCAAAATTGCGACGGAAACTGCATGACGTTATGCGCCACAGCGCGGGAAGCACAAATTTATTTTGGGATCACTTTCGCTGGGAGCTTAAATTCTGCGTTCGGAGTTTAAATATAGTTAGTGCTTAAATTCTGAAACTTAAATAAAAAATAAAAACCTGTCCCACACATAAAACCTGAAACTAACCAAATGGTATTGTGAACGTTCAATTTAAAAAAAAAAAAATTAGAAATAAAAGGAAAAATGAAGTAAAATAATGGTGCTTTACCAAGATTTGAACCGGGATATTTCGCACGCAGTACGACCTCTCGACTAACAAGTCGTTGCTGAAGCATAGGGTAGTTTAGGTATATTTATAGTGCTCAATGTAGAAAATAACTCAAACAGGCACGGTTACAAAGCTCCCATCGAAAGTGATCCCAAAATAAATTTTTGCGCGCGGGAAGCATCCACTGACGCATCGTAAGGGACTGGTGATTAAAGTGTAGCGAAATATTTACGGTGTAGTGTTTACACAACGCCACGTAGCGCCCGTTTTCGTTCGACTACGTTTAGAAATTGTCGTCGTGTCGCTGCGGCAAAGGTGACGGTTTCGAACAAATCCGCACTTTTTTTCAGAAAACATAGGCCCTGCAAAAATGAAAATCATCATTAACCAGTGGCGTAGCCAGCCCGACAATTTAGTCATGCTATGCTAATATTTTGGTGATCATCGACTGTGAAAACAATGAATTTCTAAAAAAATGAATAATGATAATAACATAAAATTTGCATCGCATGACTAAATTGTCAGGCTGGCTACGCCACTGTCATTAACTGCAGTTAACTTGAGTATGCTTGTGTTCTATTATAATTATATCCGACCCAGGTGCTACAAGACACACTCGTGGTACAATTTCTGTCCAAAAAAAGGAAAATACATCGTGAAAATACAACAGAATTGTGAATTCAAAACAGAATTGATCATGATTTAACCACGAGTCAGTCGAGATTTTAAAATAAGTTCAACGTTTTGTCTACTTAACTTAAGAAGACATCTTCAAACCAAATGATATAAAATTAAAGTTTGAATATATATATAATCTATCTACCAGGTGTTATATTTCAAGATCGTGAGGATGAGATAGGATAAAGGGGTGTAAAATAGTAAATGACAACACAATACGGCGAGGGGACATAAGTTGAAATTATTTTAAAATCTCAGTTGTTTTGATCGCCATCTTAAATTACATTTGTATCTTCGTTATTTTTGAACGGTTAATCCAGCTGGAGGAATAAGCTGCACAAATTTGCAACGTTGAAAAGATCTGAATTTTGACGTAAAAATATGTAGCATTTGCTATCTCATTACGAATGTTATTGAGTAGATGACGACGCTACATGGTTACCATGGTTATAGTTGGTTACCATGGACTATGGTTATAGTTATGACTTAGAGAACGGTAATGAATGGTTACATGGTTACCATGGTTTTAGTTATGACTTAGAGAACGGCAATGAATGGTTACATGGTTACCATGGTTATAGTTGGTTACCATGGACCATGGTTATAGTTATAACTTAGAGAACAGCAATGAATGGTTACATGGTTACCATAGTTATAGTTATGACTTAGAGAACAGGAATGAATGTTCCAATTTCGCAAATCTTGCTTAACGTTTTATCAGATGTAATGCAAATAAGTAATAAATACTAAAAATATAATTTCTGTCAATGCATAGTTATAAGTTTGTCGACATTTCCTTCACAGAATCAGAGTTCATCAACACAACAGAATCGGCATGTTTCTGTTTGCCCTGGTTTGTGTTCACAACCTGTTCATTTCCAGAATCCTGAATGCAAAATTTGTAAATTCTTAAAATGACTGCATGTAGTTGATTAGCTGTGCACAAAAGAGCGTATAAAAACGTGCAATCATCACCTGATTATGAAGTCCGATACTCTCGCCTTGTTCACTTTGCACGTCGGTATGGCCAGTGAACTTTGCAGGAAGCAAACGTTTCCACTTAAATAAAAGCCTTGGATCAACATTTTGCTCACCATCTACATATATAGGCGTATATATAACAAGAAAGAGATTTTGTTAACACTCCTTTTACTGGTTATCAGCAAACATGAAGGATTCGTCGTAAAATCTAGAATCTAACATCCTACCTTTCCACAGGAAGCTAACCAAAAGACCAACAACGAATGTTATGAAAAAACAATAGAAACTGTACCAGAATGGGGACGTTTTGTAAATATCTAGGCCATCGTAAATCCTGTTTAGACAAACATAAAAGCGAAGCATTTTTATACCGCGGTAATTATGATCCGTAATTTCACTCTTTTGCGGAGAATTTAGAAGTTTATTTCGATGGAGCAATTGTGTGACTTTTTCCCACAGGGGTATAACCCTGTAACGACGTTGTAAAATCCGAAGAACTTACTTTGTTGTGTTAGCGACCGTTGTAGTTAGATTCGCATCGGGGCATCGATCAATGGAAACTTTTGGTATGGACAACGGCGGTTTGTGAATCTTCGCACCAATGGCGACAAATAAACCGAAAGCAAATCCACTGATAAGGCCAACGTAGGCTCCCTTAAAAGTTCATATCATAAATTGTTATGTATAAGTCTTGAAACATTCCTCTTATTTTATCTGACCGGCACCCATGGTGAGCTTTAATACAACTGGAACGATAACTCCATAGTAGGTCAGGGAAAGATAAGTCTTCCCTTGTGGTTGGTACATTTCTATGATGCACTTTTCTAAAGTTGGGACCAAAGCCGTCCAAAGGTTAGGAGGAAGGACAGGGGAAATCGCACAATTGATTGTTAAACTACTTGATTCTTAGGGTTATGCATGCTAAAGCGGACACAATGACAAAATCTAGGGGATTTTGCGAAATGTATAAATATGTATAATTTAAGGACTTTGCATGCAGTATCGATCTGAGCTAATGGGGCTCTTTGCGGTTAAAACTTCAAAAATAGCACAAGGAACTCGAGATCTGCCGATCGCCAAATCAATCAATTTAACTTCCTCGAGATGCACTCCTCCCCACACAATGGCACCGCTGGTTCATCGTCTTCCTTTGAAGTCCCTGGTCCGAAGTACCGGCACAAGGCGTAAGGCTGACGAGAACGCGCGCAAATTGCTCAAAAATTAAATATCCCGTTCTCCTAATTCTTTCTTAGTCACCTTTTTGTTTGCAAATTTAGTAAACATCCCGATTGAGTAAATGGCAACCACAGGACCGCCAGCGACGCCGGAAACTTGGTAAAAAGACTAGAAAATTTGATGAAGGTACATCCTTAGTAAAACGTAAAACAAAATTGCACCAAAACGGAAATATAGGTTTGTTATGTCATTTGTAGGTTTTGCATTATCGTTAGTATTCGCATAATTAGTTGCATTATCGCATTATGGTAAGTATTCGAATTCGTAAGTCGAAATATACCAAATGCCCATTAGATTAACCAAATCATAATTGGCAATATCAAGAAAGATGACACCAGGTGCATTCATCTATAATGTATTGCACTCTGGGAAGCATGCATGGATATTTAAAAAAACTTCAAAAGAACCCCTAACAGCATGAAAGCGTCACCTTGCGAAATTTCCAGAAAAAAGCCACGATGGCTATTAATACATTGCGCGACATGCACACCCGCAAAAGTTATTTTTGTTTTTTTCATTTTACCTGCAAAATCGTACCAAGCGTCCCACCTAGGAATGACAATCCGACTGTGACCAGACCCAAAGTTGCAGCTAAAATGTTTTACACAGATTTAAATTTTCATACATACATATTTCGGTTCTATACATTCATCCTATATTTAAACAGTACACCGCAATTCATTTATTTCTTTTTAATGAATGACATGGAATCATGTGATAGCATAACTTTTGATACCAAGTATATTAGTGGTCGATTAGTATAGTCGATGTAGCACCCCAATAATCCCATTGGTGTCCCGAAACCTCTCTTATTTACGCTCTTGGTTAAGTTTGTCTAATTGTAGTTTTTTGTACCAAAGCAGTAGTAAGTTAAGTGTACTGATGAAGGTTCGCTACCGTAGCATGCATAATGCATGTTCGAGCTGTGCTTTGTTAGAGCTGTTCTTTTTGTTAGGAAAAAGTAATATTTAGTATGATCATGCATCCCCCGTGTCCAAAGGAACAAAAATATCAAAAAATGTTTCACCTATACATTTTGACAATAACGTCAACCTAGATTCCGAGACAACCAAATTTCTGTGATTCACAAAAGGCTTGACAAAATCTTCCAAAACTACTGCTGCCAAAGAGTTCATCCCAGATGACAGGGTGCTTGAAACAAGTAAAAAATTATCTTCACGAATCACGATATTTAGGAAAGGGCAGAAAATTCGATAAGATATGTAATCGTATAGCCAACACGATGTGGCAGATACCTTAATGTTCCACTGAACAAGCAAGCAAGGAAGACTCCTGGTAAACCATGCAGGTGCCCAATCACATCCATTACGAAATACGGTAGGATCTACAAAATTTTGGTCAGAGGCGTGTTCAACAATAGGTGAATGGAAATATTGAAAATTCACAATTCACATTTTGAATATAGCTACCTGATCGGAACTGGATATTGCTTGTCGTTTTTTTGGATCACAGCCCACGTAGTATGCGAATATAACTGCTCCACATAACGAGCATAGTGACACAGTTAGTAAACTCAACGGTAACGCCATCCATACTGACCTAGGAGACGAATAAAGAATTTTTGCGATTCCGGATTTGTAGTGTACATGCGTATAAATAAGGTCGTCAACTATATTTTTTCACTTGTATGAAAGGGCTTTGGTACACAAAGATGGTGATGCCTGATGGTGATAGTTCTATGTGGTGATGCCTGAGTATAGCAGTTGTCGTGTTTTTCTCATTTAAGTCGATAATTTATTTAATGCCAATTAAAACAACGGCTGACGGGTCTAACTTTCACACCTTTGTGCATCCTTTAGAGATTTCGCAGACAAAAATCTTTGGACTGCTGTTTGATTTACAGACCACAAAGGCAGAATTGCGAATGCCCCACCAATGAACATTACCCAGAACGTTGTTCGTTCCTTTGGATCAAAACTAAAACTACACAAAAAGGAGAAGTAGATGTAAGATTTAAGATTTACCGTCTAGGTGGTGTAGAAATATCATGACAATATTAGGAAGAGGGAACGTTAAAAACATTTACCTGACGCTGGTTCTATTATTTTCTTGAAGAATTGACAGAACATGTGATGCTCCTCCTGCTTTGGACGTGCCGACAATAACAACTATCACTAAACCCCCCAGCATCACAACAGCTTGAAAAACATCATTCCAAATTACTGCTCTGATACCACCCTAAAGAGTCCAAAATCTTTATCGAGCGCAGGAAACATCAGGAGTACTCAACATTGGTCCATGTTTCCTTATCATGGTAATTATCCTGGAGTCGGCTGTATAACTATATTTTGCATAGTTAAATCCTATAGTTAACTCAGAAATACACAACTCTGATTGAATGGACAGTTCTGTCCTTAACTACAGTTAACTTTTAACTAGCCTTTTATACATTTGGGCCCCGAGTGTTAAAAGTTTCATTTAGAGTACAAACTATCAAACCCAACGTTGAAATTAAATGCATGCTTCCAAAAATATAGAATGATTAATGCAACAATAATCGGTTACCAACAGTCCAAAAAAAGGAAAAAAGAGCTCTTCAATTTTATTGTAAACCATAAAATTCGCAAAATGAAATTTATAACCAATCCTGGCATAACTCACATACAAATCTAGAATGCCTATTACTGATAGCTATATGAACTTACTATAGTTGTGTAAAATGTACAAACAACTCCTATTGATAAAATAGACACCCAAATAGGCAAGCCAGTAACTATAAAAAAATAGATATTAGATAAAGATCTCCTGTGAGTACCAATTATCTTACAATTTTAACACGCAAGTGCTCCATGCTTGTGTGGGACATCTTAATCACTAAATAATCCCGAACAGAACAATGATACTTTCATTGTCTTCTAGTTTTGGCAGCTAAATACGGCAGGCGATTTATACATGTAATTCCCAAGCCACCCAAAAAATGCCAAATTATCCGTTCAGAATCAGTTTAGGTTTCTTCAATTAAATAGATAAGAATAGTGATACCTGATTCAAGTGCCAAAGATGGACCATATGTGACAATTGCCATATAAAACAACTTGAAAAAATACAAAAAAAGTTTTAGATCCCAAAACTAAAAAAATATCTTTACATTTATAAGAACTTATAAGCGGATTAATCCGGGTGGATAGCAGGAAAAAATCGAAACTTAGGAAACTTTCTTTCCAATCCGACCTTTTTTCCAATCAAAGGAAATATTTAATTTATTTAAAATGCACACATTTATAGTGGTTTTATTTGGTGGTTTATTATGTACAATAAGAAAGATAAATGTAATGGAACTTACTGTATAGATAATGAATAAAATTGTCCCAATTATTCTGATACCAAAGGAAAAACGTCTTTCTAAATACTGTAATAGAAATGGAAGTTTGTATATCGCTTATTTTATATTATAGTATTCTTATTAATTCTTATTATTACTAGCATGATAGAATTAAAGGGGGTTAATTGGTTGAGACATGAGGGGAGCGTGTTTATTCGATCCAGGGGCTTATTCCTCAATTTTGTTTTTTTTGGTTAAACTTTAAAGAGACTTTACAGGGTTACATACGGTTTTTTACCTCCGCGGCCGTGGTGGGAAGGTTGAAAGAATTTGTTGGTAGTATATAGAATTTATAGGCTTTGGATATTAATAATTGGAGCTTTTGTTAAAGATTTTGTTAAAATTCACTGGTTAAAAATCGATGTTGGAGATACTTAAAGCATAATATATTCTTTTCAAAATACAAAACGTAAATTTTTGCCAACAAGCATTCTTTTGGTGGTAAAAGAACTGCTCCGATATTTCAGGAGGGGGAGGAGGGGGTAGTTCGATTCAGCAGGAAACCTAATAAGGATTGAAAATTGTGCGATAATATAATAAATATTGACAATAAGTAAATAGATTAGTTGAAAAATTACTGTTATGTATACTCATAGGGTTTTGTTTATATGTCTATACCGTTATGTATTTCAGGGTTTTGTTTATCGCACGCTTATTTTTAGCTGCTTTATGTTTGTGCCAATCTCGTCAAGACAACGATAAATCTTGGTGCAATATTTCAAATGCACAACAGTCATTGCCATTGGCATTGCCATTTGGCTACATGATAAACGACACCGTAAACGATATTATGGATTTCGAGAATTCGACATATGATAAAGGACACAAAAGTCAAGTCTTAATGTTGCTATGGAGACACGACTTGAGAGAAATAATGAGTTTGTTTTCTGCCAGAGGTCTTCCCATTCCCAAGGCGGAGACAAGAGGAATGTTGAGATGAAACTTGAGCACACATCTTAATTTGCCATGGCTCAGTTACAGGATGGAAAAAAAATTCAAAGCTTGAACTAGCTGGTTTCAGTGAAATGAAAATAACTGGAACGTTCTGGAACGCTCTGGAAGTCACCCTCCAGTCTTTACACAAAAACAAACACGGCCAAAACAAAAGTATTTTGTTGTGATTTCGTAAATCTGATAAAAACTCCCAAAAAAAATTCTAGGGACATAAATAACAGATTTTGTTGGTACTTCCTGCCGGCTGAGACATTCTTGATGTTAGTAGAATGCATTTTATGGACCTATATTTGGAAATGCGGAGTAAGACGGCTCTTTGCTAGCAAAAAGCGTAGAGCCTGGCGTGACAATGCAGGGATATTATACACTTAATGTATGCTCCCGAGGAAAATAGTGAGTTTTGTTTTCCCAAGAGTCTGAACGTTTCCCGAGACGAAGTTGAGGGAAACATTGAGACTCAAGGGAAAACGAAACTCACTGTTTCCCGAGGTAGTGTACATTAAGTAGTTTGTTATATAGGAACAAAAACATACATGTTACACAACAATCTCATTAAAAAAACCCACTTTACATTGTTATGACAATATGCCGGGAACAATTTTTCACTTGTTACCCTGGCGCGAAACATCGTATTTATTTAAAGTCATGTGACTACGAATGAACCAATCACATTTAAAATACAAAGCAACTATATAATAATTGTTTTTTAATACTCTATAATTAATACAACTTTTTTGCCATCTAGTCACTTGGAATTATTAAAATAAACATAAACTTATATTAAACAATGTCTATCAGGCGTATTTTGCGATTAAATTTTAGCTTTTAGGATATCTGTTTCGTACAAATATTGTTGTCAAAATTGCACATCGCTATAAACTTAAATTTGTTTCTAATTTGTTATTTATTACAGTTCACTGGCTGGTATAAACACAATAATTCATAACAGTTAAGTAAGGTCACAGTATTTTTCACGTAAATGTGTTTCTATTGTTCATCTCAGGACTAAACAAACATGCATCTCCATCCAGATGTGTGCACAGAATTTTGAACAAAGACTTCAAAACAAATCAGGACAGCATTCAAATAAAATGCTTTATAAAAATTCAGATGGAAAATGTCATTGTTAGTCAAAAGAAAGGGGCATGTACATTCACATTGTAATGATTGTATAGTATCATGATGGTGGTAAATACTAAATTATTGTAAAATCATGACACTTGTATATTAGACGTCCAGTGTTTGTTATTCACTAATTTACTGTATATACATTTGGTGTCTTTTGGAAATTGCCATATAGTAAACTTAAGAAAGCAACCATTCAATTTGGCTGCAGACCATAAACACGAACAATCGTTAGCCCATTTTTGTCTCCTCACAACACAATTTTTTTTACTATTTCTTATCCTAACATAATTCTAGTTTAAAAAGCTAAAATCAAGAGCATGCCATTCTTCATCTTACAAATTCCATAATTGGATTAGTTATCCCCACCGTGCGAGGGTACTAATTCTGCCCGGAGATTAGTACATAGTGGAATCCAAAATTGTCCTGTCATGGACGTTTGACTGTTTTGTCAGTTATGCGCATGCGCAAGTAACCACTAGTAATCAACAATGTTCCGATTGGCTAAGACAGAAAGTTTGTATTTCAATGAGAACGTCAGCAATTTAACTGTCATTTTGTAAACTCTTTTGTAAAAGCGTTTCTGTAGTTTTAAAAACTTTGCGCAAAATAAAATGAGAAGAAACAAGATAAGGAATGACAGATAACTATGAAGAGCATGGATACGGTTCAAGACAAAGCGGTGTAATAGAAATAATTCATAATCTGCAAGCTTATAAGTGTTTTAAAAGGGTATGTGTTTACTTTGTTTATTTTGTATTTGCTTCACGGTAAGGATGCAGTTTATTTCAATAATTTTCAGCTTTGTATAAGCTGTTTTGCAAATAAAAACCAACTATGAAAGGCTATTACATGTTCTCTTTAACTTCAAAAAGTATTTTTGAAAGTATAATTTGAATTTTGATATGACAAAATATCACTACACACTATAAAACTTTTAGCCCTCGACTGCAATCACAAAATAAAATAACATTTGAAGTTTTTGTTTGTCTCTGAAGATTTTGTACTGTTTTAATTGTTTGAAACTTCAAATTTAAACCATTACTTAATTGCTATCATGGCATGATGCAGCAAATAATGAACGGCCAAAGTTTACACTAGGTTTATGATTATTTTTGTACCAAATGATAGAAACATTAGCTACTTATAATATACTCCATAAAATATAGTATAGCCTGATTTGATAAAATATAATATAGCCTGAGTTTTGTGTCATTTCATAACATAAGCTTAGGTCATGCAGGTTAATTAATTCAGGAAATTGTGTACTTGGTTTGAAACAGCAAGGGGTCCTAGTATTTTTATTTGTTATTGTGATCAGGTGAGAATGGAATTTTGGTACCAAAATTTGTTGTTTTATCTAATAAGTCAATTAAATCTACTCACCGCTATATGGTTAGTCTCTATAATATTTGTGACTAGTGAAAACATTCAATTGAGCATTAAGATCTTCTAAATCACTTTACCTCATATGAGCTTGTTAGACCTAATTCGTACAATATTGGCACAAATATCAAGGCCACAGATGGAAACGCAAGAAAATATGACACAACCACCAGCCAGTACTGTAAGCCAAATGTATAAATCTCTGAAGGTACTCCAAGAATGGTAATACCGGACATAAATGAAGCAAGCAATGACAATGCCACGGGTATGCTCATCATCTTTCGACTTGCCAAAAGATATTCCTTGGTTGTAGATGGTTTTGATATAACAGCATGGTAAATACCAACTGCGACTGAAAGTACTAAGGTAAGGCCAAACACGGCGTAATCTGCCACGTGAAATCGTAAAGTACTCATGATATAGTGACAGTCGTGGATATAGTAGATGTAAAGACGTTTTTACAACACAAACTGACCAAGTTTAACAGTTCGACTGGAGAGTTTAATCTATGATCGTGTTTAGGCTACAACTGATACATGGCACGTCCGACACATCTCGAATTTTACTTCAAAACACCACATGTGTTGCGTGAAAGAAGATACCAATTGTCTTTGTTGTGTACATAATATCGATCAAAGATCAAAAATATTGGACCCGACCGTTTTGGACGACGCTTTGCTGGCTTTGCTGGCTTGCAACTCCCCCCCCCTGTAAAGATAGAAGTCATGTAAGAAAATATCGGTATGTATGCTTCCACAAAAAGTTATTCTTACAAACGAGGAAACGTAGTACAAAAGTATAAACAAAACATATTGTAATAATTGTAATGTATAAATTAGTTATTCACTAATATATCTTATTTGCACGTGTAGAATAAGTCAAAATCACTTTGTAATCATACTTTAGAGTGCATTGAAATAATACATTAAGTCATTAAATTAGATTTGAAAATTTGTATTCATAACTTCCACCATGGATGCAAAGTTGGGAAATTTTCCTGTCGATTCCCGCCAAATCCCGCCAAAATCAAAGGCATTGAATGGAGTCTTCGATCGGTACATAGAACGATTGTTTATTTCATTCGATCACAGACTTGGGGTTCAGAGGAGTATGCAAAATATGTAAAAATCGGCCTTCAGATATGTCAAATTTTAGAAAGAGGCTGCCTTCGAAGGCGATCAGCAGCTCACGTACCACAACAGGCGAAGATAAAAACAAGTATGTATAGTGGCAATCGCTAATCTAGTTGTCTGTATTAAAAAGTGAGGCGATTTACTTTATGAATTGCATGATCAAGTCATTCTATAAATTTTTAACACATGAACAATCGATAGAAATTAATATCAGATAAGTAAATTATTTGCAGCTTCATTTTAGGGGTACGATTTGGGGGTGTATCCGTATATGGGTGTCGGGTGATTGTTAGAGTTTTATAATAGAAAGAGTGTAGGGGGATTGTTATGAAAGCTGGTGGGGATTGAGGAAGGCATACATTTGAAAAGGATAAAATAATACAATATTTTTCATTATTGCAATCACTGTGTCCATCACAATCACCCTATCTTGAGTTAAATGGCAATAACTCCTGCAATTTCATGTGACCATCAATCAAATTATTACAAGGTGTACCCATGGCTATACCAGAATGCTCCTTCTTGATATGAGTTTTTATTTCATTAATCAATACATGGTGGATTTTATTATTGTGGCTTGATCATACCATGATCCCTAAAATTATTTCTATGCTTGAAAGCTTGCTTGTCATTATTGCAAACTTTGCAACCCAAGGCAGTGTGAATGAAATTAATATTTTGAGTGAGGTTAAGTTATATAATGGTTTGGACCTGAATAAGACCTAAATTCCAATAATTATCCGAAAGCTTAACTTCCTTACACCAATGTTATTGATGTACAACTTTATTGTGTACTTCTACCCACCATAACTTTTTCACTTCCCCAGGGAGAAATTTCAAAATTCTTATGGTCGGTTCACGCGATCCAATTTTGTTGGATCCAATTCACTTCTGATGAATGCTTTATAGTCTGTTGTCTTGTAATGTAAAATCCAACAAAATTGGATTGTGTGAACAAATCTTTCCACAAAATTGAAACTGAGATTGAGTAATCTCTTTTTATAAACCAGTAAGAAAACAATAATGTTTCAATGTTTTGACTTTTTATGCATGAAAAACACCTTAATGTTGCAACTGGAAACAATTTTTCACCAAACTAATAGGATAGCAAGTGGCTACGATAACATTCAAAATACAGCATTTGCAATAGTACTTGACTATGTTTTTACAAGACATTGTGCTAAACACCACAGAAATCGTCCGTGCTCTGCCAAATTATAAAAAAATGGCAGGGGATCAATTATGATTTATGAATAACAATTTTTGAAAAACACTTGAGATCAATCAATCATAAATTGGTAGAAAATCAAGGAAAAATGCGCTATAAAATGTTGCTTACCTTGGCTTGTGAACGAAATGTCAGTTGAAAAAATATTACAGTCACCTTCAGCTCAAGCTCTTGTGAAATAAAATTTCTTCAATTTTCTGGTAGTATTTATTATTGTTTTCTAGAATGCGATGTTTATTTACCGTATGGCATATGCCCTGGAAGATACATTCGCTGTAAATACACAAAATAAGCACCCCTTTCACCGTCATTTTGAGTTTTCGAAAACGTTCGGAGTTTATAATGCGCGGGAAGCAACAATTAGGATCAATCACGGCAGATCGCATAAAATTGTGTCTTCGCGGGAAACTCAATTAGTGCATTTCAACGCAAAAATGTGGTCTTGAACCATGGCAATGGACAACTGATGTAACTACCTGGATTTTCAGCTTTTCCATTTGATTTCTACACGACAAGCTAAAGTATTAAGATTCGCAATGATAACTGGCCTCATTTTGAAACAAAATGCAAACCATATTTTAAAAGTAATATTAATATTTTATATTATAGCTTTTTTAAAAATCGAAAAAAAACCTGAACATCCTTCTGCAATCCCCTTGTCCCCAGCGCCGGTGCCTTTATTGGAGCCTTATATACTGGAGATTGAATCACGCAGACTGGAAGAATAACCAATTTCGAGTTTATTAACTGATTATCTTTACGATCCATTAGCTGTATACGCCCATCGTGATTAAATAAAAGTTTGATATTACTAACAGCTAGATGATGAGCGAATTAAGCCTATGAAGCACTGTTGACACCTAGGGCTGGGAGAATCAAAGTTTAAGTGCTGTAAAACCAAATTTAATAAAAGTTTTTTGATGAAAGAAAACATTTTTTACCCATCAAAGACTTCCTGGTCTGATTGTCTATCAACTCTCTCATTCCCTTGTGACCTTACCTTTGTTCGTCTTTTCAGACAAGATGAAGCCAGTTCTGTAGAAGCTCGCACATTACGAATTGAAACAAATGAATTGATCGATTCGAAATATGGTTTTGACCGTTACAAAGACCCAACCGACCGCCTTGGGTGGCTGATTAACATGCATCCAGTAAGTAGAAAACGTTTGAGTAGTAGAGAAAACAATTCGCTAATCTATTGACAGTTTCCTTTTAGGCCAAACAGAAATTTGTTTACATTTAGTAACGTGTTCAAAATGCATAAATGTTTAACTACTTCTGGTAAAAGGTCGATAAATAAGTAATAAATTGGAATACAATATTTACATATATTGCATACAGCAATTTTATATTAACAGACTTGTAATTACGAAAAGTATCATAAATAATTGAAAAAGTAAAACAAGGGAAATCTGTTCCACCTAAATTTAGACAATGTATAAGCATTGATCTCATTCATCTCTTCATCACCGTATAAGTTTGTCGAATTATGTGCAAATAGTATATTAGGTTAACATATATTCTCTTGTTTGAATTGCACTGCAGAAGAGCAACATCCTGTAAATATCCTATCAATTTCTAGACTGAGGTTCTCGACGATGAGAAGAAGTTGATTAGTGCGCTGGACATGTACTTCATTCAAGACGATGGTAGAAAATTCAGGGTAAATTTGCAACTGTAAATTGGTCTTACTTTATTACGATCCCGAACATCCTACTTTTATTTTTTCCAATGTACGGGGATACTTTCGGGAAAACACTCAGTGGGTGTTTGTGACAAAGTGAAAAATGACGCCATTAAACAAAAAATGAAAAAAATTAAGTTCGACGAACTTGGAAGATTTCACATGTGTATTACTATTGACAATTAATAACTTTAAAATGGGATTACTTGGCACTGATGCATTGTGTTTCAAAGTACTCCTTTTCTTCCATCATCTCGTAGGTCCCTTTGCCCTTCAAGCCATATTTCTACATCTTGGCAAAGAAGGTAAGCAGAAGGTAACCCTAGAGTGACTGAAATGCTGCCTGAATTTAACCGAACAAAGGAAGATGGGCTGTACAGCGTCAAGTTTTGTTTCACTGGATGACTTCAAGAACATTACCATTCCATTCAACTGTACGAAGTACCATCAAAATAAAAATAAATGATGTCTTAATGATATGAATTTTTGGCGCTTAACTATGTCTCTAGTTTAATTGTCCCCCTTGACCTTGTAACAGAACCTCGGAGTTTTCCAGTTAGTGCTAAATTTTTGGAGGCTACGAATCATTTATATCTATTTTTGCCAAGAAGGGTTCAGAAATATGCTGGCCAGAAAAAAAATTAAATCTCTCACTGAACAGGATTTCCTGCGCTGTTGTAGTATACAGAATGCCGGGTATTAACGATAGTGCTGTGACGATGGCGCTTTCCGCCCGCCTTAGCGCCAGTCCTGCTCCTTGGACATCTTCATTTCAAATTCCTTTAAATATAAGATGAAAATTGGTAGAGAAAGTTAGATGCATTTTATTTTAAATATAGGGTAAACAAATATAGTATTTACTTTACTAGGACACAGATCGTGAGCTTGCTACGTTCTTGAACAGGAAGTTTTCAGGTCTCTTATCAAATATAGAGACAGTTCCAAAAGAAGACTTAGATTTGGTATGTACTCGACTTCGCAAAATTTATTAGCTATTCACAGTGAGAACCCTTACACATGCGTGGTAATTTTCATGAAATTTGTGCCGTTCTATTTCGTAAAATTCTTAAAACTTTTGAATATAATAATTCGACTGCTGATGCGATATATTTGCTTGTACATGTATGTCTTTTATCTGCTACAGAGCCGAAACTATATATAGATGCGATAACCGGGATGCATATTCATATATTCGATTATCTCGGCGAATTTCGTCTTGAAAAGAAATCCGTTGAGCGGAAGATTCTATCAGCTACAACATCGACTTTCTACAATGTTTACTACTGTCAATTTTTAATTTTTTTAGCCAAATCACCTTGTTGGTCTACGGCGGAGCTACATTAAGCTTTCTTTCATGAACGTTAATGACCTGATGAAAGTTAAGAGGTAATCTGCTGCTTTTACGGAGTATCCCATCTATAAATCAACGGTGTGCTAATGCAGTCCCGAACCATTTTCGCCAAAATGGTTTAAATAGAATGTGTGACGAGGAAAGATGAAAGATATATCCGTCTACTTGAATTTCAAATAAGTGCATGCTTCAAAGAGGTATACGGATACATAAATCCGTAATATATCTCTAGCAACACATTCGCAAAAATTGTTATGATATTACTCTTGTAGAGTGATAATGCCAGCTGTTCGTAAGAATAAGGAAAGACTTAACTCAAATACCACGTACAATCTCGTGGTGAATCAAAATGTCGACGATAAATGGGCCGGAAACAAATCTCTGTTCGATCAGATGGAGAATATCATTGATATCAGGTACATAGGTTACCAAGGTTCATCATTTTCTTTTCACAAACATATTCCAATGCCACTAAAGAAATTGAAAATTTTATAAGTATTCTCTCTAAGCTATTAAAACTATCCGTAATTTGAGTGCCTGAGTAATAAATTTATCAATAAGCTAAAACACGGCAGTCATGCAGCCTGATCAAAAGCACCATTTAAGACCAAACAAAAATATTCTTGAACTATATAGGAAAAGATTTCAAAACATAATACATTTTGCAATTTTTCCCTTTATAAGTACAAAAACAAGAAATGCTGTCAAACATTTTTCATGTTATATTGTACATAGCGTCTAAATTTGAAATGATTAGGTTCAGATATTTTTTGCATCAGCTTTATTTCTACGTGTCCCCTGGTTTTTACAAGATATAACGTATAAGCTGGAAGTTACTAAAATTTGGTTTTGCAAGCATGCAGTGATATGTGACTTATCAAATATTTCTATGTTTGGGAAATAATTTAGAGAGTACGATGTGCCATATCACGTTCGCGTCGCGATTGATTTGAAGATTCACGTGGTAAGATGCATGCTGCAAATATTAAGTTATGTATTACCGATCTTTTCGATTCAAATAGGTCTTAATTGAAATTAGGCAATCGAAATATATTTCTGACACCGTTCTCATGCATTAGGCCACAGCGTATAAATGCATTTGTTGCAATGCGTGTTTTTTCAAATAACCCAAGGGTCATTGGTACAAGGTGAAGGTGCGAGGAGGATTATATCCCGAGATGGAAAGACAAGATGATTTGTTGGATAGGCCTGTAAGTTTATCTATACTTCTTGAATAATTGTTCCAGACAATAGTGCCATTATAGTCGTACTGGACGAAATACAAAACAGTTTTTTAAAGAATTTTTCTCGTTTCGAAAAATGAAAAATGATTTTTGCCGCTATTTATACACGAGATGTTCTTAAACTAAATGTCCACTGGTGCACCCCAGGAATTGAATCTTCGGTTGCATGCAGTGCTTAGTAATGTTGGGGCGTAGTTGTGTTGTTGGTCTCCTAGCGGTTCTGGCCAAAACTAGCCGGGCAAAAATGTCTCCACGCGAACATCGCTTGTATATTTCATGTTGCTTTTCCTTGCAAACTAGGCTGAAGTGAAAGTTGTAATGATCATGCTCATTATAGGAAACATGCACTCGTTGCATTTATAATACCTTGATGCTTATTGGAATCATTGATTCTTCTATTATACTGCATGCGTTTCGTCACAAGATGTGATTATAGATATTAATTTCCTATACTTGTCATGATAAAAAATGTCAATACAGGATCCAGTGGTGTTCGCCTTTGATATTGAGACTACGAAACTTCCGCTGAAATTTCCTGACTCCAGTGTTGATAGCATTATGATGATTTCCTACATGATTGATGGCCAGGTCAGTATAGATTACTTTGCAAAAACGGAAACGCTCCAAACGCTCCTAAGAACATTATGATATACTACATAAATCTAAACCCCGTTTTTAGGCAATAAATCCACTATTAGGCACATACTCACAAATGTATATATACTAGCACAGATATTGAGTAGATCCAGAAAGCACAATAATCATTGACGAAAGAATGGCAAGATGAGGCCACTAAAGCATTTTTACAGTACTAAAAACTGCATGATTTCGATAAATGTTCATTTATGTTTATTCATATCCATGTATTAAGAAAGACGAAATAGAATATAACTATTACCGCATGCACTTCGTTTTTTTCTTCCTAGGGGTATTTAATCACAAACAGAGAGATTGTCTCTGAAGATATTGAGGATTTTGAATATACTCCGAAACCAGATTACGAAGGTCCAATAATCGTCCTAAATGAACCGGATGAGGTAGAAGTTTTATTGAGATAAGTAAGAAAAATAATAGGTTTTCCCCACTATAAGATGTCCATGCAATGCCATCTTTTTCACGTTCTTGGTAGAATAAAATAATATTTTACTTTTTAATTTAAAAATTCCTGTGCACTCCGCCATCTTGGCAAAATATGCCAGACTTAAATAATTTTATTTGAGGTTTTAGCCATGGATTTTCGATTTAAAATTAACATCTCTTTTAGCTATATAGTTCTACAAATATAAGTATTAATTTTTACTGAGGGATTGCTTATATTTTAATTCTAATTTGTTAAAGATAAGTCTGCTCCACCGTTTCTTTGAACATATTCAAGAGGTGCAGCCAAGCGTATTTGTAACCTACAACGGAGACAGTTTCGATTGGTGAGCGTTTCACGTTTTCTTACAGTCATTGTAGGTCTACACGTCACTATATATGAGCCTTTACAAGAGAATTCTAGGAAGTTCTTCAAATTGAAAAATATTGTATGAGAAATCACTACAGTTTTGGATTAAATGTTGTATTCCAGGCCATTTATTGAAGCTCGAGCATTGCATCACGGCTTGAAGATGGCTGACGAAATAGGTAATGGTCAAATTATCTATGACTGGGACTAAGCTGAAAGAAATAAACAATAGAAAATATTACGTGTGGAAGAACTTATCGGATGTTTTTCAATTTACACATATTAATTGGACGAGTGATTAGAGCTGAAATTACTCAAAACATTATAGCTATATAAAATTTTTACAGGGTTCATGCAGCGCCTGTTTGATACACCCTGTAGTGTATTTAAAAATATCTTTCTCCTTTGGGATTTGTTGGGATTTTAAAAATTTTTAAAAATTACGCCATTTTACAATGAAATATTTAGGTATTCCCAATCAATTTAAAGAAATATTTTTAAGAATTGAACACTGACCAATCCATAGTCATGCATGTCATATAATACCCGACCGGGTGTAATAAATATCCGAGCATAGTACCACCGCACGCCGCTTTGCGCAGGCTCGGGGAGCAATTGTTGATAAATTTGTCCGCATTGTGAAATTCCTTCTTATATAATGACATAAAAATACCCACCTTTGTAAAGATACAAAGGGAGTTCTTACCGAGTCCGTCGCACATCTAAATGCCCAAAATACAATTTTTAGGATTTGCACCGGATTCCCAACAAGAGTATAAATCGAGAGCTGCAATTCATATGGACTGTTTTAGGTACATGTATGATCTGTTAGCAGTAAAACATCTTATAAGCGTGCCCAGGAAAATTTGGAAGAGACAACAGATTTCTTTGTCTTTTAAGCTCGTCTCCTTAAGCCGGTTTTCCACTAGCGATATTTTTCGCGCGAAGCGACTTTATTCCTTTGTATTTGAGCAATTTGTTCCAGATGGTTGCAGTTGAGAGCTCTGAAACAAAAGTAAAATGTCGCTTCGCGTGAAATATCGCTAGTGGAAAACCGGCTTTACTGAGGCAAAAACAAAAATGGCACACAAAAAGAACTTTTGAACTAATTTTTCTGGGAATATTTAGAATACAAAAAGTAATAGTTATTGACAAATACGCATGTTCTGGCAAACTCAAAAACAATTTCACCAATGCCGTACAGAGTACCAACCCTACGAAGCGAGGAATTTCGCTTGAGCAATATTTACCTACTACTTCTGATACCATTTTTATTGCTTTCAGATGGGTAAAACGTGACAGTTACTTACCTGTTGGTAGCCAAAATCTTAAAGCAGTGACAAAGGTATACAGTAGTTTTTGTTTAGATTTAGGTTTGACTGAACAGGATATTTTAGCTTAAACGCGGTCGATTAAACAAAGTTTAAAAGTACTCTCGTGCATCTTGTGAATGACTGAACCTATACAAGTTTATATCTTCTATCTACTTACATCGAATTATTTCACCTCTGTTTTTCGATAAATAGATTTTTTTTTCCATTTTAAACTTAATTGCCGTTTAAGCTAAACCCCTTTCAACCGACCGGCCCTTAGAATCTTACATGAGAGATTAAACAGTTTACATTACGTGTATAATAGCGGTATAATGACCACAGATTGGTTGCATTTTTCAATTTTATTTTCTTTCAGGCTAAGTTGCGGTACAATCCAATTGAATTGGATCCTGAAGAAATGTGCCGCATGGCTAGCGAGCAACCACAGGTGCCGAACTGAGTGCTTGCCAGAACTGAGTTCACTTTGAATTAACATTATTTTCATATTTCCTATTCAGGAAATGGCTAACTATTCGGTTTCTGATGCCGTTGCAACGTATTATCTTTACATGAAGTATGTGCATCCCTTCATCTTTGCACTCTGCACCATTATTCCCATGGAGCCTGATGAAGTAAGATTTCATTTTATACTCATAGCAAACAATTTACAAACGTTTTCATGAGAATTGCTGAGGTTTTTAGGTGGTTAATTGTATAACTATATAAAGTCTACGTATACAATTAAGCATACACTACGGCTAAGTCTATACAAATGCAAACCAATTTCTGTGGAGCCAATGCATTTATACAATGGAAGCCTTTCTAGCTCTGCTGCTTTGCTCGGTTTTGTTATATAGGTATTACGCAAAGGTTCTGGAACTTTATGCGAGGCCTTGCTCATGGTTCAAGCGTTCCACGCCAACGTCATTTTTCCTAACAAACAAGAACAGGTAATAATTTTAACCTTTTCGAATACTTCTTGTGTGGTATCGAATGGTGATCACAAAAATGTTCTTAGCTAGTATATACGTAGTTTGTTTCCCATAAGAATTGGATTTTATAGAGCCGAATTTGCTTAATCGCGATGGTCTTTAACCTCCGTAGGTCTTTAGTAAGCTTACCAATGATGGACATCTTTTGGACTCCGAGACTTACGTTGGTGGCCACGTTGAAGCTTTGGAATCCGGCGTGTTTCGTAGCGACATACCGTGTCGATTCCGCATGGTAAGTTCTGCATAATATGCCGAACATTGCGATTGTTAATTGGTCAGGTAATCAGGTTGAATATGTGATCATAAATGATAAATGAAAATGCAAGAAATATTTTTTTATATTTAAACTCTTAAGATTGCGTCTTGCGACCTGCATTATTGTATCATTGTTGATCATGGTTCTCTGACTTTCGATAAAAATGATTACGTCTCTTTTGCAGTCCCCTTCAGCCTGTCAGCAGCTAATTGACGATGTAGAAAGTACGATGCGTCATACAATCATCGAAGAGGAAAAAATCGCCATTGAGACGGTTACAAATTTTGAAGAGGTATACTATAATGTAAATTTGAAAGACACCTTGGAAAGTGAAATCAGTCAATAAAAGCTGTTGCACGGTGCAGTGCAGTGCACTACACTACACTACACTTCGTATACACTACACTACACTACACTACACCACTGCACTGCACTGCACTGCATTGCACTGCACTATAGCACGCTACAGTGCACTGTCCTGCACTGCACTGTACTGCACTCCACTGCACTGTCGGCTCAACCCAGCGAATTTGGAAATCAAATCCTGAAATCTATTGCCTGCAAATTGGACTCCCTTACCAATCTATTTTTCTGCAGTTATTTCAAACTTGGTTCACTAAAATCCCCAAATAACCCGTCTTTTAAATATCATTCAAACAGCCATGCATATTCTGCAATTTTCTTTTGCAAAAGAATGGCATGCATAAAATTTTTGAACAACTGACATTGTTTAGACTCACTGTATTTGCGTGCCTCATATGAATTGCGCGGATAGGTCTGTAATGATATATCTACGTTTGTCCAACATATTTTCGATTCCATTATCAAGGTGTGCGAGAAAATAAAAGAGAAACTCACGTTGTTGCGAGATACGCCAAACCGGCTTGAAAACCCTATGATTTATCATTTGGACGTCGGCGCTATGTATCCCAATATAATCTTGACAAACCGTTTGCAGGTGAATGATGTGAAATTACTAACAGTTAATGAGTTATAGCAATACCTTCTTTTGAATGGGTTGACATCGCGTTCTTCGGTTGTTTTCAAGATGGTGCCATTAATGGTGAAGTATAGAGTCTGTAATATGAACAGGCGCTTTGTATACACATTGAATTTCTCTATTTCTTTGAATATTCCCTTCTGGCGGAATCTTTAACACATTTTTAGTTTGCTATATATCTCTTAATGAATTTCTTCGCGACGTTTTTGCAGTCTTTAGACCATACTTTTTCAACTGAACTGTGGGCGAACCGTAATACTATATTCTGAAAGACCACGAAATGTATATACAATCCTGAAGTTATTTTCCTAAAATATCAGTTTACTTTTTCAAAAAAAACGGTGGACATCTTTCACCTTGGTTACACATATCTGCCATGTATTCTTCCATCTAATTTTTTTGTTGCCACATCAAACTAACCTTAACTGTAGTTTTTTGGGAATTCACCATGCGCTGCCTTCCCACTTAACCTTTGTATCTTCGCTTGAATTTTACTTGCAGCCTTCAGCGATGGTTGATGAAACAACTTGTGCAAGATGTGATTTTAACAAACCTGGGGCAAAATGTCAACGTAACATGAAATGGATGTGGAGAGGAGAATACTGTGAGTTTTCTTCCGAATATCTGTCTAAAATAATCGAAGAGCTGTGAAATGTATTAATGTAAGATTAGACTTAAAATATGAACCCGGATTTTATCACAATTCACACTTTGAAGTGGGAGTCAAGTCTGTAGGTAAACACTTATTATTTCTCATTCTCTCAGCTCCGGCAAGTCGAAATGAATATCAGACAATCAAACAGCAACTTGAAGTGGAGAGGATACCTGGTTTGGAACCAGGGGACCCTCCGCGATCGTTTCATTCCCTAACGAATGCTGAGAAGGCGCAGATGGAAAAGAAAAGACTGTCAGGTTTGTACCGTGGAACGAAAATTGTTTGATCACGCGAATGCAGATGAAATTTATAAAAATTGCCAATATGATGAAAAATAAGTATATACAGGACATAAATTAACGCCATTCGAGTTGTAATCAGATCTTGTAAGGTCTTATGTGCATATAGGCATCCGTTTCCAACATCCCAAATCCAACAAGAAGGAATTTCGTTTTAAACCAATCAGCAAATTTGTTTACATACCCAGTAGCCCAATCAGAATGAGAATGCATAAATATTGACTACTTCCGGCAAAAGGGTACATTATTCATACGCATATACGCTTTGCCGGAAAAATGTAAACTCATTTGCCGATTAGTTCAAAACTAAATTCGTCGTTCCCAGATCCAAGCTCTTAATATACACTAGCTTAGTAGGCTTCTCTCTTATGCCACCTTGCGAATCAAAGCAACTGTACCTCTGCTTGTTTCCTATAGGAGACAAATAAAAATACTGAAATAGGAATGAATTTAGGGATTTCTTTTCTCAAATCATGATTTCTAATTATGTTTGGAATTATATCAGAATACTGTCACAAAGCGTACAAGAAGACCAAGATAAGTCGAATCGAAGACAGAGAAACAACAATTTGTCAGAGAGAAAATTCATTTTACGTCGACACAGTGCGTGCATTTCGAGATCGCAGATACGAATTCAAAGGGCAGTTAAAGGTTGGTATTCATGCAGTTGCATGGGTGTTCTTTAAAATATTTACCCAAAGCAAACGGGTTTTATGCACCGCCTGGACTAAATATAATTTAATTCACTTCTGTAAATAATCTCCTTACAAGTAAGTTTAACCCTCGATTATAACGGTTGTAACAACGGTGTCTTAATTTCTCAAGATCTGGAAAAAGAAGTTATCAGCTGCCATGGACAAAGGCGACGCACAAGAAATAAAAAGGTGACCGAACATGATATGAACTATATTCTCCTAAAATGTTAAAATCAATTGATATGTTAACGAAACTCTTGTCGCTCGGTCTCTTCGCGCTATATTTTGTTTTATCATTCACTTATCATCACACTGATCACTCATCGTATTTTCAGTTTTGATTGGTTAATTTACCTGCAATTAACTGCGTGCAAATAATACTCTGAGCATGCGCATTTGTTTTCTCTATTAGTTTACTCGATTTATTAGTGACTCTGTAATAATTACAAGTTGAAGTATCAGTCACTTCGTGTACGAGACAGCCGCCATCTTTACTTATTCAACTAAATGCATAATATGATAATTTACTTTTACCCCTGCGAGCATCAATTAAAGTCTGGGTATGTTTTTTTTGTTGCCATCGCTGATGCAATGCAATAAATAGGCGACTTGTGGAGTGTGGACTTTTAGTACAGTTGATAGCGAACGCTTTTATATATACGTTTAAAGTTTAACTTAACTAAAAGTTTTGCGGCATTAATTCGTATAGAGTGTGTTTTTTTATTTAGATTACTATTCATAATAGTAATTGCTGATTCAACCAATTCTCTTTAGTTGTAAAAGTAAAGAAGTTCTGTATGACTCACTTCAGCTTGCACACAAGTGTATTTTGAATTCTTTCTACGGTTATGTAATGAGAAAAGGGTGAGTTCGCCGCACAAGTATGTTTTATAGATGCAACATTAATTTCTTTTCCATGAACCATAAACTTTAAGTACTTATTTCTTCAGCGCCCGCTGGTATTCGATGGAAATGGCCGGAATTGTTTGTTGCACAGGCGCCAACATTATAACAAGGGCGAGAGAGATCGTTGAACAAATCGGGTAGATAAACTCATGTTAGTCACGGACAGCTGCATGCGTAAAAATCTTATGAAAAGACTCGTTCTTGTCATGATGTAATATACATGTCTTTTTCAGGCGGCCATTGGAACTTGATACCGACGGAATTTGGTGCATTCTTCCCGCAAGTTTTCCCGAAAATTTCCAGGTAGTGTTTCTTTATATAGCTTCAATTATCAGCGACTTTGCTATTGATAAAGAGGAGTAACGTGTTGAACTTGCGGTTTTAAGGTGACAACAACAAATCCTAAAAAAAGCAAAGTTGCCATTTCATTTCCTGGAGCAATGTTGAATATAATGGTCAAGGTAAGTGGAAGTACCGATGCTGTGTGCGATATATATGTATATCGATATAACACATGTAAGATTACTGGCGCAGTGAACCAAATTTTTAACCGAAATCTTAACAATTTTTAAGGCCTGACCAGCAGTATTTGATCCAAATTCATTCTATATTTATTTGTAGTTATATATAGCACAGTGAACCAAATTTTTAACAAAATTTAAAAATATTTTTAGTTTTCATTTATGCAAAAGATCATATTATATTTTTGGCAGTTGCGATTCTCAAAATCATCACTTTTGTTTTCTCAAAATCACATTATGTAGCCATGTTTTATATGCATGTCATATCGCGTAGTCATTTGAGACCATTGTGTCCGTGGTCATTAGAAACATTTGTGACCGTGGTCATTAAAAATATTTAAATAAAGAAAACATGTATTTCTCTTGTCGTAGAATTATTTTACAAACGATCAATATCAAGAACTCGTGGATAAAGACGATATACATTACACCGTCAGAAGTGAAAACTCTATCTTTTTTGAGGTACATATATATACATCTATTTTACGACCTTTTACGGTGTAACAGCCACAACTTTCGATTAACTCCTTTTTATGTGTCCTGCCTTGAAATTCATTTTGGCGAATAATTTTCCACTATTCTTGAAAATTTTCATATTATTCTGGCGATGTAGCTACTATTGCGTCTACGTGCATGACACCGCACAAACCAGACTAATAAAAACTACAGGGAAGCTCCTTTACGTTTGACCCATTCACTTCCTTCTGTCGCTCGAAATCGTCCTTCAACACCCTCCTTCAATAGTACAGTAGAGATCTCGTCAGAACATGTATAATGTCTTTTAATTAAGGTTGATGGTCCTTACAAGGCAATGATATTACCTGCTGCAAAAGAAGAAGGAAAAAAACTTAAGAAAAGGTACCCACCTCAAAAGTTGTGTTTGCAACAACACCAGTCTGCTTAACTTGTAAACGGTTGGCGCCCTGAAGCCGGTAACATGCAGTTGAATGGGAAATTTGTCGGCGCTAGCCAACAAATCGCGGGCGCATACAAAAATGCTTTCCAAAATTTGCCATTTATGCTGCACTAAAATAGACCGAAATACACAACGAACATTAGCATTGTGTTGCTATCAATGACATTTTGTTAAGATATGCTGTGTTCAACGAAGATGGATCGCTGGCCGAATTGAAAGGTTTTGAAGTGAAACGACGTGGTGAACTTCAACTTATCAAGATTTTCCAATCGTCGGTTTTCGAATCCTTTCTGGAAGGATCCTCCTTGGAAGAGGTTTACAACGCTGTTGGCAAGGTTGCCAACTATTGGCTCGATGTTCTTTATACGCAGGTATTATACATCATCATGCGAAGGCAAGGGTTGCGAAAATCATTCGATCAGATAGCGGATGTCGACCAATCTCCGTTTCTGCATGCCCTCACCGAAGGAGCTTAATCGAATGTCGTTTGAAGGCTTAATCCACCTTCATAATTATGGAAAAAAGAGGAAGGGGGTGTAAGGTTTCGACCCGTTAATGCGTATAATGCTTTGCATGGTTTCATAAGAGCGATCTATTAGTTTTAATTTCCTGAAACCTTGCAAATGAAAGTGTACAATTCCAATCGATTTTATTTTATACGTGCAAAATCTGATTCCATGCATACGTATGAATATAAGCATAGTTTATTCCACATGTAAAGTGTACACACATTGCCTCATTTTAATGTTCTGAACGTTCACCTTGTAAATTTCCCAGTTCAATGCCTTACTTCCACAATATTACCGTCTACAAATTTACACGCGGGATCTCGAAAAATCTCTTTTTAGGCGCCAAACATGCCTGACACTGAGCTCTGTGACCTGATTTGTGAAAATCGCAGCATGTCCCGTAAGCTGGAAGAATATGGATCGCAAAAGTCAACTTCGATCAGCACGGCAAAAAGACTGGCTGAATTTCTCGGAGATCAAATGGTGAAGGACAAAGGCCTAAGTTGTAAATTTATCATCTCGAGAAAACCAGAAGGATCTCCCGTGACAGAGCGTGCTATTCCTTTGGCCATATTTCAGACGGACGATGGCGTAAAGAGACATTATCTCCGAAGATGGTTGAAAAGTCCAGGGTTGACGAATTTTGATATTCGCAACATCTTAGATTGGGATTACTACATAGAAAGATTGAACAGCGCTATCCAGAAGATCATTACAATTCCAGCTGCTTTGCAAGGGGTAAGTTGGTTCGGTGCGATACAACACAGAGGGCGTTCGGTTTTTACGAAAGGTCCGGTTTTTCCAAACAGTAGTGTGGTTGCTATAGTTGGTTTTCCATTCGCAGGTCTCAAATCCAGTGCCACGATGTCTTCATCCGGATTGGTTGCACAAACGTCTTCTGGAAAAGAACGATGTTTTTAAACAACAACGGATTACTCAAATGTTCTCGGTGGTTCCGAAGTCTAAAGCACCAGCTGTAAGTATCAATACCACTGCTCGAAATCAAAATTACCGCAATAACCACGTGTGTTTATAAAATGTATTGATATAATACAAACTTGCTTGTTATACTGTATTTTATTCGCTTCGTAGGACGAGGATTCGAACGTCAATTCAGACAGCGTCCGGGACATAGAAGATATTGGTCACTCATCAACCACCGCACATTCGACGCTGCCTGTTGCTACGAAAAGAAAGAGTTCCGTTTTAAACAATTCGTCTAATACCCAGTCTTCTGACGCTGACCTCTCGAAATCGTGGATGGAGGTTCTTGGGCCCCCTCCTCCTATTGGTGAAACTAAGGTTGGTGTAGTTAAAACCTAAAGCAAGTTGTACGAAGAAGGCTGGATAGCGCTATCCACCGGACTTTTTTTTCAAGGCAAAATAATTGCAGCTTTAGAGCTAACAATATTAAAAAGGATCCCCAATTAAGAAAAATATAGGCCTCAGGTTTAGAAACACACGACTTAAGACTCTTTGATTGGTGTTTTTCATCCAGCGGCAATCAACCGCAACGATAAGTTTCATTACAAAAATGCAGTTTAGTGAATAACCGCAGTCTAAAATCTGTAAAAATCTCTTTTCCAGGCGGAACGGGCTGTGTGGGTAGAATTTCAAAAACGAAAATGGGAATTCCAAAGGAAGCAAAGGAAGGAAAAGAAGCGTCTTAGAGTTCAAGCTGAAGGAATGGGAATGGACGTCAGAGGTGGGCGAACTAGACCGATTTCAGGAATGTCGTCATTTTTGCAGCGTCAAGCGAAGTCAATCTTGGACCAATCCTGGCAGGTGATACAGGTATGCATGGGTTTACATTCATACCGTTTTGATTATGTGCAAAGAGTAATGGTCTGACTATTCAGGGTTCTGAAGATTTTCACAATGTCATAGCTGAAAAGCAAAATACAAAATAGAGAGATGAAGAATAATAAATGCACAAATAAGCTATATATTTATATATCGTAGTATAAACATTGAATTCGACATAACTGGAAGGCTGAACACCGCAGAAATTGATGTTTATGAGGTTTCAACCCATTTCTGTATCGCTATCAAAAAGAAAACTATTGAATACTTGACTGCAATCTTTTAACAGCTCATCATACACATCTGACAGCTGCATCATACACATCTGAAATAGCCATTTGAAGGCTTAAATTATACAGAAGGTTATTAATTTAGACGATTCGTTTTTGCCGTGTGTAAGCTTCAAATCTTTTGCCTATGCAAGACATTTAAAAACAAAGAGTTATAAAGAGTCTTTATAAAGAGTCTTTATTTATAAATATTTTTAATAGGTCTACACATAGTTATGTCATTAGGTTATCCTTGACTTTTTCATATTTTTCTCAGATGGCTGAAACGGACTCACCTGGATCATATAAACTCTGGGCTTTAATTGGTTCCGATCTGCATGCAATTAAGGTTCATGTTCCGAGAATATTTTATGTCAATTGCCGTACTTCGAAATCAGGAACGAGCTCTAGTAAGTACACGAACATGACTTGTGCTGTTTATCGACTTCTCATTTTAGTCTATTAATTTCATACTCAGTAAAACAACTTTTTACAATTATTGCATTTGAAGTATTTTTTCGCCATATTGCCCTTTTCTTCTCTTCCTCTGCTTCAGAAATTTTTACCCGAGTTAGCCTCAAAATGCTGTCGATTCAACACTATAGGCAGTTAATTAATATATAGTTATCTTTGACAGTGACATGTATTTTACCACAGTATATCCTTCAACGCTTCAATATTGTCGGATTTAATTCACTTCTGTAGGATAGATGTAATTCAATTCACTTCTGCTGACTTGCAATATGTTTATAGGCAGCAAAACACTAACTAGAGGGAATGCAGCACTGCTTTATTCATAGCAATCTACATTGCGTTAAATTCAAACGTCAAACGAATCGTGTGAACATGCATGCCTTAAGCCTTAATTAAACGTCGCATTTTGGTCGCGTTGAGTGCAATTCAGACGATATATAATGAGATGAAATGTATTTGACGCGACCAAAATGCGACGTTTAAACAAGGCCTTAGAATGAACATTTGGTGGAAAGGAATGATCTGCTCGAATTTGATTTAAAATATTGTCTGAACGTTTTAGAACCTTGACCATTGTTTAATGGCTATATTTCATTTATGTTAAGCCTGGCGTCGTGTTGGACGAACTTTACCGCGATCTCAACCTGTTGGTCATCTGTACCAATATTCGGTTCCCGAATCCCTGTACAAAGAACACGCAAGGTAATGACATGCATGATGGTAAAACACCCAACCATAGACGATCCGAATATTATTCTTGCTGTTTCAAAACTCGTGCAGTTGTTTATGAATGATGATGCAAATACTTTGATTATATATTACAAAGAACCTGGCGCGTAGCTATTTATGTCTGCCATTAATAATAAATGCATCCCGCATTCACCCTTTGAAAATTTAAGAAGTGTCTTTTGCATGCTATTCCCACGGATACTTGAAACATTTGAAACATTTTGAAACATTTTGAAACATTTTGAAACATTTTGAAACATTTTGAAACATTTTGAAACATTTCAGTCAGTTAGCGGATGATCTATCTTCACCTGATATTGAGGGGATCTACGAGTCGCAGGTGTGTATATTTCAACATAAGAAATAATAATAACGTCCTCAGATTCAGAAAATAATATCTGAACTCGCGGGTAAATCTAATTTTATATGGGGCATGCATGACCCTGTATGCATGTGGATATAATCGACATGTCCGAACCAATTTCAGAAATCCTAAAAATGACACAATTTCTGTTTGTAGGTTCCTTTGTTGTTTCGTGCGATCACATCACTTGGTTGCGTTTGCTCTGTGGACAGGACTTATGCACAACTATGCTTTGGAAGGGTTGGTGTTTGATATATTAAACTGAAAATACCCGATTCATAAAAGTTTTCTTAACTACGATTATTTGCTTAACCCTTCCACATTCAGGGCCTATTCGTTGCCGTCAATTCTGCATCTGGCTTCTGTTTATTCTTATTCCTAAGTGTGTATGAATGCTAAAAGTTTAAATCAATGTTCTTCGTATATTGCTTTAAGAGACCAACAGTTTATTGACTATTCGGATTCCTCCATTATGCATGATCATACAAGTCTGTCCTTGGTGCATTGCAATATGCATAATGTCTGTATAGGGTCTTGTGGATCTTGAATAACTATGATATTGCATGTAGTTTTAAGTTTTCCCTTGATTTGTGCGCATATATATGTATAGTCTGTAGTTTTTATGTGAATCTCTAGTTCTTTGTGGAAACACATTATTGTTTATCTTTTGCAGGAAATTGATTCATTTGATTTGGATCAATTACAATTCAGAACGCTGGCTGAATGCAATTACCTCCCTGAAGGAAACGTGAAGCATATTTATATGTATCATAGTGAGGGGTCAGTTGAATTATTTTCGGTCTGGGAGAGAAACGTGTGGACATGCAACACACGCACTGCTCTTGCATGCTTATTAATAACATATACAACTTTAATTTCTTGTTAAATTTTCCCTGCAGAAATAGCAGAACAATATTTGGAGTGTTTTTCAACTCTACGCAAAAGGTATTCCCTTTTCGTCCTCAATAAAATAGCGACTAATGAGTCAGTGACGACACCGACTTTTGAGCATTATTTATTAAGTCTTCGTCTTTTATGTGTATAGTCTACCTGGGGCCGGTTGTATAAATTACTGATTCTACTGCTACCATTACTGCTACCATTCTGATTGGCCAATTTGATTACTATAGTTTGTATTACTATAGTTTTGTTACCCCCCCCCCCTGTGTTTTCTGGAATCAGCATATCCATGATAACCCGATTCATGTTGGTATAGCAATAGTGGATGGATAAGTCATCTTTCAGAATAATACATTGTCTTTGATCTTGACTTAATTGCTAGTGGTAACACATATTTTTGTGACTGAGATAAAAAGTTGTATTCGTATTTAGGCGTCGTTCTTTGTTGTGGACACAGTGAGAAAAAATCATATGCCCAATCTTGATTCTCTCTATCAAGCTGAAAGGAGTGAAAGGTTAGTTATTTCGATGGCGATCTCCATTTTTATGAATCTCGATTCCGGTCGTGATTAGAGTAATGGCTATTAACATTAATTTAGGGCACATACAACAACACTTTTTATGAAAACGTTCAAACCCCCACGCCCTTTTCCCCTGGGAACCCTTTCAAACAATCTACACTGCTTTCATTACTAACATCTGTATTCTAAAAGCTCACACAAACTTAAAATCGTTGAGTAGGAAATCTCGATCTTCTCACAACTTTTCAACCAGAATAAGAGCTTGATTTTTATTTTTTTACCTTTTCCTTTGAACTTTCTCATTTAACAGGAATAACAAAATTTATATGTCACACTTGATTGTGAGTGTGAGTGTGAGTGTGCTTTTTGAGTGCAGACGTAAAGCTTTAATGCATAATGTTCTTGCTATAACTATAGGGTCAAGCGTGCAGCAGAAGAAGGCGATGATGAACCCATACTCCCCCCTTCCGAAATACATTTTGAAGTCAGAGTCGATACGGACCCAAAACATGTAAGTTGCAAATGACCGATTCTGTGGTACGTATTATTATGTTTCTACATTCTCTGTACACACGTGTATAATCTACAGCATTGCGTTTAAGGCTATTCGTGCTATACAAAGATCACTTGCAAATTACAAAGAAGAAAAGAAAGGACCCACAATGATACTTCTTCAATCGTCTTCGGGTAAGGCATAGTTCCTCTCACATTTCTAGTGTTTTCGAAGGCTCACTTGTTTGCTCGGATCCCAAATTTAAATTCGCATGTGGCGTAATCCAACAACATACGGTTTTCACATCAAATAGATGTGAAACTGTGTTAATAAATGGACACACATTCGGCGATTATGCGCTTATTTATTTTAGACAAATTTCCAACGTTTTACATTACAGGCAAAGAACAATTGAAAGCTCTTATTCCAGGACTAAACGACTTTCCTGTTATTTCAATTCCCAATAATGAAAGGTGCGCACTTATATATATTTTTGAAAATAAAATGACAAATATATTGATCAGGACTTCAGCAAGGATTGCCTTTAGCAATATGTTGACTAAACCGTTTAGCGTGACGATTTTTCATTGAAGTGAACAGAATCCCGAGATTCGCCATCGTGTATAGCAGCAATAGAGTCTTTCTTGGAAGAATTTTTGTCCTGCTTGTTCGTTTCAAGTTTCCTTTCTTTTGTAAGAATAGTTATTTTCCCAGTAATTTTGAAAAAAGTACAGTCCGTTTCCCTTTTAATACTACTTTTTAGCCTAAAATTTAAGGTGAGGTTCAAACTCGCTAATAACACTTTGAAAACGCTTTGAAAATACCCAAATTGTATTTGGTGTGTTTTTTATATTATTTATTTTAAATTATTTGTGCTTTTTCGCTTTACCACATGGCTATATTTAGCCAATCAGAGGTTGTGAATTATTTTAAATAAGTGATAAATTTGTCACTTTTCTTGTTCTTAGTGAGACGCCATTTAATATTCTGGATTGGCAGAGAAATGCTGCAAAAAGAGTCATCAAACATTACTTGTATAGTGAAACCTGGTTTCAGGTGCGTTAAAGAATTTGAATATCATTGATTTTCCATGATCCTCTTAATTAAGGCAAACATGAGAAGATGCCATTTTGTGATAATTGTGCCAGGTACATTTTGGTTGCATGCTTAGTGATTCTTTATAATTCAACTTGCCGGGTACGAATCACGATATCCTCTTCTGATACAGCAGATGTGAAACGTTTATTTCAAGGAACAACATCTATTCGAATTATTTCATGCATTTATTTACTTATTTACACATATTTTGGACTTTGGGGCACTAGACCGATAACGAAAAACCTACTAATGTTCGCTATCGATGTTTTCATGTTCCATATTTAGGCCCAAGTTGAACACGCAAGATACTGCCACATACCAGTTGGCAACATTACTACGGACGCTGCAGTTTTTTCCAGCGATGTATTCTATGCACGTAATCTTCTAAAGAATAATCACGTGTTGTGGCTCTCTCCAGGCGAAAAACCTGACTTGGGTGGGAAAGAGGAAGACGATAATAGGTAAATAATAAATACTAGCCTTTTCTTAAATCGATTAGGCAAACGTTCAGGGCCATCAATTCCACAGCATGAACTGTCCGGGGCTCTTTGATGTTTCATGAGGCACGAGACAACAAGTATAATCAAAAATATATTTCTGATTGATAACTCAACGTCAGAAAGATTTTACCAAGATTTATTGGATCTTAAATGTCTCAAAATGGCGGCATTGTTCGCTTGCATCAAGCGCAAACTCGGACAACGAGTCCTCCCTATTTAAAGAAAATAGGACACCAACCTTTTCGTTTTATTTTAAACCAATTTTAAACGCTTTCCTAGACCAGGCTTGGAATTTGAAGGAGATCACATCGTTGAAGTGAACAGCCCAGGTGCTTATCCCACTGTTTGCGTTGAACTATCTTTAGATGGGCTTGCTGTCAATGCCGTTTTGCAGGTATGTAGTTGGCTTGAACAGGGTGAAATGTACATTTGATTTGATTTTCGTGAATCTCTTAGAACGATGTTATGCTTGCTTGTCTTAGCCTTTGCCAAAACACCCAGAAAACCCATTTGGGCTTTACCTCGAATACAAAAATATACAATTGAAAATATCATTTTTGTCGTTCCCGATTTCTGTTTTAGTCATCCAACATAAACGACTTTGAAGGCGGTGCAGGCTCTGCAGCAGTCAGCTTTGAAAACATCAACCAGGTAATTTAGGATTTTTGCAACAGAAAAATATGTTTTTTATGTCGTAGTCAAGGTCTTTGGTGTAAAGATGTACCTGTAGTCCGAATACCCGTTGTTCGTTGTATCATCTTAAATCCCCTATTACCAAATATTGCTGTTGACAGTCAAGTAATGTATACATTATCATCCTTCGTTATGTTATGTTTTACGAGGTACTTGTATGGTCGTTATGAATATTATATATTAATATTGCAGTATACTTTGAAGCACAATGATACCGTTCCCTTTTATCCATCTTTAGGTCTCTTTGGAGGAGATGGTTACGACCGGAGGTGGAGCCGCTGCCAACAGTTTGACAGCTTATGATGAAACCGCTCTGTGTGGCAGTGCATTCAGGTAAAAAGCGACTGAAGGCCAACATTATTAGGCACCAAATTCTGAATGTTCCTCGCGAAGATTGTTGAGCTTAACTGCATCCATGTGCATAATTTCTTCAATTTTTTACAAAAAATAAAGGCATAAAAAATGTGCGGCTTTAGCCGGACTATACTAACATATGCATATCCTGCTATGTTTTAATCAAATTGTACGTAGATGGTGGTTATTGAAAGATTAGAATGTTACATGATTTATATTCTTCATATAATGTGGAATTCTTGTTTAACTGGATATTTTGGTAAATTTAGGGTGTTAAAATCTATGGTTCATTGTTGGTTACACGAAGTATCTTCCTTCCAGAATCCCTATGCTGATCTTCAGTTAGTTCATTTTTACCGGTAGGAAGAAATTCGACTTGATTCAATTTAGTCAAAAGCCAATCATAATAGCTATATATTCCTGGTTCATTTTTTCACACGAAAGTTTAATTAGGTTGTGAATTGCATGTTTTCAAATTAACATTTTTTGAAATAACATATGAAAGCAAGTCCTGTTGGTGGGAATTTAATGTAGTTTCGTCTTGGTATAGATGGCTTCAAAATCCTTCGTCCTTACTTTACGACCCTGCTCTGGCTCGTCTGGTGCAAGGAATGATGAAGAAACTATTTTTACAAGTTTGTGCATTCCTTTTTTCCGACTTAGAGCAGTCTTACCGTAGTCCCGAAGCACTATTTTATTTCATTAAGTACGCGAAATTGATAGAAAAGCTTCAGAAGGAAAACTGGTTTCCTCTTCCTGACGAGATATTTCTTTAATATTTGCACTCCCATCCATTTGCATGGGAAATTCAAATCCACGAAAATTAAGAATTCGCCTTTTTATAAAAAGGGAAAACATTGTGTAATTTCTGTTAAGACATTGTAATACCATAATATATTATTCTATTTGCTACGCTAACCCTACATTATATCTATCACTGTATGCTATGATCAGCATGCAAACTGTTGTTTTACTTTTATATAGCTTATTTCGGAATTCAAAAGACTGGGTGCCACCGTTGTTTTTGCCAACTTCAATCAAATCATCATTTGCACTAGGAAAAGGAGGTAGTTGTGTGTTCAACGTTTCCAACAATCAATTAATGTATATAATAGGATATTTAGGAGTACGGACGAACAAACTTGCTAAATGTTCACTTCTGTTAATGATTAATATACGTAGAGATATCTATTTCACAACGGAGCTCTTTCTGAACGGTATAGGGATATTGCTCCGTATACCTAGCTCCTATATACTTGTCCTTGTTCGTAAGACAAAGATGAGTTTCATATTATGTTTTTTAGTGTCACCGATGGATTTGCATATATCAATTATATTCTCAAAAGTATTCAGTCCAAGGAGTTGTTCTGCAGCCTTGATATTACTGCAACCGGATGTTGGGAATATCTTTTGTGGATGGATCAGGTATATATAGTTGGTTAAACAGAATTATTAAGTGAAATGTAATTATAATATACACTTGATGTATGCTCCCGAGTGAGACTCGAGAGAAAACAAAACTCACTATTTCCCGAGGTAGTGTACATTAAGTGTTTTGTTATATAGAAACAAAAACGTAGATGTTACACAACAATTTGATTTAAAAAAGAAACCCACTTTACTTTGTTATGACAATATGCGGGCAACAATTTTTCACGTGTGTCCCTGGCGGGAAACATTGCACTTATTCAAAGTCATGTGACTACGAATGAACCAATCACATTTAAAATACACAGCACCTATATAACAATTCTATTTTATCCCAAATGTTATATAACTCGTATTTCCAAGATATAATGAGCTACGGTTTCTAGGCAAACCATGGTGGTGTGCGAGGCGAGGTTCCCAGAGATGATGACGATGTTGAAAATAATAACGAAGAAGATGAAAATGGATCTGATGTTGAAGAGATTGATAACAAACCTGATAAAAAAACTGTAATTTACAGTCATTGCACTACCTTGTCTAGCTTGAAATTGCCATCTCGTCCACTGTCCACCTAAAACCTTCTCTTGAAGTCTTGATTTGTGTGATGAAGGTCAACAGTAGATATTCATTTTTTGAACAGCATGTGGCATGTAATTGCTTTATTTCTATTTGTTGCAGCATTTTCACGGTATATAAAACCATTACTGTTGTAATACTCACTCTCTTCCCTCGTTTCCACGGTTCCTATTCTATAAATATAAACTGACTCTATATATATAAACTGACTTATTAGGTCGCGAATAACTGTATTAAACTGACATAATATTATTTTTTCCCAGCGCCCAGTAGAAATGAACTGGAATATTGGTAAATATTTACCCTCTTCAGCTTCGTGTCAAAACTTCTTTAAGGTGAGATCATTTATGCTTAACTTGAAAACTTATGGCACGACAACCTTGATCGTTAGCATGGTTAAAACAATTCCAAATCCATTTTGCCAATGTCTATATGTTTGCTTTTCAATTCAGATTGTTATCGCGAAACACATTCATAATATTCATAAACACCTTTTGGCTGAACGGCGTCTAATCGAACCCGGTTCAACTCCGGTAAGAAAACGGACCGGATCTTCCCAAACTCAGGTAACTAACTATAGAGCGGGAACTCATTGGATGGAACTCAAAGATGAATTGCTTGGCCAACAGAGTTGAGGCTCAAAAGGTTTAAAATGGTAATTGTATATATTGTAAATGCCTGTTTTTGTTTTTCGCTCAAAGAAAATGGCGGATTCCTCAGCAACACCAAGTCTTGTCTCTTTCACTCAAAAGCAAATCGAGGGAGACGTAACACAACATCTTTTTACGTAAGTATTACGCGGGTGCCATGGAATGGTGGCATGAAAGTGTTACCAACCGCATGCTTTTTTGACATACCGCGTATCTACTCGCTCAAAATTCATATTATTCATTGGCGTGATATGAATGAACAACGTACATGAAATGTTTCTTTACAGCATAACACAGAAAATCCAACAGACATTGTCTGGTGATAGGCATTCACGAGGCGATCCTAGCGCAGAATTCCCTCTGCTCCCTGGCTCACATCTACCTCTCAATAACCCAGCTTTGGAGTTCGTGAAATATGTTTGTAAGGTAATACACGTGTGATTGATAGCCCTGCAAGAGCAGGTATTTACTCTATGCATTTGATCACCGCTGCAACTGGATTGTATAAATTACACCGGTCATTTTTCGACTTTCTCTGGCTAAAGTTGATTTTGATAGTTATATCTGCCATCGCTTACTGTTGTGCGTTGTGATAATGGTGAAGTTTGTGCCGGTATATCGAGTTGTTTTTGCTATTGTTGGACAACACACTCCTCTAAGGAACGAAGCCACAGAAATAACAAAGATATTAAGTAGGCTTTTTGAAACTTTGTTTTTATATCGTCCGTAAAAAACAAGCCAATGTAGGTGTTATAGGAATACAGATACCATGGCTTGTAAATTTTTCCGAAAATTATTTACTGTTTCTCAGCTTTACGTCTTTTGATATTTTTGTCGATAAAAATGAAATTGCAGGAAAATGAATGTTATGGGTATTAGGCCATCTTCAGGTATTTCTCTCGTGCCGGTGTAAAGTAAACGCATGTGTTATTTTCTAGGCATTGTCCTTGGACTCCAATACACAAAACCAAGTAAACAAACTTAGGTAAGTTATGGATTTTACTATTCCATTTCTCTGGCATTTTCAAAAACCTTTCGCTGCTCTCATATTACAGGAGCGTGAAATAGATATACAATTCTTTTCATAACAAAGCTCACACGAACCCATTTAATACCACCCTCCCCCCATGCAAAGATATCTTGGGGCAAAATCTGCTTCATAAAGCTTAAAACAAAAAGTTATATTGCTAATTGTTTTTCAGACGTGACTTGCTCAGATTAATCGGAGTTGGTGAATTTTGCCTTGAAGCAACATTTATTGATCCCTGCCTATCATTTGTTCTCCCCGAGGTATGCTTTCATATAATATAAGTTCAGGCCATAATGAAGAACGAAAAACTCACGAGAATCAGTGTAGTAACAGTATTATGGTAAGTAGTGTACATTGCGAACTAAAAACGCGCTCCTCACATTGAACTCAATTGTACAATTGTAGGTTATCTGTACATATTGCAATGGTTGTCGGGATATAAATCTCTGCCGTGACACTTATATCGTACATCCTGAGGGAGATAGAGCGTAAGTTCAGTTGTGAAGTGAGGGTCTGTGCAACACCTGATAGTTGACCAAAATTAAGCATGTTGGTCAACTATCAGGTGTTGTTTTGGTGTGTCACTTAAACACATACATATATGGCACATTAAAAAATGGTACACATGCATGCATTCATCATAACTGCTAATAATTGTTATTTATCGTTTTAGTATTGCACTTCAATGTCCGTACTGTCAAAATGAGTATGATATGCAGGATATTGAACAAATGCTTATAAGTAATGCACAAGACAAGTCGATGGCGTTTGTACTACAAGATGTAGCCTGTTCGAAATGCCTGGGTGTAAGTGTTAGCGAAAAATTCTACAGCACATTTTAATGATTGTATAGTTTTATATTTGCTTCCAGTTTTTTTTAAAATTATATTAGTTAACTGCCCAATTATTCTACATTCTGCTATATAAAATGCTCATTCGCTTCTGTCAAAAAAACAAAAATTGGCAGGTCTATATAGCTTCTTCATATGGTTTTCATTGCGCCGTTTCGCAGCCCTTCATCCCACAAACAATCTCCCTCAAAAGTGAGAAACGTATAAAAAAGCCTGCGCTTTTCAACGCGGCTTCTATGCATTATGGTTTGCTATTGCCTCGAACGTTTACAATATTGGATTGTTCTTGGCAGGTTAAAGATCAGAACATAGCCTCTTATTGCCGCTGCGCAGGAGAATTTGTTAACACAATTAAGAGAGAAACCTTTCGAGAAAAGATGAAAACGTTTCAAAACATTGCCAGGTTTGTTTCTCGTGTTTGCATGCTGTTTGTTATCATGTTTGCATGAATCTATCACAATGACACAAAATAATGCATTGCAATTTGAGGTTTGCAAATTTTGTATATTTTTAAAAATAAAAATAAATCAAGAAATTTAAACTGCTTCTGAAAAAGTGCGTCGCTGTTGGTATACGAAATTTGGGACGCTTTTTTAACCGTTGTGATAGATATTTACTATAACGGAGTTATTTACATCTGGTTACCGAATAATTCTTCTAGTTCAAAAGTTTGTTTAGCCTATTGAAAAAATGGGTTTTTAGATACCCCATTGAAACTCCCCCATGTAAATTTGTAGGATGGGGTTCGAATCTCTGTGAGATGTTAAATGAAAACATCCCAGAAAGATATCCATTCCATAGGTATTCAAAACACACCAAATTTTGCTAGCTTGTCACTACTGCTCTAGTCCCTACTTACTACATAGCTACGTAAACTTCCCCTAAAAAAACCACATGGATTTTTTTTATATATTGTAGATATTACAAGTTTCGACAATTGCAAGAGACAGTGGATTGGATACTTCAAATGAACTGATATGAAAGAAGTTGACCGAACTAACCATTCCAGCGAATCAAGTGCATTTAAAGTGCCTATACACGACAATTTTTTGTTCATTTGTTAAAAGATTTCCTATGAAACTGTGACAAAAGACACTTCAACAACGTTTATCTGCAGTAAAATTTGAAAAAACAATATTTATTTTCATTTGTAATTATATATAAATAATGCAAAGTTGCGTCATGTGACTTAAATCATTTACCGGTTCATATTAAGTAAATTTTTAAACTATAATATTGTGAATAGTGCAATCATTAATTCGGTGAATTTACTATATTTATATTCCTTGCATTGTTTAGGGTGAGAAGATGTCATTGTGAAATTGAAATGAAATTAACGGTTCATCCTAATCGAGGGCCTATATACAAAACTAGAAGCCATAGGCCATAATCTCGAACTTCCATTATTCACTTTTTTTAACCTTCCCATCCGCATGTTTATCAGGGTAATAGGCGATTTGGAAAAGCAAAATCCCGTTTAGGACGAGTGCCAGGAGGAAGTTGGCAAGGAGGATCATGTCTCCAGTTTCGTGATATGTTGTGAAAACACGCGCTATGCATCCACCGAACAGGAGGAATACCATCAGACCTGACAATTGTCCGGTATGGCCATTGCGCAGGTTCTCGTATATTTGGAGGCACTAAAGAGAAGAAACAGCAGGTTGGTAAAACGCGTAATCTTCACTGCTGATGCAATGAAGAGAGATGCAATGGAGTCCATCATTCAAGGTTTGCCTAGATATTTTGTTATTTTTCTTCATGCACATTCTTGAGAATTAGCTAAATGCTATAGAGGAATTATTGCAAAAGGGCAAAAAAAATGGTGAATGCATGCTTCTTAGCAATGGGCATTGAATAAGATGAAGCACATTCAATCACATCACAGTGAATTCATTTTTTCAGATTCATTTCACCTCTGATGGTTGTTAAAAGTCTGTAGATCTGCAATGTTATAAGCAGCAAATCGATCAACTAGAGCCAATCTAAACCTCTTTCAATAATTTACATATGTCAGAGGGGAATTGGATCTGATTGAATCATGTGATTGGATCCTGTGAACAGACCTTTATAGGTATTAAATTTGTTTGTTGATACAGTGATAGCTTTTTGGTAAATAAACATGGACTTACTTTGCTAAACGATACGATGGGCATGACAACAAACTGCAATTTAGTATGTATGTCTACTGGCACCACACCACAAGTTAATGTATACACAAAGACTGAATACGCAATTGGAAATAATATAGCCCCAGTTATGACACCATTGTAATAATAGCAGAGCATGATTATAATAACTGTTTGAATACTCATGAATGATGTTTCTCCCCAAGTACTACAAGAAAAAAATAGAACATTAGATAAGTTACCCTTTTACAAAAGTATTACTAGGTATGTACCTGGTATCACTTTTCTTTACTTATCAATTTTCCAATTGGGTTATTTGCCAATGGTTAATAGACCTTTCCCATTTTAGCTTTCAAGCATGCAATGTGTGATGATAGTTGATTATCAAGCAACTTTGAGTTGCGATATCACCTGCTTTGAAGCAATTTTGTTTGTAAGAAAACCTGCTGATTCTTTTTGCTTCTTTGTTAAACTAAATCATTCCTGAGCATGGCAAAATAACAACTCAAATTGACCTTGATAATCAACTACGGTCATGCATTGCGCGCTAAAAAGCTAAAAGGGGAAAGGTCTATAAGAAGACTATAAATTATAATGCTACAAATTTTAGCAAGGTGATCCAAATTTATGGCAAATCCAGGGTAAATAAATTTAAAAATTATAGCAATTTATGGCAAATCCACGATAAATAAATTAAACTTCATTCAGCTATAAATTGCAATCAAATTGGTAAATTTCATTATTTTTTTTCCTTAGCAATCCATAAGTAATAGTTTTTTTCATTTTCAAACATTTTCAAACAGTTTCTATTTTGAATTCAAAATGTGTGATTCATTCTACTGTGTAATTCATTCTACTTTACTCTAGTTTTGTCACTAAACGTGATGTGTTCAAACCCCTTCAAATTGTTTAAAAGCTTGGAAATGATTTTAAATTATTAATTCCAGAGTTATGAGCATGATTTTCTCCAATGTAAGCATCTAGCAATATATATCTGTCATGTTTATCAAATTTGCTGAGTTTCAAAAGCCTTGGATATTTCTTCTATGTAATTCTCTGAGCAATCACAGTACCAGTTAGTTAGGTTCAATTATAGTTAGTGATATGCAGCAATGAACTGTGTACTTTTAAGTGTGAGTTTTAGAACAATTCGCCACAGCTTGTTATATTCATAACTCCTTACTTTAGTTAAAAGTATTAGACTACCTGAATGGGAATCCTTTTTCTAAGTTATATGCAAGAGTCAAGGTGTATGCTAACAGTTCTGCATAAAAAGACAGGATGTTTAAGCCTTCCGTACTTCTGGCCTTCAAAATCTTCACTATTTGAGGTACTTTCACTAAAACAAAATTTAAGTCAGAGTTGTTTTTACAAAACCATAATAGTACTATAGAAATTTCAAATTCTCTCTAAACAGAATAAACAACAAATAGATAATACTAAGAGCACAATTTCAAATATATACTATTGAAACCAGTTACCTCTTTTCATAATTTACCTTGTCTAAAGCCAAATGAGGTTTAGGGATTTTTTCATGACACAAATTAGTGCTTACAATTATTGTACATAATCAAACCTACCCATTGCTGAGCCGACAACTACCCCATAACCAAGTCCTTTGCTGATAACAAGTTTCAAACATGGAACTATTAAAGACAGATAGACATTGGTGATGACTAAATTGCTAAATACTGCCCAGTTTTCACAAATGTCTGAAATGCTGTGGTTTAAACTCTAGGATAGACCTGCTGAATAATAATTATTTAAAACTCATTCCTGATCTGCTCCTATAAAAATTGTTTTGTCACTGCAGTATAAAATTTGTTATATATACAGAATTATTTTTTTTACTAACAACAGCAAGCAGGCCAATTTGATGTATTTTTGCATCTTTATATTTGCTATTAAACACATTAAAATAGAAATCTTAGACATTGCAATTTGAATGCCATACTACATGTACATACATAGTACATGTAGGCTGATGTACAGGTAAATCATTAAACTCATGTTAAACCTAAAAAAACACACTGCGATATTCTCGCACTTAGCATTTCCTACTGTACTCTTTATGTTACTAAGTTACTGTATTACATTTACAAACTTGGACATACGATATGGAAAACGTTGTTCATAAGTATAGTACTATTATAGTATTGGCAGTATCTTATTTAGGAGAAGATGCGCAGATTACTTCAATAATAAATGAAAAGGTTTGCACCACGTAAGAAAATACAGTTTTCAGGAAAAATATACCAAATTTTGTGAACATATGTTTTATAGGTGCCTCCACGTATCAATATCTTATAAGAGAAATTAAATATGTGGAAACTCAGAATGGAAAGCTTACCATCGAAGAAATTATAATCTAGAAAGAACTTATCGTGACATTCCCTGGTTATAAGCAGCAATACCCAAGGGGTGAAAAAGAAGTCACCGGCCGCCATCTTGACGTGTATTCTGATCTGAAAAAGTGGAAATCATACACTGGATTGTTAATTTTTGCTTCGTAAGCGATTTGTTTACGATTTAGAACCACAAGAATCATAATAATTTTTACGCATTTTCGCCTGTGTATTTAATACCATAGAATCTTGTTTGCATAGCTAGAGACTAGCACAAAAATTACCTTATAAAAATATGATTTTTCTTATAAGGTCAGTGACTCCTTCGTTGACGTGTCAATTTTAATAACTCTTCTGAAAATCAATATTCATGCAGATTTTATGGATGATTCATGATTCATTAATCTCAAAATTAAATATGGCAGACAAGCCAGCTCACGAGCGTTTCGAGGAAATAGGCGAAAAAGCAAGCAACGATGAAAAATCCCTCCCGTTTACGGAGAAACTTCATTTGTTGGACAAAGAAATTCGCTTGCTTCGAGAGTTTTGTCTCAAGGTTGGACTGAACGACAAGGAAATCGAGTGCTGTGCCGAACCACTGCTGAAAGAACAGCGAGCCGAGGATCACAAGAAGTGGTGGACTAAAGTATTTTACGTTTCTTTCTTCCTCGCGATTGTTGCATTTTTATTGTGGTATGAGCCAACCTACCGCTATATTTGTATCTTTGGAAAGCTCGCAAGCATGAAGGTATAAAAATTCGAAATCTAAGGGGTTTCAAAACAAAACTTACCTAAATGTAAAAAGGGCAATCAGCCTTTTGTTCAAAGAATAGTAAACATTGTGTTCGATACAAATGAGGATCCGCAGGGGTGTTCCCCCACATAACTTGAATACTTCATACAATTTATTGTTAATTGATACAATTTGTCCGCAGTCCTGAATTCTAATTACGCATTCTTGATTGGATAAATTGTAGCAAGTTATGTAAACAAAGTGTCCCCACGCGAGGCATTTATTAGTTCTAAACATTTTTTACCCTTTAGCTTGTGCATTTTTGCTGTTGAAATTAATTAAATAATTAATAAAATAAGTCATTTCAATAATTAATGTTTGCAATCTTATTTGCAATGTTTGCAAGCTTATTTGATTTTACCCAATATGCTGTAAGGTCAATGCCATTCTTATGCTTTTCTTTATATGAAGTTGAGTATAGATGATGATATTGTGTTGTGAATCTGATCCCACTCTTTACATGCCCCCTAACATTGATACCTGACTGAGCCCAGTAATTTATATGCATTGTCAATTTTTTTATCATCCAAATAAAAATTTGCATGGATGTTGTAGTCTTTGATGAAAATAAGACAATGGAAATAAAAACAAAAGTACAAGACCTATAATTTATACTCTAAAATCATTACTATGATATAGGAACTTTTTAACACATTGCAAACAAGGGTTTGGGTATGCTTTTGCAAGAAACTTAATTGAAGTGTGAACCCCCTGTCTTAAGCCCTGGAAATGCAATTAAATTTACTAGTAGGAGTTTGAAATGTTTCATACAAATTCTTAAAAAACTCTAAAAAAACTTAGCTAATCTCTCTAAAATTATAAAAATTATGCAATTATAAAAGAACATGCACAGCTGCCTATATAGCTACTTTTTGGAAAAAACATCAAATTATGCTAATTGTAACGCATCAAAATTCATCCTTTAGTTATCTAATTGTATAACAGATGTTCATAAGGAGATTAATTTTATCGATCCGCTCCATGGTTCCTATATACATAAGCTCTACCTTTTATTCCTTTAGAAGTTTAGTAAGCCAATACGATGTCCCAAATGTAAACATTACAGACTGTACATCACCTTCGAGGTGTTAGCCTGCTTTCAAATACAGAATCATTGTCACCAAGTAATATTTGCCAGGTGACAAATAAAAAAGACTAGAAATGATTTATTTTAGGAGTTTATTTAGTTGTTGCTATCAAATTTGTTGTGTCACTGATAAATTTATGTAAATGTATGATGTAAATGATGGCAGTTGATAAATAAAAAATAAATTAAAATATATATTCAGCATTCTACTCATTGAATTACTATATACATATCGAAAAATTTCAGCCCTGTTATTTTTCGGAGCTTGTTTTTTCTCATATATCACCAAATTGTCCGCTGGTAAAAGTTTTTGAATTTTGGGCGGAGAAAGTTATAACTATGTTTTAATTAGCAAGTTGCGCGCACGTAATTACTGACCAATAAGATTGCCGAAATCGGTTTTCAACGTCCGGCGTGCGGTATCTGAAATTGGGCTTTATTCTTTCTTTTAATACTATAGCTTTTGCCTTACTGGGATTGGACAACTGAATTTGAGAAGGATTGTTTTGTTGAAAACCCATACTATGTTGACGAATTCTTGACCGAAGATGATTGTGAAGTGTGTACGGCAATTTCTGGGACGCGACTAAAGAATGTTAGTCAAGATTTGATGGCGGAAAATTATCTTTTTAATGCAATTCCAGTGGTTGTCACCGATGCCACCAAAGATTGGCCAATTGATGTTCAAAGTTTTGATTTGAATAAGCTAAAAGAGGTGTGTTTACTGTGTTACTCATTTTTAAAAACTTTACTTAGGGTCGCGCAAACCTGTTCTACCAAATGACGGTCGCGCGTTCCACGGTCAGGTTACGATTTGTATCATATTGTGTCACAGTAAGTGGGAGGTTTCGGCTTCGGAAAATTAGACTAAACAACTGCATGGTTGTTTTACAATTATACAATATATTGCAATTTCTATAAATATATATATATATATATATAGTCACGACTGAAGCAGATAATAGCTATATATATATTCTGAATGTTGATTTTGGTAAAATTACTAAGGCGCAGCTTCAACATTGTTTGAATGTGTTTTTCCCTATTTTTTTTAGGTCTATTTGGATAATAAACTTTCAGATCCGGCAAAATATTGTACATTTGAAGCATTCGACGCGAATATAGATTCTGCTCGGCAGTTATTTTCAGTATTACAAGATAATAATCTGGACCACTGGCAAGGATACTGGTAATTATATATATATATATATATATATATTATATATATATATTATATATATACTATACATATATATATATATTATATATATATTATATATATTATATATTATATAATATAAATATATATATATATTATATATGTATATATATATATATATTATATATATATTATATATATATATATATATATATATATATATATATATATATATATATATATGAACATGCATGTAACTTGCTTTATGTATATTAGAGGTTACTGCGGATGGTTGTAGCTATATTCTCACGAACAAAAATTGTTATTTATGCATGTCAACATGCCTAAACATTAAAAAGCTAACCATCGTACTCATATTCGGAAAAACGCGGGAGTGAAATTATTTCAAGCTCAAAATACATTCTTCGATGAAAAAAAGTTTAAATATCATATTACCTCTCTTATATATACATGACACGTTACATATATAACACGTTAAAATACGTGTATATGGCATGGATTTTCTCTTATATATATAGTGGCATAAAGAACCTGCAAGTAATTTGCGCGAACCCAGCAAACAAAGTATGCATGGGAGGGGTTTCTATGAAAATCCTTAAGCTTATGTATATTTCATAGCTGTATCTTAATCACAGACACTTCGAGCACCCAGTAAAATAGGCCGCACACACTCAGTTTTAACATTTCCTCACTCTAACGCCGGTCGCCGGTCAAACAATGAACCTGATTAAATATCAGGAAAATTTATTAGTACGTAATACAGGAAGGAGCATTTCATGCAAAATTGGAGAGTTTGGTTGTGAAATATTGAAACTTATGAAAAATAGCTTTTGCCGTGCAAAGTTGGCAAATTCGAATAAATTAGTAAGGCCATGGAGGAACGCTCCAAGTTCTCTACTTTTGTTCTATTTTAGGGAAAACTGTGAACCAGCAACAGCGAAAAGTATTCGGAAATTCTATCGACGACCGTATTTCTTGCCACCAATGGCTGAAGCGGCGGCCGAGAATTGGGTTTTTGCGGCGTATGACAGCGAAGGAAATGAAGCGGGAATGAAATGGGAACATGTAAGATATAAGTGTTTGCTGTCGCGTCGATGTTGTAATATAAAAATTCTGTCGCGTCAATGATTTGAAACGTCTCTTTCAACTATACATTCGAGTTGAGACTTGAGTGAGCCAGGGTACCGTGCTTTAGGTTCATATCCAACTATCCAAGCCTTCAGCTAAACTGCATGAATGTTGACGTCATACCAAACTTGTGCCGCGAGGAAAAGCAGAAATTGTATGAAAAGTGTAGCGAGGAATCTAACGTTCTTTTTTATGAATATAAGAACGTACATCTACTTCTTCATGCACTGACTATATTGCAGAAGAATGTTACCGAATGGGATTATTATATATCTTGGGGTTCACAAGTTCCCTCTTATTTATAAAATCAAATCAAGCGACTGATTTAGGTATTGAAACGAATCTCTTCGAAACGAAACAAGCATATATGCTTCAGTTATTATCAGGATGACGTTGTCAGGTTTTTTTTTCATTTCAAAACGTCGCAGTCATTCAAAAACGAAATCAGACATCAGTGTACTTTTTTAAATCTGCAGGTTTCTTTTGGTGGAAGTGCTACTTGGGTAACCCAGGTAAGACAGCATAAACAAAAGCCTGTCATTGCCAGAAATGCATGAATGTCAGAGTTTGAAATATCTTTAAACGAAGACATGATTTTGTTAAATCCGATATAATTATCCGGACTAAATCGATTGTTTGTTTCAAGCATTTTGTGATTTTAAGAAATTTGCGATTCATTGATCAGCCTTTGACTTCACCTTCTCTTTTTTGAAGTGAAGGCCAACTCTTAGCTCGTTTTTTTTATAACAATGTGTTGCACCATCTATCATCTATTTATATAACTATAACGTCAAATTTTACATCCTTTAAAGAAATTACCCAAAACAAAACGTCGACCGTATTTCATTTACAAAACAATAAAGGAAAAAGACGTAAAATTGGTTCACCAAGAACATATATATAGACTGAAATTGTCGCGAAATAATCGCTTTAAATTACCATGCATTCGCGCGGTTTAACTTTTTATGCACGATATATTGAGAGTTTATGTTGTCTGTTCATTCCCACCTTTTCCAGATATGAATAGCTAAGCGGAATTATGCCCCTCGTCTAAATTAGTGCATGTAGGGGCGTGACCTTGGACGTGACACCTTTTGTGAAACTTCCAATTATATTGGCTTCACAGACGGGCAACTTTGCAACGCTACATGTCTTATCTCTTTGTCACGACAATCTTTTCTGTTCGGCGAAAACTTGTCAAGGAATATACTTCTTGTCAGTGGGCGTGTGGGTGGTCTTTGGGAAGGGCGGTTTAGGAAGAACGTTCTTTTCCTTATCGTACCGTACTGTGACTTAATTCTCAAAACAATTATACACGATAGCAATTGGTGTCCAAAAATAAGTTTGTTGCCACAAAAATTAATAGCGTTTCGCTGTATAGTAGCTATTAAATGTAGTTCCTTTGCTATTTTAATTCCTATACGGTATGAGCAGTATCCAGTACACTAATAATGAATGTTTATGAGTGCACTGGTAAGATTGGCGTACAATCTGTGGTGGTTACAGTCTTTGTACAAGGTGAGAACTGAGAATAGGGTAGAGAGTACCTTATAACTATAGCAGAAAGTGATAAATGATCGATTCAATCGATGTTTGATACGTGTTGCATTGTTTTCTAGATTAAAGGCCAGAGTCAAATTGTTCTTAAACCAAAATCTCCTTGTGATGCAATATGTAAAAAGATGTCTGCTACATTGAAACCTGGCGAGACAAGTAAGTTTAAAATCGATCTAATATACAACAATTTACTGACACCATGCCACCTGTTCTTACGATGTTCACTTTTAAATAGTTGTTTTCGTGAACCGTCTTTGGGAGTTTAAGAGAAGACCGCGTGCCACAGAGATGTCTATAAGTGTTGCCGCCACTGTGAGCTGGGATAAAATCTAGACTTGCCTGGCCTAAATAGACTAATTGCTACTTATCCATGCAGTATCTTGGCTCTGACCTCTTTCGAAGTTGGAAGAATTATTAATACTATATCTAAAACGTACGTGAAACGTGATAAAAATAAATACATTGATTTTCGTTTCTGATCACATATGTGCATTCTTGCTTTTTTGTCGTTATTAAAAAAATTTATTATGATATTGACAGCATGCAACGAAACGTTAGTCAATGAATTATTCATTTTGTTAGCTATATTATATGTCTTGTTTGGGCTTTCTGGGCTTTTAATTTTTTCAATGGTTTTCCTTCTAAAAGTCATTTGTCGGTTGTTGATGTTGCTGAAGCTTCGTTTGAAGTGAACATGCACTCACAGCCACCCACGTATCAGACACATACGTAAATATATTGGCCAACAAGACTTCCTCTTCACTGAGCTCTCGTGTTGACAACAACAACAAGGACTAAAACCCCCAACAATTATTTTCAAGATTATGCTATACTTATAACCTGGGCGACCAACTTACAATATTTGCAAGCCAAAATGTGCATTATTATTTTTTTTTGACTTTTTCCTATACAGATCTGTTACTTCACAACCTGTTACTGACTCCTTTCTGGGCTAAAATACCGGCATTATTTCGTTCAGTCAATATATACAAGTTCAATATACAAGCTGTTCAATTGACTGATAATGCAACGAGGTTTTATCCTCTACACGCACGCTTATACTAAACAAATAACAATACTAAGAGTATCGTTTTTTAAAAAATCGATAATGACTTGCATTTATCCTATTCCTAGCTTAGTATAGTCTAATTAACAAGCGGGGTATAGCAAATTATATATGTATTTGGTTAATTCTAATTTGATCATTTAATCATTTAATTTGATCATTTAATATGATTCAAATAAGTTTCATAATCATTACAGACTACAGAGATCTACATAATTACAATTACATTTTATTATATGAGACCTGCATGTAATGTAATTACATTATATAGATTGAGAATATAAGAATATAACAGTTTACAAGAAACATGAATGGCATTTCGGTGAACCTTACCCTGATGGGCCTGCGTGCTTATAACCTATATACGGCCATTTGAAATTACAGGATGCCAGTGTTGGTAGTGTTTATAGAATGATGTGTTTTGTCATCACGAATAGCCCACTTGAAAGAATACAAGTATAGTATGCAGATTATAGCAGATATTGGAGAATCCCTGCTGTGGCGCCTCCCTCCCAAATACTGGCGCCACGGAGTTTGCATAGTTATATAGCAGCTATATGATACGCCATACGCCTTACAAACTTTGGATGAAAGTACGTGCATGATGCATCAAGCCGTTGTTTCCAAACCCTCCTCTCGGTTTATATATAACCGGAGAGGCGAAAAAAACGATCTACCTGTTTCATACTTTATTTTGAGATTCAACTCAATTTGATATTCTCATGCAGGACGTTCAGATTGTTTTATATAATACAAATATTGCAATGTTTTATCATAGACCCCAGTTAGCTTTTGGTTACAATGCAATTCATCATGGCTTTGGCTTCTGTATATAGATCGATAGGTTTACTATACTACAATAAACCTCATACTTCGCCCTGATTTTTGCGTGTTAAAAACGTGTTTGGTTTTGATATATGCTTGTTTATAAGTCTGTTCACACGATCCAATTTTGCGGGACCAACTCCCTTAATTCTGACGTTAATTTAACCGTTAATTATTCGTAAAGAAGTATACGCATGGGCTTTAGTTGATTTGCTGCCGCATTTACGTTGCAAGTCAACAGAATATATAAAAACATTCATCAGAAGTGAATCCGACAAAAATTTGATCGTGTACGCGTGAACAGCCCTTAAGAAATAATAAAAAAAGTGATTTTAGAGGTGCAAAGTATTATATAAGTTATTTCAACAAAATAAAAATAAATTATGCATATTAAGCACCAAAATCTTTGATTTCTTCGAAATGATGCAAAAATAAATAACTCTGCGACACCACAGGCACAGAAGAAACTATGTCTATGTCTATGATTATGTTGTCAACCGTCAGTATTCCTGCATGCATAGATGATATATTGAGTTATTTCCTTAATAACTTCCATCAGGAATTTCTCCTACGTAATATAATTAGTCACACGCGAGATGCCGTCGATCGTGAGATGAAACATTAAACTTACGGCGAAGGAGTAGAAGGTCACGGCGCTCGAGAATAGCGTATCCAGTTGCCCCGAAGCGCGAACAGTTGCCAGTGTTGGATCGCGTGTTACAAGCCGATATACAGACACCTATATATTTTGGCGAAAATGCATAGCCTAACGACGATCGGCATCGTATGGTGTATGTTGTCAATCGTTGTTGCTGTCGTATGCTCGGCTGGTTTCTATATGCCCTACTGGCTTCAAGGAGAAGTTATGAATGTCACAGTTCACATTGGCATATTTCGTCGTTGTAATTACCTCGCTAGAAACCCATTTCTCAACACGTACTACGTGCGCGAGGAATGTGGTCGTTACAAACGTTTCAATGATATTCCCTCGACTGCCTGGCAGGGCAGTACCATTATCTCAGGAGTAGCTTGTGGCATTTTGGTCCTCATAAGTCTCATTTCTCTGCTGGCTATTTGTTGCCAGGACATCATCACAAAGCACACGGCAAGAGTTTGCGGATTTTTTCAAGCAGTCGCTGGTAAGTTACACGTCTTACATAGCTTGGGATATATCGGTGTACAGGATATCCTATTGATATGTACTTCTGAATACTGGAATACATTTTGTTGTTTAACTATCGGTTTCTTTAATCCTTAATTTATCAATGAATTATCGGCGGAAACAATGCACACGGCTATCATATAGAACTACGGGACTGCCCCATTTGTTACTTGACAACAAGTAAGCAGTCGAGCGATGTCCAATGGCCTTAAATCGCGAATTGTTCGATTCACTATACTATACAATGATTTTCGACAGAGCGGAATTTACACAAGTGGTCTTTTAACAGCAGGTTTAAATATAAATGTTCCGTCATCACAATAATGACAATGTTTATCTAAAACTTAAGCAATCGAGTCAAGAATTTCTTTATATGTACGTCGCTATTATCGCTTTACTTTGTACTTGAATCCTTCCTATACCACGTTGCTAGCTCGAATTGGCATTTGCCATGTCATTATACTTGAAGCAACATCCTTCCACTGCGATACATATTCATCGCCCCAGTGCATATTCATCCAAACGCTTTATCTTACAACGTTCAAAACGCCGTTACGAACCCCATTTGTGCGCGGTTTATCATTATAAGGATATATTGCACTGATTGCTACATTTTGCTTCAAGCGTGTAATCTTCCCACGAAGAATAACACAATAGGTGGGAAGCACTATGGTAACCTGAATTGTAAAGGATGATACATACATGCAGTTATTTCAAATTAGGTTAACGAAGACAATACTCGAATATAGGTACAATATGAGTTCCAAAACAATGTTGAAAGTAATCGTATATATAATCGTTGGTGGTCGTGTGCTAGTGCAAATATGGTATTTGTACTATATTGTACTTCGATCCGTACAAAGCTGAGAACAAGGTGTTACTCTTTAAAATCTCTAATAACACTTATGAGAGTTTGACTTTCCCATGTGGCTGCCTGTTAAACCGTTAAAGTAACTGTGAACCTTTTAACTGTGTATGAAGACTTCGCGAGTATAGATGTGCATCTTGATTTTGAGATTATCAGCGCGCTAATTGTGAGAACAAGATGAAATCTTGCTAGACCCTGATTCCCCCGTGTTAATCGGCTTGCAATGTGGACAACTCATCGACCCTCCAGTGAAGTTCATTCTTTTTAATCCAATTTTGGTCCGAGCTTGCAGAATTGCTATCATCGTTATATCTATTTTAGTTGACTCCCAAGAAAAATGTAAGGTGTACACGGAAGAATCACCCAAAAATAAAATAGCGCTAATTGTGCAAACACTCACAGGAAAGCGAGATATATGAAATTCAAAACATTGAAGTCCGTGCTTCCTGTATATGAGAAGCTTTGTAATATTTCAATTAGTGTCATCAACTCTAGGATACGAATTTCTTGACGCTGATAGATCAGGACGGAAAAAGTAGAACGGCACTGTTTAATACTACTTTATTTATCATACGTATAATAAGATTCCAGATTGGCGGCGAATGTTGGATGGCATTCTAGTATGAGATATAATCAGGCATGCTAACAGTCGACTTATAGAACCGTGTAACAAAAAGTCTTAATCTAATCGCAACATCTGGTGGGTATTAACGTAAATAGGAATTTATCGCAGAATCAAAGATATACGTATAGAATCCTTGAACGCGTTTACATCACTGCCCACTTTTGCTACACCCGTCTTTTGGTTATCTTGCAATTCATCATGGCCTTACCGGCCTTCTGTATATAGATCGATAGGCATCGATAGCTACGATCTGCGAACGCTATTGCTTCGTTCTTTCATAGATTATCGAATATCGAAGCCATGCTAGGTTAATGCGCAGTTGTGCGCGCTTTATGGGAACCACGTACGCACCAGCTCGTGGCTATATCTGTCCATCAGGACATTCGGCGAATATTTGACAATTTCGTATGCTGATCATGAGTACCGGATTGCCCAGTAAAAGGCCAGGATATGTACTATCTGAAACTCTTGCCGGCAAAAGAAAGCTGAAATAGGCTGGATATTGACAGTATATCCATGAGCTAATATTTCACAAAATCAGTAAAAAACTTATATCAAAATGTGTTAGCAAGTAGCTAATCTCAGTGAGAAAAGTGCTTCACACCATCCTTCATTTGCTTGAACTCAGAACTTACCATGCAACTAACCTCTTGTCTTTAATTTCGTTCAATCAATGGCATCGACAAATAGGGGTAGCAACACCCTCCCCAATCTCCTTCTCGTTACGTTCACTGCAATGCATGCAGATAATCCGTTCGATAGTTGATCTGGTACGGATTACTTTGTTCTACATACATATAGATCTAGTATTTATTATGTTAGAGTAAAGCCACCAGGGTACACCTGCTTTTAGTTTTCAAAAGCACATTTTGGAAGCTATGGTCGACCTGCACCATGCAGGGTGTATCAAAATGTGCATAATCGTTACGCAATGGTGAAAGATATTACGTACAGGATAAAATTTTTTTTCTGGGAAACTGAAAAACGCGTTTGCCAAATCATGCCCTGATGGCAGTCATTATAGAGAAAAAACTTTTTATAATTGGAATTATAGCTAATTCTCTGGTGCTTTAATGATAAACAAAGCAAAACTAGCTTCATTTTCTGAATCATCGTACAGTACAACTTGCGTAATCCAGGTTTATTTCACACCAGTCCTTTAGCCGCGTTCATAAGAATTCACACCGCCAGTGGAGACAGTAAATATAGTCCGGAAATCGAGATAGTATCAAAACACTTAATTAGTGTCAAATTGACAATTAAAATAATCAATATACATTCAGAGTAACCACCCAAGCGTCTATATGCTCTTATAAAGACGTCATCATGCATTACAGCATTAGTGCCATATGAGGCTTATAATAATCTGATTTACCTAATTTTAGTTTATACATATATGCCGATAAGTTCATAGTTGTTATGATTTGTGCTGTGGTATATGTATATATATATAGTAAACAGTAAAACCGAGGCTTGTGTCTTCCAACAATTCTTTAACACCTTGAAAAAAACCCTAGGAAATAAAACTCTTTAAATAGTCTTATGCATAGCTATTGCATGTGCATTCCAACTGCATGTGAATATGATATTCAGTTTGTTATTTATCTAAAACTCGAAAATATATATCCAGTCTATATATAGTTAAACGTGTATATAGGATAATTTGCATGACTTTTCCTTTACGGACATTTAATATTTCACTCATTGTTGTGATATTTCACTGATATTGTTGTCTAATTATCCTTTTTCACGAAGACGAACATGCATGACCCCTATTTTTTTGGGTTTACGGTGGTGCAACTCTATTTTGCCAGTACAATAAACAATTTGATTTTGGTAGGTCACATCGTAGTTATGTGGATTAAGTGCAACACTATAAGACTTAAGGGCTTTGGAGAGACGGTTTTCATGTAAAAAATATATTAAACACACCTGTGCCAAGATTACGATCATGCATGCACGAATTGATTTCCTGCAAGCTGGGCTCGTAAGATACGTAAAGTAAGAGAAAACGTTTGCCATATTTGTTGTTTTTATATTTCTTTACATCGAGCGTCGAGTTCATCGATTAGTTACTATATGCGTTCGCGCCCGGAAGATCTAATTAAATGTCTGTTTTGATTCTTTACCATTTTAACGTTACTTCTGTTTCTTTGCTATATATACACCTACTGTACGTATGGATAGTGTTTACATGCATGTAGTTTGGATCTGATTCTCGCGACAATCATGCATTTTTCAATACTTACTTCACGAAATTTCGATTGTATAGAATGAGACAGAAACTGCGATGTTGCTAAGACGTGCAGATATATTACACCTGAGCGACAAATCAGTACTGATCTTGAAATTTTGTTCGTTTATCTATTTGATTATTTCATGCAAATTAGTGTGAAAACTTAATTTGTTCGGCAAGCGCAAAGGTGAAAATCAGCCTTACGTTTCTTAACCTATAATTTTGTCATAATGTTGTCATGCATTTGGCACGAAAACTATCTCGCTCTAATTAATTGTTTTCTTAAAAAATACAGATGTTTCGATAAGATTATTTGACTTATAAGATCTTCCAGATATGTAAATACAATCATGAAACATCTTGGCAAAAGTTTCTTCGCTCCTTAAATAGCTAGCTAGTGGTATAATTATATATAACCAGTGTCTTAAATATAGCCATTTTTGTCCGAACTAAGGTGTCGATGTAGTATACACTACAGGTGTTTGGGTGTCCAGCAAGACAATTACAGAAAAAAATCAATGCACTTTCCTGCCTTTCAAAATTTTAAGTATGATACGTTACAGAAATTATTCTGGTCTTGTGAGAAATGCGAGGGTGGGAAGTCCCCATTGGCTACGACACTGCCTCCAAGTGTCTGGAAAATACGATGCATGCATTCATTTGCTATATGTATATAGTTACCTACTCGATTCTCATTACGATTGAGCTCACTTATGATTGTGCATAAGGCTGCTTACCACGACAACAACTAAAAAATGCATACTTAACTCTATACAGAAAAACTAAGTTCTTACTCATTCAAAGTTAAAATACATACGTATTAATTTACTATAAGAATAATGACAAACTTGTTTATTCCATAAAAACTTTTATTACGTCAAATTTGTTTCGTGTGGTATGTCTTATGTTTGCGTGCGTTTATGTGCATGCGTGTTTACTTGTGTATATAAGATTGATATATAGAGAATAGTATACATCGATGCGCGGAAATGTGGCATTTATTTCCATGAAATACATGCATGTATTTTCGTTTTTATTAACAAAATATATGATATAACAAAACTGTCACAACCGGGAGATTTATGAAATCTTATATTTATACCTGCTTTCTGATTCGCACTTGTATTTTACCGCTTTTCACAATGGCAGATTCGCCAATAAAACACTGCATATTATATGATAAAAATTCCGAAGTGGAAAGCGATCCTTAATATACAAAACTAAATCAATTTTAATTTCTTTATTTTCCAGCCGTATTTCTTATCGTCTCATGCGTCTTATTTCCATTTGGTTGGAACAGCGTCGAAGTGCGTCAAGCGTGCGGCGAAAGCGCAGAATCGTACAAACTAGGAAATTGCAAGATTGGTTGGGCAATATTTCTAATCGGCGGCGGAACGGTCGCAACGATAATTTGTTCGTGCCTTTCCGTGAACGCTGGTAAATCGGACCGAATGAAAGCATCGGCTTACGATGCGAGATATGACACCATGCAGTTACACACGAAAGGTACTCATATATGACGCACTCGGGTGCTACTTGATGCGGAAGAATAACTACGGCGATGCTTTCAAAAATCTTTAAAGATTATATATGGGGCATGTATATACATAGGTAAAGAATTGAATATGGATTTGCGTATCAAATACAGTGGTGAAGTGCGGTGCCCGGTCGTAATGAACTTTTTTCTATTCTTGTTTACTACCGGCGTCCTGGCCCGCTTCTTGAACGAGATCCCATGAAATTAAACCAGCTACCTTCTTTGTCGAACATTGACCGATTACAAAAATGTAGTCCAAAGCCTGGCTTGTATTCGTAATCTAAACGCTAACATTCATGAGAATAAATATTCATCCTGTACAGTGTAAGAAAAAGGAAGGTGAAATGGCATCCTTCAGTGTAACAAGTATTTCACTCTCCGTTTCTTTTAAAAGAGGTATGGGCAATAAATATTTGGTTATGCCGGTCCATCAACTTCGTTCCAAGGGTTGTAATCCCCATGTAAATCTCATTTGAACTCGTAATTACCTTGCGAAGAAAACTCCATTACCGACTTTTTCGTGTCACATGCAGTTATCGAAATATTCAGTTGGACCAAAATCAGTGAGCTCTGCATCATGTTGAGCGCGACTCTCTTTACCAAATAGCAGTACTAGTTTTTAAAATGTTTGGATTGCTTTAACTTTCAGTTTAAAATTTCCTAACTAGCTAAAACGTGAAAAGATTGTACTGGGATGAAGTTGCATTATATCACGAGTTCTTAAAAATGAAACAAACCATTTTTATTGCCAATTCCCATTTAATTGGACCGAACGAGCGAACTACATCACTGAAGTGCTGATGTAATACCTCTCGATCTGATGCAATGCGAAATCGTTTTGTCGTTTATCAATGTATAAGTAGTTCGTGTCATACTTACCTAGCTAGAGCAATGACGTTGAACAAAGGGAGCGCTGATGGCTACCTGCTCAGACCTTAAAAAAGCTTTTACGACGAAGTGCTCCCAAGTTCAGATGAAGTTACTTAGTGTTATACGCTGATGCAAACAGTTGACTTTTTACCTGCCAAGATTACCAATACCGATGTTCACAGTTCACAAATCACAAAGTTTAAAATGTTATTTATTATAGGTTTATCTTAGTAGAAATTATAGATTGAGTTATACACTTTATATTGTTTCTTCTGCTTTAAAAAAGTATTATTACATCAGGCGCTTCAAGCATACGAAGCCTATGTTGGATGTATGAAAAAAACGCACACTAAATATTCATTATATTCGCTTTCTATTCGATCGCAAAAGGTCGAATATTCATGAATGTTTATACACCCTGTACACCCATTTGATTTGAACGCATTCAGTTGGCCGAATGTAGGAATACCGAAGGTAAGTACATTACCAAAGTAGTTCGGTAACCAAAACGTTGCAAAACACTTTTTCGTACGATAGAAATGCCAAGGAAGGAAATTTGTTGTTGTCATAACTAATCGTAAACGAAGTGAGATGACCAGGTAGTCCTCAATATATTTTACTTCCGCCGTGCAGTTTTTCTCTGGTTCAACAGTGTACACGTTTAATATCCAGACTATAGAAATTTCAAGACTTTCGAAATTGTGAATGTGTATATTAAATAGTTGTGGGTCGTTTAATTACCTAACCTCTTGTCCACCTATACGAATGATGAGTTCTTATAGATATTTTCTTGGCTTCTGCGCAGACTATAGTATCCTCCTTGAAAACCCGGATTTTATGTTAATTTAAAAGGAATGAGAGGCTTTGATTTGATTAAATTCATAGGATATAATTACACTGCTTAACAAGAACTAATGATCATAAATTTCTTAGGTCATTTATTAAACACGTATTGCGGTGATCTTAGGCTATGTCTTTTCTGTGCTCTACTTCTATAGTTCATCATATCGTATCCTTCATATCATTTCCTCCGAAATTGGAGCGACAAACAGCTTATAAATCGTGGCCCATTGAGAAATTTCATAATTGTCGTCAACAAATAATTTTTATACCGGTGAAAAATAGTCACCGGGTATAAATTTGCAGTCTTTATTTATTCAAATCAGTCATTGTTGACTGCACAGACATAGAAATATTATCTAGGAAATATTCTATCACATCATCCATGGTGACACCTCCACGACTAAATAGAACCAGACATTGAGGGACAAGTCCTCTGGCACACTTGATTTCAGTCTGCTGATGTTGATCTAAACACATGTTGTTACAGGACGAAAACCATGCAATTCAATTGGAATTATCTATCTACGCTCTCTCTTTCCTTGCTCTTCTACGATGATTTGATAAGTTTCGTGTAGAGACTTCGATATAAATGCAGTCGTCGCATCGTTCATATATACCCACAGTCAATGTGTTCGACGACATGCCTCCTCCTCCCCCCTCTCTCTCTCTCGATCTCTTAACGCACTTTGCTAGCTCCAAACCCTCCGGTATTTTGATGCATAAATGTTATGATTATATATGAATGTATACATATTTTATGCATGAAGACTCCACGTATGCAATGCAATTACGAAGTAAATCCGACTACGACACAGTTCTCGATAGCAAAATAACTTCCCTAATAGCTGGGCTCTTTTGATCCTGTAAATACCCCGCAGAGACCACATTGAACCCTTTCTTTCCTAGCGCTTGCAATATCGTTGTCTTCGGTTCATTGCCGACAAAGTCACCGCGACGATTCGTGATTTTGACTTCGAGGTTCGCTGTCCCTTCTGTCGTTGTTGTGCATTCCACCGTCACGAAGGGAGAGAACATAGACTTCTGAAAACATTCTTCCATCGTGGTTTTATTGCCAAATATTTCAACAAACCGTGGACGACAGACCAACTCGATATGCTCATAACACCCGCTAACTTGGTTCGCCTGAGTTGTCTGTGCTTGTCCACAGGAAATTTTATTCAGGTGAGCCTTCATGTCCTTCAGCTGATAAAACTCTGCTTCCTGCTTCAACTGTTCAAGTTCGGCGAACCCCTTTGGTAGATGAAGCTGCCCAGATCGCAGGAAATTCAAAACGTGGCGAAAGAGCTTGCCATCTCTGTCGATGAAGTAGTTGCCGTTTGTGTCTGTCTCGAGAGGCATACGGCCGCTAAACATAGCGGCGAGCATAGATTTTGAACATCTCGTGAGCGTCGTCAATGAAGCCGTGTATATCGTTCCTCCGATATTTAAAGATAAGACCGGTGGAAAAGTCGAACTGGCTGCCGATTTTTTCAAAACATTCATTTTAGCTTTTGAGAAAGATCTTTCTCGCGCCGATTCGTGAATCTCATTGAGCAGGCAGAGCAGCTGCTATTTGTTATGCCAGTACGTACACTGCGGTTTAAACTAGATATGCAAATCATATCGTGTTTAATAATTTAATATTTTCGTGGTCGAATCTAAACCTCATAATGAACGCATACTATCTGTTTAACAGATTACCGGTCGTCCCCCATGCTATCATTCACGATCGCCATGAAAAATCGCAAGCCTTTGCACACACATTATCTCTTCATTTTTTTCTGGTAACTCCGTGCAATTCAACTGAGCCAAAGTATCGAATTAAGCTCTAAATGTGCAAACTTGCAACAAGGTTTGAAAATGAGGAGTTTTGAAACCAAACAAGTTTTTTTCAGTGAAACAAGCTAGAAACATCTATGAACAAAAACTTGATTGAGGGAGCTGCAATTAGGGCCCACGCCCCTCCCCCGCGCGCTATACAGGAGGCCGGGGCCGGTTGCAAAAGCCGGTTAGCTTAACCTTAAGTTAAAGCAAATCTTCCCATTAATTTTTTTATTCGCTTGTTTACAGAGTTGAATATCTTTTTTCTTACTGAATATTTTCTGGACCGAAAGAAGAATCCTATTTTCTAGTTCTAAAGTTTGAAAGCTATTCAATGATCAGTTCTAAAGTTTTAAAACGAATGGTAGTTCAGAAGCACATAAACTGACACCGCGGCCTTGGTATAGACATAGCCGCAATTCTTAATACTTAGACTTCAAACTTGCACAAAAGATTTGAAGCTTGCACACGGTGAGAACGAATCGTCTGAATTAATAACCTCTTTAAGCCTCAAAATGGCCATTTCACAGCGGTCTGCGGTCAGATGTGTATGATGAGTTGTCAAAAGATTGCAGAATGCGTATTCAGAAGGAAAATTGAACTTTTTTAAGATATTTAAAATGTTTCTCCTTCTTCGCACAGTATTGGGGGCCCACCGGTTCCCACGGGCCTTTAATTTAATGTTTAAAAAAAAGTGCTAACCTTTCGAGTTAAAGCGCGCGGGTATTAGTGGGAAGGCAGAGAATGTCCCATCATGCATCAGGCAACATTTCATTGCTGGCACTGAACTATATTTTTTACTCTACTGTGTCCAACGAGGGCACTGTCGCAATAACAGGAAACGGAGTGATCAGAATTATGTGGTTAAAGAGCACGTGCAACCAAGAAGGTTCACCGGTTGGTTCACTATATCCAAGATGGCGAAAGAAAACAGTGATCAACATCAACACAAACCCGGACCTTTAAAACAGCAAAATAAAAGCCACAAACATGGTAGACACAAAACGAAAGGGATGCTTGACACTATATGTAAAGGTAACTATTCGATGATCAATGTATTTAATAAAGTTAACGACCGACCCGTATTAAATTTGTTTATATATAGTGCTGTGACTGCGACTCACCTTTGTGGCTTGTGCCGTTTATAGGACGGGTGAGTGCTAAATTAGCAGGAAAAAGAGGCAGCAAGGTTAAGGGGAAAATAGATCGACGAAATCAGGTGAATAATATAGGTTTACTGGGGAGAGGGCCCTAAGGGTGGGGGGTGGAATGGCAAAAGGAACGAATTGACCCAGTCCCAGGTTATTAGAGGGAGGCCCCCAAAACACTTCAGGAACAAAAAACATTTTTCTAGGGGATTTGAGCTCCAAATAAGAATTTTGCCCTTATCCCTAGCAATTTGACTTAAAGCATTCATTGTGGACACATGTCACATATTCTTATACTTTGGAATACTCTTGAATTTCTATTCAGTCAAGAGTATCAATTGACAGAAACATAAACAGTTTTGGCAAAATTTCATTGAAACAGATAATGTGTAAACATTAGATGCACCAACAATCAATTCAGTCTGTTCACAATATCAGCAAAAACTAAATGCTTTGTTGTTGTTTGTTATCCAGCACCATAGTTTATCGCAATATGTATACAAAAAATTGAAGTATATTCAAAGAAAATTTAAAAGATTTGTATTATTTATTGCAAATTAGTGAAGGCTTGGACTGTGATTCAGTATGCACAACATACCATACCCATGCTAATGGCATATATGTATTCTCAGGCAAAACAGCTTCGTGCCAATAAACGAGAAGAAATGTTAAAGGATAAAAGAAGGATTGGAAAGCTTGACAGCCCACCTCAGGCTGTGGTGTGTACTTTAATTGTGTAATAACTGGTATTTATTAACTTTAAGTTAGTTAGTTAATAAAAAAGCTTTTTTATATGCATATTTATTGCTAAATTGTTTCGAACCACACTACGGGGCACTCTTATATTCATATCAAATGGCTGATTTAATGTCCACATAAAAGAATGCCACAACTAAAGAAAAAATTAAATGGCACCAATCTTTAATAAAAACGGTATCCAAAAATTGCCATATATATACCAACATGTTACGCTAATTTAATCAAAAACTGATTTTATCAACATATTACAGTTGGTCAGGTCTCACACCAGTATATGGTAATGTTCAATCAGGCTATTAAATAAGTCTGAAAACCAATTAGCATCATGTTAAATATAGTCAGGTCTGTCAGGATGGTTTAAAATAGTTCTAAATACAGTATATTTGGTCTATGATTCAAACAAATTGAATATGTATGTATATCAATTGGAGCATATTGAGGAGGGTATATATAAAACAAACTGACATAATATAAAAGTTTTGAAAGTCAGTGTTGTTGGTCTATGGTATGTATATTTGACAGGGCTAATTAGTCTGTGGAAATTAATTGAATATATCAATTAAAGTATGGTTGGGAGGGTATAAAAACCCTGAAACAATAAAGATGCATTGAAGATAAGTTATACTATTGTATATTCTACCAGGCTAATCAGCCTGTGAATATCAATTCAATATATCATACAATCTGCCAATAACTGTATGTGGTATATATTCAACAGCTGATTAGTTATCAGTAATATGGTTGGGAAAGTATAATATTAACACACTGACACGAAACTTGACAAATGACAAAATAATTTCAGCAATTTGTCTCAGGCCTGAAAATTAGCACGCGTTACCCATTTACTACCTACAGTCCTACAGGAATAAAATTAAAATTTTTTTTGAAATATAAAGTCCTCTTTCCAAAAAAGAAATACGTTTGAGGCTTTTTATATGTAAGTGAAGAAAAAAATATTACCACAGAAGAAAGAAATCGTATCTACTGAAGTCTAAGTGTCAAAATGGAGGAGTATATTCCCCCGACATATCAGAATCAAATTTATTTTTCACGTATACAAAAACAAGAAGATAACATTGAACAACATAATTATAGTTACAGAAATGAAAACCACATCTTTAAATTACTATATTAAACAAACGTGTACAGTGATCAATGTAGCAAAATGCTTACGAGTTGACCAATAAGTTGACATAAGGCTAGAAGAGCTTTATCGGTCCAAGGTTCATTGCCTTATGGAAAATGACAGCAAATTGGTGCAATGAGCTACTGCAAACATTCTGAATTCAAGTGAATTTATTTGAATTAATTCAAATAAATTTGAAATTATTTATAAAATTAACGGTTACATTTTTCCACGTTTAACTTTAAGTCGATCATCCGTTCAGTTGAACCAGAAAACATTCTTTATAGCGCACAACGTATAATTTCAAACATTTCAAACTTTATTTTGAACCAAATGTATTCACTGTATTTAGGAAATATATTTGTCAATTATATTTGTCAAATTTCCCGCCACATTTGAGATATTCGAAGCCAATAGTAATAGTCCTATAGTTACATAGTTTTTGTCTTATTTTTTCATTCATTTTTTTGTACACACTTCAATCTTGCTTCCATTTTGAAATATTCCAGTGTGTAGTTCCTCTGTCATCATCCTGTGATTCAAATGAACTATTCGACAATTTATCTAAAAGTAACGAGGAAAATGTTGTGACAATAACTGAGAAGTGTAAATTGTTAAGGTAATGCATTTCTTAAACTATTTTATATAATTGTACTTCACACCTTGACTTATCTTTTGTCATAATTAACCGAGGTTAAGAATAAAATTTAATAGCAAACAACTTACCTTACTAATGGAAAGTTTCAAGGTTTTAAGTTGTATGCAATTCTAATGTACTGCCTTCAATTTTGTTACCCGTGTTTGCAATAGGTTATCTTCTTTCTTTCCTTTCAGTATTTCTTCTTTTTTTCGCCCACTTTTTCGAACACTCTGTCGTGCATTTGTGTGTCTACTTTTTAATCATTGTTTGTGTGTTCAATTTGCATTATTTTGTAATTTGGCATTGGTATTCATATTTTTGTATTGGTACTGGTATTTTTTTGAATTTTCTATCGGCATGGTATCAACTGGTATCGCGTTTGCTAGTATTGGTATTAGTAATTGTATGGTATGGTATTGCTAGTAATGGTATTGCTATTGCTTTTGCTAGCATTGCTATTGCTATTGCTTTTGCAATTATATTGGTAGTGCTATTGCTAGTATTGATATTGGTGTTCCTATTGCTAGTATTGGTATTGCTGGTATTAGTATTGCTATTGCTTTTGCTAGAATTGGTATTGGTGTTGCTTTTGCTACTATTATATTGCCATTGCTAGAATTATATGAACATTAGTGTTATATAGAGTTTTACGCCACCGAGAAAAATAGTATTTAAACACGTAAAAATACGATATTTTTACATGTAAAATTACAAATAATTTTCGCAAGCCAATCAAAAACCGCGTAGGAAATATGTTTGACCAATCAAAAAATCTGTTGTTAAACGTTTTAGTTTTTGAATTTGTTGTTAGGTCTATAATTTGTTCACATAATAAACAGAATATTACATGGTTGCTTGGAAATATGGACTGATTTATTTCTCGTGTTGAAGAGAATAGTGAGCAATATTCTCTTCCACACGAGAAAAAAATTCCATATTTCCGCGCAACCGTATAATATTTTCTATGTATTTTGCTAGTATTGATATTGCTATAGCTAGTATTGCTTTTGTTACTGCTTTGCTAGTAATTAGCATTGGTATCGGTAATGGTATTGGCATTTGTATTTGATAGCGCTGACAACAAACTAATTAGTTGTTGTGTATAACTACATAGCTGTCCCCACATGAAGCAGTGGTTCTCGTTCTACATGCCTAAGTTTGGCGATCTCTATGAGATTCTTGATGCAGCCAAGGTAAGTCAACATATACCGCTATGGTTGTAATACTACATGTTATAGTTTATTTTTGCCATAACATTCACGTCCTCGCCAGAAACATGCAGATTCAGTTTAATATAGAACATATAGACTCTATATAAGCTGTAGTAATCTCGGTATTTTTTATATTATTGTTGTGTATAGGCAGCTGATGTTGTCATATTTCTGATGGAAGCAAACACTACCCCTGGTCCATTCGGAGATAAATGTCTGTCGTGTGTCGTTGCTCAGGGAATACCATCATGCTTCCACATTGTTCAGGTATTCACATGGTGAAGCGCATTTTACATTTGACGATATGATATCGTCGTTTTTCATACATGAAATTCATCTTGTACATGCTTATACTGTACATACAGTCCATGCTATTTCGAGCTATATAGAAATGTTATGAATGGAGAAATATGTCATTGCAATTTATTATGGTTTCATCATCTTCACTTTGACTTCAGGGAATTGATAGTATCCCAAAAAAGAAGCAAACGAATATAAAGAAGAATTTTAATAAGCTTGTTGAACAAAGGTTAGTTGTATTTATATTCTTTTCTGGGGGCCAACTGGAAATTGCCGCATGTATCTTTCTTTAACTACAGTAAATGAGAATTAGTATTGTAGCAGTGGACCCTATGCATGTAGACTGGAAAGGAAACTCCGTCGCCATCTTTGAAGGTAGTTTGAAGCCGAATTCAAATTGGCTTCTAGCTAGGATGGTGGTGACCGCCCGTTATTGTTCCAGTCTTTATAGAGTCCACTGTATTGCAGTTGTCACTAATTTCATACTAATGGCGATTTTGGATTACTGAGCTGGCGAGGTTCACTGATTCCATCCGCGGCTGTTTAGGTCTGGTTAGAACTCCATTGTGATGCAATTACATGCCCGTCTTGGGTTACCATTTTGTAGTGGGGCTGCTCCTTTTTCAAATCCTAAATGCAACTCATAATTTCAGATTCCCAAAGGAGAAGATCCATTCCGTTGACACGCCCGAGGTAATATGTGCACCCCACTGTTTTAAATTCGTTATTTTTTATACCTATAAATTACAAAGATATATTTATGCAGACAGACATGCAGTAACTACTTATAGGATACGCGAATAGAGTATATGAAACACTGCATTGTCGTTTACAGGAAGGAAATCAGTTGTTGAGGCTTATCGCCCATCATCACCACAAAACAGTTGTTTACAAAGGGACTCGCGCACATATTTCGGCGCATAACGTGCAATATCAGACTTCAGAAAATAACCAGGTATATATGTCATGATATATATAATTTAGGAATTTTAGGTTTATCGGAATTATACTAAATTTGAAATATGGTCTCATATAACGGTAGCACTGCTAGCAACTACATTCGCAAATGTTTCACAAATTAGTTAGAAACTCAAAAGCTCATAATGAAATTCTCCGACGGTTTTGTGAAAAAAGCTTTATATATATGGTACTATCACCATGTTAAAATTTAGGAGACGAGTATTTCTCAATTGCTCTTTATGGTGTGATCAATAATTTGTTCTCGTGTTTGACAGGACCATGGTACTTTAAAAGTGTCGGGTTATGTGAAAGGTCGTTCTCTGTCAGCAAACCAACTTGTTCATATTCCTGGTTTCGGAAATTTCCAAATGACACAGGTAGCTGTGCAGCATTGATTACGTTTATAATCTAGTTCTTGCGTTCTGCGTACTTTGCATGCACCTCCTCTTCTTCCGCGTAAATGTTCTGTAAAGGCGGTGTTATACACTACACAACTTCCCTTCCAACTTGCAATGCAATTCTACTCCTGAGGCATCGAAAGTTGTCAAATACGAACATTTCTTACGATCTGATCTGCTCACGCGTTTTCTTAGCATTTCGAACACTCTTTAGAAATTAACATTCTTCAAAATTATAATTGCATTGCAAGTTGCACGGAAAATTGCATAGAGCATTACCGCCTTAAGTAATTTTTTAGTTTCAACATGCATGTCATTGCGGGCATTAACCATATGCGAAAGTCATTCAGAATCAACGCCTTCAAGTATCTGCGTCATGCATGCATGTAATATTCTTCATGCTCGTTGACCCACAGAACAGGACGTCACATTGGGGCATATACGCAATTGATTTGAATGTCAATAATATTAACTTATGCTTCTGAAACCTGTACAGATAGATTCATGCCCTGATCCTAGCCCAGGGAAGAAATTCAGGAGGAAACAACAGAGCATGAATGTTGTGAGTAGACAGCTTTCTTTTACGCGAGTAACTTGCTCCACTTGCCCATGGGTAAAGAAAATATGCGAAAAATATACGAGCTCTGATGATTTACTTTGATTGGAGGAATATGAGAGAGGCCTATACATGTAGTACACTTGTCAAATTTATATGAAATTTATATGAAATACCTAAATGAAATAACAAATGTATAGGATGATGACGTGACCGCAATGGAGGAAGAAATTAGAATTCTTCAGAAATCAGACCCGGCGTTTCAGGAAACATTAGTGTGCGAAGTTGTCCCTGATCCAATGGAAGGAGAGCAAACATGGCCGACCGATGACGAACTGAAAAACGCTGGTAATTAAACACGCGTGCTTCTTTTTATTTACTATATTTTAAACTCCTAAAAACAACTCTTCTAAAAACAAGACGTACAGCGTAGTGCCTGTCAGTAATATGCAAAACAAGTTCTTGCAAAACAATGCACATACCTTTAGAACTAACAAGGAACGCTCGAATTGTGAAGAAAGTCCCTAAAGGTACGTCTGCGTACCAATCTTCATGGATATTGGATGATCATGAGGATCACAGTGATGGTGATGTCAGCTCAGATGAGGAAAGTGCGGGTGAAATGATGGAAGATGATACGATGGCAGAGATGCCAGACGACGATAGCAACGATAACAACGTAAGCGTATATATATATACTTTATGCACTATACCGGCCCTTATATTCGTAACACAAATTTTGTATTTGTACTTTGTTTACAAGGGGTATATGAGAAACTCGTTTGTTTCTTACCTTTGCGAGTAAATAGTCTGTCAGTTGTGCAGTAAAGAATCTTATGTTGTCGATACACCATCTCTAATATTCATATTTTTTTCCGATATTTTGGACAGTGAATATTTCTGATGTAAAATTCATATATATGACAATGCTGAGTCAACATTTTCAAATCTTGTACAATGCATGCACACTTTGCAAAAAAGGAGGAATTTCTTTTTATCGTCCAAATTTGTAATACTTCATGTAAAAGGGTAAATAATCCATTGGTCTTTTTACCGGAGTGGTCAATATGCATTGTGATTGGGTTACCAAAAATGTAAAAAAATGCTGATTGGTGTAAAACGAAATTCCACCTTGTTTTCGGTGCAGTACGTGGTCACATTTTACTATCAGTCAATGCTTATTGCTAACATTCACCCGTTTAGGATGGCAAGCACCACGAGGGTGAGGACATTGAATTGGACGAATACGAAACGGTACCTCTTTCTTTTTGTCTCCTGTATATTTTTACCTAGTATGCTCTTTTTTCAGTTCAAAAATGAACTAATCTGCCCATCTCTCTTATTCGCCTGACTTTATATAATAAATGTAAAGAGTATGCAGGTTTATGCATGTTGAGTTAAAATCGATTTTATATAGATCAGTGTTGCTACGGATACACAAGACTCCAGATATGATGAAAAGTATCCTGACGATGATCATACTGAGTAAGACATAAAAGAAATAGTAATGTAGCTACCTGCTGGACATATTTCTCGATCAGGGCCGAAACTAGAATGATAAATGTAAGGGCGGGGATGTTTATTCATATATTCAGTTCTGCCCAACAGATTTCTTTTGTAAGTACGATAGAAATCCGTCGGGCAGAAAAGAATATATGAATAAACACGTCCCCTCTCCTAATTATTGTTCTAGTTTCGGCCTGTTCCCGATGTTTTACGTTTGCCACAAATTGTGGAGATATATCACTTCAAATGAATTTTGTTTGCTATACCACGTGATAGATAGCTGCTTCCGAATAATTGTCTGAATGCTTGAATATATTAAAAATTGTTTTTCTAGGCTGGAGAAAGAGCGAGCTGAACGAGAAAACGAAATGTTTCCAGATGAAATAGATACTCCGTTCGATGTGCCTGCTCGAATGCGATTCCAGAAGTATGAATCTTACTCTATTTCTTTGATGTTGTGCAGTATGCAAAAAAAATCCTCATGGAGGTTGTTTACTGTACGATTGACGCTCACCCTGAGTTAAATATTGAAAAACATATCGTGTCATATCTATTTTCTTGTAAGTTAATCACTACTTAAAATTGCCTTGTTTGTACCCAATAATGCATTAGGTACAGAGGACTAAAGAGTTTCAGAACCTCGCCTTGGGATCCGAAGGAAAATTTACCATCCGATTATGCCAGGTGAGGCACTGAAATAGATATTGTAGTAGGTGCAGATATATAACGAAAAGCGGCTTGCTATATATGGCATTCCAGAACGAAAATTAATATACTCAGATAAGGCTCAACGAGGCTAGGCGAGGCTTAGTGAATACTGTGACCATAGTAACCTAACTAGTTATGCCCGCTGCGGATCGGTAGCGATGGAGACGGCAGCAGGGCGAAGCGAACGAGCACGGCGAAGCGAACGAGGTTGGCGATGCAAAGGTGCTAAGCACCATTAAATTGTCTTTACTGTAATTTTCAATCATGCGTTCGTCCATCAGATATGGAACCTAAACGGTACCCTCTCCATGATCCCGTGATCACACTGTCACACGGAATCACAGAAGTGAAAGCCGTGGAAGGAAAACATGAACACACACGATGCACACATAGTAATAATTAGATACATACCACAGGAGTCTTGCAAACCAACTGAACCTAGAGAAGCTAAACTAAAAAACAATAAAGGGAAACCATCCCCAAACGGGTGGAATGTCAGGGGAGGAAGGCGGGGCGAACGAAGCGATAATAAGCAAATGAACAACAAGGCAAGCCATATAAATACTAAGGCCCGGGGAAAATACCCCCGTGCCAAACACCCGGTTAGGTACCCAAGCGAGGGCCAACTCTTCGATATTAACTTCTTTTATTATACTAATAAATACATTTCACAATTAACAATTTTTTGACTATAGCTCAGAAACTACTGCAGATAGACGTATTCAGTGTCCGTAATATTAGCTACGTTGGATTTTGATTCTTTTCGAGAAAATTTTTCTACCGGATTTTAGTTTCCATAATGCACAGGACATCTTATGTCGCCCTTCCCTATGTTTCCACGACCCGCTAACTTTGTAAAATTCTCATTAGGGTATTTCAGTTCGAAAACTTTGATCGAACTAAACGGCGCATCCTAAAAAAAGTCGACGACGAAGGCGCTTTGGTATGTATTAATTGCAACGTTGTTGCTCCATACTACTCTATCCTGCCTGATTTTTCCGCATACAACTCTACAATACACCGAATTGGTTTTTGGATTTCCGTCTTCTTCTCGATTGCATGGACTAACATTGACCGTATCATAAATTTCTACTCGAAATTAGTACGAATATGAGGCCACTTGCAAGAGTTCAGTTGTATTATAGTGCTATACATATATGGTCCCTTTACTTTAGTACATACTGTTCTAACTGCCTAATAGCATTAAACACAGAAATGACAGTGCAGCGTTTTTATATACAACTGGTGGTCTAATATTTATTATATTTTTTATGTAGCCAGGCTGGTACGTAACAGTTCATATAAAGGATGTACCAAAACACGTTGCAGGTAAGTGTTGATTATAAAGATGTAGGTGTTACACAGTCCAGCAGATCTCTCATGCATTTGTAACTCGATAATTTTTAACTAAATTATAATTTGGCTCATTTTAGATAATTTTTCTGGATCAAGACCATTGGTTTTGTTCGGAGTTTTACCTCATGAACAAAAGGTAACTTACTATAATTACATTTCTGTGTGTTTTCACCCACTGAATCATCAATCTATACGCAACCAAATCCACAGTATTCACATTATACTCATATAACATGAGTGTAGTAAGAAAACCGCTCAGAATGAAGAATACATTCTCAAGTTTTGATTGTTTTAGATGTCCGTTCTACATTTTGTAATCAAGCGTCACCCGAGATACACTGAAACCATCAAGGCTAAGGTATGAATCCATGGCAGTATCTTGCATGGTTGTAGTCTTGCATGTTACGCTTCTTTCCTGCATGAGTTGCGGAAATTATTCGTTGCCCTCCTCCCTCTTGATTGCTAGATCATCATTTTAAGAGAGTGCCTGCAAGCGAGGCCAAAGAGGTGGTAAATTTTGTCAGTATACTGTTATAGCGTATATGTGGTGTCTTATTAATCTTTTATCTGTAACGACTTTCGTATTTATGCTATATTACTACAGGAACAGCTTATTTTCCAATGTGGATTCAAGAGATTTTCCGCTTCGCCCACATTTTCCCAGCACAATGCTGGAAATAAATTCAAAGTGAGTATATTCATTTCCACGGGAATTATAAAGGCCTACGTATATAGTTCAAACCATATTATTTCCACATTTAAGATCTTTTACAAAATTGACTTTCTGCAAGGTCTGCTTTTCACAATATTCTTGATCTGGTATCTATAAAAGACATGAGATGAAATTATTGGTCGAAAATCGTTGCAAATTGTAGGATATGCAGCACATAAATTTCTCCTTTCAATTTCAAAACTAAAAAACACTGATTTGTAATTGCTAAAAATTGTTTTCGTGGCTGCTTCCTGAATTCTCGAGCAAATGTTTCTCCGGGTTAATTATAAATATTGCCTAAAACCCAAGTTACATCTCGATCAATCCACACAATTCAAGCCGATCAAACCTTCAGTCTATCTTCAATTGAATTTTGTTTAGATGGAACGTTTTCTTCCCAAAGAAGGGGTTGTTGTTGCCACGGTGTATGCATCAATAACATTTCCCCCCTGTCCAACGTTGGTATTTAAAGTCGAGCAAAAGTCTGGCATTCCTAAACTGGTCGCAACTGGATCGCTATATCAAGTTAACCCAGACAGAATCATTGCTAAAAAGATCGTTTTGAGTGGTTTTCCATTCAAAATAAACAAGAAGTCCGCTGTCGTTCGACATATGTTCTTTAATAGAGGTATGGGTTTTTCGTGCATGGTGTGATGCGCATGACGTTGTATTTTACATGTTTTGAGATATCTTTGGTATTGAATGGTATTTTGTTTTAATGATTTCAAAGCCAACAACTTTTAGGGTTGTTTATCTTGCCAAGTAAGGATGCCGGAACGATGCGAAGGCAGGGGAGATTTCGTGAAAGGGCCCTTCTGTAGCAGCGCTTAATAGAGAATGTCTGCAAAACATCGTCTATTTAAATTTCTACTTAAGATATATGATGTATAATCCTTTAACTTTCCCCCCTCGCCTTGCTCCCCCTCCCCCTTTCCATCCACAGAAACATCTTAATCCTCTGCATTCGCCCTCCTGATCGAATAATTGATCTGCTCACCACTGAATGTTATACAAGATTTTATGTTCTAACAAGCGGTATTCTTCCCGTACACTAATAGACGATATTTCGTGGTTTAAACCTGTCGAGCTGTGGACAAAATACGGAAGGAGGGGCCATATTAAAGAGCCTTTAGGTGAGGTTCATTTCTGCACAACGAATATTTTTTGACCAAGGTTTCTTGTCATTAAACCACTTATTTAAATGATGTCCTTTAAAATTTACAGGCACGCATGGTCACATGAAATGTGTCTTTGATGGTACTATCAAAGCTCAAGATACCGTATGTATGAATTTATATAAACGTATTTTCCCTAAGTGGACATTCAATGATCAGGTGGAACATGCACGATGCCATGAAGTTGAAGAGGAAGATAGAATGACTGTTGATGAAAGCTAAAGAGAAAAGTGTATTTTTGTGGCTCTAAAATCGCATGACTTGGCAATCAACCAGAGAAGATTGTTAGCCTACCAGCTGGGTTTAACCAAAGAGTCGTGTAGCGTATAATCGAGGCTTGTTTGCCTTTGTTTTAATGGACCGCCTGCATGCGGATAATGTTGTTTCACTTGTTGTGAGACTGCCTTTGCAGGGGTGCCCCCCAAAAGCGAACAGGCATAAATAACTATGAATGGATTCAGAAATCCGAACCCCATGAAAAATTTTACGTTCAACTGTTTTTTCGTGGACCTGTACTATTTTTTCGGGGGACACCTAGCTATATATCGTAAATATTCGTTTTAATTGTTCAGGGTGCTGGGGCCAATTGTATAAAAGACTATTGAAGTTAACTTTTAACTGAAATTAAGGACAGAATTGGCCAATCAGAGTCGTGTATTTCGGAGTTAACCAGGGTTTAACTATGCAAAATGTAGTTAAAGAGTTTTATACAACCGGCCGCAGGGAAACGGGAGGTGGGAAAAGCATGCAGGAGTTAGGAGTTCTGGAAATATTCCGCGAAATAGATGACAACTCCTCTTCTCAGGAAAAGATAAAATTCATGTTTTGACTAGGAATATAATCCGAAACAATGGTGCGGTGTGAAGGTGCATGCATCTGTTCGTCAATATACGGAAAACACGGAATCGAAATAAATTTTTCTCATGCAGTCTAAAATTCTCGTGCACGTCGAATAAAATGAAATCCTATTATAAATATCCCGGCCCGGGGCCATGCCATTCAATGGCACGTCCCCGGGTCGGGATGTTTATAATAGGATTTCATTTTATTCGACGTGCACGAGAACCGCCATTCGTTCGGAGCCCGTATAGGCAAAACTGTGAATGGAAAATTAAAAATATCTTTCAAGTTTGTAGAGAGTAATCTACATTCATAACTAATTCACTATTGCTAATCGACCTTTCTTCGATTATAGCCATGCACGGCTGCAATTTGCTAAAGAATTTGTCATCGCGGCTGTTTCGAATCAGTGGGAGCGTGATCATCGGATTTTCACGTGACACCTGTGGCGTTTGTCACTAATCATTTTGCAATTTAAAGAAAATTTTGAGGAAAATGCTAACCAAACATAATATTTAGTTCCGGCGATTATCGTCGCTCCAAAATATTTTCCACCTCCCCAGTTGCTGAAGCCAAATTGCTAAATATATACAAAGAGGGTTCACGCTTAATTGGTGGGAAAAAACTAGGGGCTTATACAAATCTCCATAGAATCTCCAACAAAGGAACTGTTTGACGTCCCTAGCGACGGCTGTCACGATAAAAAAGATTAATTTGTTTTCAAAAATTTGCATGTGATCTCCATAGGAGCTGTTATCGAATGCTTAGTCAGTGTGGGACTTTCACGATGGCGTGAACAGTGTTCGTAGTTTGTTAGCACTTGTTAAAAAGCTGGAAAAAATTTGCAACTCGTATATATATATATATAGTGTACAGAGGTGTTCTTCGACGAATCGAACATGTCGGGCATGAGAGCACGGAGCAATATTCTACTCGGCTTCGACGGGGTAACTCGTGACAATTCCGTGCCCGTTTCAGATTCGATTAGCAAGAAGCCGTGGCATAAATCTCGTTTGCTCAGCGTACTGTGCATCGCCTGGCTCATTCTGACGCTATGCCTTGCTATAATGATGGTCGTGTCCTTGGTACAACCGCAGTGGATCGGTCGAAGTCGCGGCGGTGCGAAGGCAAGTTTTGGTTTGTATAGAACTTGTTCGTGGACGCGTACCGGAAACTGCGAAGGAAGTTTTTCGGGCTTCGATGATATTCCTTCGTCGGCTTGGAGAGCAGCGTCGCTTCTGGTTCTGCTCGCCGTCATCGCTTGTTTCATTGCCGTCGTCGTGTGGACTGTATTCTGGTTACGGTTTATGGAACGTGCTTACTTTGGGTTTCGCCTTTGCAGTGCACTTCTACTAGTCGCAGGTAAGACCCGAAGCTATGATTACGAATTGAAACTTCCAAGCTGTGCAACTCGTATTTGTCCAAGTAACATTTAGTGAACGCATGAACATAATACCATCACACAAACCATAATCATTTTTCTAGCATGCATTACATTTGAACGTTGCTATATTTGCGTTTGCACAACTCTTATTGTTTATTTAAAGGAAGATAATGTGTGACCGAGCGTAGCCAATGAATTTCTATTCAGAGTAGTTTTCCTTCACGGTATTTTGTGGTTGAAACGCCAGTTCATGCTATCAGCTATAGCTATCCAGTGGCACAATGAAATAGTTTTTATTCTTTTAAAGAAATTACTTTCAAGACCATGCAAGGCTAGCCTAAGCACTAATATTTACACAAGCTTATAGCGAAAACATACGTCGCTATACGTCGCTCTTCCTTTTCAGCACGATTCATATACTCTAGTTTTCATTCAATTCATACCCATTTTTGAGAGTTACATATAGAGTTATATATAGTTGTGTTCACAAACTCGTCTGTATTTATGCATTTGTCTTTCATACTCGACCGTTGTCTGAATTAAAATGTCTACTTATTAATTTGTGCCACCGGTCATTGTCTATGTTTAGCGAGCAGTCCGACACGATCTTCATCTCCTAGCTGAATATCTTTATCGTCATGACATATTTCCCCCCCAAGTGTTGCAAAGATTGTGTTACGACACATTGCAACAATATAGAAATGTTCGTCTACTACAATATAGTATAATAGTATTGCGTATTTTCCTCTTCAATTGCATCCAACACTGCGTATATATACTTTCTCATAACGTAAGCATAGAGACGATGACCCCGATAGCGAAGAACTATATTTGTTTAAATCTTATTCAGTGCCATCGTGGACTTTAAAACAGCCTCAAAACCGTCACACTCGACTCGACTAAAACTGGGTATCAGATTAAATTGATAAATATACAGCCAGGAATCGAATGTGTTATATATATAACGTGCATAATGCCCGAAATTTTAATATTCATCGAATAACAGTGTAATCCGGGTTTATGTGCTATACTTAATTTTACCATCACCTAAATTGGAAAAGATCATTAATCACTGTTTCGTTGCGAAGTGCATGTAAAACAAAAATATTCAAATAAGTTGTTTTCCCATGACCATGGCATGGCCATTCGTGAGCATAGCATTGTCATGCATGGACGTCAGATATAATTTTATCGTACGCTAAATAATGCATGACTGTTTACATTAAGCTACTCCACGACCACGGAAATTGCAATTCTTCATTGTCATCATCATATTTAAGGCTTTTTAACGGGCATATAATGGCATTTTTTCATCAGAACGGGTCAATTGTGTTTTATACACAGTGCCGGAAGATTTTAATGTCCATGCATGCAAGACCTGAATAAATATACCAAATTTATCAAATTTAAAAGTATATTTGCTAATAATCGTTGCCTGACACCGGCAAACGAAGATGTGACCGTGTGAACGCAACCCAAAAACTTAGTTCTATAGTAAATCTGTGCAAACTTAATCGAATATAACTATAAATAGGCCTACAACATCCTGATTGCATGATTGCTATAACGCTACTCGCTATATCTATATATACGAGCTAATAGATAGCATACAGGTAGCAATTAGCGAAATTGTGTGTAGCAGGGAGCATGTCAAAAACACGTCAAAAACACATCTCGACGTTTCTACCAAAGGTTAAAGATCTTCGTCAATGAGTATTCGTTACTTATACTAACCCTCCTGACGAACGCCCTTAGAATAAGTGCAGAGCGTCGAGAAATGTTTTTTGTCTATTTCATTTTTAGACACTTGTTATACCTCATTCGGCGTTATACTGGAACGTACACAACTTTGATATATAACTGAGTTGATTCGGCCCTCTTATAAGCTTGGATTATCATCTGAAAGATATCTACTAGGCTAATAATCTAGCTTATTGTAAAAGATTCTTAGTCTTAGAACCTATACCATACATTGCTCTATATATATATTAGCTATAAATTCCCTCTGTTGTTTTAGATTTCAGCCATGCACTCTTGCTGTTTTTCTTGATGTGAAATAATGGCACAGTATTTTTTCGCATTGTAACAATTGTTTGGGGGTCTTCTTGTAGAGTTCGAATATATACTGCATGTATCTTAATATTTCTGTTTTCTTTCGTTGTGTTATTAATTGGTTTCGAATTCCTATGTAAGCAATAGTTAAAATTTTGAAAATTTCATTTTGAAAATTACCACTCCGAAAGTGGTTATTTTTGCGTATAGTAATAGAACTTGCGCTCATATTTTAAGCAATCAGAACTCAGAAGTGTTGTCGAAATTGGTTGTGATGTCCAAATCTATTCTGCAGTATTTAACGATTATATCTTTGTTATTTTTTATGAAGGCTAGTCGAAATTTTGTGACCGATATTTAGTTATGAGAAATGTAGCTCTGATATAAATTTGAATGCGAAATAAAGACTATTTCAAGAGGTATTATAAGTTGTTTCAACCCGTAAATGGATTTTTATGTCAGCTTCTTAAGTGCGCAAACTCAATATCAGAATTTTTTCCGCAAAAAGCGAGTTTCAAAAAATCCATCTCTGTATAGGTTTCTTGTCCCAAAAATAAAGCATAAAATGAAAATCGAACGTTTCTTACAGATTGACGAAAACAGATAAAAAATTAGCCTGAAACGTACCGGGTGTGGCCGTAGTGTCACTACTAAGTGTGACTATCCTAACTGGGCGTTGCAACCTCCAAGTTCTACCGACGAACACTTTGCGTCTAAAGAAAGCATTTTAAAGCAATGAGAACTGACTGTTTTTACGAAATGTAATGCGATAGGAATTTGTGGCTGAAATGCTTCAAATGTCATGAGTTTAGAAGTGTACATACTTATTGATTAGGAATTACATGCAAAACTTTGAGAATCTGTTTTTATCACTTTAACGATTCATCAACAAGCGAGTGAGATGACTTGCCAAATCATTGCATGCAAGCAGCTAAGCATGTTGAGAAAACCTTTTATATTAAGGCTCTCATTCGTTCATCGCAAAATCTGGCTCGCTGCGGGTAATTTCGGCCAAACACAATGCTTGACAGTGTGTTTTACTAAGATGCAAACAAGCTTGCGAGCTTGGGAGTAGATTTTGCGATGAGTGAAGAAGGGACCTTGGGGACCTTAAGATAACACCAAATATGCGTAATAAACTAAATAATAGCTACTGTCTTTATTTACTTGCTACCGCAGTTTCACAACAGGCTGGGAATAAAAATTATGGACTCCTTTTGGTAAACAAGGTTAGAGTTGTATGTTAAACTAATGAAAACTGCATGCATGGGTTCCTAATATACAGGCTGATTTCATGTCACATCCGCGTCGTAGATTTGGTGTATCTTAAGGTCCTTATTACTGACCGACGGCGCGTTTACCCTACCACCTTGCGGCGTCTTCTCCACAATTCTTGCGCGCTCGCTCGGCTTAGCCTCTGATCTATGTAAAAGCCTGCAGTATTCCTATATATATTTTATTTAAGGCGCCTGGGAACGAGCCTGTTTCCCCCCCTCCCACCCGCACACCACGCCCCTGGGTTTGGGCAAGCCCCTAGGCCCAGTTTCCTTACAAACACCATCCATATAAACGTCTTTAATTAAATTTGCATCATGTTTCAGGAATATTCTTCCTTCTCGCGTGCTTCATTTATCCCCGTGGATTCGACGCGAAAGAGTTCCGCGATATTTGCAGTGAAAATGGATCTGAGGCGGACTCGTACAAACTTGGTCAATGCAAAATAATGTGGGTGTACTGGTTGGCCATCATTTGCACAATCGATGCCTTCATTCTGTCTTGTTTTGCGTGGTTGATGGTCGTGAAGGACGATAAAATATTGCAGCCGAAGAGGAAACCAGGCGCGTACCAAAATGGAGGGCAGCTTCTTGAACTAAAAACTAACACTCTTGGAAAAAGCACTTCGTCTATTTGATCATCATTGGATATCTTTAAAGTATAAAAATTCCTAGTTTAATAATATACATATAAATATTCCCAGTACATGTAATATATATACTTCGTTAAAGTGCCCTAATTTTAGGGTGAACAATCAGTTTCCACATATCATCTCAAATTGTATAAGAGCCATTAGACATACTCGTTTTGATTGGTGGGACTCACGCCTTACTGGTGTGATGATACGCGTGCACACGTATATAAGCCCAGAACGAAGTAGAAGATTGATAGAATCGAAAATTTAGTGTATATTTATGTGTACATGATGATTTAGCTATACGAAAATCGAGAAGGTAAAAAAATTTCGGTTTGTGATATCAAACATTCTGTTCGTTGTTAACGCTTGTTTCTCTGCAGTGTCCGATTATCAATTAGCTATTTCAGTGATAATTCTGAATAGCTACTAACACCAACACAAAACACACCCTCAAATAAATGGCAGACTTAATCCCATAGGTTAGAACATCAGGCGCGAGTTACGCCGGCAATTCATATCCTAGCTGCGCGATTTTGCTACTTTTTAAATCTATCTTTATAGAAAGCACAGCAATTTCCGCATAGCTATATAGAGGGGAACAATAATCAATATATGGTCAAATCAAGACATTATAAACCATTTGTAAAGTGTATCATTGGGAACCGATATGGCTTAATACGTTTCATAGTTGCATTTAAGATCCTGCTTTTTTCAGCATATTTTACTGTACATGCATGTTGATCCCATGCAGCTCATCTTTCATCAAGGATTACCCCAAGGCATTCAAAAGAACTTACCGCGGGAATAGGTTTTCCCTTAAGCAAATATCTGTGTATCATCGGCAGTTATCATAAAGAAAGAGATTGTCTTACAAAGGCTATCGGGCAAATTATTTATATAAAGTAAGAGCATCCGGCAGTGGCCCAAGGGTAGACCATAGTTCCGCTATAGGTCCGGTTATAGGCCTTTGCCCCCTATTCATCAGGTATGACTCAAACCAGTCCAATTCAACGTTTGTAAGACTAAAATGTGTTTTCATTTTATGTAATAATATTTTTTGATCCATACAGCATCAAATGCTTTACGAATTGTTAAGAGGACAACTCCTGTCAATTTACCATTATCCGTGTTTTAGTTCATTCATTACGAAATGTATCAGAGCTGTTAAAGTAGAACTTTATTACTCTTTAATAAAGTTAGCTTAATTGTTACTTTTTCATGCAGTAATCTTTAATAAGTAATACGTAATCTTTTCATGCAGTAATCTAGAACTTTAACACTATGTAACAAAGTTAGTTTTATTATTTTTTCATACAGACAGACAAGTTGATGTTGCTTATTTTTATGCCAGAAAAAACACACCAAATCATCAACAGAATCCAACCCTATGCATCTATTCAATCGTTAATTTCATAAGTATCATTTAGTATGATTTTAAACTTTTCCGTGCGTATACGTACGTGCAAAAAACAGCAGAAATATATATACAAACATTTTAGCATGTTTACAAATTTGTTGAAAATCTTTAAAAATCGTCAATTTTGGCCAAAATGTTATTGACAAATGTTGTGATACTCTTGGTAGTTACTGAATGATATAATAGATTTTGACTGCGCTGGTATACCTATATCTCTTAAAATTTTCTTTCAGAAATGAATTTATTTGCTTCTGAAAATGAAAAATACGCGTCGCCTTAGCGAATCGTGTCCAGTGTGTGTGGGCCTGTACACCTCACAAGAAACAAAACTATCTGACGACTATCTTCGTTGTAATAAATCGGATATACCGCGTATACCCTAAATGCTGCGCTTGGAAAAGGCAGATAAATGAGCAATAGAGACTTGTTTTTTCTATCTTAAAATACAGCAAATGGGTTACGCGGAACGCCAGAAATCGCATCTATACTGTAAAAGAGGTGTATCGCCATCTTATCGACCCTCGCTCTGGCCCCCCGGAATGCACATTGGGATAGAAACATGCAGTTAGAACCGAGGCTTCGTTATTTTCGTTAAGCCGAAAGCAGTCTGAGATAGTTTACAAAGAAGAAATCCCGAAGAGAGATATCTATAGTGTACAGTTGCAGTGGCACCCTTTGTTCCACTGTAGCTTGGTATTCGAATTTATCCAGAGGGCAATATGTTGTTGTTCCTGGTGATCGACAATGATTTAACGTACATTAATTGTTCCAGCTAATCTGAGAATCACCCTCTTCCATTTATAAGTAAAAAAGTGTCGATGATTCAACTAAGCAAGGCTAGTTGAAAAAACAATTTCAAATAGTCAAGACATCTTGAGAGTCAAATAAGACATGCATGTATACAGACAAAAACTTCAAAGGAAAATCAGTGCTTATTTTCACGTTACTGAAATAAGGTATACTCGACCATGGTTGAATATTCTGGAATATGGTATACTCGACCATCGTCGAATATACCGGAATACAGTATAGAAATATGGTATATATACTATGTATATATAGTATTCTATTTCCAATGCTCTCACTTGCACTCCTTTTGTTTTGAGTATGGGAGCATTGATCGAGCGCTCAGGTGCATATGTGGTACGAGTGCATCCGATATTCTGGGATCACCACGAATTTTCAGTGATACGCCGCCGCTATCTTCCTGGGCGCTCGATCGAATTTGAAGTGGGAGATGCAGTGAGATCCACCTTATTTATAGCCACCACTCCCCCTTGGGGCTTATGCGGTTCATTTAAATGCATTATGCATGATAATCTGTGTTATTTCTTCTTCGTGCTTTGTTTCGAGCATTGTGAATAGTCGCATCAGTCTGGATCCGCTTCTGTCTGAAGATAGCTATCTTGTCTATTCTGACCAAATGACCAAAACTCATTCAGTTTGTTATTTACGGTTACTGATTTAATGCTTATTTTCACGTTTGGTACCGTTTTATTTCGTCAATGATCGCCAGTTATCAAGCTGAACGTTTGTACCTATAAACTCAAAAGTTCAATAAAGTCCATTATATATATATATTTACAATAATTTTGGTTTAAGTCGTCTTTCGGGCATAATTTGAAACTGTCTTTTGAGTCTGGTCACTCTGGTGAGTTGTTGAGCCTTACGTAAAACAGGAAATAAAAATTATACATTACGACTAAAATAAATTATTAATTCGGAAAACAATTGCCAAGCACGTTTAATACGCCATTACATGCACGCAAGATGGCGAGCGAACATGATGGGCACTGTCATGACGATTGCAGCGAGCATGAGCAAGAAGACGATGGATGGATCGAAATGGAGCGCGTTTACAATGAAAAATCGACCGAAGAGCAAAGCTTAATTGAATGGTTCACAAAGAATGTTCAAGTGTATTTAAAGTCGGTGAGTATATATCAAATTATATTACAAATCACCAGTACGTCTTGTAAAAATTTGTAAAGTAAAACCTCGACATATTGAATTTCTCGAGTATGGTCAAACATTTCGTCAAGCAAGCAGTTGGCCATCTCGGCATGGACATTTTAAATGCAATGTACGCCAAATTTAAAGTAATTTGCTTTAACACTATTAAATTCTTAGACAGTCGCATAGTGAGATTGATATGATATAACGTATTTTGTTACAATGTTACATTCACCATAACATACACATTGGGACAGTGAAACCCAAATTGATTGTTCCATAATGCAGGTTGTATACGAAACGTAATAATAACTGAATATAACCAAAAAATTGAATCGTAAAGAATCGCTCTGGAATGATATAAGTGCATAATTTGAATATTCTGTCACGCAAACCCTGGCTGTATGCATGCATAAATTGAAAATATGATGCATAAATTTGAAAATATGCATATGAATATAATATTTCATGAAACGTGTATATAGAAGTGGAAAAGATATTAATCCTACGTTTTTACACATTACTTTATGCATACTTTCTGCCACATTTTATTGTGGTGAAACATTGTGGAGGAGTATTCCGTACGACGCGACGATCTACGACGCGGTCAGCTGGACGTTGCTAATCGAGTATTTTGCTTAGAATAAGCTATGGGGAATTAATTATGCTGCTAGGACTTTGAAATAATCATACAAATGCTACAATTGTGCTAAGAACCTCCGATGGTTAGCTGATATTGCAGTTTCATAAAAGATGCAAAACAGCTATCACGTTGCCGCTGCTTCATGTCATCGAGAGGCCGTGAAAATGGCTTCTTTAAAGAATGATGACGCTGTCGTGGGACTACAAATTATGTATACCTATTGGCTATTGTTTCGCGAAGGAGTACTTTGTTTTGCAAGCGCTTCGTGGAGCTGGCCGCGTCGTGAATCGTAAACTCGCTCTCATCATAGCTGACGACCTCACGTGAGAAACCTGCCTCTCGAGGCGAATTCCTCACGAAAACTATCCACACACGAGAGTAACTTGCTGACCCAACAGCCTCGCGAGGTCTTTAACTCAGCAAAAAGCTCTCGTGTTCGGTTATTATGAAGGAAATAAACAGTGATGTTCACGACAAACTCAGTTCTCGATTATTTACGTAAAGAGTGGTACTATTTCAGTCCAATCTGGACGTACATATAATTATAGTCTACTAATGTATTTTATGGTTGACTCGTCCACTGATATTTTCCCTTGATCTGAAAAATCATCTGAAGTGTCAAATTAGCTTCACGCATCATTTAGGGGCCCATAGTTAGGACGAAGTAAAGTATAGACCTTAATAAAAAGTGTGGGCTGTGCGCTTGTGACGTCACGAAAACGGTTTACGGACGAAGCATATTCCTGATTGGCCAACTGGGTGCATTGCAATCTTGTTCCCCGAGCCTGCGATTCCTCTGGCGATAATCGAAATCAGAAATGATTCTGATTGGTCGTTCACGCCGTTTCAATTTTGAAATACAAAAAAACCGTTACAAACCGCGGAAGCCAGGATTTCTGCTCGGGGAATGAGACTGGGTGCATTGGCCAGTAAGAAGCCTGCGTTGTCTGTCTATGTCATAATGCAGACTTTTCAAAAGTGTCTAATGTATCACTAAGTGATACCAACTAAATGCAATTGAACATTGGTTGTGTATGTTTTTTAGGAAAGGAGAACGACTGGTGGGAAATATGCAGTATTGAGCTTTGGATGTGGAAGCGGGGCAAAAGACCGAGCAGTACTTGCAGCAGTCTCTTCAAAGGTTTCTGAAGAAGAAAAAATCCTTTACCACGCAGTTGATCCGGAAGCCAGTCAAATAGAGAGGTTCAAGGAATCTGTTCACGCTTGCAACGGAAGCCTCGAGAAAGTCAGTTTCGATTTCTATGTGCAAACATACGAGAACTACATGGAAACTGTGTTTAAGAACGAGAACTCCTCTTCTAAGGCGAATCTGATTCTGTTCATTGATAGCTTGTGCCATTTCTCTTCCACCAATGAGGACGTTCTAGTACATTGCTACAACAACGTTTTAGCAAAGAACGGTGCCATACTAGTGACACTATGGAACAATCAAGATTTCTGGTTCAAAATACGAGAAACCTTCGGAAAGGACAGAGAAAGCAAACGTGAAGAAAAAGAAGGCAACGATTACCTGACCATTCAAGAAGTAGAAGAAGTTGTGAAAAAACGTGGTTGGGACTTTCAGCGGTTCTCACCCGAGTATAGCCTCGACATCACCGAATGTTTTGATCCAGCTTCTCAAACGGGTAAATATTTGTTCGACTGCCTAGCGTGCTTCTCGAATGTCGCCGATGAAGTCAAATCTGATCCTAAAAAGCTTTTTAAGTTCCTCAAAGATTCCGAGTCGATAATTGGAGATAAGCATTTTCTCAAAGGAGAACATGGTATTCTTGTGATATATAAACAAGAATAAACTGGTCGTTTTATGTGGGCATGCACCACTGTTGACAAAAAAATGTAACATATATCATACAGATTTATAACCATGTAAAACTAATTTTCCACTATGTAGCTCCAAACGGTTCAAGGTCCGTGTCGTAAAGTCCGGTGCTATTTTTGTAATTCGAACTATATAATTTTATAGCTTTCATTGAATAAAATAACGAAGAAACTGGACGGTAACTTTTATGTTTTTTGCATAAAATTTCTCTTTCCTACTTTAAATGCTCCATCACGAACCGTAAGACAAAAATTAAGTAACATAAATTAGAATGAACGCTCAGCAAGGGATCTTGCGGTCTCGTGTTGACTGCAATGGTTTCCCAAGCATTAAATTGATGGTTGGAATCCAAGCATGCCGTTTTTCATTATGACCTTCGAGAAAAGGATAAGTTTAATTAAATAACCATGATTTTTCACCACAATGTCTCGTGGTCTAGTGGGAAAGATAGTGTCTCCCAAGTTTCAAGTCGATAGTTCCAGTGCAGAAAATGTTTTTCTTCATGACCTTTAAGAAAAAAATAAGCAAAATAAATAGGAATCATCTTTAAGCACAAGATCTCGTGGCTTAGTTCTGAAGACTGGGCTTCTAAGCGGGAGGTCGACGGGTCAAATCCAGGCAAAATATTTTTCATCATGATCCTTAAGAAAAGAATTAAGTAGAATGAACAAGAATCACCGTTAAGCACAATTAAGATATCGCGATATAGTGGTGAAGACAAGGGTCTCCTAAGATGTAAGTCCATGGTTCAAATCAGCGCGAAAGTATTTTCATCAAGAACTTCGAAAAAAGGTTAAAGTAGAATAAACAAGAATTGCCGTTCAGCACAAGATCTCGTGGTCTAGCGGTGAAGACTGCGATCTCTAAACTGGCAAGCGAAGCTTCGAATCTAACCATCAATTTTTTTCATTATGACCTTCGAGTTAGTCGAGTTAGTCCAGTTAGCCCTGTGCTAAAATCACGGACTATCAATGAAAGATCGAAGGATCAAAGACATGCATGTAGAAACCGTTCCTAATCGCGACTAAGAAAAAAGGTTTGTATTGCGTTGAACTTTGCCAAGTGGTAAGTCAATGGTTCGAATCCAAGAATAACTGTTTTTTATTATGACCTTCGAGAAAAGGGTGAAGTAAATTTAATAATATACTAACTACAGTGCAACACGCAATTTGATTGGTCAATTTGATTGGTCAATGAGGAATTTAAAAGCACTCGCGGTTTTTCGTGAGATTCTCAAAAAATCGTTGCTTCAATGTGTCGATTTTATAAAACATTTACCAAATGCTTTTTTCGTCAGGATAGCGTCATCCATGCACTCGGGATGTTGCTTGACATCCCTCGTGCATGGACCACGCAATCCGGGCTGCACGAAAAGCCATTTGGTAATCCTTTCATAAAGAATTAACACTGCACTCCCGCCGCTGTTTCCCGCAAATTCACCACTATTTCGTTTTGAAAGTAATTTGTACTCAGTTCGTGGAGTTTTGTAAATATGGATCGTGACAAATTATCTCGCTTTGCCGGATTTCTACAGCAGATATCAGATGTCGTCCAAAGTTTTGCTACTGAAGAGCGTTTGAGAAAATACAAAATAAAACAGACTTCCGAGGATAAACATCTTGTGTTCTTGATAATATCAAGAACACAAGACGTCTATCTTCGGAATCTGTTTTATTTTCCAAATGGAATTATTTAATATATAATAGTCAATATTTCGGTAAACTTCATCAAAAGACATGTATCAGAAATCTAGTTTTAGCCAAATCGTATATACCTGTTTTGAAGTTTTCTTTAGCTGTAGAATTTGATTTCTTGTCTCATTTTCCTTCTTCAACATTCACGCACAAGCTTTCATATAATACGAGAGGCCAGATTAAACATTGCGAAAGACTGGAAACTATGAACAGGGATATCGTAATTTTTTAGGAAACCTCGAGATTTTCGGGAACTTACCCGGGATTTTTAAAGAATTAGAGTTGGCACAGCGCTGTGGGTTTTTGTCTTCTCTCGCATCACGGTTTTACGGCGATGTTTCGAGTCCTGGGACGAATATTTTTCGTTATTACCTTGAAAAAAGATTTAGTCAACATTTTTAGATTAGTTAATAAATGTATCCAGGGCTGTTGTCCACAATTTTTTGAAAAATATTTTACCTTTAACAGCTCGGTACACAGTAGAGTGACTAGGCAGAGTCATAAACTGCACTTGCCTCGGGTACGGACTGAACAGGCAAAGAAATCCTTTTATCACAATGGTTGTGTTGTATATAATAATAAGTGTAAATAGTTTTACTCTCTAGTATATATATTGTACATTGTCTTAATACCTAATTGTTATATTGCATGTAAGGATTGTATTCCCATATAGCTTGTAAAGATTGTATTTTTTTATTCTTTTAAATAGCAGGGCTCCAGTTGATAGCAGTAGTTTCTACCACTGATTGGACTACCCTGTTTAAATAAAGGTGTCAATCAATCAAAAAAAAAATATATTAGCCATTATCCCAAGACCAATTAGTCTAGTGGTGACGGTCGAGAATAGTCTCGCAACTTTTAAGTCGGTGGTTCGAATCCTGGGAAGAATGTTTTTTCATTATGACGTGTAAAGTTTGGTAGCCTTAAAACATGGTCTCGTAAAATGTTTTCATCATGACGCAATAAAAAAGAAAATTAGATGAGATAGATAAATAGATTTAAAAATTTTGCCATTTGCAACCTGTGAACTTCTTGCAACCTGTGAACTTCTTGCAAGCTTAAACAGGACGCTGCAGGTTTTTCTATAATGATATAAGGTTGGTATCGACGCATGAGCACCATGGTGGCCTAGTGGTTAAGGCAACGGCCCTGCCAGGTTGTAAGCGTAGGTTCGAATCTTGCATGGCAAAGGTGCTATTTTTCCCAACGAAGTTACTTCTTAATTTAAAATTCTTCGGAAAGGATAAAGTCAAATAAAGAACAATGGCTTTCGACAAATGATGTGGTGGTCTAGTGGTTAAGACGGTGGTCTCTCAATCCGAGGACAAACATTTCAACCCCAGGCAATGCAAAAAAAATTAGTTTGAGAAATTTCGGCGTGATTTGGAAGCTTTAAAACAGTCGAAAGACTCCTCGGCCTTTGCGAAAGGACTGTAAATTGAAAAAAATTTGAAATTATAAAACTGAAAAAAATTCTCGCGTTCAAAAGTACCTGAAAATTGAAGAAAAAAACACAGGTAAAAAAGTTTTAAAAACATGGGTCTTCTAAAAAATACTGAAAATTAAGAAAGTCCGAAAAAAACTGAAAAAAAAAATTAAAAATTTCCCGCTTTTAAAAAACCCATGTTTACTTACCATTTTTTTTCACGAAAATTTGACAGGGTGATTTTCTCGAGACTGAAAAAATTTAATTTTTTTCACTTTTTTGAAATTCTCTTAGATTTTTTTTAAAGAAAAAGTATTTTGTCTTGGGCTACCTGTGTCTGTCTTGGGCTACTGTGTCTGGCTTGACACAGGTAGCCCAAGACAAAATACTTTTTCTTTAAAAAATAATCTAAGAGAATTTAAAAAAAGTGAAAAAATGTGATTTTTTTCAGTCTCGAGAAAATCACCCTGTCAAATTTTCGTGAAAAAAAATTAAGGTAAGTAAACATGAGTTTTTTAAAAGCAGGAAATTGTTAATTTTTTTTCCGTCTGACTTTCTTCATTTTCAGGCTTTTTAGAAGACATGTGTTTTTAAAATTTTTTTTACTTGTGCGTTCCTTTCAATTTTCAGGTACTTTGAACGCAATAATTTTTTTGTGTTTTTTTATTCCAAATTTTTTTCAATTTACAGTCTTTCGGAAAGGCCGAGAAGTCTTTTGACTGTTTTAAACATTCCAGATCACACCGAAATTTTTCAGGCTAATTTTGTTTCATTGCCAGGAGTTGAAACGTTTGTCCTCGGATTGAGAGACGAACGTCTTCACCACTAGACCACCGCGTCATTTGTCGAAAGCTATTGTTCTCTATTTGACCTAATCCTTTTCGATGAATTGCAAATTAAATAGTAATTTCTTTGGGAAAAATAGCACCTTTGCCATGCCGGACTCGAACTTACGTTTACAACCAGGAAGGGCCGTAGCCTTAACCACTAGACCACCAGATCGTGTGTTGATACCAACTTATGTTATTATACAAACACCCGCAGCGCCCCGTTAAAGTTTGCAAGAAGTACCTATAGAAGCGATCAAAAAACGTAGTGGATCATAGGCGGCCCAAAATTGCGCGAGAAATGTTTTTGAAATTTTTCAATGTGTAATTATATGAATGGGTACTCCAAGAGTCGAGGGCTTAGTATATATGACATTGCTCAATGTGGTGATTGTGGGACCCCATACAATTTAGCGAAAATTGACGACATTTTCAATGTTCCAAACACCAACCAAATATGCTAAAAAACTAGAGATTAGTCTTAGGAAACATTTAAAGTCATTTTCAGCATGTTAACACATTTTATAGAACATTTTTAAAATTTTCAATTTTGGCCAAAATGGTAAGGAACCAAAAAATTTGGTAAAAAAAAACCGGGAAAAAATTTAAAAATTTCTCCAGCTTCAGAAAAAGTACTTGAAAATTGAAAAAAGTACTGAAAAATTTTTTTCTTTTTTTTTAAGGCCTGCGTTCACACGATCCAATTTTGTCAGATCCAATTACTTGACGTGTGGAATGTAGTTTGTTATTGGTAAAGAAGTACTGCATTGGCTTTTGTTGACTTTCTGCCCATATACTTTGCAAGTCAACATACTATAAAACATCCATCAGAAGTGAATTGGACCCGACAAATTTGGATCGTGTGAACAGCCTTATAACTGCTCCGAAGTGATAGAGGTAGTTCCTTATGTGTAATGACGTAAAAACCAGAGGCCCCTGTTTGCAAATACCCCCCTTTTCGAAATTCATTAAAAGAGGCCCTGCCATACATCAAGTCTCTTATAACAAGTTAGCGGCAAATTTATTGTGATAATTTGAGATACACATCGAAGTCAACAAGTTATTTTTTTATTTGTGGCAAATGGCTAGTTACCATAATTACAGTATAATAAATAGAATATATTATGAATTCGGATCGTGATAGGCGATTTACGGGAGAATGGAAACGCTGCAATAACTAATCATAACTTTAACTATATTAAATGGAATATATGCAGAAATATACATTTATCTTAAATAAACTACAGTATCAATACATCATCTTCACCGTTTTGCACTGAAGACGGAACTTTAGATTGGGAACTGGCTTTCTTTAAACATTCTCGCTTGCACTCCAACAACGTAGTCAGATCCTGGAATGAAGTTTATTAAGTCTAATTATATGATGTAGTCACTAGCCATAATGTGTGTTTGCATGCTCTTTTATGACATTTTATGACATTGGGGGATCATTACACAAGTCTAGATGGCGCCTATCCACCAGGGGCCAGTTTCACTCTTTAACCACGTTTTGTATAGTTTTGTAAATCCTAGTTAACTCAGAAATACACAACTCTAATTGGCTAATTCTGTCCTTAACTAAAGTTAAAAGTTGACAAGTCTTGTATACAACTGGCCCCTTGATAGTGTTATTTTCCAATCTCTCTACAATTCTCCGTTGTTCGGTATAACCTGGATTAAACCTTAACATTCTTAAATTGGGGTGTTTTTTTTCATATAACAATTAGGTCCACGACTGTACTTTCATTGTTTTTAAGCATATTTAAAGGCCCGTTTACACTTGCAATTTATGCTGCAATTTTATGTGCGATTTTCTTCTTTTGATAGATGTGAACGAGTGAATAGTTACGAATGCTCTGATGTCTAAGAGCTCTTATTTGAACATTAGTAACTAATTCACTCGTTCACATCTGTCAAAAGAAGAAAATCGCACATAAAATCGCAGCAGAAATTGCAAGTGAAACGGGCCTTAAAGTTGAAAAAATCACTATCCAGTGAATAGTAGTAATATGACTAATATGAAGCTTTTTTTCAATCGGCCTCTAGCAGCTGTTGTATTACTTTTGCGTTATATTTAATTCGTGGCAATTTGTCCAAACATTAATTAAAACTTACGTTCCACATCTTCATTTGTTTGATGCTAGGCCCATGGTTTTCACGAACACTTTTCTGCTTTTCTCTTAAGCTCTGCAAATACGGGTAAATTTATCGATACAAGACGGCAGTTTATACATAAATCCGGGCAGACGGGTTTCCTCTTGACGTTAAAGGTCGACACACACCGGATGCGATGCGGCAACGCGACGCGAATGTTCAGTTTTCAGAAGTATATAAATTAAATTCTGGCAGCAAAATTTGGAATTTATAGACGCCAGAGCAGTCAAAATTGTAATACGCTGTCGATTTCATATCAAATTTATCATGTATAATCTAATAACTAAAGGGTTCTATTAGAAAAAGTATTCTGCAGATATAAATAACAAACCTTTCCCAAATTTTCTTGCTCTTGAATTTTCTTTGTATATTGTTCTCTAAATATAATACGGCATATATAGAAGGTGAATATGGCTTGGGTCAAAACGTCGCACTTGTCGTGCGCCCAACGAGTAAAAAACAATAGATAAGCTAAAAGTCATCGCGGAAAAACCTCTGCGCACGCGCCAATTTATCAGAGTATCAATTTTTTAAACAAAAACATGCCTACGGATAGACCAATCAATAGTTAAAAGCGTTCTAATATTTAAAGTTTGGAACGAAATGGAATTCATATAAATTTTCTTGTTTTTAACGGGTTGGCTTCAGAATATTTTTTCGAAAACAAAAGTTCAAACCTATTAAAAAGTTAGAAAAACCGCTAAACGTTTAATTTAAATTGTAAAAAACATCTTAAATTTCAATTATTAATAAGACGAAAATTTCTCGTATCCAGCGACATATTTTTTATTTAATAAAACGTGTTTCAAATAAAAGTTCGGAAACTATCGTTGCTTATTTAATAAAAAAATGTTTCAGACAATAAATGAGTAGCACCTTTAGCTCAAGTACTTGTAGGATGCAACTTCTTGAACTTTCTGGCGGATTGAAACATGGTTTTGTGAACACACGGAACTCATTATCTATTGACGTCTGACCTAGGCCTTATCTGTTACAGGAAATTTCAGAATATCTTTTTGTTTCGTTAGGGCATAGGTCAGAGCATATAATGGGAGGTCATGTAGGAATTAAGGAGAAAATAATACGTGGATCAGGAGCACTTGCTTTAGGTATGGTAATAACAGACCTGTAAGATTTCTTTTTATCGTTGGGATCCGATGATGTATATGACTTCATTTCTACTTCAATTCGATTCTCTTGTATTTTAAGAAGCTACAAAACCCGCATGCAGAAATTTGAGTCAGGCTATATGCACGAAGGTCGTCCTTATAACCAAAACAAATTGTTAGAACGCTTGTCCCTTTTGCATTGTTTATATCGACACTGAGCATTACCTTCGTCATGGAATTCAAGTAAAAGTATCTGCTTTCATCATGGGCAAGCTCATCTCTTAATGCTTTAACTTCCTAAATTGCACAAATTCATGATAAATGTCAATCAAAGTAATAACCTGCATATTGGACGTAAAAAGTTTCCTGATCTACTCCGCTATTTTTTTTCCTGCATGTAGACAGTCGGGCAGATCTTTAATGGTCGGGCACATCTTTTATTCGCGCCGATTTAAATGACCACTGTATATTGGTGGTTTGTCTCTCGTGGGGTATGATTGGGTTCGAATACTGGCTGGTACTATTTTGCTTTCCAAATATTTTTTACGATTTCTTTTCTTTCAATATTTGCAAACTCTAAAATTGAACCAGTGACAATATACCTCTTGGTTAGTTAGGGGCCGGTTTATTTTCTAAGCGTATGTGTCGTTAAAAGAGTGTGAGTGTTTGGTGGATGGATGTGAAGGGTGTGCCCGACAGTCTACGGAAAAACATTTCATCGACTTCCCACTCTTGCATATATAGGTTGCGTATACGTCGTATCATTTACTGCAGATAAGTTATAATGAAAATGGAGAATGCTTATAAAACTACAAATTAGGTTTACATTCATTAGTAAAAAAAGAACTCACTTGTTCCAATTTGGACATATTGCTCTCGAGATTAGCAGCCAGGTTTTCGTAAATTGCTTTTCTTTCATCATATTCTGCAGTCACTTCCTATAATACACAATTACGTTAAATAAAAAAGGGTTTAGAAGTAATTAAAATATTATATTAGGTTAAAGATTAACGTGAAGATGCCACATGCGAAAACTTCTTTTATAAATCTTAAATATAATTTTTGTTCTAGGATAAAATTCTTGAAATTATGTTATATAAATATACAATCTTAGAAATTTGCGGATGCATGCCCTTATAAGTTGCTGCGATTTCCAAGTTTAAAAAAAGCTTACTATATTAAAATCGGACAGCATTCAAGCGTTGAACCAAAAGTGAACACTTCATGCATACCTGACACTTCTGCCTCATTGGCCTTAGTTCCTTTATGATTGGAGCCAGCGAGCTTTTCTTTTCTACAATTGTGGAGTTCAATTTTCGTACCTATCGGAAAGAAAACACACTAGCTATCATTCCAGTGTAAATAATTTTTATATATGCGCAAGCAGATATATTGTTATCGTACTGTAAGCTGTAACCCTAAATCTAGCATTAGGAAGCTCTCTAGAGCTTCTGATTATATCGAAACAAGATGACATGTAACGTTACAAATCCATGCAATAAATTTATTGAATAATACAATAAAAACTTTGCAATTAATTGCAACTGAAACAAATAGATGGAAAACCTTGAACTAGATTTTACACGGTTAGTAGTATATTCTTTAAAATTAGAAGAATATAGTTCTCTTTCCATCGCATTACTATTCATGAATGGCCTAAGCTTTCAGTGCTTTATTTGCAAAATGTTTTGATCGATCACTCATTACTTCAAAACATTTATCAGTTACTGCTGTTAAATCATTTGTAGCTCCTAAAAAATTGATATGTTTTGGAGACGTACCATATCAGAAATTTCATCTAGGGATTTTCCTTTTTGTTCGTCCAAACCACTTTTCACAGAGGACACCTTTTCCAATTCCTCTTGTGTGTCGTGAAAACCTGACACTCCTTTTTGTACTTCCAACTGAGACTGTGAATACATTAATATTACAATTAAAATATTACATTCAAATTTTGTGGGCTATTTCGACTGCATGCGTGCATCAAATGTACATTTATTTGTGAAATGCAGACTTACTAAATGGTCGTTAAGTTGTCCTTCGCGACCCTTTAAAATTTCTTCTGAACGTGAGAGAACACCATATTCTGCCCGCAATTCAGTTAACTACGCCAAAACGCAAAGCACAAAATAATTTAATCAGTGACTTGTACACATCTTTTTAAAACAATTACACAAATTAGAGACATTTCCGTGTTTCTAGAGAGTTATGAAAGTACACGTGGGCGTTTAGGAGGGACGAGTTTTTTCCAAACTTTTAATTTCATGAAGCAACAAAAGGGTTTCCGACTCCCTTGATTAATTAACTTTTTAAAAAGATATAATTAGTGATTTTTTTACTGCACATTAATTCATATACGTATTAACTCTAATTCGTCTCACTGTGTATATTATATAATTATGTTTATATTTTGGTCTTAGCTAATGTTACATTAAACCGTTATACTGCACAATATAAGGACATTGCATCAGAACAATAATTTTTCACTCACTTCTTGTCGTTTCTTTTTGTACACAGTGCTTTTACTTCGTAACTTGTTAACATATCTTTTAAACTGCGAATGCAAAAAGAACAAGTTTTTCAAATTGTGCATTGTTACCATGGCTACATACAGGGTATATATCCATAAATCCCGTGTTAACATAAATTTTTAAAATGGTTATCGTATATCTATAAATGTACAATAACTCTACTAATCGAAGTGTGCATTGCTATACTGCCTATAGATACAGCAATGCATGTAGCTAAATGTACCTCGTCTCCTTTAATAACTTCGGATCCTTCACTTTGTTTTAGTGCTTCACGTTTGCTCTGCAGATCGCCTTCTTTGGCGTTTAACTAGTTACAGATTATTAATAATATACATTCCAATATAATCAGGAAGCAGCGTGGCAGGGTCTTCAAACAACTTAGCGTCAAATGTGGTATAACAACTGCCTAAAATAGACAAAACACTTCTCGACATTTCGACCTGAGGGCCTTCGTCAGGAGAGTTAGTATCCAACTCTTATAACGAAGGCCCTCAGGTCGAAACGTCGAGAAGTGTTTTGTCTATTTTAGGCAGTTGTTATACCACATTTGATGCTAAGTTATTATTAATATAATCCAATTATAGGAACTCATGTCCATTCAAGCTAAAAAAAACAACTAGGGACTTATCAAAAGATTATATTTATATATTTCTCTTAGTTTAAAAAACTATCGCGTTAGCATGAACAAAGTTTACTTAATTTATCGCAAACAAAAGTCATTGAAAAACTGTTTTTTTTAATTAATGATGCAGTGAAAAAGTATGTAGCTATTCTTGAAATTTCATTCAAGAATATTAAATTTTCAAGTACTTCAAGGTCAATGGAATGTTGCATTAATTTTTGCAAACTCGAGTATAATGATGTTCAAATAAGCTTTCTACAGTATAACCATGCTAATTACAGAGCCGAGTTATTACCTTGAAAACATGTCTCCTATTTTTTTCTTCTGAGTTCACATGCAGTTATTAGTGGGCGAAAATTGAATTGTAGAATACTTTTTTGAGACTTGGCCCAGGTGGTTAATAGTATTGGATGTGTATCAGAAAACAGGTGCGTAGTGCATGGGTGCATGTGAATAGGTAGAAGATATTTTTGCGTCCTTGAGAAAACATCAAAACTGCATGTGCGTAAAAATGAATTACGTATATGGCATGCACTTACCTCTTCCATAACCTCTCTTAGTTCTTCTGCAGCTGCATCTTTCTTACCAACGATTATTGAAGCCTTTGTGGTACAAAAAGGATGACAATATTTGTCACTTCGGACATTGGAATGTGATTATATTATTATACAACTATAATATTGTCATTTATGATTTTTGGCACTTCACTCGATGTGGATAAATTCTAGATTTTGAAAGGGTCTTAATTTCGAGTGGAATTAATTCCACTCGAAATTAAGACCCTTTCAACCTCTAATATTTTCATTGACGAATTTTTCGCGAGCAACACAATTGTTGAGAAAAAAAATATACATGTCCTGCGTAGTTTTAAAAATTAACTAGTCTATAAATGATAATTTACGCTCAGCAATTGCAAAGTATTCATGCAAAGGGTACATATATGTCCATAACATTAATTCCCAAGCCGGTGCGGAGCACCGTGCGAGGGTACTAATTCCGCCCGGCGATTAAGTATTACACCCGGAACCCGGTAGAACATAGCGGAATCCAAAGTTGCCCAAATGTCATGGACGTTCAATGGTCACGGTGTTTGTACGCATGCGCGAAATTTGAACGAATAAATTAGAACGGTCGTCTACAACTTGCTGATTGGCTAAGAACTAATTGAGAACGTCAGCATTTTAACTGTCATTTCGCAAACTATTTTTAAAAACAAAGTGAAATATGGAGTCAAATAAATTATATAAAGACAAGGAAAAGATTCGCAGAAACAGTTGGTTAAATAGAAACGACTCGTAGTTTATAAGCCTTGAAGTGGTAGGTGTCTATATTTTGTTTATTTCGTGTTTGCTGCAAGAATGCAATCAATGCATTATAATTTTCAAATAAAGTATGAGCTTCAAAGCGTATGTTGTTTTACGAAGAGCTAACCGACTGTTTAAGACTGTACATCATCGCTTAAACTTAAAAAGAGTTCTTAAAAGTGTATTTGGGAGTTTTGATAAAACAAATATCACTTTGAAGCTTATAGTCGCTGAAATCATTGTATAAATTCAATAATCGGACAACAAGATTCGATGTTTACTGCTTGCATGGTTATTAAAATTATTTGTGCTGTTTTGATGTTTGGGATGTTTGGCCATAGCAAAGTATTAGCACTCACTTGAACTACAATGTAATGCAGCAAACAAACGGGTGATTTCACTTCACCTTTACGACTGTCTTTGTTTCCGAAAAATTCGCCAGAAACATCAGCTATCAAGTCATTTCATAATTAGCTTAGAAAATTTGGTCTGGATTATGTTTCAACTAACTTACAAAAGTTTGCAAAATACTACTGTATAACACTTATTAAATGCAATGGAGAGCAATGGCGAGGGGTTGCTGCATGCATGTATTTCTAGTACAAATACAAATTCATAACTAATAACTAATACAAATTATTCAACGAGGTTGAACTTGACTATCAACCCGAGGTTTGACGCACATGTGCATGGAAAGAAGTAGGCGATCCCATATATTATAACGTCACCCGATGGACATGACGTTTTTTTGTATGTGAATTCTCTTAAATAAGTAATAAATCTATAATATCATAAATAACGGAACATCTTAATAATTAAACAATTTTAATAAACCTGGGGCATGAATTATAGAGCGTACACATGTATTACATAATGTACGCATATTGATTTAAAACAAACTTGATGCATAACATACAAGCAAATATAAGTTAGCTATACCTGTTGACGGAATAAAGACAATTTGTCGTCAATTGGATCATTGCGAACCATGCGTTTTTCAATCAGCTTGTTGATTTCATCCGACAATTGTCTTATCTGAAATAATAATAAATAAAATAGATATAGTTATCATGCACAGCTAGGATACTCGTATATATCGCGTACGATACGCGTATATGATACGCAAAAAAGACATACGCAAGCGGTGCTCTACCCGCACCTCGACGTGTTAATTTTTCATATTTATCATAAGCGAACCTGCTGATTTAACTGATCTAAATCAGACTGTCCCATAGCTGGCTCATCAATTACTCGCTGGATGTCACCGATTGCTTTTTGCTTCGCTTCAATATCCTGAAAGAAATAGTAGTTACTTGTGTAAATGATGCAAATGGTGTAAATTAATGCAAGTACCTTCCCAATTTTTTGGTTTTCTTTAGGAAAATATTAGCTACATTTACAACATTTACATTTACAATAGCCGAATGAATAGAGACGCGGGGAAAATTAATAGAAACTCATCTTAACGGAAAAATGGACGGTAAAAATCCGTCTGAATATGAATGGGGATGAAAATTTAAACTGTTATGACTGTCGGGGGTAGGGCTACAAAGTATGGCGTTATACTGTATCAAGATAGTCGTTTTGCTTATCTCCCTAGCTTACCACCGATTGTAAATATATCTGTACACTGTTGCCTATATATCGGTAATATTTAGAAGTACTTGAGTATTATTGAACGGTACCTTTGGGATCTTATCCTGACATAGGTAAGAATTTATCTTACATTCCTCCTCAAGTTTTCGCACAAGGTCTACAGGAGAAATAGCATAAAAGTACACAATATTTTGACAGTCATATTGCATGTGTTTAGTTTAAATATAATTGTAGCCTGCTTCATAACTTTGACTCGATATAACAATGTAAATGCTCCTTATTTCTTACTCAAAATAGCAAATTTACCGTAACATTGACATTTTAACGGTTAACTCAACACGAGTTTGCCCCTGCACATGTCCGTCAGTTCCCCCTTGACCACGTTGCCTTTTTTCTTCGCTCACAATGGCGACCAGTATAAAACTTTTAAAACACGATCAGCAATTTCAGCTACTCATCCGAAGGTTGAAGGTCTTAATGTGGCAGAGCACCCATTATAGTAGTGCAGTTGAAAGGCATTTACAACTCCCGACCTTCTATGCCAAATGTGTAAATACATGCGATGCAGAAAAGGTTACAAAGTATATTTGGCTGGCCTGGGACAAAAGCAGCAGTTAATACTTAAAGCAATAAGCCTTTCTCACGATGCGGATATGCCGCCATTTTTGGGGTACTTTTTTTCAAAACTGCAAGCGTAAGACCTCATAACGGCAACAGTCTTATTTTAGTCTGGAGTCATTCTTCAAATGGTCTAAAAAATGATTCTAAAAAAACTTTTGTTATAACTTTTTAAACCCGTTTGAGAAAGTTGAAAGTACCCCATGCAAAAAACGTCATCGTGGGAAAGGCTAATTGAGTACGAAAGTAGCTTTGTTTTTAGCGCTGACGTCAGCGGATAGAGGTTCAGAGTTAATTGCACTTGATTTTCGACATAGGCGTTTCCACCCGGAAGGTGTATCGTTCAACCTTCCCTAGAAACTTTATCATTTTCTAGGAACAGTATTGAGTTAAAGAGTTTTTTGTTCCTGTGCAGGGGCAAGCTCGTTGTGAATAGTTAATTACTGTAAATTCTCCATTGTGAAGAAGAAATTAAGAGACATATTAAATTAACATTGTTACATCGAATCGACGATATGAAGTACAATTAGGCTATAACTGCAGCCCTTGCATAAAGTAGAATATTGGGCCAATCTACTCAATTGTGTGAATTATATTAGTAGCTATTAGGTATATAAAGTAGAATATCAGTTCCGCCCAAAGCCTGCCATCTTGGTTTTTAGTATAAAAATAAATTCGTGCACTTTTTCTCACATCCTATTGCTCGGAATCACAGTCTTTACTCACAGAGTTAAAAACTGATTGAAAATAAACAAACGGACACGATTTGTCAGTAATTTCTTCTATACTCACCAGAACCAGTTGTTCCCACTCCTTGGGAACGCGTATTCTTCAATTGTTGTTGTTGTCGCTGGTATTTCTGCTCAGCATGAAGAAGCTATTACGATGATAGAGAAAATATACATTTTTAGGTAACATATTTTGCGATAGCAGTCATGTTTGAAAGGCCATAGCTCTCCGATTTAATTAAAGGCACGCTTACACTGAACGCCAGTTTGATGTTTCAAAATGTGTAAATCTGCATTTTGCGAGAAATTTTTGCCTGTGAAATCAGTCCTTTATAAGTTGATTATTATACAAACTGGATGACCTTTACCTGGTTTTTCTGATCGATCATCTGTTGTCTCAAATCGGTCTCTTGTTCTCTCGCGATCCGTAAATTTCGAGCAGCAGTAATCATTTTTTCGTGATTCTTCACAGACTCAATCTATTATACAAATAAAATCAAGACGAGTTTAATTTCTAGGTGACTGACATGCCCCCCAAATTTAAATAACTCTGCAGAAAAGAAGGGTCTCTCCATAGCCCCGTTTACACTGCACCCGATTTATTGGCACGGTACGGCTAAAATGGGTACCCGTGCCGTGCCAATAAATTGACTGGAGCGTAAACGTGGCTTTTATATCCCCGGTGCATGGTCACTCAACTTAGGTTACGTTCACACAGGACCGGACAAATTTTGAACCGTGCTGGAATTCGTTCGGTTTCATCGGGTGAACACGTAGAACCGGTCAAATTTTCTTCCACTTTTACCGTGTGAACACTTGAATTAACCGGCCGAATTCAAGAACGGTTCCAACTTTGCCTGGTGCTGTGTGAACGCATAGTCTTTTACATGTACGTCTATATATACATATTATTCGTTTTACAGTATACCTTCTTTTTCACACGGTCCACACGCTTGATGAGCTGTTCCCGTTCATCCTCCATGTTAACGATGTCCTACAGTGCGAATATAGCAAAATAATCCGGAAATCACATGTTTCTATTTGAACTTATTGGCAAAAAGTAAAATGGGAAACCTTTCTGCAGGCCACAAAAATCTTCAATTGCATTATTGGAAGCAATTTTTTGCCGTAGAAAAATTCACGGATTGCAATGGTCTACTCCGTTGCATTGATTGCAATGCTTGTCATTTAAAGCTTTAGTGAATTCACTTTGTATACCTTCTTAATTTCGCCAGTTGAATATCCAGATGACTTTAACCGTTCTAATTCTTTATGGAATTCCTTAAATTGTTCCATAAGTTCACCATACTGAAGAAAAAAGAGCGTTCATCAGCAAAAATTGTATCTTGATTATATTGTATACTCGAGGCATTACGATAGAATTTATTTCATATAGAGGGTGTATGAATAAAACTGCAACCCTTACAATTCCCAGGGGCCTACGATCTTTTACAAATCCCGCCCGGATATTAGGAATTACACCAGGGTATTGTGACAGAACATAGCGGAATTTAGCGGAATCCAAAGTTGTCCAAATTCTATGTCGTGGAGACTGATCTGTGGTCATGGACCGTGCATGGTGGACGTTCAATGATCATGGGGTACTTGTGCACACGCACAAAATTTGAACGAGTAAAGACTGGTAATCAGCAACTTGCTGATTTGCAAGACAAAATTTTTCATTGAAAGACAAAATTGTATTTCAATGAAAAACGTCAGAAATTTAACTGTCATTTTGCAAACAAACTATTTTTTTAAAAAAATATTTTGTAAACACAATATGAAATGCGGAATGGGGATGTAATAGTTGAACAAATTCCAGAACGCGAAAAAAGACTGAAGCGAGAGGCAGCGATTTAATAAGAACACGTATTTTTAATCAGCGAAATTGGACACTGATTGAGGGGGGAAATGTTCGAGTTTGTTGACCGGAACTTTAGTATCGGAAAATTTGAGCGCATGCGTAAACAGAAACATTTACTAGCATTTGCTTTACTTGTACAGATTGGTATATACATATTTAAACTATTATATTTATGTACCAATCTATACTATATAAGCAACCTCTTGCAACCTCTTTAAGCCTTAAATGTACTTTAAGCGTGTAAATGTATGCTTATATAGGTGCACAGAAAGGATTAATTTCGATATGATAAACCAACAACGGTCTAAACTGTGATATATTATATTCTCAAGGAGTTTTGTTTTTCAAATTCGGTTTTCTCAATTCACATTACGTGAAGAATTATCAAGTCTGTGTTGTCGTTCGCGACAACGACAAACTTCGGCTTGATCATTCTTCGTATAATGTTCAACCTCGAGCTTCGCTGTCGAGAAATATCATCTTTCAGGTAAGATTTCACCGTATCCCTCTCGCTTCGGGTCTATAAATGATAAATGTTCATGCAACCACTTTCAAAAATATTTTTTTAAAAGAATTATAATGTTCATGCAACCACTTTCAAAAATATTTTTTTAAAAGAATTATGAACACTAAATTTGTGTCAAATTCACATTCACGCTCCCTTGGGATCTCGATATCTTGGTGTGACATCAAGCGTGGGATATAGCTACGACTATTTATCAGTTGTACTTCATGAAGGAATAACGTGCATGAAAAAGTCATAATATCACACGCTATTACTTCACACCTTCGATGTAACGATTTCACACATCTGTGAATTCTTTTAGATATATAAATAATAATTTGCTTTACTTCGATTGTTGATAAAGGTTCTGAATATGCACCGTTGTGTAGCACAACTCACCCCTTCATTGAGTTCAGAAATATCTTGATCAGCAATCTGGTCAGGTGGTATATCAATACGCACTAAATACCGAGCTAAGTAAGCCCGTTTTTTCAGGTCATCCATGTTTTGGAAGAGCCATTGTAGAATGGGATAAACGACAGGCTTTTCCCCTTGAACCAACCCCTGTCTGAACGCATTGCTGTAAGACAAAATGTAAGGGTTCGATCTTAATTATGCGTGCTCTGTACTCACAAGAATGTGAATCATCCCAAATCAGAAAAATTTAAAAGTTTGCGGTTGCAAACCAAGTTTGCATGGTTTGAAAGAAAAATGTTCGACTTACGGGTTATCGGCACCTATCGTAGGTTTGTATTTGAGTACACGCAGGAACGTCAACATACGAACAACCATCGACTCTGGATCCTCTTCTCGGATATCCAATTTGTGCTATATAGAAATAATGAAAAAATGATTAACTTTGACACACGATATGAATTGAACAGATTCGGTTGTACGAAGGCTGGATAGCGCTTTATAGTGATTTTTTTCAACCTTTCTTTTAAGTGCTTGAAAGACAATACAACAGGATTCTCAATTTATAAAAACTGAAAGGTTTAGTCAAAGTTAAAAAAACTACTATGCCCTTTGAACCAAGAACCGCAATTAATACGGAAATGTTGATGCTAAAAATGTCCATGGGTGTAATCAACACAAAAGTTTCGTAGGTAGTTGCCAAATTTACATCTCTTAAACGTGGTTCTAATTGCATTGCGAGTTGCATGAAAAATTGCACCGTGCAATAGGGCCTCAATTTGGTTAATTGTCGCACATCCTGTAGGAGAAAATTCACTGTAATTGCGGCTTTGTGCGATTACAGAAAAGTTTTACCAAAAAGGCAATATACCAATCAGACCCTGGCCCAGTTGTCTATTTAGATTGATTGCAAAATGTAATAATACTATTATTTACACATATAAATTTATAGTTCATTCGCGATTATCATCGAGGATCGGTGTCCTGGACACTGAGCTCTACTGGACAAACCGGGTATTGTCTATTGATATTAACTAGTGGTATTGATATTAACTTTGTGCAATTTGATTGGACGAATAATTTTTTTCGCACGTTTTTGGCGGCAATTTGTTCACATTACATATGTATTTTCCAAGATGGCGTCAAAATATATGAACCAGTGAACGACACCGCAGAAATTGGTGTTGGAAGTCAAATATCTCATCAGTTGCTCACATTTGAATCCTAGTATTCAGAAACTGCTGTCAAAGAAAATACTATCAAATAAGTTGAAAACTAGTTCAATTTTTCTTCCAATATCGGTTTTGGAAACTTTTGAAGGCTCTTCGTATGCATCTGCCACCGTAAAATGGCCATTTTGAGACATTTTCAGACGATTTGTTTTTGCCGTGTGGAAGCTTCAAATCTTTTGTGCAAGAGATATTTTGTTGAGTATTTATAAATCTTTTAGCTTGCCGAATTTAAAGTCTAAGTATTGAGAATTACGGCTGAGTCTACCAATTTCCGCGGTGTCCCAGTGAACAGGCGTGAAATCAACCTCGTACCCATGGCATGAAATATAGCTAATTCATGAATCTTAAACATTTTAATACTATTCAAAAAAGGTATTCTTGTAGAAAGAATTTATTTGTCACTTTGAAGAAAATGACGACGAAACTGAACGGTATAATAATAGATATGTTTCAAATTTTCAACTTTGCGTCATTCTGTTTTTTTTGCTGTAGGCTTTAGCCTAGGATTACGACCCGTTGACTTTTTTAGTTTCACTTTTGACTCGTAGGACATACATATGTATATAGCAAAAGATTGTGTCTATAAGCGTGAACTGTTTTACATGTATTGTACGTCAAAATTTTTTTGCATTAATTGTTTCATAGACCCCTTGTGTCTCGTTTTTGTTCTTTTTTGTCCATTTGGGTATTGCAACAAGCAACAAAACTTTACCTGTGGGTTGATTTCCGCAAAGACATCATTGAGAATTTGAAGCAGAGTTAGAGGGTTTAGTGAGTCAAAGCTAGATGAAACAAAACATATTCATGAAGAAACAAATTTTGACAATCACTTGTGACCACACACCCATGCTATCTAGTATAATAATGACATATACCATCTAGTATAGGTCATTGCCGGTGGTGCAAGAGACGGTCAGACTACCTGTAGCAAAGACCTGCATAGCTCGCTAGATCTGAAAAGTGGTATATTAAGTTGGGATGCACATATGCATGCAATTAGCAATCTTCCAATTATAGGCACTTATTGTGGGTGCTGCTATTCGAGATCCGGCTTTGTAGAAAAAGTAATTAACAATAGAGGAAAACTAGAAATTAATTTGAACTAATTTGTGCAAAGTGAACTCCAATAATTTTTGATAATTGTTGAACATTCCCAGGTCCCCAAGTGAAAAATTAATTTTCTATTGTGCTAGTTTTGCAACACCAAAATTATTTGGTCGACAAATTGAAGGTAAGCAAATCTAGCTTACATTGCCTAGATAGGATTGAACCTGAAGACTAACATGCAACCTGAAGACTAACATGCATAGTACAGATGGCACTTTGGCATGTGGAAACAGCTGGGTTTAGCCTCAAATGAGAAGTGCTGCCTGTGGACTCTAAGGAATTCAGGCAGGAATAACACTGTTTCAGTACTTTGCTGCTGAGCTATTTCCTTTTTTGGAGCTGTTGCTGTGCAGCTCTTGAAATTGTATATTTACACAAAAGAATCCTGAATCCATAGATTCACGACTTTGCGTAACGCTGTAACGCATTATTAAAAGTACATACTTTTAATTGCTTTCACAGTAGAGGCGTATATTTTCCCTAAATGAGGCAACAAACCAAACCGTTTTGTACAAAACTATATTAAATCGCATACCTTATCAAATTATAGCTTTTGTTGTACGGTTTCTGGTTGAGATTGTCAACTATATATTTCAATTGCTCGCTCATGCTTGTCGGTAAATTATGTTGTATCAACGTGAGTTTATAGAAACCAGATCGATAGGATCTTCTAGATTAAAGCATCAATCTATTACATTCGTTCAATAAACAATTTATTTTACGCGCTTTAACTCCTCCTGATGTCCACCAAAACATTGGCTTGGCAACTGTTGTCATTCGGCCATGTTTTAATATTTCTAAGCAACAGACAGACATGCGCAATAGAGTCCTCAGTCCTTGCTCATCGAATTTTCAAGATGGCGTCAGAAAATGGAGTGGATGGTATGTGAATTGGATTTTGATCAGATTTGGTGGACTTTTTTGACCTTTTTACATTTTATATTAATGCATGTAAAATATATTACAGTTGGTGTTTCAATTTTCGATGTATTAACAAAGCTTTACTGCAATCCATAGACTTTTTTGAGTTCTTTTTTTTTCACTATTAATTGTGTAGTCGAATAAATATGGACTTTTCTTTTACAATTACTGTAAAATTAAATACCGTAATTGTATTCAACAACTGTCCAAACACTAAGCATAAATTTTGTGTTTGGTTATGTCATGTGGCATTGTTAATATAATTATAATTATAATTGAAATTTAGGTTAAGTGAAATATAATTGTATATTGTTTATCAAACATTGGATTAATCTTGACCAAGGTCACAAAAATGCTTATGCTTAAATTTTGTTAAAAGATTGTACCAGACTCTCATATCATATTATGGAGAGTATAAAAAGAGTATATTTGGTATAATGGACACCCATTCTGATATCAGCTTGATAATCATACTGCCAACACTGTATTCCTGCTCTTAGTATTCTCAAACTGGTGTGTTGGAAACTTGCTGGGGGAAACTGTAGCTGGTGCTGTTTTCCTAATTAGGTTTTGGGTAGAGATACACTGATGGTTGGGCCATATAAGCAACTGTCAATATTGAAAAAGTATTCAATATAACCAGGGAGCAGTGTGGCAGGGTCTTCAAACAACTTAGCATCAAATGTGGTATAACAACTGCCTAAAATAGACAAAACACTTCTCGACCTTTCGACCTGAGGGCCTTCGCCAGGAGAACTCTCCCAAGTAGTGTTTTGTCTATTTTAGCAGTTGTTATACCACATTTGATGCTAAGTTAAAAATCATATATTGACAGTTGCTTATATGGCCCAACCATCAGTGTTAAGTATCTCAAACCAAAACTTGTCAATATTGGAAAAAAATATTAAAGGGCTTTTAACATTAATAATTTAAAGATTTTTACAGCTAAAAGGAAAATATTTATTAACATGTAAAAAAAGACATTACCTATAAATTGCCTTTTTTGGCCAAATGCCAATTGTTGTAAGTAATTATTTTCAACATCAAATTGATATACTTATTTATTATTTAACAGCTGTATTTTAATCCAATGTTGTTTTAACCCAAAGGTCACCATACAAATATATTAACATCAGAACAATTCTTTGATCACATGATCCTGTGGTTATTAAATTCTACCCTAATTAGTCTGTATAATACAATTGATTCCTATTTTACCAAAATATCAAGTTGTGTATAATTTTCAACCTTTTGGCACAAGAAAATTCCTCGACTAAATGATATTGTAATTTTTCATCCAGATATTCCAATAATTCTTGATCAGATGACCAAATGATCAGAGTAATTCTTGAGGTCTCATCTCATTGTTTATCAACCACCAAACCCCCTCCCTCTCCCATCTGCTTTGTATAGAGACAGCTTTCTCTGTGTTTGCAGATGAGAAAAAGCCTGCTGAGGATGAAGAACTTGATGATGTTGATGGCTACAAGGTCATACGAGTTCCAGGTTTTGGCAAAGATACATATTGGGATGTTGCTGTTAGAAGATTAGGTGAACTTGATCTCTCACGTCGTCCAGTTTATCAACAAGTTGGTGCTGGGGGAATCACAGGCTGGTTAGTGTATTTCAGAATATTTTTATATTTCATAAAATTATAAATTGATATATTTTTTATTATATGTTATATAATGTTATAAATTAAACAATTGTATAGGATTGATTTCCATGCCTTTACTGGAACTGCATGGGGTGATCCAACTTAATTGCACTCTTGTTTTTCCTCCCTCTTTCCAATATCTTCATCTTTTGAATTTTACAATTTAATTCATTGTCCCCTCGAACATCGCATGAACTTTATACTTTACATATGCATTGAGTATGCTTTGCATTTGGAGGAGATTATTTCATGTTACATACATATGTGATATGTGGCGTATTTTGGAGGGAAAACATGTAAAACATCGTATCCTTTCGGCGTTTCACTCAAAGTCTGCATTATTTAGTAAAATAAGTCTTGAACAGTGTATATTTGGTGGCTGCAAAACACCAAGCGATATTAAGGCCGGTATAAAATATAATGCCTTTAGTTTGAATGGTCTATCTTTAATCGATGTTGTAAATGTCATCGCCATTATAACCCTAAAATCATAGTGGCAGTGCGGAAATGAATGAAAATATTGCCCCGAGAAGTCTCTTTTGACACACTGTTGACAATGTGAAATTACTTATTCAGGTTTGTGGGAAATATATTTAAAAAGGTTGGAAAAGTAACTGCACTCGCTATTGGTGGTGGACTACTCGTTTTACAAGTACGTATTATTTTCACGCGTCCTAAAACCAGGTCTATATAAAATATTTTTCTTCCTGACAGCAGGCATTCATACACAAACAATTTCTTGCGAAATTAGGTTTGTTTTAAATATATTGCACAATGTTAGGACACGCGGATCGCAGCCTCTTGTTTACAAATCACCGTTGCGCGTTAGAGTAAAAATGAAAGTAATTTTGTTTATGACATGTTCATTCGTGATGTTTCTCTGTTCCTCAAAAAATCCTGGCAAATTGCTGCCATCCTGGCGGACTTTCTCAAGCCATGTCTATTGCCTATATTCTATTACTGTGTTATAGACTTTATTGTAATGTTATTTACAGGAGTGTGTTATTTACTTTCCTCTATCGGCTTATTGCAGCTAGCCTCGCAATCGGGTTATGTAACAATAAACTGGAAGAAAATAAATAAGGACGTGGGAAAAGTCTCTAAGAATGTCTCCGAGAAATTTGGAGAGTACACCTCGTCCCGGAAACAACAAAGCAAAATCGCCAAATATTTTAATAAGGTTAGACATGCCGTCTTTATGATGTCAACTATATATAGCATTGATAATTCCAGAGCTTAGTAACTAATTTATCTAGGGTATTCACATTCCTCTGTAATCGAATACAATGCGAAGCATTGATTCAGACCGCCCTCTTTGAGTCCAATGAGTTTCGCTACGCATTTAGCTACCTCTGGTTTTTCTCAGTTTTCAAACTTTCCACGGAGAGTTTGGAAAAATTCTTAACAATTGAGTAGAAAAATGTACATCATCAATTCTGACATAGGTTTCCAATAGCATTAAGGGTGAAAAATTACGTCAACAGTGAGAACATGTTTAGAACGTTAGGAAAATGGAAAGAATAGAAGGCAGTGCATCGGCTGGGTAGAGCTATGTTGAATATTATCATTCACTGTATCGTATTATCATTTTGACTCGTTTATTCAAGTCGTGAGCATGGCCATGAACAACTGTATGTAAATAAGGTTTGAGCATGCGCACTGTTAAAAACCGTTGCTACGCAAATAATACTATGAGCATGCGCATCAATGTCAATTTTGAAGAATGTGGCGCGCGTTGAAATATCACGAGACACAAAGAAAGTGAGTAATACCGTCGTCGATGTTTTTGGCTAATTTTTGGAAGCAAATCAAGTTTGAGCTGGAAGAAAGCAAGAAGGTACAAGATATAGTATCTCGTCAAGTGAAATGAGCGAGTTTTCTGTGTACAACAAATACTGAAATACCTTCTTAATCGCATAACGCACTTAGCAAACTGCAACTATTATATTTTACTGACACTCTAGTCGGCCTACATGCATCCCGTACGGCCTACAGCTATAATTTCTAGTTCGTAGCTATATTCTGATGTAAGATTTATTATTTTTTCAGCCCAGTCCAGTTAAACGTTTTCAAAGCACAATTTGCATGTTTAAATCTATATTTTTAGAAAGAGTATATCAAAATGAAGTGAAGTGCCAAAAATCATAATTGATTTACCCTCACTTATTCCCGGCATTACCATCATATACACATTAACCACGCTTGATCTTGTCATCTACCTCTGTAGCTCAGTGGAAAGAGCATTGCACCCGGCACCGACATCGCAAAAGCGTAGGTTCGATTCCTGCCGGAGGACCGATGGTTGACTCAGTTTTCCATCAACTGTTCCTGGCTTGAATTTGAAGTGTGTATAATTCCACTCGAACTTAAGACCCTATATCAAAATGAGTATAAAATTGCAAAATTTGACTGCGAAATGTTGTTAACTGCATGCTCTCTGCCTCTTAAGAAAGTTTAATTAAGTGGTAAGAGAGGAATCAGTTTTGAAATAAGTTTTCTGGTTTTAAAATAATCAAAATAATGTTTTCCTGCTTGTCAAATGATATTAGTAAAATTACATTCAACAAGCAAAGGTAGCTTACAGAGTGCAAAAGCGCGAATACATAATCATAAACTGAGGTAATCCTTGGTCAATGTCTTTTTAAAGAATGATTTTTAAGAGGCATTGTATGTCAACTGTCTTGAAAAAGTTCAATACTTTTCAAAGGAAAATGCTCTAAATTGGCGATATATTCCGCCTTACCGTAAAGTTGTTATAGTTGTATAATGATGCGCCTATATATGGACATGCATGCCACGCAATCCACTCGCTATTTTCACCTCTTCTTTGACGTGCACGTTCTCGTGCTAAATCTGCCTAATATAAGCAAATGAATTGCAATTTACCGTCAGATGCGAGCCTAATATTTACACAGGATATCAGTTACGTCCGGATTCGAATGCATGCATACACATCAGAAGGAAGTTTTAGTGGTATTTAATTTTTTATCATTTCCCCAGACCATGCAACTTTCCCTTTTTTCACACACGCTGCTTTTTACCCAGGGTGGTCAAGTCGTCCAAAAGAATGTTGTGGTGGCAAGTGGGTTTGCCGCTGGCTTTCTACTTGGATTGGCGACCTAATCCATAGTTTTATCGAAGACATGAGATTGTGTAATGATCAGTCGCATAAAGCCTAATTTCCTATATTTGGGGGGTAATTGTCGTAAAAAATATCAGAATAGTCACTGTGAATAAGATTTTGCCACAACAGTCGGCCAAAAATTGAAATAAAGACTTCTATTATTTTTTATATTATTATTATTATTATTGAAAAGAAATATTCATCCCGACTATTTCGCATCGCTCGAAACGACTTGAACTCAACCAAACAGAAACTAGACATTTGCTGTTTGATGGAACTAAATAATTATGAACGTGAAGGCTAAGGCTTAAACACCTTAAAAGCATAATATTCAGTTCGCATGTTGACCTAGCCTTATTTGAAACACCCGACCTTAGTTCAAGTAATCCATATATATTCAAGCATTCAAGGTCAGGAAATTCGCAAACTATAAACTCTGCACTTTTTTTCTTTATGCCTCGATCCGTTTTGTTTCGTTATAATGTCATATAAGGTGTTTTTGCTTTATATTGAATGGTATTTTTGAAAGTCCACCAAGACTGGCTGAGCTGTAAATGTTAAGACCTAAATTTTGAAAGCCCATAAATAATATTTTAAATTAATATTTGTTAATTAATACACATTTTTATACATATAGTTGTATTTAAAGATGAAATATAGTATACTGAGTAATGCATATATACTTTATTCATGCATATCATGCTTTCTACAAAAACGAAAATATTCTTGTTTTAATATAGTTATAATAAACTAGCTAATAATCACGGCCGGGGTCTGCTATTTACAAAATAACTTTGGGAAATACATGCTGATTTGTTTAAAATGTGCTTATGGGATTCTGTCTTAAAATCTATCATGCCGTGAGGCATATATATAATTGCGTCAAAAAAGAGAGGTAATTTACCTTTCTAACAGTACCTTTTTCAACAAAAAGCTGCTTTGTCAGTTCCATTTACCCCCCCCCCCCTAAATATTTTTATCTCATGCATGTCTTGTTGAATTGTTTTAAATATCTACGGATTGAACTTTCAAAAAGTTGTTCTTCATGAAAACGGGTCTTAAATTTAATTTAACATGTAAACATATAGGGGCTATATTATAAAACAATTATATACCACTTGCTCTCGTCGTCTATGGACGGCCACATCCTACATTGAAACGTATTGATTACGAAGGTAAGAGCTCTATTGTTGAGGTAGACTTTATCTCCAGTAACGACATTTGGCATTAATTATTTGTCACCTGCTTCTCTCCACCTCCCAAAGCAACTGTGCTATGTCCGAACGATATAAAATTTCACCTTGTTTCGACGCCGAACATTTCTAGTTGACTGGATCGCCTATTGAAAATACTGAAGAGGAACAGTGATTGCGTTACATCGGGAATCCACATTTTGGCCTTTGCAAGGTAACAAAGGTTAAATTAAGCAGGGTATACGCAGATTCGCGTCTATAAAACACAAGTCATTCATCTAGCCGATTTACTATACAAAGTATAGATTGTCGCTGTCTCCATCATATATAATACATATATTTGTGTAGTCGAGATCGTGTTTATTGTTTGCCAATTGCTTGCGTAAATGCCGAATATTTATTAGAAGCTGTAAAGGGTGTCCCAAAAAACATTGTGTTTACGTTTAGGGACAATTCTATAGAGCCTAATTCAAGGTATAGCGCTCGCTGGGTCCCGAAACGCAGTCGATGTTCTTTATAGGAAGTATAATAAACGATGTTTTGAGGTTGTAAGCAGAACGTAGAACACGTCTAAAACTGACATAGTCATTGGTCTTTAATTATTCATTTCTTTTCCATGAACCTTTTTTTTAAATAGCTGTCGTCGCGTTCCCGTCATACATGCTTAGTTAAGGACTTAAGGTCCGGCGACTAAAATAGTTATGTAAAATTCAGTTTAGGCGGCTTTAGGTGAAGAAATTTGTCTGCCATCAATACGCAGTTTATTTGGCATGCATGGGACGGGGTAAATTTATCCAGTCTAGAGCGCGTAGTGAAATGAGCAATATAGCTACCAGTTTTCATCACGATAATATGAGAATATGTTAAGTTTGCAACTGTTATAGAAACGGGGGGACTTGGCGAGGTAAGAAATTCTAACTCGTCGCAACTCGCAAACACGCAGAGTTTAATGCTGCATGTTCGACCGTAACCTCCAGTTATGCGATCAGCCAAAAGTCTGGCGTGCCCAACGGCGTAACCACGTATGGCAAATACCTTTAAACAATAAACTTGTTTCATAATTTCTGTCTCGTATGCCAAAAAGATGCACGCGGGTCGAATTTCTATAAATTGTTCTATAAATTGTGCATATTTTCTTTTCTTTTTGCATGCAATTAGTTTATGTTAAAGTATCAAGTTTTGTTAAGATTTCCGGTGAATTTGTTCAAAGATTAGTGACAGCTGTAGGCAGTAATTAATAAGCTCAATTTCAACATTGGGCAACATGAGCCTCCTCCGCAGGCATCTTTTATGTATTAAATAATATGGGTTTTTTCTCGCTCCCCCGACGCAGCTTGCCCAAGCCAAATATGCATATTTTTAATACATAAGAGATGCCTGCGGAGGAGGCTAGGCAACAATATCAATTACTTGAACGATAATTGGAGAGGAGATTATCTAATTGTCGCGGGGTTTTTTCCCCACTTTTTTGCGGGTACAGTCTTTTCGCGGATTATTTCGCTGGTCTTCCGCAGAATAAAGTCAACACTAGCTCCCCCATGGGTGGGTGTTTTGCCAAACAAACAAAAAACCCGCTAGAAATGCCTCACTAAATAAATTGTTTATGTATGTATGTAATTAGATTTTTATAGGGACCTTACGATTAGGCGACGACAACAGCAACCTTCGGGGGTTGGAACAATCGCGCTGCTTTGCAATCAAAGCCTTTTTGCATTTAATTAAAAGTCATTATTGCGTCTTTGAGTTCCAATATACAGCTTACTGGTAGCCATTTCAATTCCGACAGAACAGGTGTTATGTGTTCAAACTTTCTGGTGTTTGTAACTAGTCGTGCCGCAAAATTTTGTACTTTTTGCAACATGTCGATGTTTTTCTTTGAGGTATTTGACCATACCGCTGAGCAATAGTACAACTTGCTAAACACCAAGGCTTGAATTATAGCTAATTTGACACAGCGAAGCCAAACGTTTTGAAACGACCTCTGTGATATGGTCATCATAAGTCAGAGAACTATCCAAGATGATACCGAAATGGCGAGATCCTTTGCTGATAGAACAGGATAAATATATTTACCAAGTAATTAAACGTGAAAGCCATTTGGTAGAGTAGACCACCATTGGCGAGTGCCCATAAGAAGAAGTTTGGTCTTTCCTGGATTTATAAGGAGACTATGGCTACAACACCAAATCGCAACTCTACGTAAGTCATCATTGAGGTAATTTATAGCATCTTCCATTTCTTTTACAACGAAGGAGAGAAACAGTTTAGAATCATCCACGAAGGATTCCAAGGAGCATGAACTTGGAAGATGTGGAAGATCATTTATATAAATACTAAACAGGATTGGTCCTAGGATAGATCCTTGTGGTACCCCGTGTGTGATATTCCGAGAGTCTGGTCTTTGAGAGGCTAAACGTACAAGCTGACAACGGTCCGAGAGGTAACTTTTAAACCACTCCAGCGAGGTTTTAGAGATTCCAAGCGACCGGAGTTTAACCAGGAGAATGGAGTGTTCTATGCTATCAAAAGCTTTGGGAAGATCAAATAGTAATAATGCCGATAGGTTCTTTCTATCCATTGCTTCCAATAAAGTATCCGTTATTAAGATATTCAGCGTTTCTGTGGAATGATATTTTTTGTTCCCACTTTGATGTCTTGACAAGCGCTTATGTCTAACAAGGTAATCTGTTAGCTGGTTTAGGACCACACGTTCACATATCTTAGAAATTGCAGGTAACAGTGATAAAGGAACCTCGTGATCACCTTCTTTCAATGAGGCAATCACTTCAGCTTCACTCCAGTAGAGTATCTATTTAAAGTAGATAGGATACACGGCGATGCATCTTTCATAACCTTCATCGACACCTTGTCGGCTCCCGGAGCCTTATTTGAGGGAAATGAAAAAACTATTTTTCAAATCTCAAATGTGGAGACCGCCCGGAACGAGAATTCCTCCAGTATATGGTGACCGAATTTGTAGGTGGAATTAAAGAGATACCATTTTTTGGCTGCTAGAGACTTTGCAGATTCACTTGTACGAGCTCCTACAGTCGTAAAAAATTCATTCGCTAATAACTTTATATCTCTTGTATAAGCAGGTTGACTGTTCTCTTTTCGAGGTATACAGTTTCTAATTGCTTTCCACATTGAACTGCTCTTATTACTATTATGTATCTCTTTCTGCGGATATTCTCTCTCAGCCATTCACAATTTAAGTTTAGCATTGTTCCGAGACACCCGGTAACACTCCCAATCCTCTGGTAACTGGTAAGCCAGGTCAACGAGCAGTCTTCAGTAACTTATTCCTAGTCAGCATACGTTGTTTTAGTTCTTAGGTGATAAATGGACATTGTCGATATCTAACTGGACTTCAGAGGGGCATGTTTATTCAATACATTTTGGAAACAAAAATCAAAGTGGACCACTTTTCCATTGCAGTCATCTATATAATGGTGTTTTCGAACCAGTTAATTTGTCCAAAGTCATCCAGAAAGGAATGATGATTATAATTATTAAAGTTACGTGCTGTAATATAAACGGGTGGTGGTTTTAGGATTTTTAGATTAAGGACGGAGAATACTAAATAGTGGTCACTATAATACTGATGAGTCTCCTGAATTCCACTTTCAATGACCAACGTAGAATTTGTGGTCAGGGCAACATCAATTAATGACGATGAGTGAGGAGTAACCCTTGTAGGTGAAGTGATTAGTTGTGACAAATTTAAACATGAGCAAAGATCTTTCAAGGCTTCGGATTCTTGTGTGACTTCCAACACGTTACAGTTTAAATTGCCCAATACGAATATGTCCTTGCCATGTGTTAGATAATTTCCAGGGAAGTCTTTTGACAGGCATGTTATTGGGCAATCAGGAGGTCGATAAGATACACATAAAACTATTGATCTAAGCTTCTTGTGCTGGATCTTCAACTATAGTTGATGAAATCCTGAACTAGAGGTGCCAGACTGTTCTTTTAAATGACAAACTTTCAAGTTTTTACGGTAATATACACAGACACCGCCCCCACGTTTCCCAAGCCTGTCGAGTCTTAATATTTTGTAACCTTCAAGTGTAATATCAGCATTAGTTACGGTAGAGTTAAGCCATATCTCTGAGATTGTGATAACATCATGCTTAATGTGTTCAGCCAAAAGTCGAAACTGAATAAGATGGTCTGTATTCTTAAGTGATCTAATATTTAGATGAGCAATTTGATTTTTGCATTTCAGAAATTTATTCCAAGTTTTCGTGGGGTTCACATCCAGGTCAACGTAAGTGGTGGGGGATATGGTAGTGGCGTGGGTATGGTAATGTTGGTGGGTTCGGGGGTAGTGGTGGGAAAGGAATTGGCGGTAGATATGGACGTGGCGGTGGAGGTGGGTGTTGGGGACGATGTAGGAATGGGAATGGTTGTGAAAGGAGTAATTCACTGGAGAATGAGGGAAATTGCGATAATATACTGGAAAAGGGGTCAATCTGACTTTGGATTGAGATCGGATTGATGGGATAGGTATTACATGGCCTACCGGATTTTTAGAGCCTTTTGGTTTAAACATAATATTAGGACTGAGATGGTGGGAAAAGTCGCATCTGTCCTGCTTTAAACATAATCCATTCCTCTGTAAAAAGGGACAAGATATACGAGACTTATTATAATGTTTTGATTTCGTTCCACGCACTCAGGGTTAAACATTTTTATGTAAAAAAGTCACACCTGCATGGGACCTTTTAAACAATGACCCTTTCTTTTCAGGAACAGGCACGGCACGAGTGATTTTTCTATCTCGCTTCTATCAATACGATGGTCTCGAGCCGTTTGCTTTGGAGATGGGATTTTGGTTGACTTTATGCTTACGTTGGTTTCATCTACCCTGAATGTCAATTTTTTCTCAGTGGAAGCATCCTCTGTGAGCACTTTCTTCTTCACCAACTCAGACAGTCGTGACCTTAAATGCAAATTTTCGTTTGATAGATTAGCTAACTCCTTGTTGTTATTCTTAATGACTCTTGCTTGCTTGCTTACTCGTCAAAACTGCCAATTTAGACTCTGATTTTTTAAATGACTTGTACAAGGCTCAGGTTCGAAGATTTATCCGGTCGTAACTTTAACGGGATTGAACTGTCTATAGATTGTGCTTGGGTTACATCATGTACCAAAGTCTGTTGATATGAGACATCAATAAATTCCTGCAGTTGGTCTAGGGATTCACAAAAAGTTGAACCATCCGAGCCAGATATTTCATTTTCGTTATGGGGGACCTGTATTATGCCATTTTCACTGAATTCTGACATATTTTGAGCAGCTTCCGACGGGTTATTTACAACACTTTGAGTAGGGTCGGGTGATTTTCTATCCGACAACATGTGCACTTGTGTTGTTGTACTTGTGAATGTGAATGAGTATAATTCTCAAGATATCGCCAATTTTACCCTGAAAGGAAAGATTGCCAAGATCATAGTTATATTAAATGCATAGTTAGATCCATATCAGGGCTCCAAAACTTCTTATACTAGACACCAGACCAGGAACCAGACTGATTTATAAAAATATTCTTCCATCCATTCTTAACCTTCTTCCATCATTGACGAATTTTGTATACTTTTGTTTTACGGCCGGAAGTGTGTAACTAATTTAGTTACACATTTCCACACGTTATATTATTCTTCCGTAGTACAAAAGTATACAAAATATTCCAACTTCGCATGGCTATATTTTCAGTATTTTACAAAATTTCGCAGCTAAACTTTGCATTTGCACCAATTAAAGTAAGATCTTTCTAGCTGTGGTGAGTTTATTTCCTTCTAGTTACTTCCATCAAAATTTAGTGTAAAGCGCAAGTCGACCAATTGGTATTGGCAACAATTCAAATAATTTGCTTGAAATTTGCAAATTATGAAGTCAATAATTCGGCTGACGTTCTTGCATCTCTTGGTTGGTTAACTTTAATGGATTACCTGCGGAGATCCCTAAAGACTCCCTCTCTTTGCTTACGTCTGACTTGTTGTCTGATGTCTCCATCTCAGAAGATGAAGCTGCCCACTATCTCTCGAACCTGAATCCGACTAAATTTCCTGATCCTAACAAAATCCCTGGACAAATCTTAAAGCAATGTAGTTCTGTTATCGCTCTAAATCTCTGTTTACGGTTTAATCTCTCTCTGCAATCTGGAACTTTACCGACGGAATGGAAATCTGCAAATGTAACAACTGTCCACAAGAAAACTAAGAAAGAACCTGCTACTAACTTCCGACCTATATCCTTGCTTCCCATAATCAGCAAAGTCTTGGAGCGATGTGTTTGCTATCCTTTCCACGAACATATTAAGGTTATGATTAAGAAAGCCCAACACGGATTTCTTCACGGTCGCTCGTGTGTCACCCAACTTCAAGCGAGCTTACATCATATTGGAAAATTACTAGACCACAACGTTCAGTCAGATGTTCTATTTCTTGACTTTGCTAAAGCCTTTGATTCCGTGGATCACGCCATTTTATTGAGGAAAATCAAGTCATACGGCACATTAGGCAATGAAAAAATGGTTTACTGATTATTTACATGGACACACCCAGCGAGTTGCCATGCATGGTGTAGCTTCAGAATGGTCTCAAGGTACCTCTGGTGTCCCTCAGGGTAGTGTCCTGGGTCCTATGTTGTTCCTTCTGTTTATCAATGATTTCCCTGACGCTATTTCTCTATCAACATCATCTGGGGTCTACGCAGACGACACAAAGCTTTACAGGGCAATAACGGAGAAATGCCTTGCATGGGAACTCTTGTCCTGTTTGCATTTTCTCCGTTTGAACATTGTTCAATAAATTTGACATAAATTTAGAGGAAAGACGAATACGGAATCAACCTATATTAATGTATAGAATTTTAAATATTATGACTGCATCGAACCTGAAAAATCCATTCACCAGGTTTAGTACATTGCAAGGTGATTATAATCTAAGAAATACATTAACTGATTTAGCTCTTCCTATTCCGAGAAGGGAATTCCTGAAAAAAAGTGTAATAGCGCGAAACTTTGGAATAGCCTTTGGAAGCAAAATTAGCACAATCAGAATATGTTTTCACACGAAATATGAATTAAATAGCGTCACCAACTCTGTATTTCCCCCGGAGCGCCTGCGAGGGTACCAATTCCGCTCCGAGATTATGAATTACACCCGGAACCCGTGTACGATGGACCGTGGACGGTCGACGTTCGACCGTTTTGACAGTTATGCGCATGCGCGACTAACGACTGGTAATCATACAACAATGTTCTGATTGGCTAAGACAGGAAGTTTGTATTTCAATGAGAATGTTAACGTCAGCAAATAAGACTCTCATTTCATAAACTCTTTAGTAATTAGCGTTTCATAAACTTTGTGCAAAATAAAACGAGAAGAGACAAGAGAATGACGAGAGAATGACAGATACTAAGAAGAACATGGATACAGTTCAAGACAAAGCGATGTTAAAAAAATAATTCATAATCTGCAAGCTTATAACTATAAGTGTTTTAAAAGGGTACGTGGCTATTGCAGAAGGCTATTACAAATAAATAAAATTGTAGAAAGTTATTTATCAAGGGAGAACGATTTTTATTTTAATTTTTCTGCTCTGCCCAATCCACTATACGTATATAATGATCAAACGAGTGGTTACGATATACATGAATATATTTTTCAACATCTCTTTAATAGGTGGTACTCGATGAGAGTAGGGATAGGCCGTGTGAAAGACAGTCGAGAATCATGGATGTTTCTTGTTCTAACTGGATGCGTTATCTTCTATGTTGGAGGAATTTTCGACAGTTATGGTATTCTCGTTGTGGTATTCGTAGAATATTTCGATGAGACAAACGCTAAAATAGGTAGGGTCAACTTATTGATTTGAATAACTCGGCGCATAGGCGTAAAAATTAATTAAAAATTGCACATGTATTTGCAAGCAAGCATAAGACCAACTCGTACACTGAAGAGCTGACCCACTCCGATTACCGAGTCCCAATTTCGAGTGGATCACCTCTTGAACCCATGACGTCTCATAATGCCCAAGAACAAGAGAGACAAAAATGCAATGAAAGGCTGTGAACTGAATTATGATTATTTTCTCTGTTTAGGATGGATAGGCTCCTTGATGTACTCCTTGCTATACCTTTCTTATCCACTATCTGTTGCACTTTCCCGTCGTTTAGGATTTCGAGCAGTGGTTTTTATGTCCGCTTTATTGGCCACTATTGGTTACTTAACCACGCCATTAGTGCCTTCAGTAAATTATCTATTTTTGTCGCATTCCATCCTTCAAGGAGTTGGTTTTGGTTTCGTGGACTGTATTTCAATCACAGTTCTCCGTGAATACTTCGAGCGTTATGCGGGTTTAGCGACAGGAATCCGTTTCGCGTGTACTGCTACCGGGTCCATGGCATTCAATTTTCTTATTCCGATCATAATCGACGATATTGGTTGGCAAAATATGTTTTACTGTTTTTCATCAACGGGAGTTGCGCTGCTATTTCTTGCATTTTGCTACAGAAAGAAACCGATAATTTCGTCAAATCGTGAAATTTTAGTCCAAGATGAGTCCAAAGTCAAGGATGCCAGCATCCTGGATCATTCGAGATCAAAACAGCCGTCTTTCCTTCGAGATCGAGGCTTTCAGTTGATTGTGATAGGTTGTACACCATACTTATTCGCCGTTGGTGTACCATTGTTATTTATGGTATGGGCAATAATATCTTATCATCCAATTAGTTATTGCATGGCCATGTCCTCTATAATGCAAAAGTTCCATCAAATCTAGGCGTGTCTATTTCCTATAAGAATTGGAAACTTGAAAAAGTTCATAACGTTCCTCGCGCGTAAACAAGAAGCTACAAAATATGCGCCAAGACTAGTAAGTTTACCATGCAAGGAAATATCACTATTATAACGTGTCCGAATACTCGTCTGAATTGTAGAATTTAAGCAACGTAAGCAATACGAATTCATCCATTTTATTAATTCATAATTTATAAAGTCTGAATGATCTGAAAGCGAATAAATTATTGGGGATGGGGGCTGCAAATTTGCAACACAACATCTTTAGCGAATGTTACAATCACATGCACTGGCTAGCTCTTCAAATACGTTTTTTTCCTCATTTTAGGCTCAATACGCAAAATCGATAGGTTATTCACTTTCTCAGGCGAAGTGGCTCGTTGTTGTTCGTCCTTTGGGATCTCTCGTTGGACGGTTTATTGCAGGTTTAATCGGCGATTTTGCATCCAGGCGAAAAAAAATTCCGCATATCACATGTACACTCGTCACCATATTTGGTTTGGCAACTGGATTATGTTCATTAACACAGCATTTAACTTTAATGATCTTGTACATGACTGTCGTTGGGATTCTTGAGGGAATGTTCTGGGTAATACTACCACAATTGATGTACGCGCTTACAAATGGAATAAATTCAGACTACGCATTTGCTCTAATGAATGTCGTAATAGGCGCCGGTTATTTGGCTGGGCCTTCTTCCATGGGTAAATATGACTATTAATACCGAAATATTACGCATTAGTAATAACTGATTATTGACCAAGCGTGATGTCTGTACTGTAAAATATCAGACCGAGGCTTGTTATGACCGTTGTTCATGCAAAAACCTCGGCCTGATATTTCACAGTACAGACCGAACAAGGGGGCAATAATCGGTTTATTATATGGCTGAACTGTATAAGACATCCGGGATACTGGTCCAGATACGGAATATACGGATCGGATATGGGTTTTACGGATCGCTCGTCAACCAATCAGAATGAGAGGATTTTGAAAAGCCATATAATCCCCGAGCGGGTGCGAAGCGCCTGCGGGGGTACTAATTCCGCTCGGAGATTAGGAATTACACCCGGAACCCCGTAAAACATAGCTGAATGTCCAAGTTCTATGTCTTGGACTGTCGACGTTTGACCGTTTTTCAGTTGTGCGCATGCGCGTCTGGTGATCAACAACGTTCTGATTGGCTAAGACAGAAAGTTTGTATTTTAATGTATTTTCAGTCTTCCCCCCTTTCATTTATTACGCGCTTTCTTTTGAGCAATCAAAATGGTCAAACTGGTCATATTTAAAATTGAAAATGAGTATTTCGATAAAAATAAAGTGGTCTAACTGCATTTTGGTGCTAGACAGATGTTAAGCCCGCCGCACACGTGGGCTATTTAAGATGCACCAAATCTACGACGCGGACGTGACATGCCAAGAACTGCTACTAGTGTTAGGGACCAACTATTAATTTGTTTTACATATGGCTTTGACTTCGTTTATCAAAAGAGTCTATAATTTCTATTCCTGTTGGAAAACTGTTGAAATTAGAGCAATATTAGGGCTTACTTCACGTCCGCGTCGTAGATTTGGTGAATCTTAAACTAACTGTTAGCTGACCACGCGTGGCTGTTAGCTCAGCAAGTTACTTTCGTGTGTGGATAGTTTTTCGTGAGGAATTCGTCTCGTGAGGCAAGTTTCTCACGTGTGAGGATGGTTTTCGAGCTGAGCTAACCCTCGCGAGGTCGTTAGCTAGCTGCATGATAGCTCCTGTCTTGGCCGTTTTTGCCGTATAAAGGAAAGCGCCCTATCATTATCTTTTTGAACCATCCATAGAATTAGACTAAAAATATAACTGTCCTAACTGTCCTGTATTATTCTATAGGAAAGGTGTTTGACGTCACCGGAGACTTTCGCATAGTTCTCTATATCGTTTGTGTATGTGGTCTCGTTGCCGGTGTTATAATGGTTTTTGGGATATACGTACGCTCGAAGGCTTTAGACAGGAGCGAGATGCGACCTGGAGAGTATGATACAACAACGTCTTTGTCAACTGAAACCCTAAAATTGAAGTATACCAATATTAGTGGGCGAATACAGCAAAAACAATTATCAGGAAGTAACAAGCATGCAATGATGCAATACGAAACTACTGTTTGAGAGGTGTTCTTTCAGGGAGTGTTTATACTGCATGATCTTACTTGTTTACTTTCACCGTCGTCTTGTCTACACACGAGACACGACAAAGGTGAAGACGTGGAGAAATTTCAGTGAACTTGTGAAGTAAACTTGCAATTTCAAATAAACTATACTCTGCATCAAATGTGGTATAACAACTGCCTAAATTAATAGACAAAACATGGGGGCAACATACAAAACATGTATTCTCCCCTGTTTATTTTCATACTAACGCTCCTGACGAAAGCCCTCAGGTCGAAACGTCGAAAAGTGTTTTGTCTATTTAGGCAGTTGTTATACCACATTTGATGCTAAGTTGTTTGAAGACGCTGCCACGCTGCTCCTTGATTATATTGAAACTATACTCAGTTGCGTAATCGTTTTAGACCGAACTTTGCAAAATTGCCCTTAAAACCGATTCAAGATTTCTTACTTCTTCTTCTAAACTCCTTACTTCTTGTTGATCGACTCGGGCCCAAAATTTCGTGGTCAAAAAACCGCAGCTCCACCCGAGACGTTGAAATGAAACAACGCCGAGTTAACGTTCGACCAATCCGTAAGTTTGTAGGCAGCCGGCTGGCGACGAAAAGCGCGATCGTTGGATAGCCAGCACAACCCGCAAGTTGCTTAGCTGTGCGCGTAATCAGCAGGTGATATTGAAAAAGATCCGGACCACACGGCTAGGTCAGTGAGACGTCAAAACAAGAGCATAAACAGTAAACGCCTAGTTTTTAATATTAAATTTTGCCCACGTGTTGAGCATGCATGTAACAATATTTATAGATGACATTGACCTGTTTCTAAAACATTCCAGTTCAATTAATAGCGCAATATTTGCAGTTGTGTTGAATGACGAGAAACGAGGGATTTCTATTCATACAAAATAATGTCGCGTTTGATCAATTTTTTAATATTTTTTTTAATTGTGAAAGAAATGGGCTAGGAGTCTACTAGAAACCACACGTATATATGGCTTTTTTATGTAGGCCCAAGATTAATTAAACGTATTAAACGTATTCAGTTTTATACGCTTCTGAACTTTCATTTTCCCAATTTCCCTTAAAGGGAAAAGGACAAGATGATGATGATGATGACATGTCACATACAGCGGATTCCGTTTGACTGCAAAACAACACTAGAAGCGTTTGCAACGCATGTTGGGTCGTAGATGACATTTGAAATGTCACATGCCCTGTTTCCAAGGAATGGGCGGAGCGTTTCATTTGTGCTTTGAAACATGGTTGCAGTGTTGTTGAAAGAAAGTGCTTTAAAAAAAGTGCTTGTGTTAAAAGAAAGTGCTTTCCCATGACTGTAGGATGCCCTTTCGCATAACTTTCCACATTTTAAATTACCACAAGCGTTTCGAACATGTATGCATGTAAGAATGCGCGCCAGAACCGTGTGACATTTCAAAATTCAAAACATAGTCATATTCTAAACGACCCAACATGCTTTGCGAACGCTTGTAATTTTGCAGTCAACCGGAATCCGCTGTATTTCAAAGGCAAATATTTTAATATTCAGATAAAAACAATTACATGTTGATGTTTTCTTAACGATTTTGTGCGCGGTTAATATGCTTTTCTGACTGAACATCTAAAGCTGAACTTTACAGTAGAACTGACTAAACTAAAAAGAGTCTACATACATAAAATGCCTACTAAATACAGTAGAAAATTGGATATACTTCGCTATTACTAATAATTTTAAATTCCTTAAATTTTAAACTCCGAATTATAAACTGAGCTATAAAGGAGGAATTTCGTTTTACAGCAATTAGCAGCAAGTTTGTTTACATTTTCAGCATCCCGATGGCAATGAGGATATGTGAGCATGTAATAGAAATAAACGTCAAGTCATTCAAATAGGTATGTTCAAACCGCCGTTTCCCAGGCCACCCGCGCTATTTCTGCATGAATGAAAATTGAGCCATCCGCTCTTTCAGTGACACTGGCCGGTGCACGCGCACATCACGGCACATGACTACATGAATAATAAACATCAAGCAGTTGATATATTGAACCCAGCTGACATTCCTACAGTTCGAATTTTGCAGAGTTCAAAGATGTACGCATAATCTGAAGAATAAGGAGAAGAAGACTGATTGTGTTGTATATATCGAGGATCAACAATTTCGCCCTCTGGAAGGTAACAAAGGTTCAATTGATGCATGACGGTATAAAGGATGTATAAATTATAATACATATACTCATATCTTTTTTGCGTCAAAGCTTTAATTTTCTTGGTTTACAATACAAAGTGTAAATTGTTGTCTATGCATGTGCATGGTCTTTAAAAACGGTTGTATATTTGTCAAATGCTTGCATGCATGGCGCATGTCTGCATGCATACATATATAGTAATATCAGTGAGTAATATTGATTGACCTTTAATTCATTAACGATGTTTAGTCATTATAAATGCTTGTCTTTTAAACGATATACCAGTTCTCGAGATGCCTATGTTTAATGGTTTTATCGACGGTTGGCGCGGTTTATATTATACGAGGTCTCTTTATGTAAGCAAATAACGCCCGGACGGAATATATACATTTATTGTGAAAATCGGATTTCCCCCTAAAGATATAATTCGAGCAAAACTGCAATCATGCATCTAGAACAAAGTTAAAAGAAGAAAATAATCAGTTCGAGAAAAGAGAATCGCTAGTGCCAGTAAAAAATGACAGACAAAACCTCCCTAATGCAGGGATGCACATATTATACAATACAAATCCTATACAGGAGACACATCGCTTAAGGGGTTTGACCTTGCCGGGGGTTTTGTCTTGCTTTTGACTTGTGATCATGAGGTATAGTTTTAGGATGAACCGCCGTTTTAACATGGACACATACAGGCGTGCATAACTTGTAGTCCCAGGAGAGCGTTGCCAATCTTACAACGCTTTCAAATAAGGCATTTTCACGGCTTCTCGGTGACACGAAAGCAGTTGTAATACTGCAAAGGTTGGTGGCAAAATGAAGTTGAAAATGGAAAATATGTTCGTATAGAATGTCGTTAATGTTGTAGATATACATAATTACGCACTGAAAATAACTATTTTCGGGCCAAAGCTTGTTATTTTTCCCGCACGCGATACAAATATCTACAAATTAGGCAACTGGTTTCTGTTTAATGTCGTGAACACGTGAACATGTCAAGGTGGCTGATGTGAATGAATGTGTATCTATTTATGTTTGCCGTCAAAAATGTCGATTTCCATGCAGAAATAGTGAAAAATTTATATCTGGCCTATTTCCTATCGGTGGATTTCACGAAAATTACGACTAAACGGTTTTACACTAGACTGAATTTTTTCCGGCGAGATCGAATACTCCGACCAGCACTCAGCAGCGTGGATAAAACTATTAAAACTATAAAACTATTTCTAGATAGCTCTATAACTAATGATCAACAATTTTTAGCAAGTTCCAAAACGGAAATTTACAGTAGGCAAAAATTGGAAAATTTTAAATCGAAAAACTTGTTATTATGTTATTATACCATATGTTATAAATATGTTAAATACATTGTTTGCATTACGTGCGGAAATGCATTTGCATTAGCGGATATAATTTTGTTACAAACGCCCGCCTGTATATATCCTTGTGATTTTCAGGTAGTGTTTACATATTATATGTGCGATTAATTATAAGAACATTCAAAAGAACATTCTGCATTGGTGTAAGTCGATCCTTATTGAATATTTCTTTCAGCATGGTTGATGGTTTGGTTGTTGATAATTGGGTAGACTACGCTTAGTGAGTAAAAAAAAACTTTCAGAATTTCCGCCAAGGACAAGGTCATATCTCAGTTGTCTCAAAAATTATTTCTATTCAATTTTTAATGCAACATTTACCTAATTGACATTCGCGTGCTTCGTGACATTCACATGGGTCGTGTACAAAGAACAAAGAGCATTCGCATGGTCGAGACGTAAAAGCAAAGACGCACACGGAACGTTGCAAATATCACAGCACGAATATACTAATGCATCATTAATGATAATTATAAACCTGCCTTTTTGCAGCTGCCCCCCTGGCCCGTACGAATATGGGTTGAAGTAGCTTGCATATTGACAAGTGAAGAATAGCAGATGCTCAAAAGTGTTAAAGAATCGTGCATGCGCCTGCATGAAATTTCGACTTTTCGTATAGGCAAACATCATTATTTTCAAAGTATAGCTATATATTCTGAAAGTTCAATATTTATAGTCAATGGCAATGATAGATAGAGCTCGTCTTGCAGTGATACATTAAATAACATATCACCAAAGCAGTGCTAATTCCAACTAGAGAAAGTGCAACATCGGTCTGAGATTCACGCGTGTACTGTGTACAACTGTGTGTCTAAAGCCCCGTTTACACTACACTCGATTTATTGGCATGGCACCGCTAAAATGGGTTACCGTGCCCATTTCATCTGTGCTCGGCCTTTGTTTTGGTAGCCTGGATATTAGGGAGTTTGAGCAAGGCAACGACGTACGAAGACATGCAAACGTCACAATTTTTTAACGTCTGCGCATCATTTGCGCATACTGGGCTTAAGGTCAGTGGTGAGGGTTTAACGTCTTCGTTCTGTTGTCCTGGTTTCGGACGAATATTTTGACAAAGTTCGAACGAAGTTTTCAAAGTAAGATTTATTCAAGTCAAATTTTGAATAGTTATTGTATAGAATGTGCTGATATTGATAGGGTAATACCTCTTCTACTTGGTTATCGTGGGTACTTTCCATTTTTGAAATCGAAAAGTGCTAAATACTTCACTAGAAGTTCGAAATGGCTATATGCGCGTATAAAATATATATGTTGTTTTGATCTACCCTCCACCTGACGTCACAAGTGTCAAGTTACCAAAAGATAATTTTTTTGAAAATCGATCCAAGATGGCGGATGGACTGAATGTTTACCATAAAATAACTCGAGTACTAAACAGTTTTGGTAAAAAATAATACCATATTCGTAATCAGGAGGTCAAATTTACCTGATTGCAAGCATAAAAAAATTTATTGCCAATACCTTTTAAGCCGTAAAGAAGCATAACATCCTCCACTTCCAAAGCATCTTCTGAAAACATTGCTAAAATAGCCATCTCGTATTCAGCTCTGTTCATGTTTACAAAATTAGTACCGTGTTCGTAGTCGTATAACTTTGACAGAACTGCTGAATTCAAATATCCCGCTGCAGGAAGACTTTAAGACGAAGACTACTATTCCCAATCTACCTCGGCCGAAACACGTCTTCGTCTTCGCACATCGTTTCCTTGCTCAAACTCGCTATTAATAAAATTGGTACGGGTACCAATTTTAGCCGTGCCGTGCCGATAAATTGAGTGTAGTGTAAACGGGCTTGAGATTTCAAAGAACATGAGCTTTGGCATAGGCAGCCCAATTGCGACTCGCGTGTTCATGCAGGCAATGTAGGCATTATATAGTATATATATATATATATATATATATATATATATATATATATATATATATATATATATATATAAATATATATATATATATATATACATATATCCTAAGGATATATATATCTTAAGGAACTCCTTAGGATATATATATATATATATATATATATATATATATATATATATATTTATATATATATATATATATACATATATATATATATATATATATATATATATATATATACTATATAATGCCTACATTGCCTGAACACGCGAGTCGCCATTGGGCTGCCTATGGCTTTGGTAAAAATAATATATATATACTAAAAATATTTACTATATATATAGTAAAAGTATGTCAAGTAGCTACTCACCTCTCGCCTGAAAAATGTCTACCTGAACTGAATTGCTAAGCAGATTTCAAAAAAGGAGATCTAGCAGACTACTGAAAATATGTTTTTAGATTGGAAATAACGATCTTTGTAGCACTGTCTTGGGCAAGTTCAAGCATTTCGCTGTATCTCAGTTTTGCAATATTAAACCCTAATTTTAGCTTGAAAGCCTTGATGTATTTTTTCCGTTTCCACTCATAGACGCAATATAGCGAGGGTGTATTTTGTCGCAGCAAAAGCCTCCTTTTCGAAGCAGGCGCTGTGTGACATTCATGACGTGATGACGATTTTGCTTTGAAGTTGAGAACCATGCACTGAGAACAAGACAGTAATATAAGACGTTGAAAACCGGTAAGAATAAAAATAGGGTTGAACGATTCTTGGGGTTTTTCAGAATGTTATTATATGATATTGTTGCTTAACTTCAAATTAGGCTGAGCCTGCCTACTTTATACATATAGTTCGATCACGCTTGCATATCAATACGGCCATCTATGTTAGATTATTTGGTTTATTTCGAATAATAATGAGTATATTTAATATAATTGTCTCTTATGTTCGCGCTAAGCAAACAATATCTAGGGAAACACTAACTGATTATAAAAGTTACAACAACGTATCATAAACGTGTCCGATGATATATATATATTTACTGTAATGTTCTCTATAATTTATGCTAATAATATAAACTGTGTATAATTTAAAAATTAAACGAGACTTACATAAAGTCGAAGTTTGATTGTAGTTCTATGAGTCATTGTTTAGGAACTAGGTCTAGGAAGTCACGTGCCGAGATAGAGCGCGCGCGATCTAGCAATCAGTATTTATAGCCAGTGAATGCCAACATCCCCATCGTTATATAGGAAGGGCCTATATGTATACACTGTATTTGACTTTTTACATTGGCAACATGAACCAGGATATAATGCATGGGTGCGAGTGTGACTTTCTAGAACCTTCCCCCAGAAATTCTTCTACGTCGTCCATCACACTGTATTGAACATGGTTAATCTTGGTTGTAGAAGAAGTCGCCATCGCAGTGATATAGTTGAAAAAAGTTTTCTCATACTGATATATCCGCGCGTAACCTGGGGTTGAGGTTCCCACAAAGATCGTTTCATCGTTTAGATCCTGCACAGGAAAGCATTCCTACTGGCGCGCATGAATTTCCTAAGCATTTCCTAATTTTCACGTTTTCAATGACAAAAAAAGGAAATGGGGCCTTATAAAACTCCTTAATTACATTTTGATTTTAAAAGGTTTACACTTTATAAATGTCTTCTAAGTGTACATGCAGTATAAATGTCTTTAAATTTGGGAATTATGTTTTGAATCCTGCTCATATAATTCGACACCATACATCTTGAAAATATGTATACACATTGCCGCCATGCACAATGCCGACAAATTTCACTGTTGAAAAAGTCGCACATCAAATCAAATTGTATAAAATTAATTTATCAAGGGAGAACGATTCAGTTTATTTTAATATTTCTGCAGTACGTAAATACATTATACATATATAATGAATCAAACGAGTGGTTACATTATATTCACTAATATATTTTTCAATATCTCTTTTAAAAGTACTCGATGAGAGTAGGGATAGGCCGTGTGAAAGACAGTCGAGAATCATGGATGTTCCTTGTTATAACTGGATGCGTTCTCTTCTATTTTGGAGGAATTTTCGACAGTTATGGTATTCTCGTTGTGGTATTCCTAGAATATTTTGATGAGACAAACACTAAAATAGGTGGGGTTAACTTCATTCATCTAGCTTCATGTTTTTTTACGCAACATTAGAGAGCTTGAGCAAAGAGTAAGAACTAGATACAGAGCTGGGACTATAGGTGGCGTATAGTAATTAAATATGGCGGTTTTTTGTACCCGCTTTTATTAGTGACCAACTGCGCACTCGGTAAGTGCCCTTAAATTTTCAAAATGGATATGAAAAGTTGATTTCCACTCATAGCGAAGCGCGTACTGATCAGAAAGAGGAAATCGTTTTGCCGAGTTTAGGCAGCGGCATAGCCAGGGTCAGTGTTTTGGAGAGCCGAGATGCGAAAGCCGAAGGCATGAGCCATACTAGGGGGCTCCGGGGGCATGCCCCTCCGAAAATTTTTGAAAATTAGCGACCCGCAAATGTGATTTCCTGCATTTTCCGCACGAGATTTTGCAGAATGAAGTCAGGATTCTGAGGTCTATCTAGTGCGTAAAGGACATGATTTCCTCCCCCCAACTTCGATTAAATCTCGGATTAAAATATGTACAGTTGCTATGAAAGTTAGTAAAGTTACAAACTTACAAAACGATAGAAGTGTTTTGTAACTACATGGTGAGTTTTGCTGCGCCAATCAGTTGTGGCACATAGGGTAGCCAGTGGCACAAACGGAAAAGCATGTTTATTTCAATTATTTTCGTTTCCTTTAATTCAGGTTTACACAAGCTGCAAGCATATATATTCTACCATATTCTACCATATTTGAGCATTCTTAAATATTTTTATGTAGTGTGGAGACCAAATTCACTTAAGTACTAATTGCCCGACTCGTAAAAACAAATTGCCCGACTAATAAATATTTCTGACTAAACTGCGTAGACCCCAAAATATCTGACTAACTCGTACGCCTATGAAAAGGCTGTGTATTGTGTATGCTTCTTTGTTCCGAAATACAGCTATTTCAATTAGTGGTCACATTGTACATTCGCCGGACGATATTGTCTTGGACAACCTGAATGTAAAATGAATGGAATGAAGTTAATGAAAAATTCCTTAAACGAGGCTAAAATAGATTTTGTTACCAAACCTGGTGAACTTAATTATGATTGTTTTTCTGTTTAGGATGGATAAACTCGCTGACGTTCTCCTTGCAATGCTTTTCATTTCCATTAGTTGTTGCACTTTCCCGTCGTTTTGGATTTCGAGCAGTGATTTTCACCTCCGCTGTTTTGGCCACTACTGGTTACTTAACCACGCCATTGGTGCCTTCCGTGAATTATTTATTTTTGTCGTATTCCATCCTCCTAGGAGTTAGTTTTGGTTTCGTGGACTGTATTTCAATTACGGTTCTCCGTGAATACTTCGAGCGTTATGTGGGTTTAGCGACAGGAATCCGTTTCGCGTGCACTGCTACCGGGTCCATGATATTCAATTTTCTTATTCCGATCATAATCGACGATATTGGTTGGCAAAATATGTTTTACTGTTTTTCATCAACGGGAGTTGCGCTGCTATTTCTCGCATTTTGCTACAGAACGAAACCGGCTTCGTCAAATCGTGAAATTATAATCCAAGATGAGCCCAAAGTCAAGGATACCAGCGTCCTTGGTCATTCGAGATCAAAACAGCCGTCTTTCCTTCGAGATCGAAGCTTTCAGTTGATTGTGATAGGCTGTATTCCATTCTTATTCGCCATGGGTATACCATTGATTTTTATGGTATGGGCAATAATATTTTATCATCCAATTAGTTATTGGGCCTCAAAATTTTATTGGAGAATATATTGGGTTTCATAGCCACAAGGAATGTGTATATTTTTAAGTAAGCCAGAATTGAAATCACAGAGACTTGACGCGTTTAAAGTGTGCAAATACATTTTTTTGGTACTTGAATTTTTCAAATTTTTAGCATTAGATCACCTTCATGGAAAGACCACATTTATAGAAAACATTACTGTTGTGAACATGTGCAGCACAATATGTATGTTTGGCGAATGTTACAAGTTAAAAATAGAAAACAAAATTATCTATTTATTGAACAACTGAGCTGAAATATTTCGATGTAAATAGTTTATTGTCAATGAAAGTCCACATATTCACGATCTATTACAGTATTTTTAAACTTTGGCTTATCCACCGTTTAAGGTAAACGCCCTTCGAACAACAGCCTTTCGACCAACAGTCTTTTTTCTCATTTTAGGCTCAATACGCTAAATCGATAGGTTATCCACTTTCTCAGGCAAAATGGCTCGTCGTTGTTCGTCCTTTAGGATCTCTCGTTGGACGGATTATTGCCGGTTTAATCGGAGATTTTGCATCGAGGCGTAAAGTAATTCCGCATATCGCATGTACACTCGTCACCATATTTGGTTTGGCGTCTGGATTATGTTCATTAACACAGCATTTACCTTTAATGATCTTGTACATGACTGTTGTTGGGATTCTCGAGGGAGTGTTCTGGGTAATACTTCCACTATTGATGTACGCGCTGACAAATGGAATAAACTCAGACTACGCATTTGCTGTAATAATCGTCATAACAGGAACCGGATATTTAGCTGGGCCTTCTTCTATGGGTAAATATGACTATTAAGACAATTTGAGTGGAATGTTATGTCACAAATATGCAGAAAATTATGCATTTAAAATGGTCAAACCGGTCATATTTTGAATTGAAATCGCGAAGCCCCGTTTACACTACACTCAATTTATTGGCACGGCGCAATGAATTGACTGTAGTGTAAGCGCCTGGATTTGAGTATTTCAGTCGTTACAGATAAAGCGGTCAAACTGCATTTTCCGTGCCAAGCAGATATAAATAACGATACACTTGCATGCAAAGTTCTTGAAAAATATTGCAAAATATTCTTTGTATATAGGAAAGGTGTTTGACGTCACTGGAGACTTTCGCATAGTTCTCTATATCGTTTGTGTATGTTGCCTGGTTGCCGGTGTTATAATGGCTTTTGGGATATACGTAAGCTGGCAGACTTTAGACAGGAGTGAGTTGCGACCTGGAGAAGATGATACAACAATGTGTTGGTCAAAAATGCTAAAGATGAAGTGTTACAATATCAACGGCCGCATACAGCAAGATATTTTATCACGAAGTGAAAAGCAAGCAATGATGCAATACGAAACTACTGTGTGAGAGGTTCCTTTCAGGGAGTGTTTGAGATTACTTGTTACCTGTTTACTTTCACCGTCGTCTTGTCTACACACGACAAAGCTGAAGACGTGGAGAAATTTCTTCCTATAAGTAAACTTGAAACTTTAAATAAAATTTTTCGCATAATCCTTTTAGGCCAAATTTTGCAAAATTGCATGCCCTTAAAAACCGATTTAAGACTCCCTACTTCCTCTAAGAGTCTAAACTTCGATTCTTACTTCTTGTTGATCGACTCGGGACCAAAATTTCCTAGTTTGTGCAAATTTTGAAGATCAGAGACCTATGATCGAAGCGAAATATATGTCACAAAGCCAAAGAGGCTGTAGTTCCCTTTTAATTAAAGAGCGTCTTCTCCTTTTTCAAATTGCAACTGTTATTTCATTGTTAGTATTAACGATGTATGCATGCAATAAATTATATAAATATTGCTTCTTGGTTGGCAAGTGACGAAAGAACGAGTGAGTGCGAGCGAACAAATGGACACTGTTTCAAATTGATCAATTTAAAAAGGGCAGGCCTTTTAAATACAAAGTTAAAGAGAAAGCATGCAAATACAGCGAACTAAAAAGTCGAAATTTTATGCATCAAATATATTTTTCCCTTTTAAATACAAAGTTAAAGCCGGAGAAAGCATGCAAATACAGGGAACTAAAAAGTCGAAATTTTATGCATCAAACATATTTTTTGCCGTTCAGTTTCTTCATAATTTTGTTCAATGAAACCAAGTTGCTAATCCTTCCGAAAGTTTTCATTGGTGTGTTAAAATAAAGTGTTAAAGTAAATATCTTAAAATATTTTGAGAATTATATCTTGAATATCACTCATTTATGTTTGAATTTTAGACATCTCATCTTGTTGCCACCAAAATGCCATACGATGATTTTTTATATCATTCTTATATCAAGAAAATCGTACGTTCATCAAAAGCCGTGCACTGGAAAAAATGCACTGAATTTAATATTTTAATTAGTTGCGGTGAAAATTCTCAAAAAAATTTGTTTTCAAATCTACCTCCTGCAATCGCATGTCTATATTGCAAAACGCCGGTCTAGGGCCGGTTGTTCGAAAGATGGATAACTTATCCAACGGATAAGTCCTATACCCATCGGAAAATCTGCTATCCAAAGAATATTATTATGCATTACTAATGCGATCTCGATTGTGATTGGCTAAAAACCTAGAGATAATTCTCAATGTCTTGCCACCTACACGACATTGAAAATTATCCGTAGGTGACGTAATTTTTTTCGCTAGTTTGTTGTCAATAATGGCGCAGGCTTCCTCTCTAAAAAGGAAATACATAATAAAACAATTATTGAATTCGGTTTTCGCATGACATCGAGCATTATCAAGCCTCAGTTTGCGATATCACACTCAACCAGATCCAATAGTTGTTAATTATTCATTGGATACTGAAAACGCGTTGCACGAAGCATGCATGGACAGTGGAGTAGATAGCTCTTCAATAGATAAGTTAAAATTTACCCGTAGAAAACAGGATTTCCTGAAAATTCGTACCACAACGTCAGCTAAGCATTTATAACATTAAATTCATAATCATATGAATTCTCGATAAGTTACTGGGAAGGCTTGAACAATTAGCCTTTCTCACGGTGACGAATGTGCCGCCGTTTTATGGGTACTTTTTTTTAAATTGTGAGCGCAAGACCTTGTCAGGGCGGCTGTCTTTAATTTTAGGCTTAATTTATTGTTCAAATGGTCTATGGACTCTTAAGAAATGCTTCTTACATTGCCATTATTGTTTAAACGCATTTAAGAAAATGGAAAGCACCCCAAAAATGGCGGATATTCGTCATCGTGAGAAAGGCTATAGATTCGCTTGATATCTAAATATAAATTTCGATTTTGAACACATTGCAATTTTATTCCTTGACGCTTTGTCTTCCGGTTCCATAAAAATTTTGTCTTCCGGTTCTATAAACAGCAACACTGTTTTTACGTTTTTTTTACATTTGACAAAAAATTGTAGCCTTGCATGTTGTCTATTGCGTGAATGAAATTACTTTACTTAGTTCAAACAATATATGAGCAGTTTCCTTGGAATAGGTTGAATCTTTTTTGCATATTCGCGTTTATAAACAGATAAGAAGTGTGTAAGAAATTTACCGCCCGTTATCATCGTGAGGATGTCCGGAAAAACGCCGTTCGGAACGAAATGCGCAGGCAACGCGAAACGCTGTTACGACAAATATATAAACAATAGCCGGATTGCACTTCGAAAACATTTTTAATAGTGAGTACGATCATGTACATTAATTTGTTGAAATGCGGTAACAGGAATATTGCATTTTTGTCATGATGGAACCTTTTTATCGTTAATGTTTACGGTGTTTTCTTGTATCTTCGAATTTATCCACTGGATAATGGATTTAAACTACCTCCGGACCTTGGATAAATTTATCCAGTAGATAGCGTTTTTTATCCGCTGGATAAAGTTATCCAAGCTTCGTCCAACGCAAATCACACGCTGGATAAAACTTATCCGTTGGATAGCGAGTTATCCGTTGGATAGGGACTTATCCACCTTTCGAACAACCTTTAAATAATTTGGACGACAATCGCGTGCAGACCACATTGCGTGCATGTGGTCGATTGTTGTCGAAATTATTTAGAGCCCTGACGTTTCACTTGGAAGTTCGATAATGCTTGGCATGGATAGGTACCTGTCTTATTATTTTTTAATTGATTCAATTGATCAACGGGAAGTTGAAAGAACAAAACAACAGGAACTTAAAGTCTTTCTGAAGTAACCTTCATGGACCTTCATGTAACCGTTGTTGAAAGTTTTTAATTTTTTCATTTTTTTGACATTTTTATCTCTCTCTTTATAGCAATTTTATATTGGTGCACTAACACAAAATTTAATTTTTCAATTTTCCAAATCTTCCCACAGTTGGCCCTTCTTCCATGGGTAAATATGACTATTAAGACAATTTGTGTGGAATGTTATGTCACAATGCAACTATGGGGAAAATTATGCATTTAAAATGATCAAACCGGTCATATTTGAATTGAAATCGCGAAGCCCCGCTTACACTACACTCGATTTATTGGCACGGCGCAATGAATTGACTGTAGTGCAAGCGTCTGGACTTTAGAATTTCAGTCGTTAAACGTAAAGCGGTCAAACTGCATTTCCCGTGCTATATAGGCAGATATACATAATGATATACTTGCATGCAAAGTTCTTGAAAAATATTGCAAAATATTCTTTGTATATAGGAAAGGTGTTTGACGTCACTGGAGACTTTCGCATAGTTCTCTATATCGTTTGTGTATGTTGCCTGGTTGCCGCTGTTATAATGGATTTTGCCTTGGGATATACGTAAGCTGGCAGGCTTAGACAGGAGCGAGAGCGAAGCTGAAGTAACCTTCGTGTGACCTTCATGTAAGCGTTGAAGAAATATTGAAGTTTTCAATTTTTTGACATCTTTATCTCTCTCTTTATAGCAATTTTATATTGCTTAATTGAGATAATACCTTCGACAACACATGTCTTCTTAGTGCACTAACACAAAATTTAATTTTTCAATTTTCCAATTTCTTCCCACAGTTTGCCATAGAATTCTAAATTTCTAGAAACTATAACGTGAAATAAACCTATTTAAAAAACTGTACGTTATAATAAAATTGTTAAAATAGAAAACTATATATGCATGCATGAGGTAATAAATAATATGCGCAACTTGTGATCATCGATCCGTCGATTTGCTGAAATTTTTGGGTTCGCAACCTGTAGAAATAAGGCACATATGCAACTCATGACTGAAATCTGTATTGATGTGTAAAATTTGAAAGAACAACACCGCACTACATGAAAATGAATGAATCCGAGTGTAAGTGAATGAAATGAAAATTGCGGCACTGAGTTGTCTCTACCTAAACCAAAACCGAATTTGGGAATATGGCAAACGTTTATTATCTTCTGATATCACGATTGAACTTTGCATTGAAAGGTGTAGTCACGTCCCGCATCGTCGCTCGTCAATTCAACTGAAGTAAAAAATAAACAAAAGATAAGTCGTGATACGTAAACGTGAACGTAAGCGGTTGTCTAGGCAACCCTGAAATGCGCCATATTCGTCATTTTCATTTTAACTAATGTAATTTAACTAATGAGATTGCATTTTACACTTATTTTACTTCCTTATACCGAGATAGCCGTTACCAAACACTCGGCTGTGTGATATATATTTAGGGGAAACGTAAATTACGCAGACTGAATTTATAAACTTGCAGAGCAATTCAACTGACATGCAATTCGAAAGGGAATCGCGCCAGCTCGTCTGTGGCTATATAATATGAATACAATATTAATAACATACTACATGTTGTTATACGGAATAAGAAACTGGGTTGTTTAGTCAGCTGCGTAGCATATCATTAGGCACAGCTATCGGACTGACATAACGCCTCCGCCGACATCAAGAGCATACTTTAGCACATCGCTCTTAAATTTTAAGCAAACAACTGCAAGTTGAAATTACAAATGTAGTGTATAAGTACACCTTCAAGTAGTGGTCCGAAGCCGTCCACGAATGCGTGCAACGTAACATTTTTTAGAAATGACGCGTTCCTCGATATCAAATCGACCAGCAGCGGACTTGCCTCTTAACCAGTCTACGAAAGCGCCAAAGAATCCTTTCGTTTACGATAAAGTCTTCAACGAACCGGCGTTTCTTTCAATCTACATTTTAATATTCGTTACATCTGTCGTGTGCAACAGTTTGGTGTGTTGGATTGTGAAGAAGAACCGTTCAATGCATACAAAAACGAATTTCTTGCTGGTCAATTTGGCCGTAGCTGACATGCTCGCGACCGTTTTGTCAATTTTTCATGTGGTTGATTACTTGGCGATGGATTTACATTTGGGTGAGTGTTAGAACCTTGTTCTTTTATCCATAGTGACTAGTCTATAAGCACATTTCTATATGCGAATACTGTTCATTTTACATGTAAATATTTTTTAATTTTTTTACTCGAAACAACTTTACTACATATATCTTATGCTGTTATCGAAAATTATTCCTAAAACACTTCTTGTATATATTTGACACGTTTCACGTTATATTTATCCCCTTCTTCCCCAACACTAGCCAATAGCAATAGCAATAGCAGTAGGGATAGTTTGGCATTGCTCTCTTCGTGACCTAAACAACCTGTTTTTTTTGTAAAACTAATATTAGCTTTTTGGATAATTTACGAAAAATGGGCATGAGTTCTTTTTATCATCTATAGAGCGCGATTTATGAGCTGACCAAAGAATTTTAACACAGTTTTCCTGCCAACATGGGATCATTTTGAAAATTCCGTTCTAGTATTCGATCGCTGAACGAAAAATCGGTCGATTTCTTTCGACAACCGTTTAAATGTAGGAGTTCTGTGAATGTTTGAAAAATTAACATTTCTTACTTCTCGCAATAGGGTCGATTGTTTTAATTTTCTTACCGGATAATTCGCGTACGACATGCAGAAATACGTCTAATTTATTACTTATAAGTATAGTGAAAATTAAGATGTATTCATGCATTGTTAAGGCGGATTTTCTTTATTTTATCAGTCTTGGCAAATGACACTTTAAATTATGAATATCAGCAATTGACATGCAGTTTCAGCTTGAGAGGATGGCAACTGAATGCATACGCAACTTGCTCAATTGCATGATCCCATTGTTTTTGGAAACAGACCCAACATCTATATATATTGTGGGTTTAGTGCAATTTCTTGGAAAAACTGAACATTTTCAGCGGGAACCTTCATCGAACCTTCATTCAATTTTCGGCTTTATCAATTCCTTTAAAGGCCGTTTTCCACTTCAGACCGCATCGTAGCGAAACGTATGTTTTCAAGTCATTATAGTTCTGGTCGAATACTTCGGAAACAAAGAAATACGCTACGGTTCGCTACGATACGGTTGAAGTGGAAAACAGGCTTACTGAGTCTTTATATATCTTGAGTGCATGCATATATACAGTGGGGGTCAAAAGTCTGAGTCCATACAGTCAATCATTTTTCTTAGTTTGCAATAAATGGTATCTTGATTTGAACTTGCGCATTTTATGATAGTCATGCCTCCCATATATTTTCTCGTTGATTCTCAATTAAGTTGTACAAGAAATGCGGATGATTCTTTTTGTGTACCAAAGATGGAAAAATAGATTAGCGCAGCGAAAGAAAGAGAGGCCAGATAATCGAAATCAACAATGACGTGATATCTCAGCGAAATATTAAGTTGAGGTTATATGTGTCGAAGGAAAAGTTCGAAACGCGGTTTGTGAATCATGCAGGTTCGTATGCAATCAAATGAAGATCTGTGTTATCAATTAAGGGCTACCCTTGCAAAGGAAGATGGAAAGAAAACCGGTTGACCGTCCTTAATCAATTTTGGAATAGAATTTGACAGTGTTGTTAATCGGGCTTAATAATTGTAACTGCTATACTTGTCACAGGAACACTGAAATAATGAGTACCGCTGTTTCTATCCATTGTGGGAGGATTGAGTTTGGGGTCGCGATGATGTTTGCTAATACTCTTGGTCAGGTTTTATGAGAATTTTAAAATATTCTATCTCTCACTTGTCATCTTTCTTTATCGGTCATTTGCACCGTTTGTCTTGTTAAGCTCGTTTATATGAAATATGTCCACTTACATCAAGCGTTCCCTCTTTAATATCTAATTTATTCGAAATTATATCTCATTATACCATAATAATAAAAAGATTGCGGCATTTCGATTAAATTATAAGTTATTTAAAGATTATTTGAGGAACGTTTAATACACCCGTTTATGTCACATCAATTAAGTGAGTTTTTGCTACCTTTTAAACAACCTTTTTTGTCTGCAATGTAAAGTTTCCAATAATAATATGAAGTTCTCATTCGGCAAAATGTCATGTTGATATGCCGACATGTCCACCTCCAGAAAATTATGCTTTAAGTTGAAAAAAGTCGTCAAATTTATGTATTTAATTTCAATGTTGAGAGATGCGATAAAACATATATCTTTATACATTGGAAGTAACAATTAAGACTGAGTCCAGTCAATATGATTTTTGTCACATTGATATAACGACAGCACTGCATGCCTGCGTCATGCCATGTGTCTGAGATCATGTTATAAGATTTAACACAATTTGGCGCTGTTAATTCTAATAAAATTCTTTTGTATAACCTCTCTAATGCTTCAAAATAGCTTTGATTTTTTCTGGCATGGAGTGAACAAGTTTTGTTAGCACTACAAGTTCAATTTTCTGCGATCACAGTTGGCATTTTAAACGTTCCAAGTCCGACGTTTCTATGCATGCATTATTTGGTAGAAATATTTAAGCCGGGAAATGAAACAGTGCATGGTTATCACTGTGTCAATTCATCGTGATACTCCGCCAACCTCCCCAAGCACCCCCGCGCGCTCAGTGCTGTACCGCGAAATACTTCCAAGAGCCTGGGAACGAGGCTGCTGCAAAACAGCGTAAACCATGACAGCGTAAACCGGGCCTTACTTTAAATGACCATGCAATTTAAACCAATTAGCATCATGCTTTATGTCAAGCATTTATACACTTGTGGGTGCTTAGGTCCCAACACGGTGCTTAGGTATTCAACTCTAACTATTACATTGTGTTACGAGCCGCTCCTTTTAATTACTATAATGGCTGCGCTTTGGGCTCAATTCGCTCGCAACAAAGATTTTGAAACCGATTACTTTTCAATTATTTATTCTTTGATACTATACTTATAGTTTAACAAAATTTAACGTCTTTATAACTTTTGATATATAATACTACTTAATAATTATGACTTAAACTGTTCAACTTATCTGTCTGAGCACAACTCTCGATATCTTGACAATTCTTGATTCATTATATCGTAACGGTTCTCTCTATATTCTTTTGGCTTGTGGTTCTTTTCACGTTACTTCTTTAATTTCGTTTTTAAAGCAACGATGCATGCCTTCAAGACTTGTGCTCTGACTTTTATATGGTTTGCCAGGAGAAGAAACTATAAAACTATGGCATATTTCCCCTACGCAATACAGCGTGAATAAGCAAGTAACATCGTGATGAAGCGAGTAAACAACAACAATGGTTAGCCCTAAACCAATTATGTCGGTTACATTGTTGCATGGTTTGCGGGACGAGGTTCTCCGCAGCTATTTCCTTACTCATAGAATGCATATAAGATTAACTAAGGTTACTAGGGTTCCTTAAATGTATAATATTATAATTACATGATATTACCGGTCGGATCATCTAAAAATTATTATGGCTGATTTCAATAGTTTTGGGGTTTTTTGGAACACCCTGTATATAAGTTTTGGCTAATTGTAGCTCGACGCTGATTGGCCAATTCTTTCGCTAACTATATGGTTACCCGACTACTTTTTCATATAAGGGAATACAAAGTTCTGGGAGAGATTTGACAATGGAATGTGTTTGCTCTTTTAATGTTACAGGTGACATAGCGTGCAAGTTCCGAGGGAGTTTGGTCTACATCTGTCACGGTGTAAGCGTTTTCACATTGACCGCTATTGCGCATGAGCGATATCATGCTATTTGCCAACCGCTCACCAATCATCTGCGTCAAACCTCCATTAAGTGGATAATACCGCAAACCTGGCTGCTGTCGATGATAATTCACGTTCCATCCATTGTCTATTGTGGCACGCAAATAAATAAATACAAACAATCCAGCTGTAGCTGTTATGAATTATTTCCTTCGCATGGATCTGCAAAAGCGTATGCCATCTCGAGATACATGGTACTTTTCGTTCTCCCTGCTGTCTTAGTTATCTACCGCTATACGTTAGTTATAAGAAGCTTGCGTCAATCCTCTTCGGGTGACGGTGATTCCGGATTTACGCCGCAAGAAACAAGGAAACGTGTCGTTAAAATGTTGATCGCATCGTCGGCATTTTTCTTTCTGGCTTGGGCGCCGTTTTATACATCATACCTTTTAAAAGATACAGGAGTTGACAAAAGGAGTGTATATAGGTATGTGAAAATCAATAATATTAATATAATTAACCATCCAGGTTTTAACCTCCCCGTAAAAGACAGTCAATTGAGGGTATGAACAAGCTTTGGCTGCTTTGCTATTGGTTGATGATAACAATAAAAAACAATGAACTATAGAAATTGATTTATAAAACACTGTTCACTATTATCAATTAATATTTTTTCAAATACATGTTGTATATATACAGGGTGTCCCAAAAAAAACGAAAACTATTGAAATCACCCATAACAATGCCATTGTTAGAGTTTGAATGCCTAAGCACTCTGTTGGGCCCACAAGTGTATAAATCGGGGTTGCCATAAGCATTTTTATGCATGCATATGATGCAGTCAAATTTGCTTGTTCGCAAAAATAATATTTATTAACAATATTTACAATTTACAAATATGGATAACAATATTTAAATGTGCATCTCAAAAACCATGACCTTCGACATGTCCCCTTTCTCTAGCAACACAAAGCATTTAGCATTTTATAAGTTGCATTAAATCCCCACGGGCTGAAATTTGTGAGCACGGCATTCAAATTTTAACAATGAGTGATTTCAATAGTTTTCGTTTTTTTTGGGACACCCTGTACATTGGGAAATGAATTCAGCCACCTGAACTAAGTTTCGCTGTGACGAAGCTATAGTCAAAACATTGACTTGACTCAGATTTCTACAGATGTTTCATTGTTTAAGTTTAATCAAACTTAAACAAACTTAAAGTTAGCGTTTAATGTGGTATAACAACTGCCTAAAATAGACAAAACACTTCTCGACGTTTCGACCTGAGGGAGAGAGTTTCATACGAACTCTTTTGACGAAGGCCCTCGGGTCGAAACGTCAAGAAGCGTTTTGTCTATTTAAGGCAGTTGTTATACCACATTTGATGCTAGGTTGTTTGAAAACGCTGCGACGCTGCTCCTGGTTATATTGAGACTTAAATTTAGGTTTAAACAAACTCAAAGTTACACAAACGTGTTACTTAATTCCTTTAAATCTTAAATTCCAATACACTTATAATATATCTCTCAGTATATAAGGGCTGCAAATTTTAACAAGTAATCAATATTAGGAACCTTTTTCTCATGCTTGGATTTTCTGACGCTTATTAAAATTGTAGAGAACAACCTTGAAATAGGCTGCATTCAAAACATTGAACATTTTGTCTTTCATACTGACCCCATTATCCTGCAAGAAATATTGAGTTTAATAAAGAATTTCACGCAATACTTTTTTCAGCTTCATCTGGTACTTCTCAATGTTGTTGGCACTTGCTAATTGTGCATACAACCCTGTGATTTACTGCCTGCTAAGCAAGAACTTCCGTGAGGGTTACAACGCAGTCTTTTGCTGGTGTTTTCGAGGTAGAATTATCTGGCCTTCACGTGCAGCTGACAGCGATATTGTTCTCAATAATAATGTCATGGGAACAGGTCGTGGTTATCACATTGATGACGGATTATAATCAATATTTTTTTATATAGCAAACCGAAGAACGTTTTGTTCTGCTTTGATTCACGTGCTGTTCCAAGCACGCAGCAAGTTCGCCACAATCCCGAACCCTGCTAAAATGTTTTAATACAGACTTTAAGATCTACGACGTGACACCCTGCTCTCCACGACGCGCCTTAATTCAGCGTTGTGAAAAACAAAGCTTTAATGAAATCATTCATACTATAGAGAAGCGCGGAATCTTTTAGTATCTCATTAACTATGAATGATCATTCCATCCCGTCTATTGTCATAGTTGCATTCCAGCCGACCGAAATACGACGTTTAAAGGCCGAACACGCCGGATGCAATCCGACAACGTGACTCGATTTTCACGAATTTTTTAATTTTCAAAAGCAACTTAGTTTGATCATAAGTTCCTTGAAAGTTTGTGATGGTGATAACAGTAATTTTGGATGACATTTAAAGAAACGTAACCCGCTCGAGTTTTCAGCAAACTCCGAACGAAGTTGTGCAGAAAATACAAACAGAAGCAGCCATTTAAGAGCGTAAAATTTAATTTATGGGCGATACTCAATCCTGAAACACTATCTATGGGAATAAATCTCTCAAAGCAACTCTCATTTCTTATATTAGGGTTTAGTTTAAGGCCAAATCAAGATTTCTTCATTAAAACTCTCAACTTTCCTATAAAACCTGTTTGAAAAAAATATCAATTAAGTGTATCGATTGGGCGAATATTTGGTAATCCGAAATGGCTCCAATCTCATCGCAGTAACGCAAGAAAGTCGTCGTCATTGCATGCAGGTTGAAAACATTTAACGTTTTTACTAAAGAAACGGTGTAGGGCATTTTGAATTGAGTATCGTGGTTAGGCTGAAAAACGAAAGTTGGTATGTATATAGTTTGGAGACCAGTTGTGGATCGGGAAGATATACTGCAGATATAGCTTATATACTTGGGGTTTGTACATATACGTAATGGCATGGTTTCGAGTGAGTTTTTCAAAGACCTCAAAATAGTGATATCTCAAAATAAACCTAAAATAAACAATTTGAAGGCTTTGAAAAACTCACGAGTATATGTTTTTCCAAATTGCGCGACAATCTATGCTATTACCTATTATTAATATACATAAATTAAAGAATTAGGAGACACATATGCTACATAATTGTATGATAAATAATTTATTCAATTAACAAATATCATGCGCAGTCGCATGTTGTTTTAAAATCGTGTCAAAATAGAACTGTTTCAAAGTTTTTACGTAAAATATTTAATTTATATGAAGATAACAAGAATTATAACAATCAGGAGCATTTTTAAAAACGTCTTAAAGAAATTAGCGCTGCATGATATTTCCTTTTTTTGGCACTAGGATTTCCTATTTTTTGCACTGGGATTTTCTAAAAATTGCACTACTCTAAACCAATCAGAATTGAGAAATTTTGTTATGTATATTATTAGGAAGATAATATTTATTAAAAATTGAACAACGAGGTGTTCTGTTGCATGCAAAACTAAGTGATGTATACCTATTCGTCCGGTCCTGAATTCCAATGTGAAAACTGCACGATGTAGCATTTTAAACAGGTTGCAATAACAACTCAAGGTTTATATTGAATCACTCTCTAAATCCATTTCTCACATACATTTTAGGCTTTGTTTATATATGGTTTATACAGCCTTCACTTTTAATTATAACGGTCAGTAGCCAATGTCATTCATTATGGATATGTTAATTTGTCAAATTTGTATTATTCATCACAGCAGCCAATATATACATGGAGTTAAAATTACTCCATCAATGACAATGTATTAACTCATCATCACGAACATCTTGATCCTTTCAGCCTTTTGGCCCTTTCATGCAGAGAAGAACACTCAGTAATCCGCGAGAACTATAATTTGAATTAATTTAGCTTTGTGTTAAACGGATGAATAGGACCCATGTTCCTCCAGAGTAGAAATATATAAATGATCGAAATATTAATATATATAAGGTGTATGACCTTCAATTTTCCACGAGTTCTTATTAAACACTTTTTATATTTGTATTGTTATAATATGCATATAAAATTACTAACAGGATATTGAACTTGTAAGAATGCATAATGCCTTCGTTTTACTACAGCACCTCAGTTTCTACTAAAGTGTCTAGATACTCCTATATATGATTGTTGTTTTATCGGAAATTTGATTGTAAAGGAAGAGATACGCATCCAAATCAGTTCTATTTTCGAAATGCATGCAAATTAGGAGCTTCTATGCTAAGAAGTACCTGTCAGGTTTTTGTTGATTTGATTAAATTTTCTGACGTGAATATACTGACATTAGCAACCGGATAAGTGTATTCCGTCTCTGCGATTATAAACAAAGCATTATTTCGCCTTCATAACGAAGTAATCCGCAACAAAGTCGATGGATGCTTGCATCATTCGAAATTATGCCGCCATCAGACCAAAGCAGATCAAAAAGAATTGACTGACTTTAAAAGTGGAATTGTACCCAAGGTATGTCATACTGTCTATTATATGTAAAACTTCATACATAAAAAGTGTCTCCCGATTAGTTTCAAATTCAATGTTTCTATAGTTACCGATATATTATATGCAAAGTATTAATGGATGCACATATACACGCTTTGAAGATTGTCCTCTCTTCGAAAGTCCTGATGCCATGATATAAATCTAGTTTGATCCTTTGTCATTCGGTGGGAAATTAGATAAAAACTCGTGATTGCTTGATTCATGTGTCATACATTCGAGACGGCATGCTAAAGTCAATACTAGTATATAGTCAATATAGTCGATAACGTTTTCACGTAGCCGGGTACAATTTCAACTAGACCACTTGTTTCCTTGTATCTATAAGTTGTATAACCCGGCCCGGGCACGTTTCTCATCGGATGCGTGCAAGTGTTTCGTATTAACGCTTATAAAGGTGGCGAAAGATTATCTAGATGCAAGTTTGTCAGGATGGCGTCTATGCCAAGGCAAGGGACAGCCACGAAAGATAATGCCTTGGCTGATTTTAGGGTCTTTAAATGTCATTTAAAATAATCTTTTCCATTTATTTGAGTGTTGTGCGTACACGGCTACAAACGAAGTAAATATTCAATGTTAATAATCTCTTACTCTGGTTTATAGTTGGGGCTTGATTTGGAAAGAATAGTCTTTAAGAATAAGAATAATAGTCTTTAAGAATAGTCTTTAAGAATTTAAGAATAACAAGGAGTTTGAGGACAATACTGCGGTATGATTTACATGCACGTTTTATTATACGAAATATAAAATATAAAATCTATAACGTTCCATCAAAAGCAGAGTTACTAGAAGAAGAGTTCAACCTTCCTCCGGTAGGATTTGAAGTTTTGAAAACCTTCCTCAAAATGACGTTACGTCACTGAGTCAAGTGGCAACCGGCATAAAAAAATATTTGGTTTTTGGTACATTCATGTGATAAATTATAGTGTTCAACTTTGAACATTCGTCACAAACCTCATTCAAAGCAAACCTTCTTCACGTACGGGTGGTACCCGCAGCTTTTTTGTGACTCTGAATTCAAAAGAGCTTAGAAATTTCAGAAATGTCCCTACTGAATTGAAACTTTCGTGTAGGAAAATTTTTATATATAGTGTTGATTATTGTATTGATTATTTTGTTTTTTTTGGCAGTAGGAAAAAATTAAGCAAGAGGGTGTTTTTCATATTCAAACTACGCGTCAAATATTCAATTAATTTTTTCTTGAAAATAAAACTATGGAGTATGGGTCTATGCACCTTACTAAAAACGATCACTTACTAATCACTACTATGTTGTTTATTTTGTGGAAGTGTCAAAAGTAAAAGAAGACTATTTTTAAGTTGTAATTCGGCTACATGAAAAACATATTCCCATCTACAATTCAACGATAGTGTTTATAGCATTTCACCGATGAGAATTGACACCTGAGTATATGACAGAGGCTTTTCCAAAATGGCGAATACTCATCATTTACAAGTCTTTGAACGTCTAACGGATGTTGTATATAATTTAAATTACGGTAAATTTGATGATGATAGGTTAAATTGTTTTAAAACTTTTATATCATTGCGTGTCATATAGCTAACGGTTGAAACCAACACCTTACAAGTGTTGTGATTTCGAATGGTATATGTATCTCATGTTTTACTTTCTTTCAGAGTCAGCTATGTCGAAAATAAATCTCAATTTTCCATCACATTCATTACGCCACATATCAGCGGTGCGTGCGCCACGCACTCCACCTGTGAGACTGACAAGGACGACGGCAGCCCACGAAAAACGTCGCTACCTACAACGTCCGCGGTACGCCTACATCACTCTTGTCATGTGCGGGGACGAATATGCAATTGGGGCTGCGGTACTGGGTTGGTCCCTTCGTAAGTTTGAAGTCAAACACGAGCTAGTCGTCATGGTTACATGTGACGTCAGTATCCGAACTCGTAAACTGCTAATGAAGATTTATGACCGAGTTGAGACAGTGAAGTATATCGAGTCAAAGACGCTAAGTACACTCCGAGGACACGAATACAGGAAGGAGAAAGAATGGATGAAATATTGTTTAACAAAGGGGAACATGATGAAATTTATTGAGTATGATAAGGTTGTATGGTTGGATGCAGATATGATAGCACTTGCTAACTTGGATGAGATCTTCGAGTTGCCAACGCCGGCTGGTATATGCACCAGCATAAGGGAAAACGGAAGGTGGCATGGCGAACGATTGCCTGAAGCTGAGATTAAGGAGTCGTTAATTAACAACTACGGGGTGAAAGGGTGCATTATGTTGCTCAAGCCATGCGTGAGGGATTATCTCATGATTAAGACTCAGCCGCAGGCAGGGCACGGTAGTGTATACCCGGGACCAGATGAATATTTTTTCACCATGATGTATAAAGATAGATGGCATCACTTGGATCCGAAGAATGGTTGTGATTCCACAAACGTTAGCAACAGTGTTCAACCATCAGCTGTTCATTTTGAGCTTAGCAAACCGTGGCAAGTACGAATTTCTGATGATTGTCCAAGTGTTAGAAAATGGTGGGCGTTTGCAAAGGATTTGATTACCGATCATCCTCAGTTCACATCTCTTCTCCCAGCAATTAGGACACCGACAGTTCAGTCCAGATCATGGCTGTTCTTATCTCCAGTTGAACAAGTTTCTTTTAAATTAAGAAACGATTATACGCCAAAGGAAGACGACATTAGAAAAAAAAGAGTTGAGAAGAAAATCACTGGTCGAAGACATACTGCAATTTAAATACAAAATAAGATGCACTATGTACTACATCGTACAGGACTAATAAGATTATGGTAAGCCTAGCCTTCCTAGCCCTAATCTCGTTAGGTGCCAGACGCAGAAAATTGGTTCCACACTTGCCCAGTATTGTGCCGGTTACTATGTTTCAAAGACTGGTACGCCTACCGGAAATAAGTGCCTCTGCAGGAGTTTAATTGGTTTAGAACGTCGCCAGAGTTACAAAGATGACGTCACTATGTCACTACAGACGATCAAAACAACATTTTAACAAGCTTGATAACAATGGATTTCATGAGGATAGTAATTGAATTTTCGACAACATAAATGTCTACAGACTAAGAAACACATAAATGAGGAAAAATCATTTAACCAATCAGAAGACAGAGGCGGCTGGCCGAGCGAGGAATAAAAGCAGTGAACATCTAAAAGGCAATTTAAATATGTTAGTGAAGGAGACCCTAGGTCAGGAGGTCGAAGCGCACTATGATTGTTGGGAAAGTAAAACCAACCCTGTGAAATCCCCCACCACTGAATGTAAGAAAAAAAAAATTTTACTTAAAACATACGTACTTAAAGTTTTCCTAGGTAGTTTTTAGATGCTATTTTCCCCCATTTAATTTGCGGATAAGTTAATCCGTCATTTTTTTGAAATAACCATCGTTATTACTCTTATAAGATATTTTTAGATTGTTCGATTTTTTCGCTCAGTGTAAGTTAGGCAATAAAAAATCACATCATGCAAACTATTCAAACAAGTTCTATTTTTAATGGTCAATTTTTTGAACATCTGGAGAAGAGTGAATGAGAAGCTCCTCGATATTTCTCGGTATTTTCCCATCCACGGATATTTATAATTTATAGACTGGAGTGAAGAGGATTCGGTGAAATATTTCCCGAGGTAAAAGTACTCGAAGAACGCGTTAAATAATTACCGTATAACGCATTTTAACATTAGCCAACTTTTTTTATATTTTCTTTTAGGAAAATACGGTTACATTTCTCCGTCAGAATCGTTGATATCTTGATTTCAAACAAACAACAACACTATTTCCGCCATTATTTTCCGTGGTTGCGTGTAGTCCTCGCGAGACATCTAATATCACTGTGTGATAAATTTAATGTCACATGCCCAACCTCGTCCTCAGGGCCTTTTATCTTGATTCTGGGTTGTGGTAAAAGGCCCTGGGATTGGCAAGCCGCTTCTATCTTCTGATTTGTGAAATAATTTTTCCTCAGTTATGTCTATTAGCGGAATATTTGTAATTATTCCAAAACAGTACAATTCCAATATGCTTTTATACGACAATATTATCCGTTCTACACAGTGAACTCAAATAAGACTGGAACGCTCACTCTGTCGGAGGTTTGAAGCCAAGATGGCGGACACTGAGTTCACTGCTTCTATGTGACGCCGCCATTTTAAAATATTACGCAAAATTTTATGGTAAATTATGCTTATTCAAAACACCCACGAGATGTGAGTATTTTGAAGGGCCGATCCCAGGGCGTCTTCTCTTTTCTATCCCCAAGCCCCAACCCCACATATAAAGTTCCAAAAGGTCCTGGGAACGAGGTTGTAACACGTCAAGCTCGGAGATGGAGAACTGGGATGTGATCCCGCAAAAAACTCCTCATCACATGGTACAAATAATGTTTTTTGATTGGACAATTTGAATTTGAGGTATAATATTCTCTAATATTCCCCCACACCTCTTGAATGTACGCATTTATCCCCTCTGTCTCCTTATTAGATGTAATTTCATCCACCCAACCTAGCTGGATTACGACCTCACATCGCACAAGTAATTTTTCAGTATGTCTATAATGATGTCCATAATGAAACATAATCCTTTTTGGATTTAGAAAAATAATTTCGTAAATAAAAATATCTCCAATCAATGTTAAATATCAATGAATTGTTGTTGTGAAGAGGAGAGATATCTCAATGGAGTGTGTTGTTTTGTGATTAAACCGTTGGACTTAATTAATCAGAGTCTCTCAAAATAGTTCTATATTGTCACATGCGCCCGTTTTCCCGCGGTATTGGACTGATTACAAAAAGATAGAAATCATGAAAACCAGCTGCCAAAAACGTGCATACTATAGTCTCTCTCGAAATATAAAAGTATTAAAGATGTTGGACCAATTTTTTTCTTCACATTCTGATGTAAAGATTAATTCGTAATTACATGCATATTAAGAAATGCCACAAATTTTATCTAGAATCTTCAACACAAATTATGTTTTTTTTATTTTACACCGAAGCAACATCTACATGATATTCTAGAACAATTTATTCGAAAGAAATGAAATTAAGAGAAATGAAATTCATGATAGCCCTTCCGCGCGTGAATCGTAGCAGGCTATAATAATCTGTACGACAGATTATTATACTCGGGCTATGGCATTGTAAACGAGATTTTGGAGTATCAAAATCGATTACACATAGAGCTAGAAACAACGTATTAAATTTAGTAAGTTTGAGATTTTGTGGTCAAATATTGTAGAGTTTATATAGTTCGGCAAATGTTTGTACATATTTGTATATTAATTTAGGAATATGCAAAAAAATTATAGACATCGCAGGCATATATAGCTAATTATATTTCCTGCATTTCCCGATATTTCACAAGTATATCAATGCATGTTTTACAGTTGGGATATGCTTTTCTCAAAACATCGATTTTCTTTTGATGAAAACTTGTTTATACATTTGTTTAGTGCAATTAATTAAAAACACAGCAAGAAAATAGCATCCCAAAATTTGTAAAATGTCAATGTGCTCGGTGAAGAAATGTGAAACGTGAAAATTAGAGCCTGTCAAAACTTGAAAACTCTGGATATATCTGGATATAAACATGCATATCACTTGTGGAGTTCCTCAGGGATCGGTTCTAGGGCCTTTGTTGTTTTTAATATATATAAATGAGTTTAGTAATTGAGCCAGTGAAACAGACTTTCATCTGTTTGCTGGCAAATTTTCTCGCAAATATCTTCAATGTTTAGAGACAGACTATAGCACCCAATTAGCTATATGCAATGTCAATGAGTGGCTATTTGCTAATAAGATGTCTCTCTCTCATCCACGTCAAAAAACCCCTGATTTTCTGAATTGGAAGGATCCTCTCAAAGAGACTTTGGCGTTTTGTCAAAGCTTCGTGAGTTCGTTTCTTCTCGTATACTTTTACACGTTTATTATTCAATTATTTACGCATTTCTTATATATCGTGTCTTGATTTGGGAAAATACTTATAATATTAATACTATTTACGTCCTTTGAAAGTTTTGCAAAAGAAGCTATTCGTATTATATAACGTCTTCTGAATTTTTAGCGCACACCTCTTCTCCTTTCAAAGAAACCTTTAACATTTGTTATTGATCTACAGTAAGCCCTTATACGGCAATATTTATGCTTCAATATAGCAGGGATAATTTTGATAAATTTTTAGAATTATTCTTAAAGTAAATACGCTTTTATATGACAAATTAAGAAGAAGCGTGCATGGCAGCGTCTTCAAACAACTTAGCATCAAATGTGGTATAACAACTGCCTAAATAGATAAAACACTTCTCGACGTTTCGACCTAAAGGCCTTCGTCAGGGGCCTTCGTCTCCTGACGAAGGCCCTCAGGTCGAAACGTCGAGAAGTGTTTTGTCTATTTTAGGCAGTTGTTATACCACATTTGATGCTAAGTCGCTTTTATATGATACACTTATATTGTATCCAAAACAACTTTATCCTTGCCATCAATAATTCGAACGAGCTACGGAATGTTTAATATTTATTTCGTTTTTGTGGACTAAAACTATATAGAATACTATTGATGAATTATTTAAATTGTTAAGTGTAGCTTTTTAAATTGTTAAGTGTAGTAATGTAGAAAAATGATTTAATAGACTTTTACTAATATTAAATTACCTCATTCATTTCATACAAATAACTTTTACATAATCTATTAATGATTACAGGCTTCAAGTTTTTTTTGTGTTTTTTTTTGTATTGTTTCTGATGTTTATTTTGTGTTGTGGTACAAATATTATTGTATTTAGTATTTAGTGAGTTCTCTAATACTGCTTTGTTACTTCATACTGTTGGTAACGTGCCAGCCTAGTTTAGCTCCAATAGATCTTTTCAGCTTGCATGCAAATTCATTTTAGATGTTGTGACCATGGAATAGCGAATAAAACGTAACCATTTCAGATCATGTGACTAATTTGCATACAAGCTGAAAAGGTCTATTGTTATTGCAGGTGACCTACACTCATCTCTAGTAGATATCTAATTGAAATTTTGTTGCATTACTTATTTTCTCTTCGAGTGTTAAATATATTCTGTTCTATCCTATTCTGTTCTTTTCTTTTCTTTTCTTTTCTATTCTACCGGCTACCAGGCACAAGCTATCTTACAGATGCAAAATACGGATGGGCGGGGTCGAAGGTTCTAAGTTTATATTGAATGATTTCAATGAATTTCTTAGTTTATTTTGTACTTTCCTCGTTTAAGGAATCCCTCAAATTAAGTTAACGACATGGATTTTCAAACCAATTACAGAAAAATCAGGCAAAATCTTCCGCCAAAATTAGCATATGGTGTCAAACTATAGCCCTTGAGTTTATAATAAACTGTACAATACAAAGTACTAAATCGCTAAAGTTAACTATTAGTGTATCGGTTATAATAATAGTCTCGCTTAAATTCACATATTTTTTAGTAATTTTTTATTATTTGGTGCTTGCTCAAGCCAAAGTTTTAGCCATTTATCACGTTGGATACCATACAAAACGTTTGTAGATATAAACTAAAAAGGCATATTGTTGACATAAACTCATACCATCAAAATTTTACCCCAGAAATTTCGTTATGCCTTTATTTACAAGAAACAACCAGGGCAAATTGAAAATACGATTTTTTTCAAATTTTGCGAAATTCAAGAATGCGCAATATGATATATTATATAATGTTGAAATATATTTGAACAAATGTGCAGATTATTTACGGCAATTTGCATATTCCATTCCAGTCTGCACTTTCTGGTCATGTATTAAATGGCATAACTCTCTTTTTTGGAGCATTGTTTTCGATCCATTAGGAAAGTTAATTTAGAACATTTCTTTAATAGGCTTTATAGAACCGAATGTTAAACAGCGAATTCACTACGATAACAATACGCTGCTTTCTTATTGGCCAATTTGCACAATTTCAGATAAATTTTACTTTACCTTCATTGCAACTGCATTTATATAAGAGCATTTAATTCCTTCGAGATGATAGCAACCGAGTTTGGCTACTGTTGTTCCTTCTCAGCTCTAAAGCCACACGGCGTCTAGTAACCTGCGTCCTGATTAAAGCAAGATTAAGGGTAGACGACAGGTGCAAGGTAATTGCCTTCAAAATTAGATACGACGAACTACCTTTTTAAAATTCACACATTTCAACCCGCTAAGTAAACAGCATCACTGTACATCCAGAAACATTTGACTGTACTTCTTTTCCACTGTGGCCATATATTGTGCTTCAATTTTATCGCAATTAAAAGACAAGGTATGTCACGAACACGATGTTCTACATTGCATTTGCGTAGACGTAAATTGCACTTTTATGCTAACGGTTGTTAATTATTCTTATGTCCGATAACTTCAATATTTCTGTAACGCATCAGTCATCATTCAGTTTTTCGCTATTCAGATTGACTATAATATAATGTACTTTGTATCAATATAATTATAAACTCTTAATGCATGTGTGTGGATGCATGTATATATATTATATAGCAAAGTGCTTTTGTACTCAGAACGGTCAACGTTCGGCTTACGTACTCGGCTTGATACTTTAGTGTAAAGAAAGTCAAAATATTGTGAATCCGAAATTCCATCCTTAGATTTCATACCTCGAATTGGGGGCCTAAGGCAACGCTTTCGAAATATGTTAATACACCAGGCAGTGTGCTGGGCCAGCTTTTTTGCAAGGTATAATGCTGTATTTATGAATAAGAATCTACAATTTCCCAATAATTATAATTAGCGAAGGAGTTGGTAGTTTTGTAACGATGTGCAAGTTTCCCGATAATATGAAACAAAAAATTCAATTATAAGGCGTTAAGGATATATAATAATGAAGAGATCTATAATCTCACATCTATATATCTAGACTGGCGTATGGACGTAAACAGCTCAACTTTGGTAAAAAATTAAGTCCGCGTGAATGGGGAGAATTGATCTTTTCGAAGTATATTGATGAACTCATAGTTTTAAGCCCGAACTCTAAACTTATATACACTCATGTAGATGAACACAATCATATATATAATTATAGGCCTTAAAAGACGACAGGAAAATTGCGTGTTTGGTTTCGGACATATTTCTCACCCATATTCGTGAAGTGATCTATCTTAGTGGCCTTAAATTAGTAGCTAGATTAGCATATCGTGCATGTTGAGGTAAATGGTAAGGTATATTGTGTGCATCCAACTCTGAAATGTTTAAGATCATTTTATGCAAAGATTAATCATCGCCTCAAGTGCAACGAGACGAGACGCAATTTGTTGTTCTATAATCAAAAAACACATCCTTCCCCCGGCGTAAATGGCGTCTTAAAAGAAGACAAAAGTTAATATTCTCCGTATCCATATAAACGGTATAAATAAGCTTTACTCCCAAAATTAAGAGGCTCTTTAAACCTAAAGTTTAAAAAAAAATGGCTTTGAACTCGCCGAGAGTAGGCCTACGTTTTCTATCATCTAATTTGACATTGTGTGAACATTTCAATTATTGATTCATTATTGATAACATTCGAACTTCCAACTGAGCCCGATATTTCAGTCTGCACGGCAACCGTTGCTATATTTACAGCTGTAAAACAAAACTGCCATCTTCACACACGCAAAATAGCTACTATATATATTGGGAATAGTAACTTTCGCGACTCGATCGATTTATTTGCCATATATTCAAAAGCGCACATGCATGCAACTGCTTAAATGAATAAGTATTTCAAAATGCTAAAAAACCTCAATTCAAATGTCGCGCGGTTGGTTTTTTGCGATAATTTTCCTTTGAAATATGTCCCAGTCAAGCTGAATAACCTGAATTCTGCATAAAATTGTCTTTCAACAGAAGATGATATCACTCGAACGTTGCATGAATCGCACTCAGCCTTCTTACGTATGTTCGCGTTGGTCGTTAAAACAACGGTTTGCATGTTTATAGGTTTATGAGACTCATTTTAACCACCTGTACTCATTATTAAAATGTTTTGCACATTACTTAAGCCAAGGCCATGTTACACGGTGCACGTTTTCTTGCAACTTACAATGCAATTCTACGTCTAAAAGTTGCAAATTAGTGAAGAGTCCTGCAGAATAAAAGTGACGAATGAAGTGTAATAAGCACAAAAGTTTCGTTGTTGCCAAATTTACATCTCGCAAAAGTAGAATTGCGTTGCAAGTTGCAAGAAAAATTGCACCGTTTAACAGGTCCTTTAATTACTGCCTCATCTATATTTTTGATACAGTGAGTGCCAAAAATATTCAAGTGTGGCGCGACAACACGATTTATTTACTATGCGGTTGTTAGAGCGGATAGTACGGATAGACGGATTTTATTTAAGGACGAGCAAATAAATAGCGTGGTCTATACTTGGGCGAATCGCGCCGTTCATCGCAATTGCCACGTTATTTTTAATATTCCCGCCCGCATGCTAAATATTCTTATCGCAGGATTCAAGGGACGGATGTTTTGTTAGAATTTTGATATTTTAAAAGGGGTAAATGTTATTCCAACTATCCCATAGTAATCTTTTGTGTATCGCGTGAGACTGATTTAGGATGGCAATGACCTCTATAGGACTAGATTGTTTGCATTATTAAAGGCTGTAATTATAATTATAGCAGTTGCGAAGCGGAGGATGATGAGGTACTTAGGCATATTTTGAGTGGAGAACGGGCATAATTTAGGAGGAGAAGAGCTTCATGTAATGATTAATAAAAGATTTTCAAGACTTTAATTTTACTTCAGGTAAAATTTCAAAAGAGTGTTGCCGTTGTCGATAGCGGCTTTTAGATCACCTAGCATAATTGATTTTGCATTTTCCATTGATTTTTAACCTCTAGTTTTTACATTTTTTTAAGCCGCGTCCTAATTTTTGCATCGCTGGCCGTGGCCAGCTGTCGTGATCTTTTGGTTCTTGCATGAACTAAGCCTACCTAACGTGCGCTAGGCCACTGCTATGTGATAGCCATACGCAAAGGGGCTTTTTGCGCATGTGACGGTCATCAGCGCAAATAAGTTGAACCCGCAGATTGCGTATTAGAAGAGTCGTTCACGCAGCGAACTAATAATTTCGAATCAAGCCAGAGCGAAAAGAATTCGGTTCGATCAGCCTTATTAACTCGCATTGCGCAAAGCGCTAGCGAGTTCTTAAAATGGGAAGCGTTCTTATTAATGTTTTTATGGTCGAGAATTTCGCGACCCACAAGGTGCGATAAGGTACGCTGACCTGCAAGCCACGAGCTACGCAGGCGTGGTTGCTAAGCTAACGTGCATACTGCACTGCTGAGTGCATTCGTTCATGACGTTCATCGTTTTCTTGTGGACAAAAGACGATAAAAATTCAAGATATTTCGAAATGTGGCTTCCAAGTGCCATATTTATCTTAACGCTCACCTTACATACAACTGCACACGCCGAGCACAGTAGCCCTCAGTGAACTCTATATATATATATATATATATATATATATATATATATATATATATATATATATATATAAATATATATATATATATATATATATATAGAGTTCACTGGTAGCCTTAACGCTCACCTTACATACAACTGCACATGCCGAGCGTTTTCGAAACGGGGTGTTCTGTTGCTTTCATGCTTTTCAACTTCATGTTGAACCAAAGTTGCTTAATATCGCTATGAATTCTCTGATGAAACTGAATACAATCTCAAATCAATCTCACGAGTACTCACTAGTACTATCAATTGAAAACAATACAACGACGTTGTCAATGAACTGTGCCATGACGTGCTACGAATATCTGAACAAGACTAACTCCACTGTGCAACAAGACTAACTTCACAGCGCAATTAAATTTATCTCTCCCCACTTTCACGCCCGTTACGTTCCGTTGCATAGCTGAACAACTATGGCAAGTCCAAAACACACGCCTGAGTAAGCGTCTTTTTTTATAGCCCTAGTTCGACTCAAGCAATGCGAGTTTAATGCTAGCGGGCATCTTGTTATTACTATCGTCAAATAGAATAATCATTTTCCTCCCATATGAACTATATCAATCTTACATGTCCAAACATGATTGCAAAAACCTTTATTGCAGTTTAAAGCTTCCTAAGAATAACAAATGAATTATTTAATTTGGAAAAAACCTTTCATGTACTACCGTCCAGTTCATATTCCGGTCCCCGCAGTTTTCAATCTTCCTCAGAGATGATTTAAAATGTTATGATATGACGGTTCTTTTGTACGTATGCCGCGCTTCCGTCGGGCAGAATGGAATATATGAATATGCTCCTCCGATTATCGCTCTATATAGTTTCAAATCGCATTCCTCAAAGTTATTTCATGCCATTGCTCGTTTAAGTTTTACATGTTTCCCCCCACGAAATTTATAGTAAATCTAGCTAGATTTCTACGACTCTATTATCAAATTTACTGAACATTAGGCTGGAGCTTATCCGTAAATTAGCTAACGTGTGCTACTGCCACTTCTGAAGGAGTCCTTCATTTACAGCACAATGGCCTCCTTTAAACAAAGCAAAATTTTCCCATGGATTACATTCACGTACCTGCACCTTTTTTTGCAACTTTGAGTACATGCAAGTATGCGGTATGGAGTATTCGTAATAGAAAATCAAACGTATTTTCCACCTGTAGCATGGCCATGAATACAACAAGCAACACGACCACGACTGACGATCATTATGGTGATTTTCAACCAGATGACGCTACATGGATTTTGACCAGCGCCTTCATCATTTTCACGATGCAATCAGGTTTCGGCCTTCTCGAGGCTGGCATTGTCTCCAGGAAGAACGAAACGAACATCATGGTGAAGAACGCAATCGATGTTATTTATGGAGGGCTTGCCTATTGGATATTTGGGTTTGCAATCAGCTTCGGAAACGATGAACTAAACAACAGATTTATGGGTTGGGGAGACTTCTTCGTCGATTCCGTTGGTGAGGATTTTGGTATATTTGCGAAGTACTTTTTTCAGTTGTCCTTCGCCACAACTGCAACGACTATTGTCTCCGGAGCGATGGCTGAGAGGGTCGCTATCAATGCGTACATCGCGTTCTCTTTTGTAAACACGCTATCTTATTCCTTTCCCGCGCATTGGGTGTGGGACGATAAAGGGTTTCTAAAAGAGATGGGAGTAGTTGATGTGGCTGGGTGTGGTCCCGTCCATCTCGTCGGAGGTGTCGCCGCAATTGTTGCGGCAATTATGCTCAAACCGCGAAAAAACAAGTTCGACGAGCACGGAAAACCGCGTGAAATTCAAATGGCATCCCCCACAAATGTTTTGCTAGGAACATTTATGCTGTGGTGGGGGTGGTTAGGCTTCAACTGTGGGTCGACGTTTGGAATCTCGGGAATAAAGTGGAAACTTGCTTCCAGGTATCACAGCATCCATGACCAAGTAATACAGAATTTCGAGTTAACTCATTAGTCTTTTACTCGGACTTTTAACTCGTTAAAGTTCGCTTCGCATAGTAGCATCTGATTGCTGCATTGGATGACACGAGCTTTTCATTTGAAAATGCATTGCAACAGATCTTTACCCGAATGCTTCAAAAATTTTATCATTTAAAACACGTGTCACAAATCTTTCGATTTATTCACCTAGCTCTTTCAATATATGTCCGTACGCATGTCTGTACGTACGTTTGTCCCTAGCCATTATTACACCGTTTGCCAGAGGATTAACAATATATGCAAAGTCTTTAAAATAGTTTCTAATATAGTTTAAAATATTTTCAGATCGGCTGTTGTTACCATAAACGGCTCAGTTGGTGGAGGTGTATTCGCTATGATTTACAGGTAATATCATGCAATGATTTACAAGCCCGCTCCTTCTGCTACTAGACACGTGTGGAGATTGGAACAAGAGCTGGCTCCTCCGGTATTTGCTCCGCCCACACTTGACGCTAAGCAAATACCTAAGCGGATTTTCAAAATCACCTAAGCGGATTTTCAAACTGGCGGCGAGTGCTTTTTGTCATAGCGATGAAGAAATAAGTTAAGAATTAACGCTAAAATTATTTCATGGTAAAAAAGTACTACGTTGTAGAACGCATTTTAACTATTTTGCTAAAACATTGCTTTATTTAAATAGATCTTTTCGGTGATTACTTCACAACTCTATCCGTTTTAAATTTAGAACCACCTTGAAAAAGCTATGTGCAAAGATGCAAAACATCCTTCTATGACCCGTGCATGAAAAATAATTGTTCATTTTGACTAACAAGTATGGAAAAAAAGCCATAACGCAGGAACGAGGTCCGCGGTATTGGCCCTTCAGCCTCGTTCTCGTGTTATGGCATATTTTCCCATTTATTGGTCAAGATGAAAAAAAATCATGCATGTGTTGAAGATTTGTTTGCAACATCTGTTTGCAGCATCTTTGCACGTGGCTCGTTAGAGTAAAACTTGAAATCCATTTCATTGAAGGTGGATCTAAATTTAAAACATTGTGATGTTAAAATGTTGTGACGTAATTACCGAAAAGGTCTATTAGCTACGTTTGTAAAACATGTATTTTCTCAGTACAATAGATTCAGATTAAAAAAAATCATCTTTGTGATTAAACTAAAATATGCAGCTTGCTCTCGGCGAATTATTGCTCATAAATCTAGCTAATATAGTAAAACCTTCTCCAAAATGATCGTAAATCCAATTTCAGCTATGTATATCACAAGAAAAAGCTGCTTATAAACATCTTCGTTGTTGGTATTCTGGGAGGATTAGTTTCCGTAACAGGTAAATTTAGATCTTTTATAACCAGTTAGGTGGTGTGTTGAGTACGGACTTATATATAGACTTAGCAGCAGGGCGCCCTACTTAGCAGTCATTTACATGCAGCGTTCGGTGCAGTATAGGCAAGTGCAGCCCTACAATAACTTGCCGCGTACGATGAATAATTATTTTTCCTAAGCGCTGGTTTTAACGAAAGTACAAAGAAAAGGTTCCATTTCCTCTGCAGTCTGTCCCAAAAAATACTGGATTTAAAATTGGTGACAAAATGGTTGTCGCTTGTGCGCTAATTTGCATTTAATCCATACGTAATGACCTTCGAGTTTTACTATAAAATACATAGAGTGAAAATAGAAAACGTCGTAACGTCAGAGCAACAGACTAGGAGCACTGTTTGCCGACCTCTAGATGGATAGAACAGCTGTTTAGAAACGTTTCAGTAACCCAATCTTTTATCTTGGGTATTTCTGCAATCCACCAAATTTAAAATAAAGTGCCCAAAATTTTAGCCGTGACTACCGTGTTCTCTCGAACTTATAAAATCGCTCACATTCATACAACATTTCGATTTGGATTGTTGATGAATTGACGTGTAATATACCACGAAATTTTGTTAAAGATATTGTCTTTCGTATTCCTAATATGAATTTTTGTGTACAGTCCGGATTTTTTTGCAGTTGCACATTAAAAATATTGTCAGTCTCATAAGGCAGTTCAACCAAACAAGCGTATAAACATTTGAACACAGTCATTGCAAACATAGAATACCCAAGCCAAGGTAAGTAACTCGATCATCAAAACGTTGTAAAACGGCTGTTCTATTGATCCAGAAGTCGGCAAACAGTGGGCAACATCCAGGGTAACGGTGATTTTAGGTGTTGTACTTTTGCTATATGTTTTTTATAGTAAAAGTTAAAAGCCATTATTGTTGAAAGTTATATGCAAATTAGTTTATATGCAAATCACCATGTCACAAATTTCTGGTAATGAAGTCTTTTAAATTTCTGGTAATGAAGTCTTCTTTAGAAGCAAGTCATATTTCAAATATAATATTTGCACCGGTCAGTCATAAGAATGACGATGTATTTTTGTTTCTACAGCTATTTGTGCTGTTTGCAGACCGTGGGAAGCTTTAATAATTGGTGTCATCGGCGCTGCAGTTGCCACAGGAGGTACGGTCATGGAGGATAGGCTGTGCATCGATGATCCCGTTGGAGCATTTCCAACCCATGCTTTGGCTTCGGTGTGGGGTCTCATCGCCACTGGCCTCTTTTGTGAACGCACACCAAAATTTGCTGAGCATGCCGGTTTGTTTAAAGGGGGAAGCTGGAAATTTCTAGGTGTCCAACTGCTGGCGTCGGTGAGCATAAGCGCTTGGGCAGCTTTTACAACTATCATTATGCTCTACATCATCGACAAGATATTTGGCCTTCGCATGAGTGAAGAAGAAGAGGAGGTTGGAGCAGATTTCTTCGTCCACAACATACGCGGCCAGGTAACCAGCAACCAGGCGGCCACACAAGCAGAGACGTTGACCGAAAACGAAAATGGCAACACGACCGGAAGAAACCAAGCGACATCGCCTGCTCATACTAACGGCGGAAACTCAAACTCGCAAGAGAGCTACGCGATGGAATGTCCACCGTTTGACATGCAAAATCTCCAGGAAATAAATTCAAGACATTCGTCTGGACAACGTAACATGCAAAGCCTCGGGATTGGAGCTAGTAAAAACGGAATCACATTTAGAGTCGCTCCATATCTGGAATCTCAGGCGTCATTGCCAAAAGGAACAAGTAATTGCGGCTATCACAGTAGCTAGACCTCCCAGTGGTTTCCAAATGCAACCGAATAGAAACAATAACAATTGTTAATTTGGGTTGCATTCCTGTTGGCACCGATTATGCCATAATTATAAGCTCTAAGTAACTGGGTGGAACCAATGCCTTCAATTACCACGCTCATTGTGAGCGCAAAAACTGTATAATCTTGCACCATTCTTGGGATAGGCAATTATAGTATTTGGTGCACAATGTGCAGTATATGTAAAAAATTGTTGCATGGATAATTATCGTATGAAGACCAATTCAGCTCAGTTTTGCGGTGAAGATATGACGTTAGATTCATTCCAGTGGAAACGACCAGTAAATAAAGGCGGATTTCCACTTACAGCGATATCGTTCGCTAGCGAAATATTTGCATATTTCCTTTTGATTTTTAACAGCATAAGTAAATTAATTCGACTTGACTGTTCTCAATTCAAAAGAAAATATGCAAATATTTCGCTAGCGAACGATTTCGCTGTAAGTGGAAATCCGCCTTAAGGGAGTTTGAAGGTTAAGATTATATGTCTATAATCTTCCGTAATTGACTAGCAAGCACGTTTTGGTTGAAAGCAATTGTGAATATATGCCATAAAATTTAGTTTAAATCAATAAATCCACCTTAAAATCGTGAATGCAAGTTCCACGCGCAGGCGGCTCCCGGCAACCAAGCAATCAACACGCAACGTTTCAAAATTCAAATTGACCACAATGTAAGGAATAAACAGTAGCTCACTTCATTCCGCTCCAATATCCCTACTCAATAATAGGCTAGGATAATAATGCAATATGTGTGGCGACACACACACGCATTTCGAAGGTTTTTTAAGTGGGTCTTATAGGAACACCGAGGTCAGATTTTTTCGTCAAACGCAAAGGTGGCTCGATAGGAATAAATATAGGTCATTGCACAGCCCTACTGTGAAAGTACTGAAAAGCATTTGTCACCACAGTTCACCAGTGTGGAGAAATGTGTATTCTAGTAGGTTCCGAATATTCATTTGCATAAAATTAGTTTTTCCACCCTTTCAGCGTGCCTGACGTTAGTGACGTTTCACCGCTTTCTTGGTCTACTGTATTTTGTTTAGACAGTGCTATGGGGCGCCGGAACGACTGTAAGCAGCAACTATAATTATGATCTGGACATGGAAAAAGAGGAACTCCTCGAACTTCAATCGTTCAACAACTCAATCATTAATTAAAGTTTAGTCCGTTTTGCGCATCTGTTCTGCCCTCTAACAATTTGGCCCTCCGCCCTCTGGTGAAAAAATTAAGCAAATTTCGCATGTTTTGAATTTCTCGGAACATACACTATAGTTCATGATAACGTAAAAGCCTTTATATATTCAGACAGCACATCATATCAGTTAGCAGCATCGAAGTCAAGTTTAAAATGTAAAAAACCGTCAAAAAGTGGACGGTCAATCCACCACAACAGGATTATCACTAATAATGCTGTATAGTCCTCCAAATCTTTTTTTCTTCCAACTGAATGTCCATATAGTTAGGGAGTATGACACCCCCAAAACCCTTCCCCTTGTGGGACAGTGCTAGATTATGTCATCGAGAGTTGCAGTATAACCGAGAATTGCAAAAATTTTTTGATCACGAAAAATTGTAATATACTTTTTTTTAAGTGCATTTTAATTACCACGTAGACGTATTTCAACTTGCTCTTTCTTATTTTTCTCAAATGAATTATTATATGTGATCATATAGATGGTTGGATAGAACCATAATTTACCAGGACGCAACAATTTAGCAAGCATGTGATTCAAAATGATTTCCATAATATTCAGATCTTTCACTCAATTGACTTCCGGACAATCACTTCCGTGCTATTAGAATAAACATTGCAAAGTAACGTTCAAAGTTTAGTTCAATAATAGGCTTTGGCTTTCCAGTCTTTCACTTATCGAGTCAGCGTTGGTTCCTGTCGTCTGGGAAGACGCTTTATCGCTTTTAAAAGATAATCAATATTCCAAAAAGACGCCATAGCTTTGTAGTATAATATGACGTCTTTATCGACCTTCATGGTTGCTGCTTTGATCTGTATAGTTGGTATGTATTTTATAAACTTCAGAATAGGCAAAACTAGTTGTACTTTAAACAACGTTGGAAAGGGTACCTATTTAATTGTTGCAAATATTTGAAAATTTAATGCGAAAACTTCAGTAACTTCACGTCGAGTATCCATGCAATCGAATGTAGGTATAAATGTAGCAAAATATTTCAAGAAAATGTCTAAAGCCTGCTTACACGATCCAATTTTGTCGGTCCAATTTACTTCTAACGTATAGAATGAAGTGCGTTTACTCTGTTATTGACAATGCAGTACTGCATTGCCTTATATATAATAATATGATTATTGAATCAACTGATATTCAAACATCCTTCAGAAGTGAAGTGGATCCGATAGAAATACAGTAGATCCTGTGAACAAGCCTAAATAATGAATTAATTAACATTTAAACAAAATGAAAAGGTAAATGAAAAATAAAAGCAATAATACATATACAATATATACAGCATAGCACCTATTGTGGTTAGAATTCAAGTTAGAGCATTGCCAATGTTGTAAAATCTTAATTTAATTTTTTTTCAGCATTATATAAAGTCCAGGGCTATAAGCTACCATTTATTATAGTCCATTTTGTATCGCTCTTATAATTTACTTATATTGATTTAGCTTCATTATATATCATCTTGTCTTTTAATATTTTGGCTTTTATTATTAAAAGAAGGATTTAAATTGTGATGGAATTTGTCTTTAGGGCTGTATAGCTTAAGACTGTTTAATTGGGGGGTGCATATTGTTTGCACATTATGTTTATATACCATAGGAACAAAAGCTTTTAAAATAAATCAGTCAAGCATAAGATGATAGCATGTAGCTTCTAGCTACGGCCCTGACTGTCTTATGGCCCTGAACTGAGTTTGTATTTCGTCAATACTTTCTGTGCACATGATGACAATCATATACTGATGTTTTAAAAATAGTTATGTCTTGCACTATTTTATGTCTTATATTGTATTTGAGAAAATTGTGAAAATTTGTGTAAATTGAGAAAATTGTCTTTTATCCATAGCTGTCTCAATGCAATTTCGACTAATGTGCAGTAGCTATATAGCTAATCAATCACCTTTGACAAATAAATTATTGGACATATAAGACAGGCTTGTGGTATAATGTGTAAGATGGTCATAGCTAAGCTGATTAATAGGTTAAGCATTTTGGTGGCATTTTGTAAAATTTGACTATATCTAATGTGACAATGAGCAACTATTATTAACTTCCAGCACTGTGGCAATGCATTAAATGGAACTTTGCCTTCAGTAAAAGGTATTGCACTTGTTAGCTTCTCTGAGCCTTCAGAGAATACGGTGGAATATTATTTGTATACAACTGTGTGAAACTTTTTAATAAAAGAATGGTTTTAAATCCCATAGGCACAATGGATGAGTGAATATAAAAAAAAAACATTTGAAGAGGGCTAGCCTTAACATATTTTTTCGCGCGAAAAAATATCGCCCAATTTTGGGCTGCCTATGGCCTTAACGACTCGAATCCTCGAGATTGATTACTGATAAAACTAATAAAAGTTTTTTCTTGTTTATTTTATCGATGATTATTGCATGACCACAACTTGTTCAAACATTGATATTATATCATTGCATCATATTTTGGAAGACTATTAGGGGCTGGATAACTGGTAAACTGAATATGTAATTATGCATACATCTAGCTGCTGCGTAATTGGCGTTATTGGAAAATATCGAAATATTGGTATCGAAGAAAAAATTCAAGAACATCGCCATCGATTATTTATTTATTTACATTTTACAAATCGGCACCATATGATATCTGATCACGGTCGTTACGCTCGGGCGAAAACCTATTTTTTGTTTTCCTAAATAATATTTATTTGCCTGCATGACATTTTTAACATTTTTAAAACATTTTTTTAAATACGAAAATGTTTGTTCTGGTTGGTCTTCCATGATCTTCAAACTTCTTTCTATACGGCCAAGACTGATTTTTCATTTCGATAGCGCAACTACAAAGCGGCTAGTGGAACTGGACCGTTCGTGGGAAATTTCCTGCCCTTTATGTTGCAAATGGAAGCCGTATCTTATAATCTCGGAAGATTCCCTATTAATTGTTTCGTATAAATAGTTTTTATGAAGCCTACAAGGCTACATACTTTAACTCAAATTAAACTCATTAAACTTAATAAGAAACCCGTATTTTTGTGAGTCAAATCCGCACGATACCGACACTTTTTCCATACTTTTACAGTAGCGTAGCCAGCCTGTCGATTTGTCCCGCTATGCTAATATTCTCGTGTTCACTGACTGTGAAAACAACAGATTTCTAAAGAAATGAATAATTATAATAACTCGAAATTTACATAGCGGGACAAAATCGTCAGGCTGGCTACGCCACTGTACTTTTATGGCCTTGTGTTAACATCGACATTACTCATTAGAAAATCCGACTTTAAATTTCTGCTCGCAGGCGATACTTTCTATTTGAATTTATGAATAAATAAACGACTAAGCCAAACAGCTTTGCATGCTTTCACCGATTCGCTAGATATGTTTTCAGCTTTGAATCTAGAGCATTTTTTGTGATTAAACGACGATAAAGCTATAATAATAAAATAAAAGAATAAGGTTTCGGCAAGAAACATAGAAAACGGGGATCGTAAAACAATGACGTCAAACTGGCGCTCCAATGGCAATTAATGCATCCGTGTAGATCCAATATGCATGACATCGAACGCGAATATCATTTGACCTGATCAATCCAACCAATTGGACTCATTTGACAATTTTTTTGGCGCGAAGAAATAACCAATGAGCCGATTTCGGAGGATCACGCATAAGCAAAATCATGCAAAAACTCAATCTTCTCACTTACCACATCGCTCTGCTCAGTTTACCAGTTCGCAAAATTTAAAGCTAATATTAATTTTGTTTAATCGAAAAAATTCAAAAAATTTCCATGTCTATCCAGTCTGCTAAGTAGGTCCGTAAGCCTGACCATCATCAGTGCAAATCAAACTTTGCGCAAAAAAGTATCAAAGTTTGATTTGCAATGATGATGGCAGTCGGCAGACCAGACGGGCCGAAAGCTCTAAACAAATTCACTGCTAAATTCACGCGGTGTTTCCACAAACAAACGTTTAAGAAAATAATATTGTAGCCATTAAATGCAATTTGACTTACAATTAAGTGTGCTTTTTTAAAAAAATGTTTAATATTAATAATTAATACAATGACACAATGATACAGAAAGAATTGATAGTGAATAATTATATAAACAACATATGCATGAGACAAACTAAATGTAACTCATGTGGATGATTTATGATAATAGCAAAGTCAGCATGGTTGTTATAATGACACAGTTTGTTGACCCTGTTCTTAGTGCAATTAAGTCTTGCACAAGTCTAATGTTTATACTGCATGTGTATTTTGCCGGCACATGACAAATGTTGCACAACCATGCAGCCGAATTAAATTTAAGGTGTAAATTTTATTTTCTGACGGTGAAAACCGATAAGGCGATATTTGCAAATAAGTAAAATATTAAATGAATTAGCCTGCAGGTACATCACGTAAGTATTTATTAAAGGTTTCGGTCCGTTAACCCGGGCCTTCATCCGTGCAATACTTAAGGCTGTTTTCCACTTACGCGTTTTTCATACGCACGTACACGCACGTAAAAGTTTAAATCCTTATACATGTTTCCTTTGAAAAAACTAAGTGAATAAATCGAAGCAACTTAGTTTTCTGCATATTTTAGTATGCATTAGTTGACCTAGATGTTATAAATAATAAAAATTTAAAAGCATTTAAAATTTTCCGTACGTGTACGTGCGTATAAAAAACGCGTTAGTGGAAAGCAGCCTTTAGTGAAATACTACAAGCTAATTTATTTATTGTGAAATCACCAAGCAAAATTACAAGACTGATATCATAAGTAAAATATTGTTTTCAGATAAATTTCAAGTCTTAAATTTCATATCTGAGACGATGTTTTATTCGAAATTGTGTTCTAACCACCGTTCTACAAAGCTTTTTTTTTGCTTCAGAATAATTTTAGGCTATTTTTTCGCTTTCATTACATTACTGACAAAAACAATGGCAAAATCTTTTTAGGATACCCAAAAGTTCGAAATGTGAAGAGAGGACTGGGGTTAGGGTCCGTCCCAGTCCTCTTTCCACAATTCGTACTTTTTGGTACGTATCCTAAATAGCCATGGGCATGGCCCAAAACAACTGTCCGCCATTTTGAAAACTTCCGCTCAGGCAGTATCGCGTCGTATAATACCCGATGGCGTCGTATAATACTCGGTCGCTCGCCCAATGTTATGCCAAAATTTCAATAATCTTTGTAATTTTATATAGAGAATAATACATGGATGCGCGGAAATATGGAATTTATTTCTCGTGTTCAGAAAGATATCTCACTTGTTCGCGCATGTATTATTCTGTTCATTATTTAATAAAAAACTGGGTTTTTTGAAAAGTTTTTTCCCCCTTCCTGATTCCACATCGGTGGATCAAACACGATAATCGCACATGTGTTATTATCGCTTTTCAAAATGGCGGATTCGTCAATAAAACACTGCATATTATATAATAAATAGTAATAATAATTTGTATATAGTATCGATAACACATGCATGAATTTGTTATTTTGCATGCAAAGCGCTTTCCTACAAATATAATAACTCATACAAACTGTCAATACTATAATTTCTTAATACTATAAATTCTCTATGAAAAATTACAAGAATGATATCTTTGTTTTTCGTATAATTTCAGGTTTATTGCTTGGACCAGCACAATTCACAGGTTAGAAATTCGTACAGCGCTTCACCCTAAAGAATCCTTAGCATTCAGCGAAGCAAAAGAAAACAATCAGCAGCATTTTCTTTCTAATGTATTTAACATCCAGTAAAACTTCAGGTTCTTTCTTTTGTAGATGGTGACTCAGCGGAATCTTGTTGCTTCAGGAAGAACGTTCCTAACAAATGCCACTTCCTTTGTGGTTACGGCAGTGCTGGATTTTTCGAACGATTTAAATGCAGAGCCAAATATTATGCGGTTATCAAGACGTGTGAAGCGAAAGACGCCATAGGTAGAGTATACCACTCAAATATCGCAAGTACATATAAGGCTTTTGAGACACCAGTCTTTTCACACAAATGTGATGAGCGCACCGTTGGCAGGAGTTTCACTGGTTGTGGCCTGGTTGATGCCCAATCAGGAAACTCCGCAACCCACGTCATAGCGTGGATCTTTTTTCGTACCTTATTTTTAAAATTATTGTTTGAGATGTTCCGACGATTATGCATCATTGGTGGGAGCCATTGATACGCCAAACACAAAGCTAAAAAATACAATGAAAGAATAAAGTTCTCCAATCACCGAGTGTCAATTCGTGTTGACTATCACTGGAATCTATGACCTAAGACGAAAGCCATATATAAGTTTGGGCATATGGTAACCTATATGAAAGCTCCAACATCCACTTAAATCACGGGTTATTTATTTTCAGACTATGTCAAAATGTTTGGCCGAAAGCTGACTGAATCGTAAGTTATACATATATTTTATTCTTATATGTGACAAGCATGTTTATGGAAAACTATAGCCTTTCAATGCTGCGTTTATTTTTGCTGAAAGATAATGATTGGGTTGCCTATTTTTCATGCACTCGCTCTTAAGTTATCCCTTTTATCAATATTATACTGTTTGGCCGAAAGCTGACTGAATCGTAAGTTATACATATATTTTATTCTATGTGACAAGCATCGCTTTCGTTGAAATTCCTCGGACTCTGTAATAGGCTGAAAAGGAAATTTCAACAGTCAATAAGTTAAGAAAATAGCGAAAAGAAAACGCTGCAAGGCAAATTTAATTCATGTTGCAATCGCTAAAAATGCAACTAGTTTTATTGTTAGTTTTCTGTCAAATGCCTGCAACATTAAATATGCACGAAATCTCATTATCCATGCATTACAATGAAAATTATGCGCGGAAGGCTAAAACCGCAAGCAAGTTCAATTTTAAGAGGTTGCAAGGCGGACCCCATATGAACCAAATCGCTAGGAAATTTACCAGCTGATAAACATTTCCCGAACTTGCGTCCTGTGTCTTAAAATCGTTCGGCAGTCGGATGGAAGATTTGGACATGCGTTTCACTTTTGGAGTAATAAGATCTTGAGTACCCATATTTACCTTCCAAAAAGGCGACTCGCTGTTTCATTTATCAACCCTTTTGTAATTTCAGAGTTGCACGAGGTTTTGAAGCTTTGAAGGATTCTATAAAAGCAAAACTAAAAACTGCCATAGGTTTCCTTGAACTGACGGTGGACGAATTATTGGAAATCCCACAGGACGTACTTGGTTCCTTACAGGTATACCCGACTATATATAGGAGTCTTTCTGAATTCTGAAACATATGTTTCAAACAAAACGTACTGATCGAATATATTTTCACTCCACAGGAAGGTTTAGAACATATGACCACAGGCCAGCTAACAGGAATTACTGATCGACTCAAGTACTTTACGAAGCAAAATCTTCATAATATCCTAACGAAAATTCCAACAAAAACGTTTAAAGAGTCTCTTGTTCAATTAAATGTAAGTCTTTCCATGTTGCTAATACGCAGTATGGTTTTGGTCAACCACTTCTGAAGAAAACTCTCTTTAATAAAGAATGGATTATAAAAGCACTCGCAGCACCAACACCAGTCTTTAAAATTTGAATTAGTTATGATAAGTGATCTTATTGTTCTAAAATGCGGTTCTTATTGTTTTAAAATACGTGTCCAAAGCAGTGCAATGTAGAAGTTATTCGTATTTCAGGCTCCAGCGTATTTTCGGGACGCTGTTCTGATATTGCAAATAGCCTTTCATTGGCGTTTCAAGTACAATTATTCTTCTAAATGAACCACTCAAAGTGCGTTTTGGAAACATCCTGGAATGAATTTTTAATGTATAATTTCGACCAAGTAGTGGTAAATTACGCTCTATGCTTTAACAGAAATGTGATTTCAAATGAATTTAAGTTTTTTTATACACCCTAGCTGTAGCATTGCACTTATTTGTGAAGCTAATCTGTTATCTTAACTATTTTAAAGTATCGCATAAATATTGCGAGATTGACTTTTTGATGCGCTCTTTAGCTAAAGGTGCATGGAATTATCTGAAAGGGCTTTTTTAGTGTTATTCCACTCTGAGAGAAAAATAGACCGAATAAAACTACTCTAAAATTGGATGATGTTACCTTTGAATTACTCTGTTTATGGAATACTATAGCCTTTCAATGCTGTATTTATTTTTGCTGAAAGACAATGATTGGGTTGCCTATTTTTCATGCACTTGCTCTTAAGTTATCCCTTTTATCAATATTATACTATTGTTACCCATAGCTGATTTAAAGTACATGTACGCTTGTATTTATAGCTGGATGCCGATTTCGACCACGATCAACTTCGCGAGTTTGCCCTGGCAGGGCTGCGCACGTTTGGAGAACATCTTAGCGACTGGACCAAAGAGGCCTTCGATGAAATGGATAAATTACTTGCAGGATTGGAAACTTCCGAAATAATAGAAATCGCCGGCGCAGCACTTCGCCAGAGGTGAAATCTTTTATATTCCAAATTTAGATTATTTATCCGTGCCTAGAAGCTTGCGTGCTGCGTTAAATATCGATTAACCTCTATTTCATTTATTAGCAAAAACATTCTCTGTGATGTTCCTTTTAACGGTGACCAAAAACGCGCGTTTCTCGTTCCGGCGAAGAAAGCATTTGGTGAAATTTCCGGCTGGGATGATGCGACCGTCCAGAAAATATGTTCAGTTCTCGAGATTATTCCTCCCACTCAGATGTTGAAAATTTCTGCAAAAGTGGTAAATAATAATTTGTAAATGTAATATAAGTTTCTTCATGACCTTCAATGTAATATGGCTCCTATGGAATAGCACGGCTGTTTTGCCAGGGAGAGGAAAGTGGCCCACATCGTAGCATTATGCGTGATTGATTGATGACGAATTTCCAGAAATGTAGCTAAGAATATAGTTCCGTGATAAGTAAGCGTTTAGATATATCACTGCATGGGTACTGAGGCACTAATATTAATTATTATATTATATATATATATATATATATATATATATATATATATATATATATATATATATATATATATATATATATATATATATATATATATATATATATATATATATATATATATATATATATATATATATATATATATATATATATATAATATATATATATATATATATATATATATATATTATATATATATATATATATATATATATATATATATATATATTATATATATATATATGGACTAATATTATTAAATAATTATAATATATATATATATGTATATATAATATATATATTATATATATATATATAATATATATATATATATATATATATATATATATATATATATATATATAGGACTAATATTATTAAAATAATTATACACAGAGCATATATATCCTTTTTATTAGAACGCGAAGTACTCGCCCAAATGCATTTCTTATATTTCGTTTTTGCATTATTCATAGGTTGGCCGGACTGTAAAAGTTTTCTCTGACAACAAGTACTTTGTTCCGCAAACGAGAGCTCTTGTATCCAAAATAAAAGAGGCCTGGGGCAAGGTAGACTCGTGGGATGACGTGAAACTGGAAGACCTTGGCCAACTGATAAAAGGACTTGAAAAGAAGGATATTTCTATGTTAATTGACAACACCGTTAAGGTAAAAATCTGCCATATCGTACGTAGTGTAATTTGTAGCACGGAAACTTGCGCCTGAGCTATATGTTGTATGTTGTACATATGCTGTATGTTGTATGTATATTGCATGTTGCCTGTTTTATGTTATATGTTGTATCACTTGTATCACATGTTCCATGTTACATGTTCCATGTTAAATGTTATATGTTGTATCACTTGTATCACATGTTCCATGTTACATGTTCCATGTTAAATGTTCCATGTTATATGTTCCATGTTATGTGTTTTATCACTTGTATCACCTGTTCCGTGTTAAATGTTCCATGTTAAATGTTCCATGTTATATGTTATATGTTGTATCACTTGTATCACATGTTCCATGTCAAATGTTCCATGTTAAATGTTCCATGTTTTATGTTATATGTTGTATCACTTGTATCACATGTCCCATGTTACATGTTCCATGTTAATGTTCCATGTTATATGTCCCATGTTATATGTTGTATCACTTGTATCACCTGTTCCATGTTAAATGTTCCATGTTATATGTTATATCACTTGTATCACCTGTTCCATGTTAAATGTTCCATGTTAAATGTTCCATGTTATATGTTATATGTTGTATCACTTGTATCACATGTTCCATGTTGAATGTTCCATGTTAAATGTTCCATGTTATATGTTGTATCACTTGTATCACCTGTTCCATGTTAAATGTTCCATGTTAAATGTTCCATGTTATATGTTATATGTTGTATCACTTGTATCACATGTTCCATGTTAAATGTTCCATGTTATATGTTCCATGTTATATGTTGTATCACTTGTATCACATGTTCCATGTTAAATGTTCCATGTTAAATGTTCCATGTTCCATGTTATATGTTATATGTTGTATCACTTGTATCACATGTTCCATGTTAAATGTTCCATGTTTTATGTTATATGTTGTATCACTTGTATCACATGTTCCATGTTATATGTTCCATGTTATATGTTCCATGTTATATGTTCATGTTAAATGTTCCATGTTATATGATCCATGTTGTATGTTGTATCACTTGTATCACATGTTCCATGTTAAATGTTCCATGTTAAATGTTACATGTTATATGTTCCATGTTATATGTTGTATCACTTGTATCACATGTTCCATGTTACATGTTCCATGTTAAATGTTCCATGTTAAATGTTACATGTTATAAGTTATATGTTACATGTTACGTATATTTAGATTATTTGACTTGAGTTGAGGTTATATATGGCAAATAATTTACTTTCATTATGTCTTTTGGTTTCACGCGTGTAACGTCATAGATAACGTCATAGATAACGTCTTTTTGCCTACCTGGAGGACATAACCCAATTCGTTTCATTTTCTCATTCCTGTGTACCATAGCGTCCAAACATTTATTTCTGACCAGCCGTCAAATAACTGATCAGTGAAGCACTCATTAGTCCGATGGAATTAATTTCCCTTTTTATCATGGTTCCTAGGGAGCGTTAAACGCAATTGGCAAGATCCATTGGGATGAAGGAAAAGCCCGTGAATGGGTGAAGAGGGTTAAGGCAATCTTGGGAAATCCTGATAAGTGGTCAGTTGCAAATTTGAAGGGACTCGGTCATGCCACAGTAGCTTTGTTGCCATCGGAATTACAGAAAATTGGGAATACAACGTTACACAAAGCTTTGAAATACCTTAAAGATGTGGAAGTGCATGTGGATCAGGTACGTCTGTATATGCTGCAGAGACCTGATTTCTAGAGATAATTGCAAACTGGGGACATCAAGTGAAGGAAAATGCCACTGCAAGGGCGCTACTATACTGGGCTTGGGGAAAGTAAGATCAGATACAAACTGGGGACACCTAGTGAAGGAAAACGTGACTGCAATGGCGTTACTACTGGACCAGGGGAGAAAATAAGGTCACTTACAAACTGGGAATACCTAGTAAAGGAAAACGTCAATGCAAGGGCGTTACCACTGGGCAAGGGGGGGGGGTAAGGTCACATGCAAACTGGGACACGTAGTAGAGGAAAACGTCAGTGGATGCAAGTGCGTTACTAATGGGCTTGTGGGCGAGGAGAAATAAGGTCACTTGCAAACTGGAGCCTAGTAAAGGAAAATGACACTGCAAGGGCGCTACTACGGGTTAGGGGGAGGTATAAGATCACGTTTATCGTTTTCACGTTTGATTCATTGGGCGCATTTTCTGTAATTGTGTAGAATTGCTGCGGGTTTACTTTAATGTCATGAGGTGACACAGCCAACTGTGCTCGTGCTTGCCTCTGCATCTCAGCAAAAATATTTTCTTCTTAAGACGTTTTCATCTCCGATTACAATTATAATCTACCAGCCTATATATAAGATTTTTTTAGGATATGGTAATAATATTGATGCTGATAGAGACTTTTCGTCCGTTTAATTTAGGCGCAAATTATTGTCCAGAAGATCAAAGCAATAAAAAAGGTATGTTTTGAAGGTATATTGGTTTTATGAAAGGATTATTACCGATAATCACCTTAGCGGATTTTTCAAAATGGCCGCGAGTTGTTTTTGTCAAGTGACAGATAAAGAAATGTCGAGAAATTTGTTTACGTTTGTGAAATTATATTCCATCAACTTTGAAATAATACTAAAACAATTTTTGCCTATAGAATAAAGACCTCCAGGCATTGTATCTCACTTCGCCTTATATTGACTAAATGTATGGGTCAACACACACGTGGCACGGCACAATTACCTGCAGAAAATATGTTTTGTTTATTTATTAGCTTGAGGATATTAAAAGCGACGACTTGATCGCAATGCAAAAAGTCTTAGATGGTTTTCTGTCTTCTGATATCGGTCGATTATCTTCACTCGTCGTCACAGCTGCTTTCCCGGAAATAATAATTGTAAAGAAAGTCGCCAAGTACCGCCGCCTGTGCCGTGCTGTTGCAAGAGCTTTCATTCGGAAGGTAAGTCAAAAAATTTTGCAATCTATGCCATGCACGTGCGCGGGGGTACTAATTCAGAGAACTTATAACTGGAAATACACACATGCCAAACACCGTAAAGTAAAAAACAAATTCCGAATCAACAAGAGTCACATCTTGAGAGTCACAATATATGAATCAAGCAAGACACAGGTTGAGACTGTAAATTTTCGACTTTATTTCAAAGTCATTTTCAGACAGAATGAAATACAATAATTTTTTTTTCTTCAAAAACACTTCTCGACATTCGACCTGAGGGCCTTTGTCAGGAGAGTTGGTATGAAAATGGTAGTATGACAATTGTTTTGTCTATTTAGGCATTTGTTATACCATGCACATTTGATACTAATCCGACTTAGTTCATTCAAACATGACAGCATCAATGTATGAATTTACTGCGACCATGGTAGATGGAAAGGTGTCACATGCATGCCCACCGCACACCTCCACTCTGTTGTAATGGGTTTGAAAAACTCCGTGTAAACTATAAAGGAGCTGTTTCACCTAATTGCAGTTTTTCATTCAAAATCATTGCGAAAACCAACAAATACACAAAGATATACGTATCAATACAATTACCTAAATACTGTTCCCGTGCCGCGTTCATGCATACAATCCAAGTCTAAATGTTGCCTGTCTTGCAAGTCATTGTTTATTGTATTAAAACCTCAACTCTAAAATCTTCATCTACTAGCTGTGACTGCTATATCAAAAGAAAGTAGTCTGTCTCAAATACAATTGACGTAATTTTATTTCAGTCTATAATAATGGCCCGAAAAATACTTTGGATAATTCATTTTCTTCAAAGCCACATATATATTCTATATGTGCGTCGAAAAATTCTTCGCGACTTATTCCACCGTCCTTGTTTACATCAATTAAGTCGAAAGACCTGACCACGTCATCATCTGGTGTATCAGGAGCAATTACTTTGAAATAGACTGCGAATTCATCCAACGAAATTTGCCCATCTTGGTTTGTATCGATGGCATTAAAGATTTGATTGTGAATATTTTCGCACATAGCTCTTTTTTCCTCTGGCGATTTTGCTAACATCATATTATTCGCTTTCACCGCCGCTTCTTCCCTGGGAATTTTAACTCCTGGGACAAATCCAACAGCATCTGCGACAAACATAAATGCTTTGTAGCATGATTCAGCCCGCTCGCCAGTTGCTTTGCTATATTCATTTACTTTTTTCGCCATGAGTTCGTAGTCCTCTCGCGAAATATAACCATCGTTGTTTATATCTAGGCGAGCGTATCGTGTTCTTAGTTTACGTAGGCGAAAAGCTATCTGGGAGTCGGTGGGATTCATCGCAGCTAAATTCTTAATATTTACGACGTTATTACTTATCTCGTAGCCTTTAATGCTGCAAATTCAACTCGCGCCGTATGCAATAATGATACTCCCAACGTCGTTCGCAAAACTATAAATGAAATGGCTTTGTCCATGCACAAGAGTCTTGGGAATGGATCTCATTGGTCGATCGGGCGTCGTTAACTGGCACGCAAGGACAATATCTACGCTACACTTTTAAGTGCGAGAGGCATAAGAGGGAGTGACAAATATTAAAAAAATGTCGTTCGTACATGCATTTCAGTCTTGCACGAACCATTTTTGGGGCGACTTGCAAGCATGTAAATCCGTAACGGCAAATGTTCGTTGAATGATCCATTGTATGACTATAAACAAGGTGTAAATGGGAATAACTACGCAGAGTCTTTATCCCGGAATATTGAAGCTCTTAGCGCGATGACGAGTTTGAAATTATTGTTGATAGAAAACCTCTTTGTTACTGAAATAAAAATAAGCATTAAGCAATTTTATAAATAATGAAAAATTTAAAGAATTAAAGTTTCAACGGAACCGAGAGAGGGATATGCAGCCGAAGGAAGACAAAAAATAACTCACGTTTTATGGAATGACGCATGCAAGCTTGCTAAATTTAATGGCAAAATTGAAGTTCTTGAATGTATCACTTGAGAGACTAGGTTATATAAATACTTCTGTCAAAACCAAGAAAAAAATGAGGCTTTAATCGTTTAGATCGATTACGCATGAAGGGGGGTCTTACGCAAGACTTTGTGTTTAGTTATATAAAACATGCATAAGATTGAATTTATTGTAAGGATGCAGAGGGAATAAAGATTCATTCCCAGGGTAGTGATGTTTGTTATAGTCACTGGCCACGTCTAAGTAATATAATTTCCGACACCAAGAAAGCACTTATTATACATTTCTCCTCATGTATGACAGCTTAATGGAAGAACTGTGAGGTTCTTTAAGTGTAAATTACAGCCTATATTGTTTGTCTAAAACTTGCCATTTTTAAGCAAAAATTATCGCGTTGTAGCTTGTAACATTTACGTAACTTGCTCATATTAAGCTCAAAAACAAGCATAATGCAGGCTCTCGTGCATATCAACCTTTTGTATATACATTTTGCCCTGTCGAGCACTTAAGTCTTTGCGTCACGAAAAACTCCATTAGGATTGATGCAATATATAAGATTATCAAGTACCACTCTAGCTCTCAATGTGCGAATATTTTTCCAATGCTACGAATGTAAAAAGTACCAAATCTGCAAGGAGAAAACGTGAAATGTGATTAGGAATAACTTTTCGAATACAAATTACATACATGGTAATTAACGCTACTCTGGTTTTAATAAATGAAAGTAATCACCACACAAAGATTAACTTGTTGTTCTACTTATTATGCATATCTTGTATTCTGTTATGTTGTCAATAATTGTTGTAAATAATTATTTAATTCATCGAGTATTACCTCGCCTGTATCATATTTCTACTTTATATATTTCATAATGTAAATAACTATTATTTCAAATGCTTAATTACTCTTGTGCTATTCAGATCATATGTTTTAAAATGGCTGTTATGCTGACGCGAAACAGAATTCAGATTTCGCCAATCACATGTTTTCTCGTCTTAAACTCGCGGCGCATGCGCCTAATTCACAAAATCGCTCCAGGGTGTATTCGGGCGGAATTAGTACCCTCCGAAGCGCCGGCTCGGGCTCAAACGTAAATTTCCGGTTTTGCCGCCGTTGTTGAAATGGTCCTCGCGAGAATGTGTAGCAACTTGGACACGCTCTCGGTCCGTTAACCCGAGATCAACCTAATTTGCAGAGTGCGTGCACAGATCCCTCAGATTTTATTAGAGATGCACAAGCAAGGGTCACTAGCGGACTCAAAATGACAAACACAGAACCAATGCAAAAGGACTATTTTCGATCAACACGTTGAAGTTACTGTTACTGGGTCGGTGAATTACGCATTTACCCTTCACTTGTCCCTAAATTGGTCGTTTCTAATATATATGACAATTTGTGCATGTATAATACAGCACTTTTTTTCACAAAGGCTTCAGAAAAGAAAGCCAGGCCAAGTGGCAATCCGGCAGCTTCACCACACCATGCATCTCCACCGGCGTTAATAAATAAGTGATAAATTAAATTCTTTTCGTTGAACTTAAAAACATTCGAATGAATTTCCGAACATGCAGTTCGACGTCTTTTCGGACTGCAACTTGGACTCAGGGTCGCCAGATTACTGAAAAAAGAAGCCAAACATTCTTGTGGTCGGCCGTTTGATTTTTTTGTTTGAAACAAAGAAAACAGCGATTATTCAGTAATCTCATGGCAACCCTCCTTGGACTTCTCCCCGCAGCCTGATATTCTGCCTAGGGGGATTTAACTATGCACATTTTTCACCATTTTTAATCGAGTAGTTTATAAATATTTCAAACAGTTTTACAAAATTCATGAAGTTGTTTCATATTTTCAAGTTAAAATCTTCATTAGACATAAATGCACATATAACACTAAGTTAATAGCAATAAGCTACATACAATCATACCTTTGCGTGCGTGCGTGTTTATAGCGTGACTACATGCATGATCAGATACATTGTGATCTAATTTAGTAATGTGCATGGTGCAATGTCACACAACATGGAAACTTTGTCGCTAATCGCATAATATAAACCTCATAAATAAACCTCATAATACTGATAAACCTAAATATATCGGAATCTAGTCATTTTAGTTTATTGTGAATTTACATGTGCCCATCCAACCTCGTACCCAGGGTCTTTACCCTCCCCACGAGTAGAGTAAAGAGACCCTGGGTACGAGGTTGGTGCCCATCTTGGTTTGTATCGATAGCATCATAGATGTGATTGTGAACATCGTCACACAAAGCCTTCAGTTCTTCGCAATATTTTGGGTCGGGTGGAATTCATTTCGCCTTTTTTTAAACTTGTTCTCCTATAGCCTTTTAAACGTCAAACCTGTGTTGCGTCGAACGCAATAAGGGAGGTTGCTCTTCATAAATGAAGCTGGTTGGTCGAAGGTGCCTCGTGTACTGGCACGCGTGCGCGATATTTCCAGAGCGCGTTTAAATGTGATTGGCTAGAGGACTGTTCGACTGTTCGTTAGGAAAGATACTTTCTTCAAGATGATAATTTTTAAGAAAATATGTACCAATTAAACACAATTCAGTTTAGTTATTTGAAGTAAACCTCAACATCTGATTAAGCAGACCATGCAGTCAGAATCATTATAGAGACAGGCTAACTTGTTCAGAGTAGACACCCCCCGAAATGTTTTAAATCGTTGCAAAATTATTTTCGCGTAAAATACAACTGTAACATGTCGAAATCGAAATCGAAACTTTCCTCTAATTAACTGCTGGAAGTTGCTTCATTTTGATAACTTCACTTCTTAAGAAGCTATTATGTCTCCGTGCAATATAAGGTATATGTTAAATTAATTATCATGCACCGAAGATCTTATTACTAATAACCATGAATAAAAACAGAACTTTTGTTTTTGTATATTTACATGACTGAATATAACGTCGCCCACTGAATCGAAGATACTTCACCGGGCCTATAGGATATTTGAAAATTTCATGCTGCATAATGTTACAAGGTCAATATCGACGAGGAAATTACTTGGGGAACATGTCACATAAAATGACGTTTAAAGTAAATATTATTATGACCCTTCGAATCACAAAATTACTTTTCCTTTCATGAGGTGACAGCCCATGGGATTTCCTGCCAAACAATTGTACTGTCGTACAAAGTTCAAGTGTCACGACTCAAGAACATAAGTTCTAGGCGGATACTAGTTTGTGTCAATCGTTTCTTTGTTATATTTTTGCTTTAAGCACTTAAAGTCTTAGGTCACGAAAAGCTTAATTCGAAGTTTTGAGATATGGCTCACAGAGTAATAATTTGGTAATTGTACTTTAAGTTGTGAACAAGTTTCAACATAGATCGATTAACATAGATCGTCAACAAAACAAAATACGAGAGCTGAACTGAGCTTCAAACGCCAACCCACACTTGTAACCTACAACGCTGATTGGATAGTGTGGATTGCACCACTTTGTATATGGCGTCTACAAGATCCTCTCAAATTTTATTATGAAAGGATGTGCACAGCAACAGAATCCTCAGTTGACTAACGGAGTAAAAGTCATTTGAAACGTTAGGAAACTCAACATTACGGAACAGACTAAGAAGACACGACAGTAACGACGAAGACTAGAAGAAAAAGCAAAGCAAGAAGAGAACATTAAGAACATTAGTCAAAAATTGTTAAGATCCTACTACCTCGCGTAGAACAATAACCGTTTAACAATAATATTATTATTGATGCTTGTCATGCATAGGCTTAGCTACCTGACCATCATCGAGACCATCATCCCGGCCACAAAGAAACATGCGTGCACTAAAATAGTAAATACTTTTTCCCTCATTTAGAGACCGGTCATTGTATATAGCGGGGTTGGGGCTAAAGATAATTAAAGTGGTGGGGTATAGTAAAAATAATAAGTAAGAGAAGGTAGATGTAAACTGGAAATTATACAGTTTTAATAAAAGATAAAAATCAAGCATGAACTGTACAATGATATCTGTATTGCCTGGGGCATTAGTGTTTAAATCAATACAGTGTCAATATTTTTTTCTCATTTAGAGACCGGTCATTGTATATAGCGGGGTTGGGGCTAAAGATAATTAAAGTGGTGGGGTATAGTCAAAATAATACGTAAGAGAAGGTAGATGTAAACTGGAAATTATACAGTTTTAATAAAAGATAAAAATCAAGCATGAACTGTACAATGATATCTGTATTGCCTGGGGCATTAGTGTTTAAAATCAATACAGCGTCAATATTTTCCCCTCATTTAGAGACCGGTCGTTGTATATAGCCGGGTTGGGGCTAAAGAGAATCAGAGTGGTGGGGTATAGTCAAAATAATAAGTAAGAGAAGGTAGATGTAAACTGGAAATTATACAATTTTGATAAAAGATAAAAATCAAGCATGAACTGTACAATGATATCTGTATTGCCTGGGGCATTAGTGTTCAAAGTCTATACAGTGTCTAAATTATGCATGGCTTTAAATGTGTGTACATTGTTATTAAAACTCAATCAGGAATGTGAAATGTTTCAAATAGGCTAATTGCAAAATTATTCTGTAACTGTAACATATCAAAATCTAAATCAGACTTTCCTCTAAGTTGTTTAAATTTGATAACTTCACTCGTTAAGTCTTAAAGAGTTTAGTTCCAAAAATAGTTCCATGCAACGTCGCTGACGCCCTTCGGTGCACTTCGACGATTTATATTAAATGTTCACTGTCGTATCAAGTTTTCAGCAATGCTTTTTTATTCAGAATATTATATCTAAGACATGAATACACAAATAGTACAATAATATATCTACCGATCAATAATGTATCCACCGATCTTAGAATGTGTTTATCAAGATGCAGGTCTATATGCCAGAAATTTCCATAAATGAATCATTGTACAAAGAGTCTATATCTTCAAAATATTCATTCTACTGTGACGAAAAGGCTGTCCGTCTCAAATAGAACGAAAGTCCACTTAATTCAATCTGCTAATGGCCCAAGAAATACTTTGGATGATTCGTTTTCTTCAAAATCATGCAAGTACTTCAGAGATACTTCAAGAAATTCTTTGCGACTTATTTGACCATTCCCGTTCACACCAATCAAGTTGAAAGATTTGACGGCGGCGTCATCTGGCATACCAGGAGCAAACATTTTTAAATAGATTTTAAATTCCTGCAACGAAATGTGCCCATCTTGGCTTTTATCGATGGACTCATAGATTTGGTTGTGAACATTGTTAGATATGACTTTTTGTTCCTCGTACGATGTTCTCAAGTTCGCTTTCTTTGCTTCTCTTCCCAAAAAATTCTTACTCCTGCAGCGAATCCGAAAGCATCGGCGGCGTACATAAATGCTTTGTGGCATGATTCAGCTCGCTCTTCAGTTGGTTTGCTATTGTCATTCACTTTCTTTACCCCAAGATCGTAGTCCTCTCGCGAAATATAACCGTCGTTGTTTACATCTGGGCGAGCGTGTCGCGTTCTTAGTTTTCGTAAAGGTATATACTGAAAGCCGTCGGTGGGATTCATCACAGCTTATTATTTTTGCGATATTACCTTATGTGGCCTTTCAAAACGTCGAATCAAAGTCGCGTCGAACGCATTATTGACACACCTAATCTCATTTCCAATGCTAAAAAGGCTCTGGCTAAATAAATCTGATTGGTCCATCTAGCTTGTTTACTACCACGCATGCGCAATAACGCAGCGCGTTCAAGATACTTTACCAGGCCTAGGATATTTGGCTACGCCCTTACATCGTACCGACCTCGAAGGAGCACTAAAATAGAAAATATCCCCCCCCCGTTTAGGGACCAGTTATTGTAGATAGCGGGTATTGGGGCTAAAGAGAAAGTGGTGGGGTAGCCAAAAAAATAAGTATAAGAGAAAGGAGATGTAAAGAAACTTACAAAATAATGCTGCAATAAAAAGTATAAATCAAGCATGAACAACAATGATATCTTTATTTCGTGGGGATATTAGTGTTCAAAGTCAATATAGAGTGTCTAAATTATGCAGGTATCTAAATGTTTACATTATTACGTTAAAAAGTACGTCTTATAGCTAGAAAATACAATGATCAAGCATTTTGGGGGTTAAATGCATAAGTAGGCATTTGCCTCACTTACATTTAATAAAATTATCATGAAATTTTGTAAGTAATGTTTACAACACGAGCGCCCGTGTTGTAAATAACTTGTGAAATGAATTTGCAATCAATAAGATTTAATAAATATGCAAATCAGTTACATGGACAAGTAGCTGTATTTTCCGTTACAACCACTAGTGTTTGTAACTGATTTGCATATTTATCCATCTAATTTATATGGGGTGTGCAGGGTGTGTGCATGCATGTGACCTAATTCACGAATAATTTATTCTCATGAATAATTACTTTCACAAGTTCAGATAAGCGTAATTCAACAGCTTGTTGAGTGTTGATAGTGAGTGTTTTAATTGTAGTCACCCAAAAATATGCAATGCTTCAAAAACTTGCAAAAATTCTTTTCAATTTTATAAACAAAAAAGGCTTAAATTTAAATTAAGATTTCTTACATGCATGCAGCAACCCGTCACCATTTCAAGCAAGCAATTTCCTAAGCTGTACAGACCGAAGCATATGAAATGATTCCATGAGTTGATACTGGAACTGGAGAACCGAGTATTTTTCATATTTTATATATAATGGGTGCCTTTTTAATACTGCAGGTTTCGTATCGATGCATTAGCAGCTCTTTTATTGCGTACATTTATTCCTATATGCATAATGATAGGGGGGAAACCACCTTCGAGTTTGAATCTAATTTCGGGATCCAGTTCGACTTAGACTTCGATAAACTTTATCGCCACTACCGATGCATATGATTTTTTGCGAGCCGCCAGAGAATTTCTTATAACATCTGATTTATTACTTTCTCTCCTCAGTATAAGGAAAATCCTAGCGCAAATCAAATCGGGATCTTGAAGAGTTTCGCAACAGCTTTAACCAGAGTGGAACTAAATGAAACGGACATAAAAAATGTTGTTGGTGATTTGGAACGGCTTGGTGTAATCGACTGGGATGTGACCCAGGTACGAGAGAAGATGTAGTTTTAAACATACGGTCGTTTTACTGGATATTGGTTGTTTGTATATACATGCATAAACTAGAAACTGGATGTTCATGAGAGATCTTCAGAGAGAGGACAAAACAAGAATTATGATTCACTTTATACTAGCTATTCTAAATTTTGATTGGTTTATTTATCTGGAAATAACTGCATGCTAATACATATTAATTTTAGCGTGCACATCTGTCTAAACGGTTTATCGGCTGTCATGCAATTTTGTAAACAATATGCATCGCGGTTTTTAAAAATGATTTTCGAGCGCCTTTTTTGAAACTAAACGCTAAAAACACGACATCTTTATAAATAAGTAATACCGCCGTCAATGTTCTCTACGCCTAATATTTTGAGGCCAAAATATTTTTGAAGACAATCTATTTAACTGTAAACAAATTCCTAAGAAAATCCCTCAGTTTTAGCCGAGAGCAGGAAAAAACTAATTCTATAATTGAAGATGAAAAGATTATTTTGCTCGACCTCGTCCAATAGTTCATTTTTATTTACATTTCGTAAAACTATTATACAGACGTTGGAGTTAATGCAGCGGATCAAAAGAGAATGGGGAGAATTTAATGATACAGATAACAATGACGAGCCGGTATGGGGTTTCCGGAACTTAAAGAAATTAGGAAAAATTGTTGTTGGATTGGCGAAAGAGGATTTGCGCGAGTTGTCAGTCAGAGGAATTGAAGACGTCATGGAGGTTCTTGGACAAAACACGGGATGGAGTCGCGGACAGGTATATATATATATATATATATATAGATATATTAGCAGGTTAAATGCTTATACACCTTTTCAGCTTGTATGCAAATTAACCATTCCAAATCACATTGTCTGAAATGGTTAAGATTTATTAGCTATGCCATGGTCACAACATCTGTATATGCCATTACGGGCGGAAGTGTATAACCAATTTACTTACACACTTATGGACATCATGATACAAAAGTATACAAAATTTTTCAACTTCGCTTGGCTGTATTTTCGGTTCTTTGCAATATTACGCAGCCAAAGTTGGCAATTGTACTGAGTTTAGTATGCTCTTTTTGGAAGTATTTTTTTGTCGCCTAAGTGAAAAGTTGCTTTATTATGCAAGTGGCCCATTCATTATACGACTGAAATTAACAGAGCTAGTTTCCCCCCTTTTTTAAAAAATCACAGAACTTTCACAATTTTTCAGATCGTCGCTGCCATGAAGCGGGTGCGCGAATATTGGGATGTTAATAATCTTCATTTCTCAAATTTAACTGAGACCGACATAAATGCACTGGGCGAATTTGTGACGGGCCTAGCCCTGAAAGAATTGGAACAGCTGCCAAAGAACGTTCTACACATCGCTATTAGAAGTCTTGGCGAGAAATTCGATATTTCAGAAGATAAAGTGCGTTCTCGGGCATACCTTGCTATTCAGCTTATTAAGGTACAGTTTAATTATTAGTGTATAATAATTATTGCACCGGGGTTTTGCTAAACAGCGGACCATTTCATACCAATATTGAAAATCATGAAAACCACATCACCTTAGCATCAAATGTGGTATAACAACTGCGTAAAATAGACAAAACACTTCTCGACGTTTCGACCTAAGGGCCTTCAGTTATAGGACCTGAGTTATTCTAACGCTCCTGACAAAGGCCCTCAGGTCGAAATGTCAAGAAGTGTTTTGTCTATTTTAGGCAGTTGTTATACCACATTTGATGCTAAGTTGTTTGAAGACGCTGCCACGCTGTTCCCTGGTTATATTATAACCACATCACCATGCATCTTATAATTTATATTTTATACTTTTTCAATCCTTACATTCTATACAAATTCGTGGGATCGTAGTTTTTTTAGTCGCCATCATTACAGTTTATGATTCATCTGACTTCAAAAGGCACCCTTTCAAAAATGCTGGCAATGAGGGCATTGCCATCTCTACAAATGTCCAGGATCCGAGTACCTATGCTTTGAAATGCTTTTCAAAGAATTCTATATATACAACAAGTTATGACCTGTGATATTATTCTCTTTGCCTGTCTAGAATGAAACTGGAACAGACATTCTCAATGGCGTACAAGTTGCAGAATTAGGAAACTTACTAAAAGGGGTTAACCTCGCTGTTTTCAAACAAATAACCAAAGAGGGTTTCCTCGACAATTTGCATCAAATTACTCGCATAAAGGGCATGAGTGACGGTCGTCTGTGGCAGATTGTAGAACTAGCGAAGAAGCATTATGAACAAAGCGATGTGGGCAAGTGGTTAGCCTCTCAATGGCGTGATTTGGGTCCTGCATTAAAGACACTACGCGCGAGTGAACTTCGTCGTATCAGCAAGGACGCCTTTGATGAAATGGTTGAAGAACTTGGTGATCTCGATATTTCGGTTGAGCAGGCACAAGCTTTGATCCAGGCGGCTAAAGAACATTGGAAACAAGGTGATGTGGCCAAATGGACAGGAGAACAATTGCGAAAGCTTGGATCTCTCGTGAAAGGCCTCGATGCAGCGGAAATTAAACGCCTATCTGAAGATCTATTCAAGGAAGCGGTGGGCGTCTGGGGCGAACGTCTCGATTTGACGGACGAAAATCTCAAAGCCTTGGCGCAAAAAGCAAAAGAGGTCTTTGTTAAATCGGATGCAAAGAAGTTCGTCGCAGAGCAGTTGAAAATGTTAGGACGAATTGTTTTGGGTTTAACACCTGAAGATTTGGAAAAGCTTGAAATTAATAATATAGACGTTGTTGCCGCCCTTGGAAAATGGAAAGGCTGGAATAAGGAACAGGTAAAATTACTGAAGAAGAGACATGCGCTATATTATTATCGTAAAGTTTTGTATTGTTGAAAAATGTTTTAAACTTTACCATGACATAGTGTGTTAGCTAGGTCTCCTTAAAACTTCTTGAAAACCTCGGACATATTTTTTTCAACAGAACAGTTGTACGTCGCCCATCTTTATGAAAAACATTTATATTGCAGGGGCCGGTTGTATCAAGCCCGTTTAGCTTAAATGGTGCATGGATAAGTCAAAATTAAATAACCCTCTTACAACTCTCTTGAATGAGTCAACTTGAATATTATGCACTGAATATGTAGTTGTAAACAGTAGCTTCGTATTAACGTTAAAAACATTTTGTTCGCTTGTTAAATAAAACGGCAAACTTGCTTTCTATTTTAAACTTATCCACCGTTTAAGCTAAACGGGCTTGATACAACTGGCCCCTACAAACGAGCGTCCATTATTTTATGCCTATTCATGGTCAAAACGTTATTGCTATGCTACGTTTTACGTGTTCTTTATTAAGCTCGCCGAGCTGGGGCCTAAGATCCAAGAGTTCCTAACAAAACAAAATTGTGCCGAGTGCTACACGAGCCTGGGTTATCTGGCTAAAGTCTTGAAACCTACGAATATCAGACTTCTAAGCAAGAAAGCTTTTGAGTAAGTATTTTTTTATTGTCACACTGTGAAATGCATAGTTTCTAATATGGATCGTATAATATATTCTGCTTAATAATATTCTAATATAGATCATAATCTATTCTGCCTTTGGTCTGAATTTAAATAAGGTGATGTTTCTTTCTCATTCAATTGAGATCGAAGATTACCAGTACGCAAAATAATTTTTTGGGTCTGGTTTCTAACTTTCTGGTTTACGCCAGGTTTGGTAACTTTGGTTTGCTTCAATTTTGGTCCAGTTAAGTTTTCGTCTGAATCTGAATCTCGTTTATTTGTGTAAATAGAACCATTGTTTCTTAGGTTTTGTGTTAAACTGTTTGCGGAAATTGACGACTTGTCGCAGGAACAGCTGGATGCTTTGGCCGAGAAAGCCAAATCAGTGTGGGGTTCATCTAACCTGTGGGAAAAGGCTCAAGTCAGCGAACTCGGAAATATAATTCGTAAGTCTTTCGTTTGCTACGGTGAAAGGAATATTGGTGTAGTTTCTGCTAGGGATGAGGCCATTACCGCAGGGATTTTTCTAAGTAAATTCCATCACTGCACAAAGCTTACTTTTAATTCACGGTGACAGGTATAACGTTCACGACACATTAACGGTTCGGGTTCAAAGAATAAACATGTTTTACAGAATTTTTTTTTGCTAAATAATATGCAAAAGACCGTTGTTGTGATAAATTTTCGTTGTTGTGGGACGTTGTTGCCAAGTATCGTTGTTGTGATAAATCCTAATCTCTTTTATCACTTCAAAAATCTTATTTATATATCACTCCACAAATTGGTCATCACCACACTTTATTATAATTTCCGCTATACCGTTGTGGACTTCCGCAAAAAAATGATATTAATTTTCCTATATATGGTCGCAATTAGAATGTCTGAGCGCTATGCTAAACCTCAAGATGCATGGATATTAGCTTTTTGAATTTTTAAACAACTCCTACTACTATAATATATTCGACTTACAAGGACGTCCAGGAGATCAACTGACAAAGGAAAGAATAATTGTTGTAACACAGTTTTAAAATTATACATTCATCAAATTTTGCGCATTTAAGAGCGGTTTAGGGACAATGATATAATTTCTGTATTCTCATCTTTTGGGGACATTCGTATATACATATATGTATATATATATATAGGCTATATATATATATATATATATATATATATATATACACCCATTTGCAAAAACGTTGGCCGCAGATAGATAGATATATAGATACTCGAAGTCTAATTAGAGTTGCATATGATTACATTTGCATGGGATTTCAATCATATTACACAACATATGCATTTCTAATTAGATTTCGAGTATCTATCTATCTATCTGCGGCCAACGTTTTTGCAAATGGGTGTATATATATATATATATATATATATATATATATATATATATTTATATATATATATATATATATATATATATATATATATATATATATATATATATATATATATATATATACATATATACGAATACTGCTTAATGAGGTATATTAAGAATAATTTTAATCTTGATGCAATCTGAAGCCTCAACTATTTGAACACATAGCTAACTTAAGAACGACCATTTGTCTCAGACGTCCTATAATTGCATGTGATCGGTGGAAAGTGGAAATGAAGGTGTAAACGCAGAATAGAGTAATGATATTTCCATATGTTTTAGGTGGTCTGAAAAATAAGGATATCAATAAGTTACAAACTTCGGTTGTTGACGCCATTAAACCCAAAGTACTTCAAGAACTTGATACAAAAAGCCTGCAGGTAAACAATACACTGTTTTATAAAAAGTTTGTATCTTATTAAAGATTTTCTTTTTCTTCTTTATATTTTAAATACTAGATTATAATAAAAACCAAAGAGGAAAGGGTTAATATTTGAATAATCCATTTTCTGCGCCTCAAAAACAATGCCTATATGGTCCCTATGCGATTGCCAGTTTCTTCAATTCTTTGTTTATAAATATATACGACGCCATTTTTTGTCACGAAATTCAACTATCTTGCATGGTTGACATTAAAAAGTTTTTTTCCTTTTGCAGCGAACAAATTGCGTTAATTGATTTACTTTTTCTTCGCCTTATTTACCATCTATTAAATGATTCTAAATTAACAATATGAATTTCAGCAGGATATATTAATTTTAATTAACTTTACAAAATTTACAAACTTTGTAGGTTTAACAATAACAATATTAAGTTTAACATGGCATCGGCTAAAATTACTCGAAACTTTATGTATACCTACTCCAAAATAGTAGTGGCTGTATAACGCTGACGACATGGCTGTATAATGCAGTTATGCTGGCTGCATAATGCTGGTTGTATACATAATCAAGACTCGCGAATTTTTATTTTACCCCGCAAGGCTTTTAGCCCCGAACAGTTCCGTTCAATGGACTCAACTCAGGTAAATATGATCAGCGAAGCAGCAATTGGATATTTGAGTGCAGAGCAACGTAAAGCTGTTAAAGATGTTAAGGAAGATGACCCCGTTGATCCAAATCCCTGGCCCCAAGAAAGCTGCGCCGGTAAGTGGAATATGACATATATTCCATTCCACTGGAGCCGGAATTTTTCTCCCCACAGGTTCATGTATGCCTTAATGCGATATCCGGAACATTCGGGAAAAAACCGCCAGACCGATCCTGTTGTATTAGACAGATTACTGGTATTTTAAAGTGTTTCAAGAACCCTGCATTCAAGTATATCGTTATTTATATCAGCCTAGCACGGGAAATGCAGTTTCACCGCTATATTCTTAACGAAATACTCTATTTCAATTTATAATATGACCGGCCCTAGGTATCAGTGCCAGTCTATCCTAAAGGCTTCACGGATTGTGCTTGGTAATTATTTGGCATCTTTTTGCCATTTTTCGGGTGGCGACAAGCAGCGACCGCGTAAAAACTTGGTTTTTCTATACGTACAATTAATATAATCGTTCTCCTTACTCTCTTTCAGGCCCCGAATGCGAAACTTCCTCTGGATGTCACCAGCTGGCTGCAAACGTCCTTATTCTTATGGTTGCTTTGTTGATATACCTGACGAAAAACTAGTTCCAGGAATACGGCATGCACGCAAATTTTTTACATTGATGTAACACGTACCAAAACAATTTAACTATATATAAACGCGGTATTAATCACAATTCCCGAGACGTATATACACTAATAATATGACGTAACATGATTTGAAGCAAGTTTTCCACTAGCGATATTTTTCGCGCAAAGCGATTGCTTTTTTTGTCTTTGGTCAACTTTTTCTGGTTGCAGCTAAGTACTCTAAAAAGCAGAACAAAAGCAAATTATAGCAAGTGAAAAACCGGTATTTGTATTGGGGTTTATATTTGATATATAATGGGCGCCTTAAGTAACGTTTCTATCCATGCATGGGTATTTTATTATGAATATTTATACCGGGAGATTTATCCAGTTCAAGTTGTTTTTCTTAATTGATTGGGCATGCGATATTTCTGTTCTAAGAGACTGAATCTAAGAGACTACATCTGCCCGATGGATTTCTATTGGGAGCCACTGATTGTCCAACCACTGATTCTTGTTCCTTCGTCCATTTGCTATTGGAATATGCATCACCATTCACCATCGTGGGCTACCTTATCATCCGCATTGTCAGATGAAATTAATCCGATCCAGATCGTGCTCTTAAAATCATTTGCTCGGATTCGTCATATATTGATGCGCTGGTTGGTTGTAAGCAGCGCGCTTTAGATGACAAACACACATTATAACGTCGCATTCAACTATTACATTTCAACTATTACATTGATAACAAAAAAAAGTACTTACCGACCTTTTTCGAGTTACATAGGTAGACACAAAACACTTTATCTGTACAGGAAACTCTATAGGTAAACATATGCGATTTTTATTCCCGTATAATGCACGAAGGACAATATTTCTATCAAAAATTATTTTTTTACTTGAAACATCAATGCAGGAACATTGTTGTTATAGCATGATTTACTATTTATTTATTATTTTTTTTGGTTTTAGATATGCGCAGAGAAGGAGCACAAAGCTTAAAAGGAAATCCCACGAACCTGCTTACGATTACTGTTTGCGAAACTCAAAACAATATTCGATTTTTACCACTTATGTGTACTGAGCGGTTTCGTAACTTGTTACATAGAGTAAAGTGTGAGCATCAAAAGAACGGTTTATTCGTGCCTCGTGGAGGAATTGTCATATCATGCATTGCGAAGTCAAATCGCGCATCGGAAAATTGGCCAAACATTTCGAGTAGTGCACCACAACTCTTGCGAGACAAAAATTTGACGTAGATAATTACGGTCACATACACTCTTCATCGAGCGCCGCATCCAGTCAAGCGCTGGGTACAAATGAGCATCCCACTTTTCAAATACTAGTATATTTCGCGCCAAAACACGCTTGCGACGACGAAAAATAATAATAAAATCGGGAATCGGGCGGAGAAGCGCGTGGGCGTGAAATTTAACACTTGAATACTTCACTTGAGTATGTTAATTACGAAGTAAAGGGCGAATATTTACTGGACGCGGTTACTAAAGCTAAAAAGACATGAATGTGTTTCTTCGATTGGCAGGAATTACCGCAATGGTCGCAATAAGTTATAGCTTGTTGAGAAAGTTTATTGCCGGTGGAGTCTGCACAAGCACAGCAAGAATGAGTGGCAGGGTAGTGCTTATAACAGGAGCGAATTCTGGAATTGGTAAAGCTACTGCAGTTGATTTAACTAGACGTGGTGCAAGAGTTATCATGGCGTGTCGGGATCTTAAGCGAGGAGAAGCTGCCTTGAACTCCATTGTAGAGGAAACTGGCAGTTCAAATGTCATCTTGAAACATCTAAACCTTGCCTCGATGAAATCCATTCGTGCATTTGCGAAAGAAATCAATACAAACGAGCCTGAGCTTCACGTATTGATAAACAATGCCGGAGTGATAGGTTTACCCAAACGGGAGGAAACCGAAGATGGGCTTGAATTAACTATGGCAGTGAATCATTTCGGACACTTTTTGTTGACGAACTTGCTTCTTGATCTGTTAAAGAAATCAGCCCCATCACGCATTGTTGTCGTATCCTCGATTGCACATCATAACTTTTTGGAAACGCTCTCGCCTTTCAGATTCGATAATATGCACAGCGAAAAAAATTACCGTAATTTGGAAGCTTATGGTCAAAGCAAGCTGGCGAATATCTTGTTTACGAGAGAGCTAGCGAGGCGCATAAATGGTAGCGGTGTAACAGCGAACTCGCTCCATCCCGGCATATCTTCCACAGGACTTGCTAATCCGAGTCGCCTATATGGACTGCCAGAGAATTTGGGAAATTTGATGAGGAGAGTATTATCTATATTTTTTAAGACACCTGAACAAGGGGCACAGACCAGCATACATTTGGCTGTGTCTGAAGAGGTCGAGGGCATCTCTGGGAGGTATTTTATCGATTGTGAAGAGAGAGAGCCAGCGAAAACAGGCCAAGATGATGTAGCAGCAAAAAAATTGTGGGAGATAAGTGCCGAAATTGTAGGAATGCAGGATTTAATAGCAGAGCCGGAGGGAAAATAAATTTGGCATGCACGCTCAGGAGCCTGATTGCTGTTCCATATGATTTATTTACATAATTTTTTGTGTGAATTTGGATGAGAATCGGAACTAATTTCCACATAATAGGAGACAGAAACCTCGTTAAATGGCGATGACGCCATTAATTGATGATGACGCTATTAATTAATAATTCTCTCAACAATGTAGGATATTTTAAAAATTCAGCGAAATGCAAAGAATCGGTCGTCTGAGAGAAAAGGTGTGAGTAACTTTAGCCTCAGGAGTTCCATCTTTAGCCTCAGGAGTTCCATCTTAGATTTCCTCTTTAGCAAGGCAATTCATATCTTTTTTCATAAATATTTTTTGCACTGATAGAAGTCATGAAGTTTTCTAAAGTTTTAAAACGAACAGTAGTTCAGAAGCAAATAACTAAATTAATAAAATCTAATAATAAATACTTAAATAATAAATAAAATTGAATAAAATTTAACCCAGGCATGTAGACACGTTCCAATATAACCAGGGAGCAGCGTGGCAGGGTCTTCAAACAACTTAGCATCAAGTGTGGTATAACAACTGCCCAAAATAGACAAAACACAACAGTTAATAGTTATTAACTCTCCTGACGAAGGCCGTCAGGTCGAAACGTCGAGAAGTTTTTTTGTATATTTTAGGCAGTTTTTATACCGAAGTTGATGTTAACGTTAACCCCGGCATGTGTTCAACTTAGTGTTCAAAGCTATAGATCAGCGCTAACCCCGGCCCACATTGTCTCTTCCAATTGTGAAGTTCTTTATAGTCTAGGCTGTGTCTTAAGCCCTGGTCAAACGAGAATGATAGTTGATGAGAGTTGCAACTCTCGCTTGCGTTTGACCGCGAACTCTCGTGCACTCTCATCAACTCTCATCGACTTTGAACTGGTTCAAATTTTAATGAGAGTTGATGAGAGTTTGGACGCGTTTGATCGGTCATGAGAGTTGATGAGAGTTGCAAAACCGCCAGCGGTTTGCATTTTTTTTGCAAAAAAAGAAATCTTTTGAAAACAACGGGCAGAAACAAAAAAATAGCAAAACGAAGTGGACTAATGACGAAATTAATGCGCGCGGTAATCAACTCTCGTTCTCAACTCTCATCATTATCGTTTGACCGTCGCATCGAGAGTTTGGAAAACTCTCGTGCGAACTCTCGCTTCTCAACTCTCATCCGGCTATCATGCTCGTTTGACCAGGGCTTTAGTTTCTGGACATTATATCCCAAACTACGTCAAAATGCTGACCTTTTTCAAAATACGTCATGTTTTCAGTTAGTTACAAGCAAATGCCGAAATGTTTCTCGACTTGTACTTTCGCACCGCCTCTAGAATTAATTTTTGCTCGTATTTGGAAAGGCTTCGTGACAAGCAGGTTAATCATTCATGGTACAAATTGAAGTTAAAATTAACGGGGGTAGACTATTCAATATTGTCATCCTCTTTATTTCGTTCGACGAAGACGGAACGCTTCCTAATCGTAACGTCACGGCTGGATGGGATGTCGTTTTGGGATTCTTGTTTGGCATTTGCCTCGCTTTCGTGTTTCTACGTTTGCTTCGCCTGCCGGATTTCGTGGGGCGTCCTAATTTCACTAGCCTGCAAAGACCCCAATATAGTCTGCGTTTCAGGCTATAATTTCACGTGCTTTCCGTAGTTTGTTGTTTAGGAGTTAGGACCGGGCAATTGGGCTTGCGAATTCGCCTGTTTCATTAGGAAGTTGTAGGAATTGTATAGTTAATTTTGATTTTGAAGTGTTCGAAAAATCAGTGAGAAATCTTTTCAAAGGCAAAGCATCAGGAATCTATCTTGGAGTGTTTTAACGATGAGAAATCCTATCACCGAACGCACTTGCTAATCTTTGATTACTTCTAGTTTAATGTTTAGAATTTCTACGCAGAATTTGAAAACAAACAAAATAACAGATCAAAATTTTCTTTCATATTTATTTTTAATTGCAAGCAAAACAGTCATCAAACTACTTTTCTGCCTCCTTTAAGTCAGCCTTCAGTTGTTTCTTTCCTCCTCTGATACGTCCGGTACGGCGAGCGGCGATCAGACCCACTTTCCTACCAGCAGATGCATCTCTTCGCATCGTCGAAGGTTTACCGATATGTTGATGGTTACCACCACCGTGAGGATGCTCTACAGGCTGCAAAGACACGACAGCTTGTAAACAATGGAGCTTCAAAGTTGTAATAACAGTACAATCAATCTACTTACGTTCATGGCAACACCACGGACGCGAGGCCAGCAGTTTCGTTTCACCTTGTACTTGTGGTAAGCACGACCGGCCTTCAACATTGGCTTCTCAATACGACCGCCACCAGCAACAATACCAACCAACGCTCGGTTTGCCGAAGGAACCACTCTCTTGATGCCGGATGGCAACTTAATGCGGGTTTTCCTCGTGTCAACATTATGTGAAATAACCGTGGCGTAGTTGCCTGAAGCTCGGGCCATCGCTCCACCATCACCGGTTTTTTCTTCAACATTGCAAATGATGGTTCCCTCTGGCATTTGGCCAACTGGTAAACAATTACCAACCTGCAATGTTGCTGAAAAACAATACAGGATATGATTCATATAAAAATTTAAGGCTACACCATAGATTTTTTTAGATCCATATAACACATCTCAATATTAATAAATCCCAATCCAATGGTGAAAAAATTGCTCCGAACATTTTTTTAACACTTGCATCACTGTAGGCATAGAATCACTCAATTGAATCATATTTTCAATTGATTTAGTTGATATTGGCTATTGTAATTTGAAATTTTTGTTTTACTTAGAATGGTGGTGACATTCTTTGAGATTATTTATTTTAATAGCATTGATCATATATGATTGGGAGATATTGCATTCACATGTACAAGGCATACACCACAGCTTGACATTCTTTAATTAGGTCAACTACTGTTTACTGAAAGTATTTATTATTTTGTAATATTTAAACCAATTGAGTGGTATTGGCAAAATGCAATTGAAATGAAGTTACACCTTTCTTGCCACAGTACACAAACTGGCCTGTGTACATTCCTTCTGTAGCAACAAAAAGCTCCTTCCTCAGTTGATAACGATAAGGATCACGGAAAACAACAACAGCCAGTGGAGCTCCACGACCTGGATCGTGAATGATATCTTTGATGACACCTTTTATATATCCATGTCTTTCAGCATAATCTAGCACTCGTAATTTGGCTGCACCTTTCCTGTGTTTAGTGTGGGATCGGAAAACACTGCCAGCGCCTTTACGCTGACCTCTGATTACACGACCCATTTCTACAGAGAAACAATTGCAGGTCTACATGAAATATGCACTATGTCCAGTGAGGCTTCACAAATTTTTCATGCTTTATATGAAGTATTCATGCACTACCCAGTCTAATATACTTGTAGAAAAAGAGACCCTATAGCAATTCTTCAAAAATGAGCATTCCTGCGGTCATGGTGATTATGTATATAATATATATGTTTACATCATGGGTTTTTGACAAACTAGATTTTAGGGGAAAAGACAAATTCATTTAAGTAAAAAAAATTTAAGAATTTCTGATAGTAACAGACTAGCAGTTCGATTGGAAGGATTTAATTTTAAAATTGTATCGATGAATATATACAGTATTTTCACGTCGTGATAATTCCATAACAAGAGCTTACACTACGTCGCCTTAACAGTCGAATTTAGGCGAATCTAGACAAAATATACTTTGAATTTATGAAAGTGATAAAACTTTACATATCAAATCGGTGTTATTTGGCGTTGTGTAATGTTCTCGGCAGAAAAATCGCTTTGATTGATATGGATTGCATTTTTCTTAACTCCTTACCTTCGAAGATAGATTTTGGAAAAGAACGAGCAGTGGAAATCAGAACATTAGTACTGGCACTAGAGATTGTGGAACGCGTCAGCATGACGTCACATATAGCGGCCGCCATATTTTTTGAAGAAATTGGAACACTTGTAAATTCCCAGGGAAATTCCATTGTATTAAACGCGGCAAGACTTGAAAATGTGTTCGTTTTCTAAAATGATAGACATTTGTCCCGGTGATTTGTAGTTTGGTCCTGCCTTTGGAAAAAGCTTGCAATCATGGCTATAAGTAGTGATGAAGTGAACTTTTTGGTATACAGATATCTACAGGAGTCTGGTTAGTTTGAATGAATCATTTATATTTAAAATACTTTAATCGAATATTTTAGCGGATTATACTAGAGTAGATCAGCCTTGCGTCAGTTTAAAAACTTCACATCTTTTTATATTGTTGCTATTATTAAATATCCTCAACAAGCTCCATGTATGCTTTGTAAATAGCCCTGAAATTTCCTGGCCTATTTTAATTTACAGCATGAATTGCTTACAATTTGAAAATGTACAGCTATTTACATTAACATGAATACAGACCTTGTTCTTGAAAAATATTTTGTCTGTTCACTTGGCTAAGCTATGATATATGCAATGTGAATAATCAAGCATAAATAAAAGGTTTGTGTGGGAAAAGTGAGGAACAGCACATATCATGTGGGTACACTGACCATAACTAGCAATTACGGATACAGATGGACAGTCACATATAGAAGCATGTATTTTTAGTGGAAACTCTGATGTTGGTCAGAGCCATGTCACTGATCTAATGTGATCACCTTCATGCTTATTGGCAGATTTTCTGTGAGATTGTTTGAACTTCATCAATAAATTTCTATAAAAACTATATTCAATCAATAACTTCTCATCCGTAGTACAACATACATAGATGTATGGGAAGTTTTCGCATTGTCTATAGATGGTATTGTCATAGACATTGTTCGTGAGCAAAATTCTTAACCCAGGTATACTGTAATTAGTGAGAACTTCCTTTTCTCCACAATGTACCTATGTTTTTCTCCTTTAGGGTTCCCACATTCTGCTTTCAGTTTTGGAGTGGAAAGTAATTCTATTCATTCAAGTATTGATGGTGTTTCAATACCCTCTGGTGCTTTAATTTCTGTGCTTCAGAAGGGAGTGCAATTTGTAGAAGCAGAAGCATGCTTTGGAGAGGTAATTAAAATGATAGTTATGTTCAGAACCGATGCGCAAACCTGACTGGACATTACCTTTTATATTTGAGTTTTAAATCAAACCATCAATTTTGTTTTGCACATGTGGTATGAGGGCTCTCTTAAGGCTCTTTTATTATCAACAATATATGCATTATGATGCATAGGAACACTCAACTATCTTGATTTTACAGTATGTTAGATATCAAAATACAGAACGAGAAGTGAAATAAGTTTTATTTTATTATATGGATGGTGGATTTCACTGAGAACTAAAACACTCATATAACTCATACGCCACTACATGCAGGGTACAGTGCTCGTATTTTCCGTATGTCACCTTTAGGAGTGACATAACGAGTTTTGAAAATTTTCCTGCCATTTTCATTGTTGTTGTGAAAATACAAATGGTGTTTGGTTCATATATAAAATGAAATTAACGGAAACCTAGGTTTAGGCTATAATTTTAAAAATATTCGCTTGACTTTGTGTATATAGTCGTATTGACTTTGACATTGTGTATTTTTGCCACTCTTATTTTAGTCCATATAATAAACAGAACATCATACGGTTCGCTCGAAGATATGGATTTAATGTTCTTATGTCAAAAACACTATCCCATGAGTGAGCTGTGCTCGCTCGTGAGATATTGGTGTTACAAGTCGAACGTAAAATCTATATTTACTGGCAACTGTGTAATGTACCAAAACAAATTAAACCAATGATACTATAGTGATGCTAAGAGGAAGAAAAATTATTGACTATATTTTAAGTAATAAATAATATATCTAGGTACAGGGTGTATACGAAAACAAAACTTTGCCTTCGTTGATTATTCGCTCATAGACAACTCGGACTCGTTGTCTAATTGTTAATTATGCCAAACAATACAATACTGCATTTAACAACGCAATACAATATATTACTATATGATGCAATACAATGAGGAAATTGGAATATGATGTGGAGGAAAGATATAGAGTAGAAAATGGTATAGTGAAAAGGGATGAAGAAGGAAAGTGAGCTATAGCCAAATTGTATATTCGATCATCGTCCTTAATAGTTAGGTAATGAAATAGCGTTTTTTAGTTCATGTTCCAACTTGTTGAAGTCTATTGAAACTTGATAAATTGGTCGTTGTTTTCCTTTGTTCGTCCTTGCTCGTGGTATGTATGTGTAGATCTCTGCCTCGTCTTGTGCAGTGACTATGGATATCTTCGTTCTTCGCTAAGTCGAAATCAAAGTCAATTAAGCCGTGCATGCATTTGTAGACAAAAGTGCATCAGTGGTTATGTTTTCTTGTCGCCAGCGTTTACCATTAAAGTTCTCGTAACGCGTTGTTCTCGAATATCGCGGTTGTTTGTTTAAGATGATCTTGGTAGCTTTGTTCTCCAGCATTTGCAGCGAGTTCATAAATACAGCATTGTTCTTGTCACCCCAAATCACGTCACCGTAGTCGAATAATGGAAGTACTAGCGATGTGTATAGTACACATGCAACGTGTGTTCAAATCTAAATATTCCTTGATCCTTCGCACTACCCCGAGTCTTTGGTTAATTTTGGTAATTAAATTGTCAATATGTTCATGCCAAGTTAAATCACTTCTTAGAATAAGACCAAGATAATTAAATGATGTTTTTCTTGCGATGATGCCGTCTAAAACACTCGTGCAAATGAAATTCGCAATTCCTATATTCGCTACTGAGAAATTTCAGCGCGTCTTTATTCTATGGTAACACAAAAAATATCAGAGAGATTCATTTTATCATCTCATTCAATTACAGGATGGAACTTTTTACGGTGAAGGTGAACTGTCTTTAGTAGAAGCTGTAAATCCATCTGCAGTTTCTGATTTACATACCAAAGCGCTGAGACATTTAGAGGATAAGGCCAAAGAAGCGTTGAGTTTTATTGACGTGGCAAGTGGTCCTGAGTTCCCCAACACGAAAGTGACGACTCTGGAGGGACATCAGTCAGAGGTAAGTTGCAAATTACTGAGTTTGTTTTATAATGACTGGAAATAAAAAAAATTGTACAACTGTGACTCTATATGACTGTATCACTGATGAGTATATGATGTATACATATAATACATTATAATCTATTCTCATATAACAAATTACGTTAACTATATACTGTATATCATTCATTACAACCATTCTCGTATACCTATAAGCGAGCACTCACAGTCACACAAGAGCTGAATTGACGGAATGTATTTTTATTCAAAAATATATAAAAAGATGCCTTGAATGGCAGAATCACTTCTAGGAATGCTAAAACAAAAGAGAACCATCAACCATAAGCATGCATATGAATCACACTGACACATTGTAACAATATTACAATCGTGTATAAAACCCTGGAAGCTGCCATGTTTAGCTAAGGAACTACAGCAACTGATGCCTTCTTCTAATTATAGTAAATTATATCTATAATTAGTATATATAGATATTTTAATAACTTTAAAATGATTCATATAAATGTGTTAAATCGCTATTTCATATTATAAGGTATGTGTGTGCAGCTGGAACCCAAGTGTTGACGTCTTAGCTTCTGGGTATGTACTGTGCGCTGTTGAATCCGTCCTTGAATAATTTCTCACTTGTGCCTGAAAGTTAGATTTGTGATGAAAGTGGGGATTATTTGGCCTATTTGCATGTTCCAGTGCCGTGGTATCCACAATAATCGCTTTTCGTGTTTTTGTTCTTTACCTGACATGCTTGCAGCGCTGGTGATGCCACCGTTAGATTATGGCCGTTTACAAATACTGAGGATATTAAAGAAGTCACTCCGTTGGTGTTGCCTCAGGAGGAAAAGGACAGCGAAAATATTCCGGGGAACATCCCTCAGGGGAAAGATGTTACAGCACTAGATTGGAATGTGAGTATATATTTTTTAACTATTATAAACAAATTTTACTGTACAATTGCCATATGTGTTGTATATATAACTACTTGCAATTTTCATTTCAACAGAACGACGGGACATTATTAGCTACTGGTTTGTACAATGGCCATGTAAAGATATGGAATAACGAGGGTGAGTATATTGTCATGCATGATCTACAGTGTATTTTGTAAATGACACCAGAGGATAAAGGATAAATTTCTGCATAGGCTAAATTTTAGATACCGGTACAACAATAGACCTCTCTTATAATGACGTCAAACGCGGAGAGTCTGATGTTACACGAAATTTGATTGGCTCCACAAAACTATCGAGCCAATCAAACTTCGTGTAACATCACTTCCGCGTTTGACGTCATTATGAAAAAGGTCTATTAAAATGCGTTTAAAATGTCTATAGACTCTATACATACATTTACTTTTTCGCCAATTAAGTAGCTATATTGTTTGTGAGATCTAATATAGAAAAACGTCGCACACCATACTTACATATACTTAAAAATATTCGCAATCTTCAACTCTCCTTAAATAGCCTTTATAATTTTTTTTGTGTCGTTCCTCCTAGTAGCTTGTTTCCTTGTGTCGTTCCTCCTTTTATTTTGATCATCCGGCTTTTTCGAGTTTACTGGACCTCACCCTGCCGTGAATGTTAATCATTATACATCTCTTATTATAAGGTCAAGAAGTTGTGACATTGAAGGAACATAAAGGTGTAATTTTCTGTGTGAAATGGAACGACAAAGGCAGTTACCTTCTTTCTGCTGCTATTGACCAGGTACAAATCTCAGCATGTAAACAAACTTTTTATATACATAATGATTGGCCATAAATTAGTGGAATTCAATTCTTTGTAATAACACTTTTTTACCCTCACCCTTTTCCATGCATGATTTTAAATATAATGGGACATATAATGGTTTGAACGAACAATTTTGAATTACACCCCCTTCATTTCCGCATCTTAAACCGTTATTTTCAAAGAGTGAATTAATCTATTGTATAATTTAAGTGTAATTTTAACTACGTACTACGTATAATTTTACATTTTCAGTTATGTATAGTGTGGGACACAACAACGTGGCAAGTCAAGCAACAGTTTTCTTTACATCAAGGTGAGTAAGGTTTAACGACTTATAATATACGTATTAAAACAAGCATGGCAAAAATTTTTTGAAGGGAATTGCCAATTGTCTGCTCACGTTGTAAACAAATACTTACTGTATCTTGTTATTATTTCTTTATAGCCCCAACATTAGATATTGATTGGCAAAATACAAGCACATTTGCTTCGTGTTCACCTGATAAGACAATCCATGTTTGTAAAGTCGGCGTTGAGAAATCCGTGAAAACGTTCGAAGGACATACGGTAGGTTAATTAAGCTACATATGTAGGTTTGTCTAGATTTGCTCACTGAAACTCATTCTTGGCAACTGAATCGTTGTTGCTTGTTTTTATGTTCTGACGAGATAAGAATTTATTAACAGTCTTGTGCAATCAGCAATGGACTCCAAAAACCTGCGTCTAAAGTCTAGACTAGCTGGCGCCAAATTAAAAACGGCTTCCATAAAATGTACCAAATGTACATGTAACCAGTACAGTTCTAATACAGTAGTTTAGGATTATATATTCTTCTATTCTATTGCAAAATTAGTATAATATAGAGTTTACTGTATTGTGGATAGGAATCATTGGGGGCCCCCGACTTAAGAAAGAACTTAAAATTAAAGCACCTTAAAAATGTTGGGCTCGGTGTATTATTCGCACACTAGTCGAAAGTTCGAGTGACAGTGATCGTTATTTTAAGTGATACGTTCATATTGTTTGTAACTTTTTCACATCGCTTTGAAGTACTTTATGCATCGCAGATATTTAAAACCATGACGTTAATAGGGACACGGAAAAAAAATTTGCCCCGGGCCCGACAATTTCTTTCGGCGGTCCTTCTCCTATCAAGCTATATAATGCCTATAGTGAGTTTTTTTTTTCAATCAAAAACAAGGATTCAAATTCAAATACAGTAAGTTTGCGCTACAGGCTAGTGCAGCTATTCTGGCGCTTCATTTGGCACTGAAATGGCTTCCAAATTTAACTCGTTGTTTTTTATAAACAAAACCTAAAGATGGATTTGAGATTACTATATTGTACATAGCAGCTGAATCATCAATCAACGAAGGCCCGAGCTTAACGGACCCAGGGTGGTATTAATTTATTCGCTTTATGCCCGATACACCATACAAGAATATTATATAGCAGCTATAAATATCACAGTAGATGTTATAATTACTTGCTATCATTCATTGGTGCCCTATTGAGGATAACTTTTGGAATTTTTCCACGATAAATTACATGCATTTTGGCGCAACTGTACAGTATATAATGCCTAATATATATCATGATGTGTAACCGCCGTAACGTCGAAACTTTTCAAGTTCTTCATTCACATCGTTTTCTCGTGTGTTTACGCGTATAGGGTGAAATAAATGCGATAAAATGGGATCCGTCAGGCACTTTACTTGCTTCGTGTTCTGACGATGGCAGTGCAAAGGTGAGTTTTAGTGTTCGTTAAATTGTTATGACCAACAGTATACCACATAATATATCATAATACAAAAAAGTGCAAAGTTTTGTTGCGAGATGTTTTCTTTTTGTCTTCTATGTTCAGATTAAGATTTTGTCTGAAATCGTCCATTGGCATTGATATTGTGTTTGGTTCTTTGTTCTTATAGGTATGGAGTTTGAAGAACGACGCTCCTGTACATAGCTATCAGAATGACGCAAAAGACCAAGTTTATACTTTGGAATGGAGCCCAAGTGGACCTGGAAGTTTTAACGTCACAATCCCTCCGTGTTTAGCAACGTAAGTCGTACTCTTCAAAGCCATCACGTTTCTTTGAAAGTCAATTTGCAGTATATTGTGATGAGTGGCTAATTAATATTCACATCAGGCCTAACCTTTCGGGGAGGGTCTATCTTGTGGTATGCATGAAAACACGGAGTCGGAGTTCCGGAGTACGGAGTTCCGGAGTACGGAGTCTCGGAGTGAAGTGCCCAAAACTTTAAAACACGGAGTGGTAAAGACACGGAGTCGACGTAAAAACACGGAGTCGACGTAAAAACACGGAGTCCACGTAAAAACACGGAGTGGTAAAAACACGGAGTCGACGTAAAAACACGGAGTCGACGTAAAAACACGGAGTCCACGTAAAAACACGGAGTGGTAAAAACACGGAGTCGACGTAAAAACACGGAGTCGACGTAAAAACACGGAGTCGACGTAAAAACACGGAGTCCACGTAAAAACACGGTTTTTACTCAATATTTTTATTTTATATGTGGTTCCAGGTATTCAGATCCTGTGGAGATGGCTATGCCCTCATTGCAGGGGTGTTGGAGGGTGCCTTTTGAAGATGAGATGATTGGCAATGTGGCAATGATGATGATAATTTTCCCCGGCACGCTCCCATGCCGCGCTTTATAATTTCACTAACGGGAATGCACGTGGGATTGAATACCACCCTTTCTCACAAAATCATCACACATTGGGGATGTTTTATGGAACCAATCAATTCAGAGAACAGGAAACAATCGATTAAGGGATTAGCCCCCAATAGCAAACCAACAGCCCAATACATACGGAAAAAAGCATGCTCATGCATATTTGGACTTCATCATCATCACCGATCTCACCACTAATTCACGTCACACAATTTTCCAAGACCTGCTAGCGGGTTAGAAACGTGCTTTTCCTAGTTATGCTTGGAGCCTGGTGAAACATAACTACAGTTTTCAACGAAAAACAAACGAAAGGGACTTGACCGGAATGGCAATAACCGGCATTCATTCTGGCCAAGGCATCTCACGCGTTTCCATATTGCACCCGGGTTTTGCCAAACAGCAAACACATATTCGTAGCATTTCATAAATATAATTTTCAAATCCACAATTATCCACAATATTCTGCATTCTACAGTTCCTATAACGGAATTATATCAAATGTTACCAATCATCAATCTTCATCATTGCCACATTGCCAATCATCTCATCTTCAAAAGACCCCCTTCAACACCCCTGCAATGAGGGCATAGCCATCTCCACAGGATCTGAATACCTGGAACCACATATAAAATAAAAATATTGAGTAAAAACCGTGTTTTTACGTGGACTCCGTGTTTTTACGTCGACTCCGTGTTTTTACCACTCCGTGTTTTAAAGTGTTGGACACTTCACTCCGGGACTCCGGAACCCCGACTCCGTGTATTTATGCATACCGTATATTGTCGTGGCCACGGCGATTTATTCAACCTCGTACCCAGGCTTTTTCCCAAAGAGAAATCCTGGGTACGATGATGTGATTTATTGTGCACTGACTGACCATTCCTTAGTATAGGATGATATGATATGATATGAGTCTAAGATAAACGTTTCAATATTTTTTGTTTACCTTCAGTGCTTCTCTAGACGGTGTTGTACGTATATGGGAAAACGAGACCGGCAGCTGTTCACTTACCTTGGCTGGACACAGAGAGCCCGTATACTCAGTTTCGTACAGTCCGGACGCAAAATTTATTGCGACCGGATCCAGCGATAGATGCGTAAATATTTGGTCGACTCAGGTAAGTGCCACAAAGTCGTCAATGTCTATGCAAACTTTTTTATCAATACTGTAAGGCATGCATTTCCAGGTCTCGGTTTATTAGAATATGCCGAGCAAAATAAGCAGGATTACATTTTAGTGGCGAAACTACAGCTACTTGCCAATAAAAATTCAGTATAGCTGGACATCAGAATTGATTACTATATGAATAAATGAGAGACATATTTAGCAGGTTAGAGTTTCTCTTTCTCTGCATATACTGTATGTATGTGTTTAATTTGTACCACAGTGTTTGTACCTATAGCTACTATATATAAACACTATTGTACCACACTTCTTTCCTTTACATTTACATGCATGTTGGTTTTGTGACGTTCTCTATACGATTATTTTTTTCAAACAATCCATACGTTTTTTCAATAACTACAGTTTTAAATCGTGCTTCACGTTATCTTTTTCCCAGAATGGAACTTTGCTTTATACGTACCAAGGATCCGGGCCGATATTCCAATTACAGTGGAGTCCTAGGGGGGACAAGCTTGCTGCTTGTGTTTCTGATACTACCGTAAGTAGCATCATTATTCATTGCAATGGTAAGGAGCAAAAGCCTGTCTCTCGTTGGCCCGATGCACCGGCAGTCGGCGATACAAGCCCCGTTTACTTACTTAAGCCCCATTTACACTACGCGCAATTTTGGTACGGATATAAATAGTACGCATGAAATTTGGATCATCTAAGTAGATGACCACAAATCTCGTCATTTTCAATTTTATCCGCTCCAAAACTGAAATTGAACAGAAATTGGTACGGGTGAAATTTGAACGGGTGCGAATAAAATTGATACGGGTGCGATTTATTGGCACGGCACGGCTAAAATGGGTACCCGTGCCCAATTTTATCAGTGCTCGGGTAACCAAAACAAAGGCCGGGCATGGATGAAATGGGCAGGGGTTCCTATTTTAGCCGTAAATAAATCAAGCGTAGTGTAAACAGGGCTTATCTGGCAGTTTAAATTTCATCCCAGGTTTTGTAAGGTAATCACTAGCTGTAGAATCATGTCAATTGTATAATTCTCTTTTGTCACCGGCCACCAACAATATACATGCACCGCCGAATGTCCGTGGTCGCCTACAGCGATATCATACCTCGCGCCAATTAGGCCAACTCAGAAGAAGAGTATATGAAACGCAGCAAACGTATATAAATCGATACATCTGTATGAAAGGAGTTAACTTAATTGCTTCATGCACGGTATTAATATGCATTGTTACGCCATGCATGCAGCTCCATGTGTCATAGTTAAATATAGGATTCATGTGGCTCATTGTTTTATGTATTTCATTCTATTCGCAGGTAAAACTTCTTGACGTCCGTGTTTTGTAATAGAGGGAGAAATTGTTTGTACAAAGAGAACACATGCAACGAGACGACAGGGAAAATCTGTGATAAAGGTGCATGGCGGGACCTGCAACATGAACTAGAAAGGAGGAGCATGAGGGGCAGGACTGGAAATTTAAGCACGAAGAACGGCAACGCGACGATGACAACCAAAGCAAATAGGTGCACGGTTTGCAAAAAGATATTTGTATATATTATTCATGAAGCGTAAAAATGGAATTGAAATCAACTTAGGCAATTAATGCAATATTTTATCAACTTTCACAAAACGACCGTACTCAGTTATAACATATCGCATCGCCGTCCTGCATACTTGGCTGCTTTCCACTGTCGCGTTTTTGAAACTCGCGTTTTAAAACTCTTTAAGTTGTTGTATGATTATTTATACCAGAAAAAAACACGCCAAATCATCAACAGAATCCAACCCTATGCATCTATTTAATCGTTGATTTCATAAGTATCATTTAAATGATTTTAAACTTTTACGTGCGTATACTTACGTACAAAAAACGCGATAGTGGAAAACAGCCCTTAATAAGGGTGGAAAACGCGCGGAGGAATTTAAATGCTTCCAATAAATTATTTCGATTTATTCGCCTAGCTCTTTCAAATATGACATGTATAAGGATTTAGACTTTAACGTGCGTATGAAAAACGCGACAACGGAAAACAGCCCTTATACATGTCTTTATCATCTCCACGTGATCTCGGTCAGTTTTTGGACTATGAGACATTGTTTGCATTATATATTTCTTATATGTTTTATCAGCTTTTTTCACACTCGCAATTAAATTATTTATAATTAAATCGCTATAGTTCTATGCTTTATTTTCTTGGCATGCGCAGACATTCACCTTCCCTCCGAAGGTGGCATCCCGTTTACCAGGGGAGCGCTGACAGTCTGTGAACTGACTATATATAGTATATGAAGCTAGAAATACTTTCTCGGAGAATTAAGGTCTTATATACTGTTTTTCATGTCTGGTCTGGTGACCATCAGCGTATGGTTATGTTTATCAATCTCGCTGGAACAGTCGAACAGGAGGCCAAGGGTCTATTCCTAATAGGATCGTGTGCCATGTAATCATGTTTATTGCAGGTTGCGGCTGGTTGTCTAAGGAATATATTTTTGTTTTCCGGTTTCGGGGAATAATGAACCTACTTCCGGTAATTTTTGATTTTACCTAATCCTCTTCTTTATAGCCATAATGAATCATATTAATCGGAAATTCTAAATCCACCAGTTCGTATGCACCACCGACTTACTTGCGTAATTTGATATTATGCAACGATTAGTACCACAAATCACTTTATAATTCGCTAACATGAAGTCTTAAATGAGGTACTTCACAAATCACAATGCCATGGAAACGTTCGAAAGTAATCCAAGTATAAACAACTGAAAAACCATTCTGTGGTGTGACAAGTAATTCCGATCCGTTGCGCGATATTGATCGATTAGCCATATGAATACACGAAATGTCTTTCAAATCGGCCTTTTGTGCTTTTAGGCGTCAAATTTGCCCATTTGTTCAGTATAGAAAAATCAAAAATTATACTTGATTATTAATTATTGCAATATTGCTGTTCATATTAACCATAATACGAGTTAATATAGAAGTTCAAAATGGAGAGCCTCCGAACTCGTATAAATGGGTTCACAGCCTGGGTTAACGTACGATTGTCGCCGTCTGGCATTTTCCTGCACAATGTGTTAGAGGACTTACTCAAGGGAAAGAATATGAAAATACTTTTGGAAAGTAAGTACTACCTTAAAAAGAAATTAAAATTATGAAAAAATCTGTCAATGTCATTTTGTGCATGGTGATCAATTTATTGATCACTCTGAGCTGGTCTTAATAATTAATTATTGATATTTTTTATCACTAGAGATTGGTGTTACATAATTAATGACTAATAATTATATAGGCATGTACCAATTGATGCAAATATATTGGTTAATCGACAAATGTATATATCACACTTGTAGAGATGGATGTGATTAATGGACGTGATTAATTTTTATTTTCTATGAGTGTCCCACCATATGTTCTTAGATGCAAAAAATGTTGTTTGGTTACCATATACGACAGGTAGAACAGATATAAAAGTATTGCTTACCAAAAATCATCTATTTCATCCATAGTCTGTAGAAAATAAATATAGAAAACCTGACTAGCCTTTTTTCATATATTTCAACACAACAGGCCTTTTCATAAAACAATTATAAGTTACAGTATAACTAATCGCTCTTGTCATATATGTCTATCAGCTCATATGTGATTTTAAATATACAGTTATTCAAAAGGTTCCACACATGACTGCAAAATTATACATATTTAGCATATTGCTTATTTAGAGTAATGTCAAAGTGTTTCCAAATATGTACATGCACAGCTATTAATAAAATATGCACTTGGTTACTTGGTTATTACAGCAAAATTTGTCACATTAATTTAATGTGACCAATAATGTAAAATTCTGCATGAGCTGTTTCTTATTTTCTTCAACAGCTCAAGTCTAAATCTAATTTTTTATTGGATTCACTGGCTATTGCCCAATTCTATAATTAGTGATCTTTGTGCATCAAGTACGTGTTTTAATTAAATAATGAAATCAAAACTCTTGTAGCATTATTAAAAGTCCTGTAATATCAGAGATGTTAATGAAAGACTAATGTATAAAAAAAGAGTGATGGGATGGTTGATAACATTATAATTTTTTAGTTAAGTAAAGTTTAGTTAAATTCTTGTAAATACCTTAAAACACATAGTTATATATAATTCAGTGCAATCAACAAAAGAAAACACTGAGGTGGTGTTGCACATGGATCTAAACTTGGACCACAATCAAGAACTGCTGTGAGATTTCTTTAATATTTTGCGTGTTACCGTGTGTAGACGACGTCCTGGTTTCAACAATTCAACATTTTTTTAATGCTGGGATCCAGGGAATACATTATCATCGATCTTCAACAACACTTAAACAATAGAAGCTCGACAGGTTCAGTTAGATAAACATCGTTCACTTGTATGAAAACTGATTTCTTCCCTCCTACACAAAACGTCCGGATTGAAAAACGTCTTTTACAATGTATTAATTACGGGCAAACCGGATGTTGCGTTTCTCTGAATATTGCAATATTGCGATCAATAATGAAAAGTTAGTATTGAAAAATGGCCTTTGAGCATTCTGATTGGCTCCCTCAGCAGTAACTCTGAGGCAATAGTTACTGCTCAGAGCAGTCTGAGCAGTAACTATTGCTTTTCCCCAAAAAAACATGGCTGAAAATACTCAAAATCAAAATTGTATTCATAAAATAAACACTTGTATCAGTTGCATTTATAAATAAAACGTTTTCAATACTGAAATTATACTAAAACAATTAGTCGCCTCAGGCTCGGTGATTACAAGCCTATATTCACTTCGCCTTCGGCTCAGTGAATATAGGCTTATAATCACCTCTAATTGTTAATTAATGCAAGTGCAATCGAAGCCCACAAGTTTCTTTTCAGGTTGCAACTGTCAATTACTGAATTAGTACTAAAGTTCCCAGCAGCATCATATTATAAACCATCAAACCATCGACTCTATAAACAATACGAACTTGAATTTCACCTTTGTTTTTTTTCTAAATTTAAAGAATTCAACGATTAGACAACAAACTTGGGCGCGAAATATAAATATAATCAATTTCGGCGACACGAGGTCATTATTCTTACAATCCTTTTTTTAGTACACACTAACTTTTTATAATGTATAGATAGATAAACCATGTTATAAATTAGTCAAGAACAATTCCTATATATGTAATGTTTTTGACTTGTTTTATATTGTTATTGATTGAAATGTTTAATTTTGAACAATTTGGTTTCTTATATTTTTATCTTAAAAAATTCGTTTTAACTAACCGGTATTTAACCAATTTTTGTCTTCGATATTTTATTGGTTTCAATTTGAAATATTTCATATGTATAGCCACCCATGACTATAAAGAGTGTTCATGTCATCAGAAAATGAAAAAAGGAAATCAGTTCGCTACAATATTGTATATCATTTATGTATAAAATAAACAATGAAGGACCCACCACTGAACCCTGTGGGACACCGATTAGATTTCCTCAGATTGACATGTTCTGTCGATCTAATATTATTCCTGAACCCATGTTGATGTGCAATTTTGTTTTTATCAATAAATTCTGATAGTCGATTACTTGTAGCTCTTTCCAGCAACTTAGAAAAACAAACAGTAATTAATATTGGTTGGTAAACCATGTTCATGCCTTCAAAGTTCATGATACTAATGAACTGTAGATAGTTCTATTAGAGTTGTTATTGTTTCTATCGAAATACTTGGCACGTCACTTCGCTCCGCGGATGTTAATAATATGCAAAATTTCAAATTTAAATTTTGATGAGGTATTTTTGATTGGCTAAATCGACAGGGATTATTCTTTAATTCGCAGTTTAATTTACACTTTACTTATTCGTTCAGGTATGACAGGGAAGCCTTTGAAGAAGTTGCAAAGTTTCGATGGGTAAGTAGGAACGCTAAACAGCTACATACTATATTACCGGTTCTTACTCGCGAGCAGTTTCTTGTATTTGGAGTTTAAATATAACAGCTAGGCAAAACATGTTCTCAAACACCCTCCTCACCCAATCTATCAAGTAGTGATCACTTCAAACAGTTAATACGTTTTTTCTCCCTTTAAAACAACATGCATACCAAGGCAGCATCAAGTTCATTTTCTTGTTTTTTAAGGTTGACGCAACAGCAGAAAATTACCAGAGTCGAATGGATGTTGCGAGAACTAAAACAAAAGTGAACTATTAACCATTTGTTTTTTATGTATAATTACACAAGGTTCCCCAGGGTGTCCAAGAAGCGTTTTAGCATGGGGAGATATATTTCCACTATAGTTAGGGGTTGGTTTCTGCATTTGAGACTCTCGCTAACATAATAAAATTCTCCGTAAGAATTCCTGAAATGTCCACGAGCCGCCGGAGCAAATTTTCAAACAACACGAATTATAATAATCCCTGATTGTACGAGCAACATCGCATGATTTTAATAGTTTTTGCCAAAACACAGTCCTTTAGCACTTTTACCCATGCTATAATAATAAGACACACTATATAACCCCCCCTGAAAATTATTTACTTTTGTACCGCCAATATATTCAGTTCATAATTATATAAAGTATATTTGCACTATCAAGCAGGATACCGATTTATGTCTATACCAACAAAAAGAATTGATCGAAGTAATATGTTTTGATTTTCCCTGCATTAACTGTTTTCACAGCAATATTATTTTGCCTGAGGTGAAGATTGATACCCAGATGTTTGCAATGAGGAGTTCGACGCAAGTAAGTAATCCATCACCCAATCATGTGCTGTTAGAACAAGCGTACAGATATCAACCATTAGTGAGCAAAAACTAGCGGTGAAGCAGTTATCTTTCCTCAAATTCATTTTTGTTTACCAATTCAAAGTCTCAAAATCTGAAACCTGCAACAATTTGCATAAGGTCACGCATGCAGTTCCTGGTCCACATGATTCAAATTTCTGGTCTTGCATGGTGGATTCATTAATGACTCGTGTATGACACGTTATCTACGAGCGAGTCAATTACATGTCATATTTCATTCGTATTGCTGAATTACAGGTTTTCGAGCTCTTATGGTGTCTTGTTTGCCATGATATTTGGTATGTTTGGAAAGCATCTTTCATGTTGCAGCAAACTGGAAGAGATCTTGTGGCGGAGCCGTTTTCGGTGAGACTTTGTTGAGTATCAATTCCCTACCCCCTATTACAGCACATTAATGGTATTATTTCTGCTCTGAACTATATTATGAAATGCAGAAATTATGAACGTTAAAATTTCTAGATTCCGGCTTCAGAAAAGGTCGCGCACATGTTTACCTTTTTTCAGTCCTATGCAAGCGACGTTTTGATGGGCTTGTTATATCCAGACGTTTCATTAAATTTATGACAGCGATTCCAAAAGACAAATTTTCTATCCAAATTTAAAATATTTTAAAGTATTCAAATTTCAATTAACACGCAAGCCATGAAAAAGACGCACGTTTATATATACCCTCTGGGTGTAGAAAATTTGACCATTGCAAATGATTTTCGACGTATTTCTCATAGAGTTCAATCTTTTTATGGACCATGTGGATTTAAAAAAAAATTTAACACGTAATAATGTGATATATATAGAAACTGATAAAATATATAAAGTTCTAGTACAGTTTCACTGACAATAGTGGTGTCAATGATTTTTACAATACTGATAATCACTGACGTTACAGTAATGTAATATAGTGACATAATTTTTTGAATGTAATTGCAATATACAATACAAAATTAAAGCTGCAGGTATATAATCCCAATGCCATCTTGTTTATCAAAATTATTTAATCAAATGCAATTTTGTTTTTACGTCATATTTTTATATAAATTCTTATAGTGGGTACCATCGTCACCACCGAACGATGCTGTAAGTTATTATTGTTTTCAGTTATTTGAATTGGTTAAATGTATCTATCTATACATTATATTAACACTTTATTTAAACATGCATCGAAATTTCTACAAAATATCCGTATATAAATAACTACTTGTATATACTCGATGGTGGGCTCGCAATTCGTAGGCATGGCCGATCGTTAAAATGAATTAAATAATTTATGTAACACTGTCGACATTATAAAACATGGGATTTTCTTTTGCTTTGTTGAAGGAACTTGAAAAGAAAAAATCTCCAAGGTAATATTCAAATAATATTACACTTTTTAGTCAATTCATGCGATGTTGTACAACTTACTGTATATAGTATTACCTACAGCCAAAATGAATAGGATAAATCTTTGTATATAAATAATTGGTATATATGAATATGGTATTTCAACTATATTCTAAAACTATTGTCAACTATTTTCAAGGTCTGGATATCCTGAGCCAGATGCTTGCATTTTAGACATGATAAATGCGCATTTAAAGGTAGTAGATTCGTGGACTAGATTCTTTCATCTTCTTGTTTTTCATCCGTGCACATATGTGGCTGCGATTTGTCAAATTTTTGTATAGCTACTTTCTTTGGTTATTATCATAGATGACTCGCGAGGGACGCACACTTACCCGAGGAGCGCTGGTAAGCACATTTTCTACCGTTTTATTTGTGGTGATATGTCTGGAAAAAAATTACGTCTGGTTCGATATTTTAATTCGAAGTGCTAAAATTATATTGTGTGATATGTATTTTATAATATTCTGTTGTTGTTGTTGTTGTTGTTGTTTGTCACACTTTTAAATCATTTAAATCAAATAATATTCCTAGACGTATGTCTTTTATATTCATATTCATCAGAGATTGTTGAGTCGTCCATAAATATTAGTGCGTAATCGTTTTTCTTCATCACCTTCAAGCTCTTCATCCCCCAAACTTTCAAATATATGAAAAATAAATGCAACTGGTCCTATTTTGTCATTCTGAGGTACTAGTAGCAACATGTGCCTAATTAATGATTTTTGAAGCTTTCAAAAAAGTGGTTGGTGCAATAAGACGCTATAAAATACTGATCATAATAAACTAGACTAGTTATTAACAAAACGTGCCTGGAACTGACTTTACATACTCTTTAACGCCTGAAACTTAATTTATTTTTACATCGTTGTTATGAATATAGCTACGATTATCATATAATAATTATGCGTGCAATTTGCGCAGTTTGGATTTTTAAAGATTTTTCATTGTATACGCGCGTTGTTCCAACTGATAAATTTAAGTTTAGAGTAACCTGCAAATAATTAGTTACGAAGAATGTATTATATTTTATCAGATATTATAGTATATACACTTTATTATTATCCTTAATGCAATATTTCCTCTGTTATTTAGAGCCTAGATGACTTAACAGATAGCAGGTAAATGTTATGCATGTATACATGGTGTAGTGAGTCAGAGTATTGACATAATATACACACGTTGTGCGTTTGTTTGGTTACATTTCCTGAGTAATGGATACTTATTCCTCTGGGATATTAACACCTGCCATTATACATTGGGTGGTTTTGCAATCTCTGCGTTGTGCGAAGGAGGTTTTTATTTTATAGCTATGTCTATTGTCCTTGATTTAAGAAAAAAATAACAAAAGGAATCTTTTTAAGGAGATTGTGAAAGAAGTAGAAAATATTCGAATTTGAATCGTTTTAATCGAAATTTTGTTAGCTATATAAAAACTTTTTTATATATAAAAACTATTTTAGTTGTCTGTTTGCCACCCCCCTCTGTAAATTCTTTTCAACTATATTTAGAATTTAAAGACAGAACGTAATGTAAAAGCAATGTTTTAGTAACCGAAAAATTAACATTCAAAAAAATATATCTCCAAATAAGAAACAAGTTAAAAAATTTAAATTTCCACAAGACATTTTTTAAAGTTAAATTTTAAATCTAAAGAGTATACATATTCACTTGGGCATGCCTAACAGTTATTGTACTCTTTTTCTTTTTTGTTTTTTTATTATACTAAATGATCAATGTTATTTTTATTATTATGACTGGTTCTTTTTAGACTTCACACAAATGATTTTTTAGCTATTTTTTAAAATAATAGCTTTGTCTAACAATAATATTGGGGCGAGCGAAAAGATGTTGCATTAATTTCTTTTTAGCTCTATTGATGTCACCTGTGAATAATAACTAATAATAATTAGAATGAATAATAATTAGACGAACACTAATGAATAATAATTAGACGTTTTTGTTGTTTTATAGTTGGTCTTGATTTTACTATTTTAACTTATCTTCTTTAAATGCAATATTCATTTTCGGTGTGTTTTTTTATCAGGGTTTTATGTGCTCTTGTGAACTCTTTCGTTCCTGAAACATTCACGACTGAAGTACTTCTTAATGATAGGTAAATGCAACCAGTGAATAGAAGCATTATCAACAAGCTCTCTTTATGGCTTATTACTATAATTTAAGTTACAATTTACACTTTCAGTTTCTATTACGCCCACACAAATATACGCACAAAATGTTATATAACATCAATATATCTATATATAGGTGGACAGTGAACTTAGCTCTGCAAACTGCAAACGAGTTTTTTAAATCACCCTGCTCGTTTGATGTGTCAGATCTAGCTCAGGTATTTCGCATACATATTTGTTACATGATATATGATACATATTTTCTGATATTCTCAAATAGCTGATATATACAGTAACTATATAATATGGGTAAAGAAAGCAAATTTTAACAAGATTAAATAATATTTTTTATTTTGTCTTTTATTTCATTCACAGGCTGACATTATGTCCGTTTGTTCATATTTTGCATTTTTCTTCATGTGTGGTTACAAGCTAAGGCAATCTCAGGCTGCTCTCAAGAGAATGGTAAGCATTTAGGTTGCAAAATTTTGAAAGCAGAAAAAGACACTGATCTTAAATTTGTATACGCAGCACAGTAACTCTATTTATGTCGGTGTTGTTGAATCTGTCTTGAAAAAAACCTTAAGTATTGTTAAATTTTTAATACCAGTTTTGGGTCACAGTAGCATCATTAATATTTCAAATATTGTTAATTTCTGGTAAAATGCAGAAATATAAACAATGAATACACAACTCGAACTTTTTGGTAAAGATGCACATGATTCTGTATTTTGCGCATGATTCTGTAATTTAAATAATTTTTTGTAAAATAAATGATATAGAATAATTGTATGATATAGAATAATGTTTCAGGACGAATTGTTGTTATTAAAATTGGAAATCAAAGACGAAATAGCAAAAATTGTGGTGAAAGGCAAAGACAACGATAGAAAATTGGAGTTGGAAAAAGTACTTGCCGAAAATGAACTTCGTATGTGCTCTTTAGTTTACATTATAAGCTCATTGAAAAGAATTGGGCCTTAAATTTGTTGACTACAAAGCCCTTCTAAAGTGTAATGTATGAGCTCTAAAAATGGTGCTGAAAAACTCAGATACTCAGTTTTTTTTTCAGAAATACATGATTTGGAAAGCCATTTTGATCTTTCTCAATGTTCTGCGTGGATGAAAGATATAACAGCTGTCCAAAATAAAGTAAGATTTTTTTATTTAACACTTTCCTTTTTTGGTTATTATGTGAATAGGGTTATTAACACCATCAAATTGTTTGTATACATACATTTTTACCGCAGTGTTATGCTGATTTATGAAAGAACCAGGACCCACGTTCGCCGCATCATATATTCAGGAAGATTAATATTTTTCTGGTTAATATTTCGTTTTTCAGGTTCGAGCTATTGTGTCAAAAAGAATAAGAGACAAATTTGACATAATTAGAGTACCAAGGTTGTACACATAAGTCACAATCAACTACAATAATTATAAATTATATACCGGCCGTCTTTCCTTTAGTGCTATAAACCTATAAAGTCTAAGGTACCACTATACGTATTTATTTCCTAGAAATATGACAATTAATGATCTGACTGTATCATTAGTCATCAACTTGGTAAGCATTCTACGCATATAAGTTAGAATTATCACAAAATTATAATTAATTTGTCATTGCTTTACCAATTCATAATACTATTAATTGGTATGCGTCTACCTCGACTTTTACAGTCTTTTGTATTTAATTTCTTGTAGAATCTTACGTCTGGTGTTGGCTTTTATGAACTGAAAACAAAGAAAGTGATATCTAGCGACAGGAGAATTATAATTCAGAACAACAAGTCGGGTATATAGCATACACGTGATTCCGTACATCGTTGTAGTATAAGATCTGCATGGTTTAAAATGTTTGTGTAAAGACAGACAATACAATGTACTTCTTTTAAAAATCATTCTTTAGGAGAATTTGTTGATGACCTACCCTGCCAGGAAGAAAAAAGTACGTCATACATGATGTGTAACCCAATGTTGTTTTGTGATATATTTGTAGTTTTGATATATTTATTATATATTTAGTATATATATAGTTTCTCGGTTTTACCTATATTTCCCCCTTCTCGAGCTATACAGTTTAAAGGGGTTAAAAGCGTATTAAAATTGTTGTATAAAACAAGACGTTAAATCGTTTTTCAGAGCATCTGCATTTTGAACATTTTGTCTCATGTAGTTGATGCAAATAGTAACCAAAGCAACACGCACCTGGATTTGAATAATTTCACGTACATGCATAGATTCAACTGTCAGAGTTATTGCCTATTGCCTTATATTGAGGTGTCTATTGATTTTTCTTCATTCTGATTGGTCAAAATTTACTGAAGTGATAGTCACTGCTTTAGCTTTAGCTATATTGCACATAGCTTTTTGATGCTTTTTCAAAATTAATAAGAAATTTTGATGTAATTATAATTTTTTTTATGAAATTGTGTTGATTTTTATTTGTAAACACCTCGAAATTTATACGAAAACAATTAGTAATTAGTCGCCTAGAAGACTAATTGTTAAATAGTAGAGATTTTTATCTATCATTTCAAATTTCGTTTTCTGAAATATTCTTCCAAAAACGCAACAAGCTGTCTTAATATAATATATTTATAATATATAGCCATATAATTAGCTTCGCGTAACCAACAGTTTTGCCTGTATTCTTTAACTAGAAAGCATCCGAGCATTTCTTGGTCTTGAAGAAACAGCATTGGAGGAAGTTAATCCTGATTCTTACCCAGATTACAAGGTTTATATTAAAGTCCTATAGTCATAGGTTTTGATTCGTTAAATTTCACTAGAGCAAGTTTTGTAATCTTGGGGATCTTTTCATTTCTGCAGATATTCGTGTCCAGTACTTCGCGTAATAAGATTCTGAAAGCTGGGACTTTGTAAGTGTAACTTACATATGTATATAGCTTTATGAAGCGGGCGGAGTGAGTCATACCCCGGCAACTTCAACTCTGTGAATATTTCAGATTTTTGTACCAAATCTTTCCCGGGAGCACATTGCCTTGCCAAAGGTTACTGTTTAAGGCAACGAAAACAGCTGAAATGGATACAGTGCAGAAACTAGTAAGTATATGCTGTTGCCTAATCAATGAACGACTCGAATCAAAAGAATTTGTACATGTGCATATTGGGAATTAACTTGAAGATAATCTCTTTGAAAAAATTACTGTTTGAAATGAGTCAATCTGGGACTATAGTATTAAATCACTAGCTCACTATGAAGGTTAAATCTTTAAAGAAGTGTTCTTGTATATTGTATACGCAACTTACGGAAGCCGTATCATTTTGTCAAATCCATAATTCATTATTGAAATTAATGTCAATAACACAATGATTCATGTTGTTCTCTTTAGATATCATTCTTCCAGGCTGATAATACTTTTATTAATTCCAAAGAAGTTGGATCTGGCAACACAGCATTGCACATGGCTTGTCGACAAGGGCACTTTGTAAGGGATTTTTGCAATTACTCGCTGATAAATATAATTTTTCGAACCTTTTTCTCACTAAAATCAATTGATTTATAAACTTGGAAAATCCGCCAGCGTGAATTGTTTGCAGTCATGCAGTATACGATGAATGGTATACATCCCGGAATGAAAAATTGTGAAATATATGTTTAAAATGAACGTTTCACCTAGCTACTTCATTTTTTGTCTCTGTCTTGATTTCATTAAGTCACCATGCTCAATCTCACATTCTCACTTTATTTTCTAATGCCGTGAATTTTTTGAGATGGACGGTTATAATTTTGCTGTGTGCATGGGGTGCCTTGACAGCTTCTTTCTCGCGACGCCTCTTTTTCTTTATTTCGTTTCATTTTTGTTACCACATGCAGGAACTTGTACATTATCTTTTGGAACACGGTGCAGATATTGATGCGACCAACAATATGAATTGCACGCCATTCTTTGCCGCTGTTGGCTCAAAGCAAAGAGAAATTGCTGAGGTATAAAGTTGATAATTTATATACATGTCATATTTTGAAGAGGTCTAGATTGCTGAATCACACTTGCATGCAAGGAGAATATAAGCTAAATGTTTGTTGTCCCAAAGACAGGCAACTTTAGTTTTAACCATGTAGGAATATATTTGTCGACGTTATATTTTTTATTTTAGTTGTTAATTGAGTGGGGCGCAAACATATACAAGAAAAATAACTCTGGAAAAAACGCGTTTGATATAATCAGCAACGAGGGCTTCATAGCACATTTATTAGGTGAGTTATCGTAAACACACAAAACCACTGATAACTGAAACAGCATGCATGCATTGTTGATATTATATAATTTTTTAAACTGAAATGTATAATACATACTTCTTGAGTTTGTTTCGTATTTTTTCTTGTTTCATCCAGTGTACTGGAAAATGTGATTACTGTAGAAATAGCGTGGGACAAACTGCTTGTTGCCTTATGTTTAGATAAAGATAAAAAAATGCGATCGTTTGTATCCCAAGTTATTGGCGGTGACGTGGGAAAATTTAAAGAAATTGTCGAAGCTCAATGTGGGGGTGAAACATTCTTACGTAGCTTGCGTAGCAGGTATATGCATGCTGTAGATATTGTATATTGTATTGTATATGAGTTGTATATATTGCTGCTATAATTATGAGTATTAATATAGTAAGATTCGTCATTTTCCCGCCAAACTTGGTGCTTTCGCCTAGGTTATCTTGATGAAACTCGTAGTCGTTGGGCTTTTGAATACGAATGGCATAAGCAAACTAAACATAAATTTAGGGATATATTCTATAATTAGGAATATTGAAACTCGCTTGATTATAGTATGATCATCCATAATACCAAAACTATTTTAGAAGTATTTTTGTGTGCAGAGTATATATACATGCGGTGGTAGTCCACATCATTAAAAGTTGTTTCAGTACTCTTAAAGTCATTTTACAGTACTATGCAAAGGTTTTTAGTCACTCCTTATATTTCTGTATCATCGTAATTTTTTTGCTTTGCCTTTGGTGAGTCAAGTACGAAATCTATTTTATCTATTTTAGTCGAAACAAAATTGTGCATATAATTTCTAATATATATTATACGTTCTACAGGTGTATTCAAGGAAGTACCTTGCTTCACACTGCTACTCATTTTGGTGTGACATCCTTGGTAAAGGTAAATGCGATAACTCTTTGGTTACCATGCAATGCACTTCTGAGAACCCAACATGTAAGCCCTGTTTACACTACACTCAATTTATGGTCACGGTACGGCTAAAATAGGTATCCGTCCTCAATTTTACTAGTGCTCTGGCTACGAAAACAAAGGTCGGGCGCGGATGAAATGGGCACGGGTACCCATTTTAGCCGGGCCGTGCCATAATATCGAGTGATGTGTAAACGGGGCTTAATTTGTAGTAATTTGGGAGAATTCGTTAAAAACCCGGAGGCACGTGCACGTGCGATAAAGAGGTTTAAAAACTTTTTAGATGCTACTCAAAGAAAGGGTGAACATTAATTTAGCTGATTATAAAGGAGCAACTGCTTTACACCGTACCAAAGATGCAGAAACTTTGAAGGTTTGACTTCTCATTTAATTTGATTGTGTATATATATATATATATATATGCACTTCTAAGTATATTTCTTAGAAAATATGCCCGCATGCAACTGATTTAAAAATCTAATATTGACAATATCAGTTCTTTGGTTCTTCTGGATTTAAATCTGAAACGTGTGGCTTTTTACAAAATTTCGAAGAACTCTCATCTTCTTTCTGCCTCTGTTACGACATCAGGTATTATTAGAAGCGGGTGCAGATATCGACGCCGTTGATGATGATGGTAATTCGCCACTCCATGTCATGTGTTATGGTGAAGAAGGCAAAGACGCGAAATTAGATTGCATCGAAATTTTAGTAAGTTAGAGATAGCTTGGCGTCGTATATTGTGACTCCATAATTTATTTCGTTGGTGTTGAAGTAATATAATTATTAGGAATTAAGCGGCAAAACGAGGTATAGTTCATATAGTTATGTAAATCTGGTTCTCACAGGTCACCGACAGTCAGCAATGGCTTGGTCGGTGATCACTGGAGAATATAAAGTGCGTTGTTATTTCGTATAAATTTCTTCATCGCCGACAACAATGCATCGCTGGCTTTAGGTGATTATTGAGAACCAGGTTTCAGTCAAGATTGATCTAGAATACATGTGATAGTCAAGTATGTGTTCTCACCATGATCACCGTGACAACTTTACGACTCACTAATAGCTAACCATATAACGCCCTTTTCACGCTCGGATCCTATAATATTTTAATTTTTGCCTTTTGGTCTTTTTTTTTAGTTGCGAAGTAACCCATTACTAACAACGAGAAATAAGAAGGTATATAAGTATATCATCGTAAAATACCGCAAGCATCTCGTAGGATACGTGTGTGGATGACTCTTTGGCAAGGTGCAACTGCGTGGGGGGATTAATGTAGTAAAATAAAAAATATAAACTCAGTATAAATTCAGTGAATTGGACATTTGGCTTCTTCTCGCATTTGTGGGACAAAGATTAAACTTTAAAATTGTAAAAACTTGTTTCAGGGGATGCTTGCGATCCATTGCTGTGCACTTCAGGGTCGTGTTGATGTAATCGAACTTTTGTTGCGTTTTGATACTAAACAGTTGCTCAGAAAAGAATTGTGCTTGGAAAATCAGGTACGAAAGAACGAATATTTAAATTTATAATTATTCTGCAAATTAAGGTATATAAGGCAATCCCGTTTATAACACTTCGCCTTTATAATCACATATATAGTATACCACATTCTGCAAACTTTTCATTATTCTCTACTATGGGACTTATTCTACTACCCGCTTTATTGTGCCAAATGGAACAAGGGGGAATTTCGTTTCGAACTAATCGGCCAATCTGTTTACATTTTTTAGGCTAAGCCAATCAGAGTGCCTAAATTTTTCATACTTGTACCATAATGTACCATTTCGCCGGAGTAGTCAATATTAATGCCTTCTGATTGGGTTACTGAAAATGTAAACAAACTTGTTGATTGGTCTAAAACGAAATTCCTCCTTATTGCCAAATGAAAATATAATTTTATTAATGATGATATGGATAATTTAAAGAATCTGCCGAATTAAACCACTGTTTACTGAAAAACCTTCTCTGCAGTAACATGCCCGCCCAGACTCGGTGTGAACGAACTTTTACACAAATGAACAATCTGATTAACAATTTTATTGTTAATTTTTCTCCAGGATGCACCCTCGCCCCTTTTTCTTGCTGTTGCGAATAATCACATGGATTGTGGATGTTGGTAAGAATAGTCTAATATTAAATAGGCTACGGCCATATACGTTTAATGTTGTACGACATGCATGCATACCTGCTGAGGAAATTTGTTAGGGTGGAAAATGCTATGTTCAGTCAGCCTGACGGTTGTTCTTAATTAATTTAGTTCGTTTTTTAAACGGAAAAGGAAATAATTCTTAGTGTTAAGACTTCTATACTACAAATATATATATTACACATTCAGAAGTCAAAACCTGCGCTGACCTAGCTATATGCGTTTCATTTGATCCACGCTTTTGTAATGCGATGCAACAACGTTTGCAGTTACTCTACCTCAGTTGCCTGTGTCTGTGCATGTTGTCTTTGAAACTGCATGGTACACGCGTAAACAACAGAAGCTATAGTGCTTGAGCAATGTTGTGCTGCACCCCGTGATATACATTTACATCTGTATATAATTATGTAGTACATTCTAATATGATGTAATATATATTTTAGGTTTAGTCACAATAGGTTCAGCTTTTTCGATGGAGAAGCAGATAAATTGCTGGAAAAGATTATTCTTGGTGAACTACCATGGTAATTGCTTCGATGCAGACTATAGCTATATATAGTTCCGTAATTTTATCAACACTACCTCTATGCTATTTCGAATAGTATTTCGAAGCGTCGAGGTTCTGTCGTTGTATTTTATACGGACGTTGACTATCTGATCGCATCCACAACACATTTCATCTCCCTCCAATTGTATTATTTTAGCAGCAACCACCTCCTTGCGGTGACGTTCCTGCTCGATCATAATGCCTCAGCTGGCTACGTTGGCGTTGAAGGAAATACGTATGTTATTACATATTCGCAGATGTGGAATCAATATTTTTGCTACAGGAAATCATGTAGCAGTAAATAGCTATTTCGCGACACGCCAAATTACACGTAGAATACCATGATGGAAACTTGTGTATTCCACAAAGTTATCCTCGTCCTCATAGTCTCGTGATTAATTTACACTGAGAAAAATCTTCATATATAACTACCAGTGGCATGCAGCGCTTGCAAAGAATTAAGTTTCCGGAGGGCTTAATTGTTTAGTTATTTTTTCCATTACACAAATCGACTATTTATTATACGAATGTCTGAAATGTAGGCCTTTGCATCATGTTGCCGGGAATCCAGATCTAAGCGATATCTTGCAATTGCTTATGGACCGAGAAGCTGACGTGAATGCTCTGAATGAAGACGGTGTCACACCTTTGTTTTTGGCAACACAAAATAGCTGTATTTATAACGCTAGCCTGCTCATTGGAAAGGGTTAGTAATTTTTGAACTCACTGCAAAAAAGGGGTTTTTGAATTCGCGTTAAATTATTCAAAAGTTGAGTGAAACGTTATTTTTACTCAATTCATGTGTAGATTTACGCAAACATCGAGGAATGTGGGATTTTAAAACTGTTGAATGCAAACTCCTGTTAATATGTAAATGTCAATGTTTCACAATAGTTTTTATACAACCTAGTATTTTAGTCCACGACTGGGCAAAGTACTCTGGTGCAAACAAACAGCTATACCGAGAGTATCTTGTTTATTACTGTTTATATGATCTCAAGTACCAGGGACACCCTGTACCCCCCAAGACAATTTTGTCATATTTGGCAACATATCGCAACTTTTCCCAACATTTCGGACAAAAAAGAATTATATTCGTTTGTTTATTGATATTTTTCTTCACAGGGGCAAGTATGAAATTGAAGAATCCTCAAGGTAATTTGTTTTTTTCTCGTTAATGTTAAGTCACTTTTGATGTTATGAATTGCTATGAATATAAATGATAGAATTAGTTTCTAAATTAGGATTAAAATGATAATGTAAATGCTTCGTATTCTTTGATAAGAACAAGTTCCTTTCAGATTTTTGTTGCTGCAATGAACTATACAACCATTATTTCAACCTATAATTATATACACTGTAACTGTAATAAGTCTTCTATGATAAATACGATATTGTATGGCTTTCAGTTCCAGGATGTTTCCTGCCATAGATATATGTTGCTTTTCCTGCCCAATATTGCTCTCGTCATATAGTATGTTCGAAAAAAACAAAATGGTTGTGACGTTTCAGGGTTAACTGCGGTGGACTTTGTGACCGATTTTGAAGAATGGATCAACTCCGGTTTCTTTGATGAAGAAACACAAGCCAGATTCAAAGGTATTGAATTGACATGCATTCATATAATTATTATAAGTCGAGTCCTTGTCTTGTAATTTGTGAGATGAGTCTTCAGAGTCTTGTTCTATCATTCGCTGATGCGGTACAAAAATCGTTAAAAGCCCGTACTTTAGGTGCAGGTTAAGTCATGTTGGGGAATCCTGTCAGGAACTATGGATACCCTGTTGTTTCAAACGGCAGTTAATGTTAAATATAGTTTGTGCGAAGTTTACTCAATAATCTTATACCAGTATAACCGACCAGTTATTGTTCATCTGTTTTTTACAAATCTCTCTTTTAGCCTACAGCCTAAAGCACTCCCGGGATCTGGTCAGAGCGATAACTATAAAGGTCAAAGGAAAGGCACCGACGATATCTGAGAGTAATCCTTCTAACCCAAATTCCCAGCATTCTCGTGTCCAACAAATCCAGGCAGACATCGCCCACCTCTCGTTTCCAAGACAACTGGCGTTCAGTTGATAACCATGGTTATGTTAATTAAGGCGGACCATATTCATATATTCTGCTATGCCCGGCTAATTTCTTTTGAAAACAATTTCAATTTCAATAGAAATCAGCCTGGCATAACAGATTATATGAAATATCCCCCCCCCCCCCAATTAACGTTCGATTGACGACGATGCCTGTATTATATACCGTACCAGCATTGAAAGATCCTTATACGACCTATGGGACTTCAGGTATGTTAAAAGCAAAGTACCGATTGTAGTGGCGGTGCTGGTGCTTTTATGTAATTTATGTAAGGACAGATTTGTACACAATAATTTTAAACATGTTCTGTACACTCATTATTATAAATATGCATCTTATTAATGTAAGTCTATTTTTTATTGCCATGAACGCAATATATTATTTATTTAACATGATAATATCTTTTGACTTCATATATGAGTTTATATAATATGAGTTTAAATCCGGTGACTCCTATGATATTCTAATTATATGTGACGATGATTGTTCAACTGGCGCTTCTCTTGATTCCCTCCACTTCCTCGCTAAATAAAAAAAAACATGAATTAAAAAAGCCGTTATGCATTTGGTATTTATATATATAGTAATACCACGTTGGCTCGCATGCTTCGCTATATCAACAAAACGATATCCTGATTTGCTGTAATTTTAAAATATATAGGGTGTATCAAAAAATGAGTTTACACTTGGAAAATGTCTTCTAGACCGTACGCGCACGCATCGTTACTCGTTAGGGGAAAGCTTTTGGTATGTGTAGGTAGTTTGAGCCCTTTAGACACCTCCTGTATGGAATACGGAATACGTTTTATAAGTTATTAAAGTCTAAGGCAATTTGGTGCAGGCGGGAGCGAGCGCGCGAAGTTAAACGCTGTTTTTTACAAACTTTCTCTGCAGGAGGTGTCTCGAAAGGACTTAAACTATCTAGACATACCAAAAGATTTCCCTAACAATCAACGATGCGTGCGCGTACGTCAAGAAAACATTTCCCCAATCTCGTGCCCAGAGCGAGAGATCCTTCCCCAAAGGATCGTGGGCTCTGGGAGAGGGGATTGACATATCCCAAGTCTAAGGCTTTTTTTATACACCCTGTACAGTCTTACAGAGAAAAAACATGTCAAGTTGCTGATTGAATCTTGTTTTCTTCATTCTTTCATTTTTCATCGCCACTGATAGTTGTTGCCTGTCCAATGAATGATCTTTTTTCCTACCAAATAATATATTAGCACAATATCATAATTAATATATTAGCATAGTCATGCAAACTCGCTTTTACTCTCGTGCCCCTATAAAATATTGTGTCTCGTGTAAAAAGACGTAATAAAACGTATTTTTTCAATTGTGCTTTTGAACCGTAAAGTTTAACATGTACGCGATCAATCTCGTACCTAAGGCCTTCTCGTATGGGGGGGAGGTAGGCCCTTGCTGAGCCGCCGTACGAGCGCCCCCCCCCCCTACGAGAAGGCCCTGGGTACGAGGTTGGTACGCGATAAATGTATGTCATATAAAAAGCTAGGTATAGTCAGTGTACCTTCTTAAAAACCAAAATCCAATTACCAGTGACAGAGAAAGGCACACAATAAAAAATACGACCACATCAGTGACATACACCATTCAGTTTTATCCCTTGAAACAAATAATATTATAGTGTCATTGTAATCTGTTGCTCTACATTCGATGCCAAGTCTATTTCAATAATTTCATAGGTCTTTGGTTTATTCCAGTGGTTTATTCCATTTATCATAGCTCAGTGCATTTATATTTATCTCACCGATCAGCCGCCATCTTGAATAGTTACTATCCACAATTGTCCTCCAATAACCATAAGGTAACAAAAATATCCGATAATATCCCTGCTGCCAGTAAACAAAAAGGAAAATTATGGATGATCAATTGGGAAAGTTTTTGTTGATATTTCTTTTTGAAAGTTAGTCAATAGAGTCAGAATTTGCGCTTAAAGAGAGATCTGCTTTCTTCATGTTACCTGTTGGAACACCATTTGGGTTCTGTAAGTAATATGATTGATTTAACAACGGCTTCCATTGAATGATCGAATTTTGAGCTAAATTATATGAAAACAGAAAGTTTAGTGTCACAATGTACAATATATACGTCCTATAAATTTTCCTGATTGGTAAAACTCGAAGTATACATTTGTTATTGTTGCCATTGAATTTCACCAGTTTAATGAAAATCTATAATTTTTTTAATGGTTAAGTATGTTTAATTATCAATTGTGGTACACCACGTAAGTATTTATTACTGCAAAGCTTTCGGTCTGTTAACCCGGGCCTTCATCAGTGCAATTATAAAAATATCATGTTCGTCATGATTAGATTGCTCACGCCATTAATTAAACAGTTTCACTCACCAAACACAGTTTTGATTTGATTGCTTGCATCATTAATTAAACTGTCTCACCAAACAAAGTTTTGTTTTTGTAAGTGAAACCATTATGTTTGTTTACCAAATTAATGTTTGTTTGGTAAGTGAAACCATTTGATTAATGGCACAAGCAATCAAATATCAAATTATTAATTGTGATACAATAAATAAAATTTAATTATCTATGAGTACAGTTAGACATGACAAAAAGTGCAGAGGTATGTATGTATGCAGGTACTGAGGGTAAATGATGTTCTAGCAAGTTAGCCATTGTGTGGCTTTTACCCAAATTTTAATCCAGGGGTCTGAACATACACTGATCAGTCTCATAACATAAACCCGAGTGTCAATAGACAGCATTCTGCTTCTGCTATATATATATATATATATATATATATATATATATATATATATATATATATATATATATATATATTTATAATGTTTTACTTAGATAATGCACCGGTCAGTAAGGCGTTGCTGGTCATCACTGGAGCAGCTTCCACATTGAACATTTTGCTTCCAGTGCTTAAAATCCAAACACTTATTGATTCTGGAATTCTTAACTATATTCATAACTCATATGTAAGTTAATAGTTTTAGCATGTGTCTTACAGTATATGCTGCGAATATTATTTTAGCATTCAAAAACAAAAAATCAAATAAAATGTACAAGTGCAGGATTTGTGCAGTGTACATACCATGAAAAATGCCCATGAAGTTGTGTAAATGTAGATGTTCCTAGGACAGTGTACCCTGATATGTACATGTATTTCACCCTTCCTATATAACACCAGATGATTTTACTGCCACTGTCAAATGACTGGTTAACCCAATAATTACAGTCAAGGAGTTTTTTAACCCCATTTTCATATATCTTTTCCCCATCAACCCAAAAATTGAATGTTTTCTGACTATCATTGTTGTAACATCTGTTCCCAGTTCATTCGCCTCGCAGACAGTTAATGATACTACTCATTAAGTAAACAAAATATTCCTGTGTAGTATAAATATTAATGCCTACGTATTTGTGTTGTTAGATAATAAGGGGGTTATTACGGTGTTTATGTTACTCAAATGGAAGGAATTTGTTTTTTGGATCGTTCCTGTTGTACAATTTCCGAATATTTGAACATCGTTATGGTTCAAAAAAATATTTCGTAAGTATGTAAACATGCGGCGAGGTATACGAATATAAAGCTAGTCAGATTTTTTTCTGAATTTCAAAATTATGTATATATTCACCGGACGTGCCACGTGCGACAAAAGGGAGATTTAGCACAAGAACGTGAACGTCAAAGAGAGCATGAAACTGGCGAATAAATGGCGTGATGCGTCTATATATAGACATGCTGCGCCATTTATTCGCTATTTTCACCGATTTCACGTCGTCTTTGACGTTCACGTCCTCGATCTAAATCGCCCAAAAACACGAAGTTCCTTTCAATCATAATTTAGAAATAAACAAGTGATCTTGAAATTTTTGCATTAGAAAACCTCGTTTTCCTTTTTCTTTTTAATTTCGAATTACTTTTATTTCAATTAAAGGACTATATTCTGGCATCAACTGTACTTGGAGCTGGTCTGCAATGTGCATTAATGCTTACCCAAGATTTGAAAATGGAGGATTTTCCCACTGGACCGTACTACTTTTTCATTCTACTTGTTAAATTTAGAATATTCGATTTTTTTATTTTTTGACAATCAGATATGAATTGATTGGCTTTTGTTGATCGCTGTTATTTTTTTAGGTTTTGGATGATTTTTAGTCTTTTTGTACCATTTTATTTGTCGATTCCCTCGGTGAATTCCTCCAGTTTTTTCAGGTCAATTCCGTTGACCGGGAAGCTCTTCACTTATATGATGGGTTTACAGGTATGGAAAAAAATTTCACTAGCAAACAATTTGGTATCAAATTTTAGAAGTTTTTTAATTTGTACTTTTTACGAAACATTTTTTTTCCAAAATAGATGTTGCTCTCTAATAAAGGCACATTTTTATCCGGTGCGAGTGGAATGGTGAGTAATATTTTCTTGCATATAATGATCGTTTTTCAGATGATCGAATGCTATGCTTTTTTAGTTCTTTCGATTGAGTGCGATGCTTTTGTACGTATCTTCATCTCATTTCAATCAAAGCTGATAGGGATACTTGACACTTTTTTGGGGCATTGACTTGAAATGTAAATTTACTTTGTCACCTTTTTCTTCCTCTTATTTCTTATTTTACGTCATATTTCGAAAAGCATTCACAATTTATTAAATAATCCTGATGGATAATTCGTCTCTATAGTCGATATTATCGATATTTTTATTCCGATATCGATACATCGATTTCTTTTCCACTGCCTACTTTAGTCTAGTATAAATCGGGCCATTATTACCAAACAACAATATTTACCCAATTGGTCTACTGCTTCCAGTCTGAAAATATTTGTAATTCGTCGAATATTAATCAAAAGTTGGATTAATTTTTATCTTACATTAATTTTTATTTCTAGTCTAGTCACCAGTGTATAAACTAATTATTGAAATACTCTCTGCAGATTGCCGGAGTACTTTGCCATTTTAATGTATTTTACATCCAACGTTGGCTTATTGTCCCTCGTGCAATTAGCAATGTTTGTTCTCGAATGTTTGGAAGTCTATTTCAAACTGCTACCGTCGATAGTACAGAAACGCCTCAAGGTGCTACATTGGAAATCCAACGTCAAATAAGGATGGACGAGTTAGATCAGCAGATGTGGAATCTGCAGCAAATAGACACAACACAAAGACGGCCTGTGAGTATATGTACACTATATTTAGCAACCGACAAGAAATTTCCGGGTCACCGAATCACCCGTTTAGTGTGTTTGAAGGCCAGTTTCAGGAAAATTCAGGATCGGACAGGACAGGAAAGTTTCCTTTATTTTGTATAAACGCCGCCTGAGAACTCACCAACAAAGAAAATTTTTCTGTCCGTTCCGATCCAAAGGAGATTTTTCCTGAGTTGAAACTAGCGTTAATGCATATTTGGGCTGAACATTGCGCGTGCACATATATAACTCAAAAACAATGTCCATGGACAGAATAAAAATGATTATTCATTACGCAAAAGTGAAGTCATTCTCATGCAGTTTATACATCTATATTTTCTAACATTGTTTTCATCAAGAGAGACTTCGAAAAGTTGGAGTATAGCTATATTTACGGATAAATCTCCTGGTAGCTATATACATTGTGTTAAAACAAGTACGATCGTACTATAGGGACCAGGAACTGCGTAACCGAGTTTAATTTCTAAACTGCATTGTATTTATAACAATGGAGAGGACAATGTATTTCTAATCGTTTCCGTTTACTTATATGTAGGCTAAATATTAATGATATGTATATATTATTTGCTGCAAATATATCAAGAATTGCTTGTAACTTGCTTCAAAGGTCAAAAGTAAAAATTCGAACTCCGTCAATCGATGCGGAATAATGCTTAGAATAATTGTGCCAAGTTTCATTCCGATCAAACAAGTAATGAAAGAGCCTTAGGGTTTTTTTAAAGAGCGTCGCCCCCTAACAACAACAACAACAAGATTAGCAGCGGTTAGGGACCAGTTCCTGGTCCAAAAATGACACTATAGAAATTATCCTATTGTTTTGATTTGTATGCCTGAGCGCTACGCTAAAGGCCGGCGCGCACTAGAGCTATGTGCTTAGCAAAAAGTCATTCGTGGCCATTGGCGTAAGCCAGTTGCTCTCATGTGCGGGCGACTTTTCCGGCGACTTTGGTCATTCGTGCCACTTACGGCAAATATCCAGCATCTTTGATAATTTCTGCCTCGCGTGCCAAAATCTTTCCGTGTGCGGCAAAATGAAAGCTATCTGCTTATGGATTGTCTTGTGACAGCGCATGCGTAATACAAAGATAGCGGTGGAAACAAAGCAAAACGAATTGGTGGCTGAGGCCATATTGGAAGACAAACTGGTTGATCTTTGGCCAAAATACAGGTGTTTATACGATGTGAATTCTACAGATTTTAGAAACAGAGAGAAACGGGAATGCGCTATTGCAGAAATAACTAGTAAGCTTTTTCAAACAAGTAATATAATTAATAGCACTTGAATAACGGTGTTTAAAGCGAAAGTCTAGGCTAGTCCGACGCAACAGCAACAAAAATGACACCTCTTCGTCTTCACTTTGGTTACCCGAGATTCGAAGAAGCGTTAGATGATTTTGAGGTATTGAAATAAGCAGATAACATGATCCTGGCAGTCGTTTGTTTGGTGTCATAAAGACTTAAATACCTCAAATACCTCAATGAACACCAAAATATTAGCATATATAGCATGACTAAATTGTCGGGCTGGCTTCGCCACTGGTCATGTACTGTAGAATTAATAGACTACCTTGTTGCTTAAACCTGAAAGGTGTCTCAAAAAATGCAAACACTACAGGGTGTGTCAACTTTTTAATCCTGCTAATGATACAGAGTGCATGAAAAAAGTACAAACACTAAATGACATTCAACGCTAAGAACACACGGGTAAGACACTATAGTATACATTGTCACCGTAAACCATGTTTGGTTAGACATTTTCCACCCTCCCTATATCAGGGATATTACCCATACTCTTGCAATCTTCCCAAACTTTTCTTAACTAAATTCCGCTTAGACGACTTAGTTTTCTGGTATAGATATACACTGCCATTCGGTTAAATGATTGTTGTAACAAATTTAATTTGCAATGGACTGTATTCATTGTTTCTAGTCTATATTTGTATCTAACATTTATGGTAATCATAGTAATGCCTAATGGTAATATTCAAATATATAGATTATAGGAAACCCATTCTTTGGACCAGCTGTTGCCGGACCCTCCGAAACTAACAGGTCTGCTGCATCTACTCAACAACCAACAACTGAAGTTTCAGAAGAACAGGTTAGTTAAGCACATTTAAATATAATAGGGACCTTAAGATGCACCAAATCACTACGCGGACGTGACATGCATGAATTCACCCGGGATTATTAGGAACCCAGTTTTGATTAATTTTATATACATACAGCTCTAACTTGTTTACCAAAAGGAGTCCATAATTTTTATTCCTGTTGTGAAACTGTGGAAATGAAGACAGTATTACTTCACGTCCGCGTCGTAGATTTGGTGTATCTTAAGGTCCCTATATTGATAAAAATATATAGGGACATGCAAAGTTGCCTTTAAACTACGAACCATTTCACCTTTAGTTCTGTTACTTTTTGTGGCTTTGAAAGTGTATAAAATATAATAACAATGCATATCATGATTCAAGAGAGGTATTTAGCTACAACATAAATATGCCAGTTAATAGTATAGATTTTCTGCGGAATGAATCATGTCCTTTCAATTGTTTACACTTATAGATACAGCAACTGATAGAAATGGGTTTTACCAGATACGCTGTCCTGCAAGCACTAACCGCTTCGAACAACGACATCTCCATAGCAATGAATATTTTACTCGCGGAATAAAGTGTTCACTAAAGATAATGCAACAGATCAAAACTGGATCGAGCTGTCCAGAACTGCATGGGCATTGCTATTAAAAAAAATAACTACATAAAACCCTATAGATATAATAATTTTTTAAACGTTCTATTTAGCCGTAATTTTCGTGAATTCAAGTCATTCTGTATTCAAATCTGTCATCGCTAACTGCGCATTCTATGACGAAGCTCATAAACAAATTAAACGAATACGGAACGATTTTCCTTAGAGCATAACATGGATCGATTTAATTACGTTGTATATGTTTCGTGACATTCCAAAACGTTAAACGGGTTGTAAAGCTACTTCCGCTTGTTGGTCTCGTCCATGCATGTGTTTTATATGCATGGTTTTTCCGTGTGCCAAATTCTTGCAAAGCCATGCTTAAATTCTTTATATATATAAGCCCCGTTTACACTACAGTCAATTTATCGGCACGGCACGGCTAAAATGGGTACCCGTGCCCAATTTCACTAGTGGTCAGGCTACCAAAACAAAGGCCGGGCGTGGATGAAATGGGCACGGGTACCTATTTTAGCCGTGCCGTGCCAATAAATCGAGTGTAGTGTAAACGGGGCTATAGTCTATATTTTTTAATGAAAGAAGCATGTACGTTCTAAAGGTTTTCATCTATGGTATATAGAAAGTAAGGTATATGAAAACTGTGAGTGTAAATACGCAGATACAAAAATGTCAATAATATTAAATAATCGTCGTATTTAGGCAATGTTCCGCATCGATTGACGGTGTTCGATTTCTGATTTTCGACCTTTGAAGTCAAATATTTATTTTAACCACTGCAAGCTTTCGCTAATTACAACAGGGTGAGTAACGCCTGTAGTAATTAGCCGTTGTACGTACAATGTGACAGAAATTGCCTAAAATTCCCCATGGGTATACGAAGCATATCAAATAAGTGAACCCATTATTTAACCTAAAACATAAAGTTTGTTCCTTTTGAGAGTTAAAATGCATTCTAAGCTCTGTAAATAAAGAATTAAGAATAGTTTTATCAAATCGTTTTTAGTGCAAAGTTTGAGAAACTTTGCAGTATTGTGATGAGTGGCGAAAATTCAAACGAGTCAGTAAGTCAGTCAGACAGTCAGTCAGTCAGTCAGTCAGTCAGTCAGACAGTCAGTCATAGTGTAAACTTTACGGGGGGTAGGTTGATTTATGCGTGTAGTAACGTTTTGTATATGATCAGTAATTTAAGGTTTTTAAATCAGTTTAACTTGCTTTATTTATTAATGCACTATGTGCCTTTTGCAAAGTTCACCAAAATATTGAGGAATTTTGGCGGTTACTGTCAATTTTGAAGCATTGCTTTTCCGCGGTTTGTGTTTTGTTTTAAAGGGATTTGCGCAGCATTACCCCCCGGAACACCCGATTCTTTCTCACACCTCGCAACTGCGCATGTGCCGTCGAGACTTGAACATTATTCACGATGTAAAGAAACGAGGAGCGACGAGCATTGCTTCGAAACATTCCGGGCGTAAAAATCGAGCAATTCTTTGAGAATCTACGCAATTTATCAACTTATGTTATGAATTACGAGCATTCAATTCAACACAAATATAATTTAAAAGGTTTATCCATAAATAGAGCTAAGAGGTTAGGAAGAAACGACGTAGTGTTGTTTATGTATTTATAGACTCCTACACATGTATATTAAATTGTCGATAGCAAGTCGATACCTGGTATTCTGCATACAGTACAAAATGATATTATTCAAAACGGACATTTTGTGCAGTATTCAAACCATTTTGGCGGTATACAGTATTGATTATAAGTATATTGTTTTGTATCGATTTATACGCGTCGAAGTATCGACATCATAGACAGAATATGCACCGCGGTTTATTTACATTATTTACAACGCAACTATTTTGGCTATTCTCATGAAGTGACGGATAAATTGTAGCCATCATATAAATGTAGTGAATATAGTCACAGTTGTTTGACGAAGAAAAAGAGACTAAACTGAGAAAATCGCGCCCGGTTAGGCCGGTTTACACGGGCAACTAAAATTGTAATTTAATAGCCACAGTATCCGCGGCTAACGTAATTTGAGTACTTTGAGTAATTTCCTTTTGATTAATGTTTAACCTAGTTCATTATATTTTTACTGGCATAAGTCAAAACGTTTATGTTGGGACGAACGTCTGGTTGCTTAGGTATTACAGGACATGAAAACTTTGCACTATCCTTGGATCCCTAGTTCTAGCACACGCGCCACGTTGAATTAGTTTAAACACTTTCGCATTAATTAACCTGGGAATTGTCAAATTCCAGCCAAGTTCGCGGCTAATTTGAATTTCAAAGGTGTTAGTTTTTTTTTACTCACCCTGTATGGTGCGAACCCGAACAATATTAATATTCTTGCATATTTAAGTGGCCGTGTTTTTTTTGAGACACCCCGTACAGTATACCCATACACAAATGGCTTTTATTATTCGACATGTCCTTAATTCGCTAGCAAATTCTAAATTTTTGTAGGTCTATTTAGCCTTTTATAAGTTGCGTTAATCCCGAGGAGCAAAAATTCGAGGACAAGTCATTCAAATTTTAACAATATAGGTGATTTCAATAATTTTAGGGTTTTTTGGGACACCCTGTATTACATATCTTTCTCACAAGCACAAAAGCCTTTCTGCTCCTGGGAATTTCACATAACTTCTGAAAGCAAAATTCTGCACAATAATGCATGGTAAAGTTTATATCCAGACGTAAAAAATACGTACGTACAAAACACGTTTTGAGAAATGTTCTTGATCGAAATCCACCAGTGAAAAGCACAACCTTGAACAAAGCCGGTACGAAATTAACGAGCAGTATTAATTCGAGCCATGCGTTAGATTTTTTTCGATTGTGTATGTTTGTGCACCCGTGCCATGGGCTTAGAAAATTGATCAGGTATATTTAAATTATAACAATAGTTTGATTTCTCAAGATCTTCTTTTTTGGATACACATTGTATAGGGGGTAATTTTTTGTACTAATCTACTCAGACAATCTGGCAACCATGACATGCCTGCAAAAGTTCATGGGCTTTATTGAATATCTTATGGGCGGAAAGATTCTTGCAAGAACTATCCATTAATCATTATTATGGGGAAACAAGCTTCTCGCATTGTGCTATATAATGTTGTTGAAACGAGACTTACAGGTGATTTAAATCAGATATATCTCACACGGCTTAACGAGCCAACGACTGGCATTAGCTTTGCCGACTTTTCTATTTGGTGCTAAATCTTGTAAATTCTGGGTCCGTCTTGCAAACATATGGGTTTCCTGTACCTTACATTTCTCCCCACTTTATCTTTCGTTTACTTTTTAGAACAAATTCCTGAACACATGCAAAGAGTAAAATGACTAAATTTTGCATAGTCATACGTGCGAGCTTCAGTTGGCTCAAATTTTTCACCACACCCGGTATGCACATGGCTAACATGGCTTGCATGTGTGTAACACGGACAGACGGGATAGCATTCGTTTACTGAACGCATATCGAGGTTTGAGAATAAATATTAGTCGGCTCGTTAACAGTACTGTAGTAAATAAAAGGTAGTCCCAATCTTAACTACATAATTTTGTGGGACTACATAATTTCGAGTGTAGTGTAAACGGGGCTAAAGTACCAACCTCGTACCCAGGGTCTTTACTGCAAGATGGAAACTTGAGACTTTCCATAATACTATTAGGCCATATATAATGCACACATAACATTGTTTTTTAAAATCTAGCATTCAGGGCGAATAACTTGTTTTAAAATTATATCAATACAATTTACGCAATTTTCCAAGCAAGTAAAACCACAATGAAGAAAATGTCACAATGTGGTCAAACATGGCGAAAGGAAAAACATTCCAAGCCATGTGGAAACATGTAATTTGATACTTTGTTCTCACCCCCTAAGGCAACGAATTTTTCAAGAGCCACGTGACCCGCTCCGACCAGGGTCTTTTCTTTTACAGAGAAATTTGTGACAAATTAGATTTGCGGAATAATGCCACATTACATCATGGATAGTTAAAAGACTGGATAGGTAACTGCATGGCGTCAGCATTTTAACCTTATTGAAAATCGTGACGTAACACACAATATAACTGCCTCAAGTCGCGTCAAGTTGCATCAGGTCTTTTTGCAATATTAAAACAACTTGTGTGATTTTTTTTTTTTTGAATTAAAAATGGGCTGATCTTAAAGTTAATTTATAAAGAGCACAAGAAATATAAAGAAACTTTTGTGAGACACTAACTAATGTTCGTGATCTACATGGCAAGGACAGCATAAGAAAGGCATTAATGTGCAATAGCTGTGTCCCATAAATGTGTTTTTGAATTTATTTTTGAATCTTGCAAGTTTTATCTTGTTGAACTATTTTGTACTTGTGTATAAAATAAACTTTAATGTAACATTTCCAAAATTCAAATTTAAATTTTATTATCCATGACTACATTGAGCAAAACTAAGATCGTAATCGACTACGGAGTACTTGCTTGCGGGCAGAATTAATATTTCGAACAACAGATGTTTTAGTGGGATGCTCACTTAAATTATTGAAAGTTCGGCTATTTAACACCGGTTACATCAGTATTTACCTGAATGAACTCCAAACACATTTAATATAATGTTACAAATTAGAAAAATAACCTAAACAGAAACACGTTCCTAATGCTTCGTAAAAGTGGACGATGTAGTATGTAAATATTGCAAACAAAAATCGGAGTCTAAGAAGTTAAGCTCATACGACCCGTTCCCTGCTGACAAGTTGCGAGAACACACATCGACAGGTCGGTAATCTAAGGTATTTGTTGTGCTAATTTTTAATTATTTGTAATTTCGGGTTTAATTTTCACATAAACATAGAAACCCATTCATTATGTTAGAAAACTCGGATGTGCGAAATGGAGGGACTTGCCAAAAAAGCCTCCGTCTTACACACAAGGTGGTTAGCTTCGGAGTGGGCTATATTGCTTGTTTGTTTGGATGTGTGTTTGGGATTTGGATGAAGATCAAAGTTTTGCGCTGATTAGAGTTAAGATTGTTGATTACTACGCACGCCCACCAGCCTCGTACCCAGGCGCAGGCTCGTACTGATATTAAGACGATTCTCCATTACCGTCCGCTTCACCTGCGCGGGAGAAGCGTCTTTTGAAAATCTGCCCATGGGACCATGACGGGTCTGAAAAATAAAGCGCGCTTGAGCGGACGTAATGGAGAATCGCCTTTAATTATACATAAGACGATGGCAATTTCTAATGATATGTAAACAAATTCACATATATAAACTTAAATATAAACTAAAGCCAACTGATATTTAAGTTACATTCCGACAACTGGATATCTGTAGTTGAAGGAATGTTTACAGTTCTCCAAGAATGACTACCACGGACATACACAACCCAAGCTCGAAGAAGAGCAAAATTTATCTTCTTGCG